ATAGATTTAATAAGTTTTGTTATAAATAATTTAACTTTTTAAAAAAATAAATATACCTCTCGTTTTTTTTCTTAAAATTAAAATTTATATCGGAAAAATTAAAAATGTTAATATTTATTTTAACAAAAATATTATTTAAGTTTAATAAATTATTAAAAAAGTTTTATAAATTATAACTGTTAAAAGAGGAAAATGTAATTATCCAGTTATTTTTTAAATTATGTTAAAAAATACATTAAAATAATTATAATTTGATAAACCAGAAAATTGCCCTTAGTTATAATATAAAAATCTTAATATTAAAAAACGGCGCATTTTTTGAAATTTACGGCGCGGTTTTTGAAATCTATAAAATTTGTAGGGTTTTTACCGTTACCAAAAATATAGGTTTTATAAATTTATATTTAAAACGTTTAAATTTAAGGGGTGGAAAAGTTTCTTAAAAAGGTTCTTATTATGTTAATATAAAAAGGCCTTAAACGATTAAATTAGGTAACACCAAAAGTTAATTTATTGGCGTAAATAATTATTTATTTAACCTTAAACTGGTTAACGCATCATTTATCAAAGAATAATAATACCTTTATACTTTAGTTTTAAATAATATGACATTAAGAGGATAAAAGCGTTTAAAATTCCTATTTAATATAAGATAGTAGATTAATAGTTTTAAAAAATATTCGATTTATAATATTAGGGTTTAATTGGTGTATTTATAATAAGTTTTTATTTTTAATAATAAAGGTTATTATTTAATAAAAATTCTAATAATTTAAGGTTATTATGAAAGAAGATAATAATAATAGAATGGATAATAATAGCGGTAAATTAGGAGATTTTTTTTTGATATATGGCTAATAAGATAAAATCTTAATAGGAGAAAAATAGGTAGGCAGGAAAAATAATAAAATAAAAAGGGATTACAGGTTTTTTAAGGAATTTATTAACCTTTTTATAACAATTAAGGTTATTAATAAAGTAAAAACAAATTTAAAGGGAGTAAAATAAAATTATTAAGTATTAGTTTTGGTATGGGTATTGTAAGATTAAATCAAAAAAACTTATATTAGAAAAATTAGCTAAGATTTAAAAACTTTAGCTATTTATTTATATATTTAGTTATTTCTAATAAAAGGAACGTTTAAAGGTATGTAATAAGTGGCCTTATTATATATATTTATTTATAAATAATAAGTTAATTATTTTATTTATTAATATTATAATTATAACGTATAAATAATTTTATTTATAAAGTTAAATAATAATAATATTAAAAAAATTTTAAGATATAAGTTAAAATAAATTTATTAAAATTATATAATATTTTAAAGCGTATAATTATAATATAATAACATAATTATATTATTAAGTTATAATAAAAGGTAATTAAAATTTATTAATATAATTTAAGCTTTTAATAAATTAATAATATATTTTAAATATATATAAGAAAAGTTATAAAATTAATGTTATTATAAGTATAAATTATAAAAGGTTATTTACTTATAATAATTAATTTAATTTTAAAACATATGTTTTTATATAAATGTATTATTAAAGATTAATACGGTTTTTATTATTATTATAAGTTATATAAAAAGATTAAAATATTTAAGTTTAATTTATATGTTTAAGGTATTTTTTATCTTAAAATTAACCCTTTTTAACATATTAAGGTTAATATTATAAGTTTTTATATAAATATTTAAATTATTACATTATTAACTATTATTTAAAACTAATAATAATCTTTTTTTACATATTTAAAACTTATATATTATTAAACTATATAATAAACTAAAAAACCTTTCTTAAATATTATTAAAAATTATAACTTTAAAAGGTTTTAATAATTATAATTAATAACAATTATTAAGAGGTAATTAACACCATAAATTTTTAATTAAAAATTTTTTTAATAGGAAATAATAAACAAAGTAAAAGAATAAATAACAAATATATAAATAAGATAAAAACGTAATAAACCTTATAAAGATATATTTTCTTAATAAATATAATTAAAAAAACAACCGGTTAATATGCTTAAAAAATGCTTAAAAAAGCTATTAAAAAGGATATATAATTATTAATAAAGTAAGGTTATGAAAAACCTTATAAATATTTTCAAATAAATGATAATATTTAATAAGCAATTATTTAATAAATAATTATTTAATGAGTGTTGCTATTTATACTCCTATTTTTTGCTATTAAGGCCTTATTCACATTTTTATATATCCCTTAAAACTTTAAATCCAGGCTTAATTTAATGCCTTTAGTGTTTTTAGCTACCCACATCAATCCAATCCAAATAACTTTCTAAAACATATAGCCATAAACATACAACCAAATTTAATTAAAAACACGCTCAATTCTAAATTAATTAATATAGGTTTCGAATTAAGGCGATATGTGGTTACAAAATTATTCAAAAAAGTAGGTGGCAAGCTAAGCGGCACATGACTAACCTTAAAATTATATTAAGAGCTTTTAGTGTTACGCTAAAGGCTCTTAGAACCGTTTAAGAGTTTTAAAGCCGCTTAAACCACGCTAAGAAATAATATGTAATTGTTTTTAAGACAAATATTAACATAACTTTTTAACTGCGTATCGCCTTAAGTTATAGCTAATATTAATTAATCAATAATTAAATTTTCTTTCAAACAAATTTAATTACACATTTATAGCTTTATATTTTAGAAAGTTATTTAAAATTAAAACTATTAAATAAAATTTAGGTTTAAAGACTTTAAAGACATTAAAGGCCCTTAATATGGCCTTAAAAGCTATCATATGCCTCCCAGGCTCCCACTTACTTTCTTAAATAACTTTACAATTAAATATTACCTTAATTTAAGACTTATATTAATTAATTTAAAATTAAATGCGCTTTCAATTAAAACTAGTTGCATTATAGTACAACATATAGTTAAAAAATTATTTAGATTGTTTGGATTAAATTAATAAGAGCAGCTAGAAACGCTAAAGGCGTTAAATGAGGTCTAGATTTAAGGTTTTAAAGTTTTAAGGGATATATAAAAGTATGGATAAAGCCCCAATAGCAAAAAATAAGAATACGGATAGTAACACTTTATTTAATAAGTAGTTATTTAATAAGTAAATAATTAATAAGAAATATTTTTAAGAAAAGTTATAAAATAATAACTTAACCGCTTTCATAAGATTTTACAACTATAATTAATAACGAAAAATTTAAAAAAAGATTTTTTAAATATTAACGATTTATTTAAAAGAAAAATAAATATAATCGATTTAATTAATAATAATTAAAATTAAACCTAAGTCTTTAATAAAAATAAAATAAATTATATAAAAAACTTTAATTATAATAAAGCTTTTATAATAATATAAAAATATTAAATAATAATAATTAATAATTAATTACCATAAAATATAATAATTTAATATATAATAATAATTAATTTTTAAAACAATTAATGGTTTTTAAAGTTAAGGTTATACTTATATATATCGTTAATATTATAAATAAAAATGCATATACTTTTATTATAAATTTAATATTACTTTTAAATTAAATATATTTTTATTAATTTATTAACTTTACTTAATTTTATTTTTATAAATTTATTTTAATAAAGTTTTATTTAAAGTATAATATTAAATTAACTTTATTAAATTGAGTTTTGCTATCCGCACCCTTAAAAATTGCTATCGGAGGCTTATTCGCACCCTAGTACATCTGAGATTAGCGTTCAAACGCCGATGGTCCGAGCTCTCCAGCTAGCTTCAATCAAAAGATCCAACACAACTTCTAATCAAAGAATCGGATTGAAGTGCATCCTGTATCATTCGAATCAGCTCAATTAGACGGTCCAAATGATATATGTTTCAATTTAATGCGATCGGTGGTTGCGAAGTTATTTCAATTCAAAGATGAAGAAGCACCTTGAAAATGGTACAGGTTGAAGTGGTCCGTGCATCGCGTGAGATCGACTAGCGCCACGCTAGCAGCAAAACGTCTATTTCACTCTTTTCTAAATAACTTCGCAACCGCCTGTCGCATCAATCTGAGACATATATCGTTTGGAAGCTCTAATTGAGACGGTTCTAATGGTACCGGTTGCATTAAGATGCACCATTTGGATAAGAAGTTATTAAGGATAGTATGTTGGAGGCTAGCTGGAGAGCTCGGACCAACGGCGTTTGAACGCTAATCTCAGATGTACTAGGGTGCGAATAAGCCTCCGATAGCAATTTTTAAGGGTGCGGATAGCAGAACTCATTAAATTAATATTTATAATTATTATATAAATTTATAAAAATAAATCTTTTATAAATAAATTTTAACTTAATTTCTTTATAATTTATAACTAGTTATATGGTAGTATTTTAATATTTATTTTATATTTTAATTAATTGCGATAATTATTATTTAAAAGCAATATTAAATCTGCAGTAAGAGTATTTAGCTTTTTATCTGCAGTATGGCGCTAGTAGCGCAGCTCCGGTTATTCCAGTACACACTAAAGCTGTCAATCAATTGCAACTAATCCAAACCATCTTCAAATCCTTGATTGAAGATTTCAATTTGAAGGTCTCAATGTAAGGAGCAGATTGACCCCGGTTGCACGATTGAAGCTGTTCTATTGCAAGAGGTATCCATGGTTGAAGTTGCGACTGGTACCGTGCATGGGCCACCTGCGTTACCACCTTGATTGAGGACAACATACAGTAGGGCCCGAAGAGATCAATCAAAGATCAACCAATTACTCAATCAATTCAATTATTTGAGATCTGAAACATGGATCAATCAATCCGGCGCATCGAGGCGACAAAGATGAATGTCTTTGCGGAATTTTAGAAAATTGATTGGATGGGCTGGAGTGGGTTTGAAGTCGTGTTGAATTGGGTGTGGCAGAGGCACTTGTGCGCGCACCTAATTTGTGTGGGAGATCAGATAGTATTGCGGACGAAATGCATGTAACTACTCCTACTGCGGATTCAGTGTTGCTCATTTTAAATAGTTAATAATACATATATCTATCTAACATAATAACATCTTTCGAGGATCCTCGATATATTCTTTTACCTTTACCAGGAATTGAACAGCCTCCCTACCATCAAGAAGTCGATGATCATAAGTTAATGCTAAATACATCATCGGTCGAATCTCGATCTTACCGTTCACAGCAACAGGACGTTCCTTGATCGCATGGAGACCCAGCACAGCACATTGCGGTAGGTTGATGATTGGTGTACCCATGAGAGAACCGAAGACGCCCCCATTGCTGATAGTGAAGGTACCACCAGCCATGTCCTCGATTGTCAGCTTGCCGTCCCGAGCTTTCTTACCCATGTCTGCAATAGCTTTCTCGATTCCAACCATATCCATGGATTCGGCATTGCGGACCACTGGTGTAACCAAACCCTTCTCCGTGGCAACAGCTACACTGATGTCGACATAATCGCGGTATACAATAGTATCACCACCGTTCTCACCCTCAATGGAAGCATTGACAGCAGGAATATCTCGCATTGCCAAAACGCTGGCACGAGAGAAGGCGCTCATGAATCCAAGCTTGACTCCGGTCTTCTTGAGAATTTCATCCTTGTAAAGCTTGCGGAGGTCCATTAGAGATGACATATCGACTTCGTTGAAGGTTGTTAGGGAGGCAGCTGTGTTTTGGGACTGCTTCAGGCGTTCAGAAATGCGCAGGCGCATTCGGTTCATCTTGACACGGCGCTCTTCTCGGCTTCCCATGACAGGACCAACACTAGCTGAGGCATCCTTCACGGGCTGGGATTGTCTCGGGGTAGGCTCCTTCTTGGGTCCCGGTTGAGGGGGTTCAGGCTTGGATGATTCAGGCTTCGAATTAGGGGTTGAGGCTTCCTTGGGTGCATCTGACTTGCTTTCACTCCCTGTGGACTCCGTCCGCGACTCGGTAGCAGCCCCCTCCCCCTTTGCTGGTTCTTTTTTCCCTCCGGATTTCTCACCACCCTCAGGTGCCGCGCCAGGTTCGATCTTTGCAATTTCTTGATCAACAGTGACAGTATCTTCTTCGTTGGCCAAGAGCTCTGTCAGCACTCCCGCTTCAGGCGCGTTGACGGCAACATCGATCTAGGGAAAATAAGCGTTAATATACCAGAATACCTAGACGTATAGAACCAAATAACATGCACCTACCTTGTCGGTCTCAATGGTTGCGATTTCCTCATCCTGCTCGACATAGTCGCCAACCTTCTTATTCCATTGCTTTAAGGTGCCTTCAGTGATCGACTCGGCCATTTGCGGGACTTTGACGATGCTTTGCGCATAGGTGCGAACCTGGGTCATAAGGATAGGTAACGGAATACAGCTTCGTAATGGTTGTTGCTGCACTGGCTTGCGTAGGACACGCGCCGCTGTGAGAACTCTTCTTGACATCATTTTGACAGAAAAGAGATGCTGCAATGCTGCAATGCTGTAATGCTGTAATGCTGTAATGTCGCAATGCGATTTGGAGGAAAGAAAAGTCGGCAAGGTTTGGCAAGTCGTGAGTAGAAATGATCGTTGGGGTTGACAAGGGGAGGGAAATAAAACAAGGCACAACGACTTCAAGGTGAGCTAGAAAAGAAAAAAGAAAATAAAAGGGAGAAAAGGAGAGAGGAGGGAATTGAGAATTGAGAATTGAGAATTGAGTCTACTGTGTAGCTCGGTGGTCAATTGTCAAAGCCTGCAATGACAAGACTCAAGAAAATTGGTTTATGTGTTATGTTTGTTATCTCGGTTCTGAATTGGGGAGAGTAAATCGCCTAAGAAAATTTAGGGAGTCTTTTTAACCTGACATTAACTTAGGTAGTTAAACGTTAGCTGCTCTCCATCTTTCCGGGTACAAAGAGAGAGACCTGCCTTATTTTTTATTTATTTTTTTTTATTTTTGTTTTTTTTTAACTCGCTCACTCTTTCTCCCTCTCTCTTTTCTGTTACGGTTCTTCCCTTCCCTAAACTATGTAAGGCTAGTTAGTACATACCTAGTAGTATGTATGTAGTATGTAGTATGTACTACTTCAGTTGAAATCTTTAGGCACAGTACGTGTTTTTTATCGGAAATGAAAATCACCGATGCTTTCTGTTAGGTAAATATTTAGGCGGGCTTCATAATATCCATACCTTTACCTTCATTATACCGAGGTTATGTACCTAGTATCATGGCTGGTTTGACTACATTAAGTTAGTAACTTTCCGATTATCTTGATTTTCATATGTACACAGTACTACACACTACATGGCAGAGAATCCTGGATAAACAAGTTCCCGCTCCGATATGTCTCTGTGGATTTAAAGTGGACCATACCTTACCTTATCCTGCGAATTGATGGGTTCCAATTGATTGAGTGGGATTTCCAACACTAATGCCCTCTCCAGAATTAAATCCTTAACTGTTATACATTACCATAACGACTCAATTCTTGATCTTTATCGACCGCGTACGGAGACTCCTCATCAACGCCCCCATTTTACCGTATCGCGCAACCTGGTAATCATCGCGCGGGAGCAGCTTCGGTGCTGCTGCATTTCCTAGCTGCAGCTTGCAGGAGATTTGGGCCGGGTGACAGTGGCATTGCGATTGGCGAACACGAGCAAAATACCTTCCACCATGTCGAATCGACAAGCTGCCTTGTAAGGCCAATTAGACATATACCTAACTTCTTACACCTTCCAACTGACCTTGTATCATAGGTCACTCTATCGTCGTTCTTTAAAGCTGGCCCTTGACTGGGCCGTCCATCGAAGCTTATGGCGCGGCCAAGCTCTCTATATTCGATCTCTCTTCGAGGCCAACCGAAACATCACAGACATTAGAAAGCAACGGGTATTCTCTTTCTCCCGCGGCGTCCTTGGAGCCGAGATATAGTGGCTGACTGACGGATGTCTTCATAGGCATTATTAAGCGAAACAGAGAAGCTGTTAGAGACATGGAAACACCCTGACCCGTATTGTAATCCGACAGCTCCGGGAGGTATGGATATTAGTCCCTATGATACCTTTGCATGAAAGAAGCTTGCAGACTGCTAACGCTTCAAATAGGATCCAAATACGAGAGGAACTTGCCAGCACATACCACTGATGGTTGGTTCACATTCATTTCAACGTTCTGCTACTTTCGGTATACTAACGTCTCTACAGCTCCGCCGCCGCTGAAATTTTAAATGCAGGGCTTGGGGAGAAAGGCAAGGAAAACCGTAGTGGGTGGCTGTATATAGTACACGTGAGTTGTGGGATAGTTTTAAGCCGACATGAAACAGATAAATCATATCTGGGACTCTCATTCTTACCTTACTGGAAACCCTAATCGTGGATGAATATGAATATCATAAGCATGTTGACTGGTTTACTTGACAATTACGACGGTGCTGCTTTGCGACGAAGACCGTCAGTTACGCTGATCACTGGATAAGAGACACTGTGGCCTAAATGCAACTTGGCAATAATCGGGAGTTGTTTAGAAAGTATTCTCATTCATGTCCATTACTCTGATGGATTCTGCCTGTAATGTACAGCCCTAACGCATGGAAAAGCAAAACCGTGCCCGACCGTGACCCCGTGGTTCATGAAACGTCCCAAACGACCAACTAGAAAACAGAAAGTGACCCCAAATTATAGCTCTTGGCTCGCGTTCTTGCCAGGCTTGCCGGTCTTCTTCGGGAGAAGGTCTAGATAATGTTAGACTCCAAATGGTGGAAAGAGTGATAGATGTGCTTGACTTACTCTGGTGGATGTTGGGCAGTACACCACCCTGGGCGATGGTGACGTGGCCGAGTAGCTTGTTCAGCTCCTCATCGTTGCGGATGGCCAGTTGAAGATGACGGGGGATGATACGAGTCTTCTTGTTGTCACGGGCAGCGTTGCCAGCCAGCTCGAGAATTTCGGCAGCGAGATACTCAAGGACAGCAGCGAGGTAAACCGGGGCACCTGATGATGCGTTAATAATGAACAATAGCGAACACGACACTGCTTAACATACCGGCACCAACACGCTGAGCATAGTTGCCCTTGCGGAGCAGTCGGTGAACACGACCGACGGGGAAGGCCAAGCCGGCCTTGGAGGATCGCCTATTGAAAACATTCAGGTTAGCTATTTAATTTGACTAGGCTGGTGTAGATGAAGGCTAAACGGGACACTTTGCGTTGTGCGCGCTTGTCATAAAGCAGAGGATAAACTTACGATTGCGCGTTCTTGGAACCGCTGGCCTTGCCGCCGGATTTGCCGCCTCCAGTCATTTTGATGGTTGGTTAATTTGAGAAGGGTTAAATTTTTGATGTGAAATGTCGAAATAGACAAATGCTACTAATAGCGCGAATCTGAAAGGATGGATGGTTTGTTGTGGTTGATAAAGTTTGAAGAGTAGATGGAAAATGATGGAAGAGGTTGAAAGTTGGTGGGGGAGGAAGCTGCTTAAGTATTGTCCGTCGCGTCCTAGAATCAGAATCAGAGATCACCAAATTGACGGGTGGATTGTGCGCCTAGTCCGCATTAGGTCATTTTCGGGGGTAGGTGGTGGGTTTGGTAGAAAAAAATAATAACTAAGGGAAGCAGCACTACATCACGCCGTATGCAAGGCATAAGGATAATCTTCTAAGCACAGGCCAACCGCTAAACCTATCTTAGGCCTTAGATAGGCGTGCACTTTCTATATTTTCTTTGCATTCATTATTTATCCAATCATAATTAAGGTTATATGACTGATGCACCATGATTTAATATTAAGTAGTTGCATCTTTAAGGCTGCCATTGCCCATTTCCATTGTCCATTACAATCCCCATCCATATCAATTAATTTTTGATTTTAACATTTGATTACAATTACGGCAGTAACGATAATAAATAACAAATAATAATGACATGGTTATTAGCCATATCTTTCGTTTTTTTCTCCCACCCCCTTTTTTTTTTTCTTAAAATCAGAGATCACTATCCTTTTCTTTGCATCGTTCTCATTCTATATGTGACTACTATCATTAGTTCTTATTGCAGCTTTGCCGCGACCAAGAAGGAAAAAGAGGAAAGGAAGAAAGCTTGCTTGGTTCTTAACTACAGTGGCGGAGTGCTAACATATGGCCATACGGGCCATACGGCTTTACTGGAGCTTATGGTGCCTGAGGTACCTGTCACAGTTCTCTTCGGCCCATTATGTTTATTTTGTTTACACGCCCTGCTACCTAATAACCTCGAACTAAGTCATTTTTTTTTGGCAAAAATGAAACAACGATACCTCACTTCATCGTGGAAAGCTGTCCAGATCCGAGGATTTAAGTTGACTCGTAACAGTAACATTTCAGAAGTGATGAGGAGAAGCTTTAAAGTGCTTTCGATGATATCTACTTGGGCTGATATGAATGTTATTTTAAATCGTGCTATTTCATCACATTTCAGCTACATTACATACAGACTTATAAACCATAGAAAACGTAGCTAATATAAACATTGATTTCCAGACAATGTTTAGTGTGATTCAGGATCGTTTAAACCACTTATGTGATTATATTTTCGGGGCTTGACAAATAAGAGCGTTGGACCGGAGCCGATACGTGCGGGATCCTTAGCTTACTTCCGGATTTAGGTACCCACGTAGATGGACAATGACTTCCGAGATATTGTCCCTCAGTAGTCGGGTCGTGGGAATGGCTTCGTATGCAGCTCCATCGGGGCTTACCGGGCTTGCGGGGCTATTTGGGGTGGCATACGGCACCGACACCCGTGGACTAGCTAATGGGTATTTGGCACCGCGTGTTAGATTCCATATGGTGACAGGTGTTACAGAGTGCGGAACGGAGATGTGGGGTCGAATCTGCGGTGAATGATATGCACTATGTATGTAAACCGACCGATAAATGATACAGTATGTACCTGGTACATGATAAATTGGAAATGCCAAAATAAATAAAATATTTGATTGGCTGAATTCTTCCTCCATTTTGAACTGTTTCCCCTTTTGTCAATTGTTTTGGGACCTTGATTTGGGTGTTAATGGTTTTGGCTGGATTCCAAGGAAGGTGCCGGGGAGCTTGCACTGTTTCTCTGAGGGCCTGTGCATCAAAACGCGTAGCCGTTGTATCGCGTTTTACTGGTGTAATGTGGGGCGCAACTAGCTTATCATTGCGGGTGCCGGGCGTTAGGTTGGTACTTTCATCATGTATCTTTGGTTTGTTAACCCTTTTTGGGGTAGTCGCTTTTTTTATTTTAAATTTTACGTGCAACCGTGCAACTACGCAGCAATAAGGCAAGATCAATCAATCAGTTAAAACCTTACGAGGATCAAATCAGTAATCACGCTAGCGCCCGCAACCAATACAAAAGGACTTGTCTCCCACCACCTTTTCTCCGTCCAACATCTTCGACTTCTCCCCCATCTTCCATCCACAAACTTTATCAACACCACAAGCATTTCGATCTTCCCAACTTTTGCATTTCGCATTATCAACTTAATACAAATCAAACCTTTCGATTTTATCAACTTCATTATTCAACATGCCTCCTAAAGCTGCTGACAAGAAGCCCGCCGCCTCCAAGGCTCCCGCGACCGCTCAGAAGGCTCCGGAGAAGAAGGATGCTGGCAAGAAGACCGCTGCTACCGGCGAGAAGAAGAAGCGCACCAAGGCGCGCAAGGAGACGTACTCCTCCTACATCTACAAGGGTAAGTTGCATTCCTACCTACCATGACGCGTCTTTGGTTGACGCGTCGCGTGATCCATATTGAAATATGGCGATTGTGAATGTTATACTAACAACAACATCAGTTCTCAAGCAGGTCCACCCCGACACTGGTATCTCCAACCGTGCCATGTCCATCCTGAACTCTTTCGTCAATGGTGAGTCATCCTTCCGCGTTGTGCGACTCATAGTTCACTGGAAATTCTAACAAGTTTTATGTAGACATCTTCGAGCGCGTTGCCACTGAAGCATCCAAGTTGGCCGCCTACAACAAGAAGTCCACCATCTCTTCCCGAGAGATCCAGACCTCTGTCCGCCTAATCCTGCCCGGTGAGCTTGCCAAGCACGCCGTCTCTGAAGGCACCAAGGCGGTCACCAAGTACTCGTCGTCAACGAAATAGGTGCTTGGTTTTGTGCGTCTGGTTTGTCTTTGGGCATGGGGATTTTTCGCTTTGGCATCACGACGAGACCTCGCCAAGGCTTGGAATCAAGTCCCAAATATGGAGTCTCATAAATAATGCGTTACGGATGGTTTGCTTTTTAAGGGGGCAATGTCTTCGCCCAACATGGTACGGGGTTCGCGGTTGTACAATACTCTTTCCCGATAGGGCTTCGGAATGAATCTGCATATGACCAAAAGAAACTGACTTCAATACTCGTGAAATGTGCTTCCCTAATGTTGTCGAGATAAACTGTCTTGCACGTCATTCGTATGCGACATTTAGATGCCTTGGAAATCTGCCCATCGATTCCACCCAAGCTGCTTTTTAATCTTCGTAACCCACAATGCTCATTCAATCTTTGCCAAATCACATTCGTATCGTACAATTCAATTTGCTTGTGTTCAATGTTTCCTATGACATAAAAAATACATGTGATATGGCGCTGCCCCTAATATTAAAACAACAGATATTATGTGTACTAGAGTTGTATCTTGGACATACATGAACCACCTGTGCCTGGTTATGCTGTTATGAAGGTGGATTTACATAGAGAAACTCGATAAATAAGATGCCTGAGTGTTTAGGTGTAGCGTTTACGCATCACCAAGTCCCGCCTTGGATTTCCTGACCACCTGTGTGATAGGTACCATGATCCCCTTATTTTCCTCAGTTCCTAGAGCCATGCCCTTGGACCAACCCATCTTTTCTAGCATCGCTCTGCCTTTATTCTCTACACCTAACTCTGCGGCATGTTGGCCTACAACGTCACCATCACGGTAAGTGAGTGTATTTTTGAACCGACTTTTGCCGTTCCGAGCTTCGGCTCGTTTGAGTATTCGACTTTCATTTACTAGCTTATCGTCGACGTCAACACGAGGAAACCATGGTTGCTTGATGCGGTTAAATGTTCTGTCGAAAGTATTTTGGTCAAATCGAAGAGTAGCTTTGGAGCGGTAAAGAACCGGATACCTATCCTTGCCCTTGCCGGCTGACTGCGACTTGATCTTGAACTTGTTGGCAAGGGCATGGATAGTTTTGCGAGTGGCTTTATCAAACGGTGGTAGAGTGAGTCTAAAATTGTTAGTGTGCTACATACTCATTCATGTACGAGATGATAGTTTGAATTAGGGGACGTACTGTTCTTGAGAGCCCAGAAGGAAATTTTCCAGCTCGTCCGCAAGATCGTCAAGAGACATGCCTCCAACATACTTAACCCGAGGATCATCACGGTCGATGTTTTTGCCGAGTAACCCCTGTGAACGCAATTCTTCGCGAGCTCTCTTCTTCTCCGCCTTCTTAAGACGATCCTTCTGCCAGGTTGACTTCATAACTTCCTCAAGCTCAGAATCGGATACATTGAATGACGGCTGCCCCTTTTTGAAGTTGTTGAGGCTTGGCCGATGCCAGTCCATGAGATCCAGCTCGTCAAAGGCGTCTGCCATTTGTGTTGCACTAGGATATTGTCCTTGTTTTTGTGTGATCTTGGCCCTCTTTAAATCGCCTTTTCTCTTACGACGCGGGTGAACCTTAGGGGCTGTCGACCACTCATCGCCGGAGTCCTCGCCATCAAATAGTACTATATCGTCGCCACCCAAACCCAGGCCTTCCTGTTTTGCGAGCATGCGGGCCATTTGTTCATCTGCATTCAGGCGACGTTCTTGATCTTCTGAGCCAACACCATCCTCGGAGCCTTCGTCCGTACCAACCTCACTGCAAAATCCACCGGGAACAGCATCGCTATCAGTGCCACCGAGGTCTCTCAAAATATTAAAAGTATGAAATCCGAGGTCTAAGTCAACTACATCTTCATCGGCATCCTCCTCTTCCTTCCAATCCTTCATATTTGCCATGTAATCGGCAATCATAGCTGCTTCCTCGTCTGATGTCGAGCTTTTTCTTATTTTCCGCTGCTTACCACGTGTCTTAGGTTTAGAATCAAGAGATATATAATCATCCATCTTCGCACCATTGTCTGGATTGGCCGTGTCTCGATGGAGAGTCTCTTCAACGACTTGAATCTCACGATCTAACTCTCGAAGTTTAAACGAATTATTACTCGCATCATCTTGGCCTAGGTCTACCGGAGCTGGGATCGGCTCTTGACGACTGCGATCCCTGCCCTTGAATAATATAACTTCCTCGCTAGAATCCAGATCCTGGTCTGATGAGAGGTTTGAATGTTGTCGAGATTTCTGTACCGAACTACCCTTGGCAGCGCTAAGTTTGGACAGCTCCGTGGCCGATAATTGGCCAAAATTCGACTCTCTATCGAGGGTTGGATTTGGATGAGACGAAGCGGTGTCCTTGGACAGAACAGTATCTACCGCTGCAGTAGCAGGCTCACTAGTCGTATCCGCATTTACTTGAGCCTCGTCGACAGTGGTTAGTTGCATCTCCAGATCCTTCAATGGCTCCATAAGGCCAGCACTTATAAAAGCAACGGGCTTATATCTTAATTGTGCATCGCGACCAAGGGCTCCACGGCGGTTGAATGCAGTGTTCCTAGCCTCTTCAGCAAGCGTGTAACCTAATTGTACCATTCATTAGATTTAACGGCCCAGTAATTATTTATAAATCATGATTATTATTTCTTATTTATTATCTTGGTAGGCTTATGGATGGTGTAGCATACCGTGGGCTCGCACAAAGCCTTGGGAGGCTGAGGGCGAAATGTTGCTGCCATTCCCTCCGGATGGGTTTGCACGGAAACCACCATTACGACGAGGGAATTGCTGACCCTTGAACCGCGAGCCTGTACCGCCCTTTTTATTTCTAGCCATGTGAGGAAAGGGTGTGGCTGAAGACTGATGGATGAGAGATGTTCCCTAGGTAGTTAGGTCGAGGAGTTTCAATAGGACAAGGCTGGAATATCCAGGACAAGAAGAAGAAATGGGCGATTATGTGATGATGATGATAATGTGGACCGGATCATGTTTAAAACCCGATAAGCGGGTGCTGATGTATCTAAGTAGAACTAGGCACAGAAAGGTTGTATGGACTGAACTTTGAGTTTGTTTCTTTTCTTCTTCTTATTTATTATTTTTATTATTTTTATTATTTTTATGGTATTATGCGTTTATGGGTTGAATAATGAGCAAAGAAGTGCACATGAGAAGGACATTGATAAGATGTTCAAGATTTCTAGGTACAGTAACTACATAGCTACGTACCTAGGTCCTAGTGTCTGGTACTATCATCTATGTAGGTTACAGGTAGTTACCTACCGTACTCCAGAGTGGCACTAATTAATGCTTGCTTATCGATTAGTTAGTCAACTTCCCTTTTTGTTTTGTTTTTTGAACCTATGACAACCATAAGTTCGTCACAAGGCATTCATTAAAACTCTCCTTCCTTCATTTCATCATTCAAAGTTGTACCCTCCCCTGCCCCTCCCCAGCCTCTCCACCACCGGATTTGCACTTCACACTTCACCTACTACATACATACCTAGGGTATGTAAAGTTATTGCACATATGCAAGGTAGCCTTAAGTACAATATATAGTACTTAATGCATACTATATACCATGCAGTTACATACTAGGTATGTACTGTACGTTAAACACATTCAGATGATCCAGTATATACATATGTAGCACGTATCTTATCTTACTTTTGCATGTAAGTAGTACTTCAATGTTCAATGGTCACCTCACCTTACCTTAACTTCTACTCATTAATAGCAACCAGCTTTCTTGGTTAACAACTATTACCTACTTTCCCATCTTGCCCACTCAAGAGTCTTAACAAGAATCTTAAGTCCACTACTCGCTTACTTTCTTCCATTCTCTATTTATTATATGCTAAGTCAAGCCCTGGGCGCATGGTTTGTTGTATGTACTTTGTCTTTCAAAGGCCTTGGTCTGGTCTGGTCTGACTCTATTTCCGTCCATTCCATTTATCCATCCATCCATCCATCCATCCACCACCTATCCATCCACCACTGGCCCATCATATTACGCCGACTTACCTAGCTGTCATCCCCATTATTCACAGTACCATAGCTTCACTTCATCGCGAAGATCTTGGGCAAACGTTCGAATCTTCCGTCACACAATTATACTTTCTTTTTCTTTTCTTTTCCCCCTTCTTTTGGTAGTCCTTCTACATCTACACGCCCCCTCGCCCCCTCCCCCCGCTGCAACGGCATACAGGCCATTAACAGGACTATTGTTCTTATCAGGGTGTATTGGATATATTATATATCCATCAGTTCGGTCTCATCGTAGCCAACTTCTTCCCATCACATACTAGTTTCCCACGATGGATACCACGGTAGACCTTGGCAGGCGCATCGTTCAGATGTTCTGGGATCCCGAACCTACCAACGATGTCATCCGCGACCAGCCAGTGTGGTGTCTCGGATCTTCCTACAAGCTAAATAACAACCCGAGTCCCAAACACGACTCATCTTCGTCCTCCGAACCACCTCCCAAGGATTCCATTCAAGCTCCCGCCAGACTACCCGAGACGCCTCCAGACTCCACCTCCAGCAGCCTTGATTCATCACTAGCCTATGATGAAGCACCTCTAGATGGGGGCTGGCCTCCTGCTTTTCTCGACGATTTCGAATCAAGACTATGGATGACTTATCGATCCGAGTTCGACCCCATAGCTAAGTCGCAAGACCCGAGGGCCCTCTCCGCTCTGTCATTCTCAATGCGCCTCAAAAGTCAATTAAGTGATCAAACCGGTTTTGCCTCTGATAGTGGGTGGGGTTGCATGATCAGGTCTGGCCAGAGCTTATTAGCCAACGCTATGCTCGTGCACCGAATCGGCCGAGGTATGTCAACCTCATCATGAACATGCTGGCGTATTGCTAGGCTGGTACTAAATCACTTATAGGATGGCGAAGGGGCACATCAACCTTAGAGGAGAAGAAGATTGTATCCCTATTCGCGGATGATGCTCGGGCGCCTTATTCAATACACAACTTTGTGCGCCACGGTGCTTCCGCGTGTGGGAAATATCCTGGTGAATGGTTTGGTCCTTCAGCCACCGCAAGATGTATTCAGTGAGCAATCCTCTTCCCGCTGGGAACTTTGCGGCGCTTCGATAACCGAAACTAAACAGTAAACAATAGGGCATTGACCAATGCGAACGAGCCGACGCTACGCGTCTATTCAACAGGGGATGGGCCGGACGTATACGAAGACAACTTCATGAAAATCGCTCGGCCAGATGGAACAACCTTTCACCCAACAGTTATCCTAGTGGGCACGCGCCTCGGCATCGACAAGATTACACCAGTGTATTGGGAAGCCCTTGCCGCATCTTTACAGATGCCCCAATCGATCGGTATCGCAGGGTAAGTCTGTTTTTGAATTTGACCAATTTCTCTTGTCTTGCTGCCTGCTTCTGACAAAACTTAGTGGACGCCCATCATCATCGCATTATTTCATTGGAGTCCAGGGCCTATGTTTCTTCTACCTCGATCCACACTACACGCGGCCTGCTTTGCCTTATCACGAAGACCCCAGCGAATATACCCAAGAAGAGGTTGACACCTGCCATACACGAAAGCTACGACGACTACACGTCAAGGAAATGGACCCCAGCATGCTCATCGGATTTCTTATTCATGACGAAGAAGATTGGAGGGATTGGCGTAGAGGCGTCAAACATGTGCAAGGGAAGGCCATCATTCATGTGTCAGATCACGACCCGATTGCACAGTTAAATGAGTCGGGAGGGGCCATCGATGGGGTTGAGACCCTAAGTGATGATGACGATGATGACACAACTTTGGAAGAATAATTAAATGGCAGGCGCAACGTTTTGTCGGTCTGGTGTATTAAGGGAATACCACTAGGTAATAGTCGGGCGTTAACGTGTATTGTGGGTGGCTTTGAGTAATCATTGGTTATGGAAATATCATGAGTACCTACTACTGAATTTTAGCAAGCACCAACATGCAGCTAGTTTCTCAAGCAGCAGCCCTCTTGTGCATTGCGGGGCCATCGTCGAGAGAACCATTGTCTAGTGGCATCTCTCTCCTTTCTAGGTCTTGAGAGAGATGGCGATGTGCTCATGCTGGGCTTGGCTGGAGGTTTGCTTGGCCTTACTGCTACACTGTTATCAGATGGGAATGTTGTAATCGCCTTCTATGTCGTCATAGTAGCAAACACTTATCGCCGACTCTTGTTAGGCTTGGTTGTAGTATTAGGTTTAACTGCAGCATGGCCTGTTTCCTTCAAGTGCTTGAAAAGCTGGGTTCTCGACTCGAATTTAGTATTACACGCTGCACATATCTATCGTTGTGAGCAAATATGTTAGTCATAGTAGGTTTAGCTACAGTGTGTGTATGTGGCATCGCAACTTACGGAGTCGTCCTGTGTTTGGGACGCAGCTTGCCGAGCGGCTTTCTTTTCTCTCTTGGCCTTAGCTTTACCGACCTTCTTGACGGGCTTACTGGTGGCAAGAGAGATATCATCTATACTGCCGACAAGATCATCAGCTTGGTCTTCTGGGTCTCCCTGCGAAATAGCTGGCTTCCCCAGTTGTGTCGAGGCAAGACGTGCTGCTACAGCGTCTCGGGAAGCATAACTGCTATCTTCACTCTCATCCTTGTCCTCGGCCGTCGTAACCTTTGGGCTGGTAGGTTCCATGTCAGTTGTAGACGTTTCTTCTGCCTGGATAGATACGTCGGTGCCGCCTTTCTCAACACTGACTGCATCGTCACTGAGTACAGGAATCTCGGACGTCGAGGACATTGATGGATTTTCTTTGTCCAAGTTAAGGTTTGCGCTCTCCTTCTTCATATGTCTTTGCAATTGCTGCACGGCCTTCGTATGTTTCTTGCTCTTCTCATGAGCCTCGTATTGCTTCTCGCTCTTGAATGTCTTGTTACATACTACGCATTCTATGTGCTCGACTTCAGACTCCTCGTCCGTCTCAGAGAAGTCGCCCTGGTTGTAATCGTCATCCTGAGGTCGCGCCCACTCAGGAACGGCAAGAGGATCATTCAGCTTCTCCTGGTTTGCGGCTCTTGATCTAGCTGCCTGTGCCGCTGCCGAGTCGCGCAATATCTTCTGCCTCTCGGCCTCGTATTGTGTATCAGACACACAACGGGGGTCACGCTTGCGAACGAAGGCGACGAGCAACCGCACAGCATTATTGAACTTGCGTATGCCATCGTCGCGAAGTTTCATGTTCTCTTTCTCCATGAAGCGGCGTTCCCTCCGGTCTGGAGCCTCTGAGAGCCGCCATTTATCTTTCCATGAGAAACTAAGCCTGGTGGAGAAATTGGACCACCTGCTGTAGAATGTCCGGGCGACTCGATCGCCATCCTTGGATGAGCCGAAGGGGGGAAAGTTAGGTGGAGCTAAGCCATCCCACTCAGCGACTGCAAGTTCTCCCTGGGCTATTTTATTAAATGTATCTTGCAGTTTGGTGAAAAAGCCGGCCGGGGAATCATCGAGCGGGACTGATTTGTTGAGACGACCAATCAGGGTGTATATTTCGTCGGCGGTAGTTAGACGGACGTCGTTATATTCGGGGGTTGCTTCGGTATCGGCCGGATCGTCACCACGGAGAATTGCATCACGGTGAGAGTCGTACCAAGCCCGCTCCTGTGGATCAGAGAGGACTTCATAGGCAGATTGGACTTCAGCGAACCGTTGGGTAGCGTTTTCGACATCACCGTAATTTCGGTCTGGGTGCAGCTCTAGGGCTTTCCTTCGATAGGCCTTTTTAATTCTAACGAGGATTGAAATGTTAGCTTAGTGATTTCGTTTATATGCACCTACATGCACCCATATCCATATACTTACTCGTCATCGCTAGCTTGACGATCAACTCCTAGTAAATCGTAGTAGTCGGTTTTTTTGGGCGAGTCATCGCTTGCTGCAGCGCCTTTGTGAGATGACTGGTGGGCGCCCATTGTGGGAGTTTTAATATATATAGGGACGTCGGTGGGAAAAAACGCAATTAGAAAAAGTCAGCGGGGGGTAAGAAGTTTGCATGTCAGTAAGCTATCCAATTAGATGCTTTGAGCCTTTATACGCCAGAGATGGAGATGGGAGATGGAGATGGGAGATGGAGATGGGAGACGGAGATGGTAATGTACGAAATGGAAATTCTTCTACATGTATGATATGTGTACAAGGGCGGTTGCTATGTACAATACAACAAGAAATACAAAGTTTTACTAATATGTTATTAAAAATTAAAACTTAAAAACTAAAAATTACACGTCACTTGTGCCCCGCGCATTAGTTTTGGATATTAACTCGCGTGATCATACAAGGGGCTGAAAGGTAAAATCTTAGATCTAGTTACCTAGTAAGGCTGCAGATGGGTTTGGTAAGATTCCGTAAGAACAAAACACCCATGCAATTCCCATTCTCTCTGTGTACATATGTACATCTGTACATACGGCAAACTTTTGCCGATGTCCTCACTAAGGCTCACTTCAATGTTCCATGTTCAATGTTCACTTGCAATTCCTGCTAGTCCAATCTAGAACCTTGACATATTTGCCCCATACTACTATGTAGTACTAATAAGTTTACTATGTATAGCAAACATAATGCTCTCACTTGCTCATCTCCGTCTTATAACAACAGTCATTGTCAGATATATCAGATATATAAATGCCTAGTAAGTATAGTTTTAATGTTCAATAGGTATTCAATATTCTTGTCACCTACCTACATACGTGCTTAAGTACCTACTTGAACATACTATGTATAACTATGTAGGTCTGATATCAAGTATTGACTCATCTACAGTGATTCTACACTCGTCCATTGTCCCTTCATCTATTCAAAAGGAGAAGAATATATATATTTCAAAATATATCCTAATATATTGCCCTTTAGCCCGATAGCCGCTGTTTCTGGATGTCAGTTCACAGGGGGGGCCTATTGAGTCATCATAGACGCCGTCAATTTGTAGATATATTTCCGTCTCATATTCTTCATCAGCCTGTATGAAGTTCGCCCAAGAATTCCGGAAGGCTCTACAACGAGAAGGTATACCACACGCATACATATCTGATCCTCTGCTTCTTTTATTACTAAATCTAGCTCCGTTGCTAATCAGGTGCATTTTCGTAGGCTTCCCGCAGAAATGGGTTGATTCTGCCGTTCCTTATGGTCAGCTCAAGAAATGTCTAAAAAAGGTCACCAACGAACTTCACGAGCTCGGGCTGGATAAGGATACATTAACTCAGTTGGCCGCTAGTCAAAAAGATCCGTCTACAGTAGCATTTTATTATCACTTAGATGGCGCAGCAGCTAATTCCAAACTGTTCCGTCCACGACTTACTTTCTTCGTCCATATCCAGGATGGCGTCGCTGTTGACGCAAAGTTGACACCGTCAACGCGGGATTTCTTGGAGAAAATTGCCTCCAGTACAGGCAAGGCGCAAAATATTACAGCAGACGAGTCAGCCCAGATATCAGCACAGATAGGCCCAGCTAATTTCACAGAGGCTTCCGGCCCTTTCAGCCCCCGCCATATTTCCCCGTCTGAAGACGAAGCAGTATCAATTCAACGGGTCGAGGTGCCCTTAGTCTTCGACAGTGAATTCTTTGACATTCTACAGACTGACGTCTTCAATCTAGATGCGCTCCAGGGAGAAGAGCAGGACAAAATGGGAAAGGAAATAATGCTTTTGGGCCAGGATATCAATAAAGCCACCAAGCCTTCAAAAGGCAGAAAAGCAAGGGGAGACATGGAAACGTGGCGCAACATTTTCGAATTGTATTTGGACGCTCGCGTATTCTTCTCTACGCGGGAGAATGACCATGGTGCTCGGACAAGTCCCCAAGCCGTCAAACAACTCAACTGGTTTCAAGACCAAGTGCTGTCGAGAAAGCTAGCATATGGCCTCAAGCTCGAAAGCAGTCGAAAAGCCTACACTAGGTTTCTTAGCGTGAATGCTCTGCTCCTGCAGATCCTCAAGTTTCAGGAGATTAACAGCTTGGCGGTGACCAAGATACTCAAGAGTATGTTGCTCGGTTACACAACCATCTATTTTCTGGTTATTTCCCTTGCTAACCACCCAAACAGAATTCGATAAGAGGACTTCGCTTGGTGTCTCTCGAGTATTCCCTATCACTGTCAAATCCAACCACTTGCTAGCGGGGAGCGTGGCTAAAGACTTATGTGCTCAAATGTCAAACGATCTCATCTCTGTTGTCCCTCAGCTTGATGACTACCTCTGTCCCATATGCTTCACTGTTGCGTACTGGCCGGTGAGATTAGACTGTCAGCATATATTCTGCAGCCGGTGCCTCGTCAAGATGTCGCGAAAGGGAGAGAGCCATTGTCCCCTTTGTCGAGCCGACGTAGTGATGCGGGCCAGCCTGGAAAACTTCGACAGCAAACGCGCTTCATTTCTTAGGGAGTATTTTCCAAAGGAAGTTAAGGAAAAGGTCCGAGCCAATGAGCGCGAGCGCAACAAGGAGATATTTGGGCCTGACTATTCAGACTCTCTTTGCTCTATAATGTGAGGGCTGTGTTGATACCTACTGGGTGTCTATCTAGACAGTCATGACATTTTATGACACTCGATCTTAGATGTCTCTAGCCCTCGCCATATTTATAGGACTGGCGGACTATCGCCTGGTGTAGCGGCCGTAAAGATACGTATCATTATTATCAAATGAGAGCTACCTACTGTTCAGATTCATTTTACAATTGATCTCGTCTCAATCGGGGGTGGATCCCAAACGATATCCTTTAAATTCGTCCGTTGTCGTGCAGGTATCGTCAACTCAGAACCATCGGCAGTACCCGGCAGTTTAATATGTCTCTTGTTCTGAACCATGAGCATGCCCTGCAGAGATGTACCTTCAACTATGTTGCCGCATCCCGGGTTCTCCCCGAAACCGATAGCTCTTCTAGCCAACCAACTTATACAGCCATACAGAATCATCGCTTCGCTTATAGTTCCAGCCTGGTAGATGGCTACACACCAGGCTGCCATCTCCAATGGGTCACCTGAGCCTAGTGGTGTAAAGGCGTTTCCGACATTGTTTATGCCGATACAAGCGGATAGGCCGAGATCCCTAATCATGGAAATTACGTGCAAAGTACCGCGTGGTCGAGCTTGAGACGCATTTGTTTCCAAACCCGGACGACCCATCATAAACAAGTCACTGCTGGGCAAACCGACGAAGTGGATGGGAAGCTTACTTTGGATGATAATTGTAGCTAATTGCTCAAGTTCCGAGTCGCATAGTACAGTAAGCTGTGTGCAATGCCCGAGAACTATGGTCTTGGACTCGTCGGCAAGAGCAAGCCAGTCATGTGCCTGAAGCTGTTGGACAACGGAGAATACCATGGGTTGATTAGGAGGCAAAGGCGTGGCTAGGTTGTAATCCAAATGGAAATCAAGATGCAGACGATGGTGAATGGCGGTGGTGATAGCCCATTTGATGTTCCGGAGTGATGCTTCTCGGGATTCCTCGACGTATGGGGTTGTCCCTAGAGCCTGGATACACGAGGCATATTCCGTCAAGAGAGCGGTGATTGTTAATCGATTCTCGTCGCCGTGAGCGGTTGAGAAGAGGGGATCCTGGGCAAAGGCGCAGATCTGCATCTCTAGTAGATGGGCGAATTCCGACTTGAGACGAATGGCGGTGGTTAGGGGCAGTGAGCCAGTAACATGGTCTAGCTCTACAAAGGCACGGAGGCAAGTCACACCCTGTTGGTAGCTCGTCGCTAGAAGCTGACGGCCTCGAAGGTAGAGATCCTCGTCGGTATAACGCTGCTTCGCCTTGGATGTATTTCCCAGGGCCTCATCAAAAGAACCAGTGTTGGGCACAAGATCGGAATAGTCGGGATGCCTATTTGAAAAGGAATTGTTACAGGTTAAGATGTAGGCCTTGTCAAGATGTATGTGTGGGTGGCAGAGGGCAGGCAGTAATAGCTTTGGAGGCTCGCCGGGCATATGCTGCGAAGGGAGAATTCGACAAGCTTTGCCATCCTTGACATGGATGTCCCATCGACTTTCAGCCTCAGCTGAGCTCTGGCAGGGAAATATTACATTGTTGAATTCCATGCTGAGTACTTCGTATCTAGGTAGGTATCCTAGGTGCATATATAACTTGAATCAGCTTGGTGTAGCACTGTAGCTGACAGGGGATGCGATGTATGTAAGTATGTATGCTATTAGCGTATGTATGTATATATATATATATGAATTGGGACACTACTATGTAGCTATAAGAGTATGACGTGTAGTATGATATGCCAGTACTACATGTACTTACTTCAAAATTCTAGCTCCGATTACGGCAACTTAATTCAATGTTTGATACTATACATAGTACATCGTAGTACATAGTACTAACCTTAGTATGTTTAACAAAAATTAATAACATTATAACATTAAACCTCCGTAACTTCAACTCAACTCATACCCACTCACCACCTACTCACCCACACACTCACTCACTTACATACTTACATACTTACATACTTTTACCTCTCTATCAGCAGACATAAATATAGTAACACAACAGTTAGTCCAAGATGCCATTGATCGAACTAGGGGACTCGATCCCCCCCAATACTGCTCACGTGAGTCTTTGTTTGTATTTGTGAGAAAGATGAGATGAGAAGTTGAGGCCAAGTTCTGATATTTTTAACAGGCCGTGAGCGTTTCGCTTCCTACATGGAAATCAAACATAGGGTACGAGGAGGGAGAGGAATGGGTTCTCGGCACCATGGTCACTGGATATCCGAGGTTCTTCATTCATAAGAGTACCCAAGCCTTCGGTCGTGACATCGTCGCCAAGTATGGAACCGCCAACCAGCAAGCTATGCTCTTCCCAACCAAGAAGATTGCCAACCGGTGTCTTGAATTCATCCGAGAGAAGGCCCCGCATTCTATTCTAGCCGATCTTGACGTTGTTCATTTGTCCCTAGACCCGGCTAAGAAGATCCCATCGACACTACAATCCGCCAGTCCATCTATATCTGCCATTCTTTTCTCCCCTGATGTATTCCCCTTTGCGAAGCAGTATTGGCAACACACCGGTGACGGCGTTTCCAGCCGGCGCGCCGAATTTTGCCATGGCTTGTTCAAAGAGAATATTCTCGTGCTTGATCAAAATGTATCCTCACCCCGCCTGCAAAATAAACTATGCCGTGGGCCAAGGAGGTATCAGCGCGCCTCCATGGAAGATCATAGCAATGGATTCAATGGAGCACATCATACTCACCATTATCCCGTAACCGCGGATTCGCCCACAGACAGCGATAACACGGATACGCTAGAAACATCTAGATTTTTAGAGGAACGATATGGAAGAAATCTGGACCTCTCCCTCGTCCCGAATGCCAAGTCTGCCATCCGACGTCGTATAGCTGGCGTCCTAACTACGGATATTGACCTGGAAAGTACAACGGCCTTGCCGACCATGAGCTCTCACGCACGTGGTATCTCCAACCTCCAAGAGGAGGACATATACTTGGTTCCTTGCGGCATGAATGCCATATTCACAACCCACCAAACGCTACTGAAAGCCCGTGGGCCTCTTAAGAGTATCAATTTTGGATTCCCCTATGTAGATACCCTCAAGATCCTGCAGAAGTTTGGCCCCGGTGCCGTATTTTACGGCCATGGCTCCCCGGCCGACCTGGACGACCTCGAGAGCCGCCTGCGGGACGGAGAGAGGTTCCTCGCTCTCTTTTGCGAGTTTCCCGGCAACCCCTTATTGACGTGTCCTGACCTCGAGCGTATTCGGCGGCTGGCAGATGCGTACGACTTTGCGGTCGTCGTAGACGAGACGGTTGGCACATTTGTTAACGTCAACGTCCTCCCCTTCGCCGACGTTGTCGTAAGTAGCTTGACTAAGATTTTCTCCGGGGACTGCAATGTGATGGGGGGTAGTATGATACTGAATCCGAACAGCCGATACTACCAAACCCTCAAAAGCGTCATGACGGACGAGTTTGAGGACACGTACTGGGCCGAGGATGTCATTTTCATGGAGCGCAACAGCCGGGACTTCGAATCGCGCATTGACCGGATCAATGCCAACGCCGAGGTTATCTGCGAGATACTGCTCGCGCACCCCCTCGTTACCAAGGTGTTCTACCCTAAGTACGTCGAGACGCGGGCTAACTACGATGTCTGTAAACTACCACACGGAGGCTACGGGGGGCTCCTGTCGTGCACATTTCAAACCACAGCGCATGCCATGGCCTTCTATGACGCCCTCGACACAGCCAAGGGACCGAGTCTTGGCACTAACTTTACTTTAACGTCGCCGTATGTGATCCTGGCGCATTATCAAGAGATGGACTGGGCCAAGAGCCTAGGCGTCGCCCCAGACCTGATCCGTTTCAGCGTCGGGCTCGAAGATGACCTGGCATCTACTTTCACAAAGGCACTCGAGGCGGCTGAGAAGTGTCAAATTTAGCGATTACGTAGGAATGTATTGGTACGAACCAAGCTAGGTAATCATAGATATAAATAAGTAAAAAGGGGAGAAAGTGGAAAGGGGGAAAAGAGGGAAAAAAAAGGGGGGGGATGAATGAATATCTAGAACAACCTCATTAGATAGTAAAATTTATAGGATAATCTCACTCACGACGAACCCGACGACTCCTTTTATTTAGGTGCCCAGTAGTTTACCCCTGATTTACTTGGAGAATTATTTAGCTGGCTGGCAAGTAAGTAAGTGGACAACCACCAGTAGATGACTACATGTTTTACTGATCCTAATCCTATTCTATCCCAACTATACAATCACGGCATAACCAAGAAGACTGATGTTTTGTATCCATTTAAAGAGTAGGAATAGTTTGTCTAGGTATGTATACAGTTGAATTGTAGAAGCAACGAAATGCCGCATGATCCTGTCTTTCATGGTACCTGGGTATTTGGTACTTGCTGGATTAACAGGATAATGAGCATAACTAGGTATCTTCTCTAGTAGTTAAGAGAAAATCATCATTGACAAACGAAAGACAACATGACATGTATACATATATACATATACTGCCCTTAGACTCGTCAATTAAAGCACATCTTAGGACGGCACTCATCATTGCCCACATGCTGTAGTAATATACACCTTTACACCGATGCTAGCCTTCCTAATGTTCTCTTCTTTTTTTTTCTTGCCCGTCTACCCGCTCTATATTTACACACATTAGAAGTGGATGGCCTTCGAGTATGTCGCCATAGCCGCCTCCTTGAAAGCCTCCGCTAGCGTCGGGTGGGCGTGACACGTGCGCGCGATGTCTTCTGTTGAAGCACCGTATTCCAAAGCCAGCGTGGCCTCGGCGATCATTTCTCCAGCATTAGGGCCAATGATGTGACAGCCTAGTAGTCTATCTGTCTCAGGGTCGGCGATCATCTTGACTAGACCTTCCGTGTCTAGATTAGTCTTGGCACGGGAGTTGGCGCTGAAGGGAAATGTTCCGATCTTGTACGGTATGTTTTGTTTCTTGAGGTCCTGTTCACTTTGACCAACCCATGCGACCTCAGGATGTGTGTACATGACGGACGGAATAACGCCGTAGTTGACGTGACCATAGCCCTTCTTGATATACTCAACTGCGGCAACAGCCTCTTCCTCGGCCTTGTGCGCAAGCATAGGGCCGAAGGTGCAGTCACCAATGCAGCGAATATGCGAAGCCTTGGTGCGATACTCAGAGTCAATGACCACCCGGCCGCGATCGTCTACCTCTAGACCAACGTTCTCAAGACCAAGTCCGGTGGTATAGGGGCGACGGCCAATGGCAACGAGGACGACATCAGCTTCGAGCTGGGGAGAGAAATAAGATTAGTAACCAGTCTCAATGAATTCTAGGGTGGGCAAAAGATAATAATTAGCTAATAGTCACTTACAGACTCGGGCTTGCCGCCCTTGGCAGAGTCAACCTCGAGCTTGACCTTCTCACCGCTCGGGTCGCCACTGACGACCTTGGTGCCAAGCTTGAAGTCGATACCTTGCTTTTTCAGAAGCTTTTGGGTCTCCTTTGCAATCTGGGTATCCATGCCGGGGCCACCGATTTGGTCGAGGAATTCGACGACAGTAACCTTGGCACCGAGTCTCGACCATACGGAGCCCATCTCGAGACCGATAATACCACCGCCAATGACAATCATCTTCTCAGGGACCTTCTCGAGGGATAGGGCACCTGTGCTGGTGATGACGCGCTTCTCGTCGAACTCGAGGCCGGGGAAGGGGGTCGATTCGCTACCGGTAGCGATGAGAATGTTTTTACCAACCACGCTCGTCTCGCCACCATCGGAAAGCTGAACCTTGATTTCGTGCTCGCTGGCAAAGGAGGCGGTACCCTTGATATACTCGACACCGTTCTTCTTGAAAAGGTATTCGATACCTTTGGTCAGACTGTTGACGGAGGTATCCTTTGCCTTCATCATGGCCTGTAGGTTGAGCTTGACATTGCCGACTTCGATACCTCGAGGCTTGGTGTCGTGGAGGACTTGGTGGTACAGATGAGAGTTGTTGAGGAGGGATTTGGAAGGGATGCAGCCGACGTTGAGACAAGTGCCACCAAGAACACCGCGCTTCTCAATGCAGGTAACTTTTAGTCCTTCCTGGCCAGCCTTGATCGCTGCGACATAGCCGGCTACTCCACCACCAATGATAACGAGATCTTTTTCGCCTGCGCCGAGTCAGTCAGAGGGATGAGCTGGATGAGGCGAGGGAATCTGTCGAAGCAAAATATATCGAAGGAAGTATATCGAGGATAAGAGGGGAAAGGGTTATTAACCTGCTTCAGTAGCATATCCTCTTCTCCATCGTGATATGGGGGCGACGACTGAAGGAAGGCTAATGACATGATAACGGGTTAGCGGGCTAATAATTTGGTTTCTTTTCTTTCCCAATGTCTAATATGTATTACATATATCACATAATACAGACTCGGGACTCGGGACTTTACATTTATGGATGTTGGGTTCTGGGGGGGAGCGACAGTGTTACTTACGATGAAGGAGTGCGCAAAGCAGATCGTACAGCGGACCGCTGTATTAAACGGCTAGTAAGCATCATGTCTCTGCTTTGTATGTTACGGAAAAGAAAAGCAAAAGAGGAGGGGGGGAGGGGTAGAGAAAGTATATCTCTCAATTGGTGAGAGGGGGGAGACGAGAAGGCGAGGAGGAGGAAGAGGATGAGGGAGTTATTAGATTTGCGATGAATAATAAGTTCGGAATGAGATTTAAAGATTTCAACCGTTCCCAAGTGTTTTTTTTTGGGGGGGATATGAGGTGAGAGAGTGCTAACCTAGAAAGTTTTGGGAGGTCCGGGCGTTTCCATTAAAACGGTTCCGTTTCAAGTAACTACGTATTATCTGTTATCTTATGTACTACTAGTCTACCCGAAAATAACCGATATACTGATATGTAGGTATGCACCATGAATAAATATCTACCTACTAGGTACCTACCTACATATAATATGTACATATTCTATATATTCTTAACCTCTTCTTCCTCTTCTCACCCTAGCGATTCCGTCGTCAGCAGAGTCTTGAGAACTTGATATGCTATCTCGCAACTCTTCTTAACCGCACTCTTCTCTTTTTTCCCCTTCAAGAGATCCGTATGTCGTACCTTCTTCTTTAAGAAGTATTGCAATCCACGCGCATGTTCTGCATCTAATCCACCAAATATTTCCTTCAAACCGTCCCCCTTACACTCCTGAAGCATCGAGATTAACATCACCTCGAAAAACATGTGCGCTTTCTCCTGCAGCATTGCCAAATTGCGGTGCTTGATTACATCTGCAAGCCGCAGACACCGGCTGGCCACCAGAGACCCGTACATCTTCCCTGTGTTATATACCCATCGCATGTCGTAATTAGTCATGTCCTCCGTGTCAACCTCGTCTCCTTCACCAACATCGATATCTTCTCCCATCTTCCTAAGCCGCGTAGTCAGACAGCGCCGGAATTGAAATGATAATTCTCGGTCCCCGGTGAATTTAGACGAGACCAGCGTGTAGTAGTGGTTGTATTGCGATTGTCGTTCACTACTGCGGACAATCACCTCCGGTACTTCTTTTCGCTGGTGTTTGTTGAGCCTCAACTTTCGAATGAGGAGCTCGGCGTTTTCGTAATCTGTCGCCGCGTGCAGAGCAACAAATATCCGTTGCCGTATCTCTGTATTGAAGCCCTGCTCCTTAGCTAACTGCCAAAGATCGGGAATGCCGAGGTCATCATCGTCGATTTTCATCATTTCGTCAGCATCGTCAGCATCGTTGGCATCGTTGGCATCTCTTCCCTTGCCACTGCCCCCAATTTGGCTATCAGGCCCATTTTGACCTCCAGACCAGCTGGCCCCAACAAGCCACCATTTTCCGTGTTTATCGGCATCCTGTATATCCTTGAGGCCCATGCGTAGAGGTTGCACGTCCTGCGAACCGCCCAGGGTAGCGATGCGTTTCCTGAGCTGGCTTCGCTGGTCTGCCATATCTTTGTTGCGAGTCGCTGCTTTCGTTTTGTTGCTCTGGAGTTTCTTCATCTCGTCAATCATGAAACTAGTCCTGACTGACATCCCCTTCGAGCTGACCGGCTTGACGCGATTTACAATATCCCCTAGTGCATGCGGATCATCACGTCTTAGAGATGGTCCGCATAGTTGGATAATTCTTAAAAGCAGTTCCGTATTGAGCTCTGAAAGATTCTCTAAGAAGAGACGAATATAATCAAATATGATGTTGCAACCGACAACCTGCATGTTGTAGAGCTCGGCAAGCAAGGCAATGAGGTGTTTTGAACCAGAGTCCGACTGGTCGCCAGATGCTTTCTCGTAATGCTGGCCAAAGTTTTCCATGAGTTGCTGTATGTAATAGGCGCTAAAGGCCATGCCCACGGCTTTGTGCATCGCTGCAACAAATCCAGCTGTCATCGTAAAAAATGCATCTGGCCGCTTTTCGGGTGAGGCTACTAGAGCCAACACAAGATCTACTATAGTGGAGGTAACAGTTTGTCTTGGATATGTATCATAGAGGGTCACGAATTCCTTGACTATACCAACCATGCTGTCATTAGTCAATCGATTTATCAAACCCTGGATACGCCTTTGGATCTGGGTCTCTGCTTCGTTGGGCGAACCCAACTGCTTACGGAGCGATGGGGGGATATATTTGGCAACACCTGTCGAAGGCGCAACATAAGGATTTTCTCGCCGTGGTCGTGCAGGCTGATGTTGTTCTCCGTCAGAGCAGCCCTCGAAGACATCATTATCGTCATCGTCACTTTCGAGCTCACCCCCCTCGTCGCTATCGAACTCTTCTGATTCGGAGCCACCCTTGTTTCTGTTACTGTCGCCAGTAATAGCCTTAGCCGCAGCCTGTGCTTTTCTCCTCTTTTGGGCCAACCATTCATCTCCCTCCGCTTTACGCTTTGTCTTCGAGCGGATTGCTGTGTCCTCCTCCTCGTCATCGTCTAGACCGTCCAGTAGACCGCCAAGACCATCCTCTTGAAATGACTTTGGCAGAGACTTTCTGCCCCTTAGCCCTAGTTTCCGTTCCAGATCTGCTATCTCTGCGTCATCCTGAGTAAGTTTGTTCCGGGTTGACTTAGAGGGCCGAGGTAGGCTTGGCTCATGGTCTTCGGCGCTCTTGCCATCATCTCCCTCAGAGCCAGAGTCAAAACCAAGGTCGGAACCTATGACAAGATCATCCTCATCCCCATCTTCATCGTCGAAGTCTCCAGCACCCATGTCACCATCCTCAGAGAATACATCAGACGGTGATGAATTTCGCTTGGATTGGTGTGGTGTAGAGACCGAGCGTAACTGGGGCCGGTGAGACTGTCTTTTTTCAACTCGTTGAGCCTTGCGTTGCTCTTTTCTGGATAGTTGCCTCTTGGGCTTCCATTTTCCATTAGCAGACGAAGTGGGTTGTTGTGTCTCCAACTCCTTCAAGAGCGATGAGGGAAGTGCCAACTTTCGTTTAGGTCCTGTCCCCATGGTTGTAATGTATGATGCTATTGGAAGTGAGAGTGAGTGTGAGACACCGTAAGCTTTACATGTTATGAAACTTTTTGCTGGTGACAGAATGATATCTATGTAGATATGTATTGTGTAGAGGGAGAAAGATTTGTGATATTTTCAATTTCATCCATGGATATTAAAATTTCCAAGAATACTATGTAACTCGGTACAATGGGTACATGCTTACATAGTGAAGATACTTTAAGGGACCCACTGCGGGAATGCATTAGCTCCATTTCGACCATGCATAATTTGAACTTCTATTAATTAGGTAGTTACTTCGTATGTATGTATGTACATTGTACATACATGTAACTACCTAGTAGTGCTGAACTTCAACTACATATGTAAATTACATCCCACCAATTTTCTTTTTTTTGAGTTGCACGTTCGTTCGTCTCGCGACTTCGTCTTTAAATGTTCTTCTTTGGTCGCTGAAATAAATCCGACGAGGATGGGCCAACTAACTAATGATGAAGTACGCACCCATAATTCTTTTTGGTGTCCTTTATATTCTGTGTATTCCTCAAATATTGACTCCCTTGTTAACCTTCATCCCGCAGTTCTTCGTCAAGCTCACAGAGCTCTTCGATCAAAGAAAAGGCAAAGACCGTGGCTCTATAACCCTGGTCCAGAAGAGATGTATGGTTTTGCAGTTCCCTAGTTCCCTAGTTCCCTGATCTCCTGATCTCCTGATTCCCTGGGGAACTATATCCGCGGAATCGGATAGGTCCTATCACTACCAACTACCACTGGCAAATATCGATATCTAACTTATCATACTATTATTAGTATCCTATGACCAGCCTCTCTCGGAGCCAACGAGCGACACCACATTTCCCGACCTAAACCCTCCGAGGCCAATGCCTGTGCTCATCAGGGCCACAAATTCCAAGGGAAAAAAGCGTCGTGAGGACAAGATTAAGCTGTCAACCGTAGTCGAACCCGAATCACTTTCTGTCTTTTTCGAAAAGTACGCCGAAGTGTGCAAGTCGGGCATGACCTCCTTAAAGCCGAGGGATCGCAGTAAGAGGAAGGGCAAGGCGAAGAAGAAGAAGGGGACTGCGACAGCCTCCGGTCCCTAGTCCCCGTCTCGAGCTTGTACGCGATGTTATTTGTCACCACACTCCTTCCCTCGTCAGGGAAAATCTCCTACCGACGTAGTATTCTACGTGTCGGTACGCATTTAGGAATGGGATACTATCTTTAAGGGCGGTGCCTAAACATCAACACCAGATCCCCTTACTCAGGCTGTATTGTCCAAGATGACATATGCAGATATACCGTCTAGGATGGACGTCGTTCTATGGGTCTATTGAGCTTAGGCGACTAAGCCGCCAGTCTGTTGTACGCATATGCATGGGACGTGAAGTAAAATTCTGTTCCAGCATTTGAATATTAAAAACCTCCAAATTCTACAGTCTTCATTTTCCCTTGTAAAAGCCCCTTACTTCAGAAAAATTATCTGATAGTCTCTCAAAGTGATAGGATAATAACCACACAAGCTACCTAGGCGGTATTTGTGGTCTCCTGATCAGTTGCGGTCAACAGATTTTCCTCATCAATGCCTACTCTCCTGTTGCTCCCTAACCTCCCTGCAGTCTTCACACTCGCTTTTGATAGGCTTTCTGTCATTGCCCACATACATACATAGGCTTTCCGGACACTTTTCGCCTGGGTCCTGGCTATCACAGCTGGAAAGCTTCTTGTACTTTATCCACACTCGCTTGCAGGCGACGCATTTTTGATGATGAATCTCACACATAAGTCTCGTCTAGAGCTGGGAATTTTCTTCGTAGAGTGTAAATAGTAGCTTTTCGATTTTGGCTTGAGGTGTTTATGATAGATTAGTCGCTTGCTAGGATTGTTGTGTTGCGTTTGTTTCGGGCTTCCCTTCGTATTTCGTCAGGTACGCCGTTGGATAAACATTCTTCACGATTCCTTGCACTTGTTTAGTAGTTGCTAGGGACAACTGCGAATAGTTATAGTTCTGCGCGAAAGAGTCATGATTTGATTCCATTCGAAAAGTTGAAACTTGTATCGCAACTTGAAGTAAGCATACATCGTTCAACAACCCGAGCGTGGAAACACCCACAAGTACGTAGGTAGGTACCCAGAAGAGAGAGCAGCGATGTACAACAGTACAAGTGATTCATGGCTTAATAGGATATGGTCAGCATCGAAATGGGTATCATATTCAGGAAATCTAGTAGGTCTTTGCAAAGAATAGGGGCGCTAAAACTTGAGCATATCGTCCGTCTTTGTTTCGGCAACGCAAACACATCGCCAATCTGCGACACCAGGGCTCTTTTGCCATTGACTCACAACACTTTTACACACTCATGAACCATGCCAGCCAGCTCTTGATGACCTGCACACTTCAAGCCAGCCTTTCTCTAGCGGCCTACGCATACCACTGTCACTCCGCATCCTACGCCTCGCTCACTTGATTTTCTTTCGCCTCCCTAAACCTTTCTCGGTATTAGACCAGCCACCACCCAATCTAGAAATTTAGAATGCTATGTGTTGGATACAATCTAATTTTGAGCGTCTCGAGCGTTCTCATTTCCTTACGGGACGTCATTAACCCGGTACTAACCATTCAATAACGCAAAAGGGGGCAAAGAGATAAAAGACCGTTTTTTTTTTTGTGTCCTACCAAACGTGGAGCATCAGACTGCTCTCACCCTCAACCCAGTTGGTCCACCACAAGAATGCACCCGATTTTAACCACTTTCCTCCCCGTTGTTTTCTGCCATGGAGCGGGTCGCCTATTGAAGTGGTCTTCATCTGCGGCAATTCGTGTTGAGAGCCTTGCCATGATTTGTTACCGCAGCCGGAAGGAGATACATTGGATATTTGGAGAACATAAGAAACGAGTGCCATATGAAATGAGAAAAAAAAATGAAAGGCGAATAGTACAGATATGTAAGAACGGACAGCGATTGCTCGTCCTTACCAACTCATCTTCCATTGGTAATTATTCAGTTTGGGGAGTAGTGTCCAGCTGATTTGATGAAGGTAGGCAACGCAACCTTGAGAGGTTTAACACGGAGACTGCGAGATAGGCCGGCCTGATATGAAGTGTTCTACATGATCTGATCTTGGGTCAAACCACCATGCGCATCGGTCTCCATACTGTCACCACCGCCCGGGGTAACGTATTTGACGTAGCTTAGACCGAGAGGTCGTCCGCCGTAATGATAGGCTTGAAACTTCGAAATGGCAGTCTCTGCGGTTTGGGCATCGTTAAAGCGAACAACGCCCGTCCCACGGGATCGCCCACTCGGCTCGTATTGAATTTCAGCTTGTTCGACTTTGCCAATCGTAGTGAATAGTTCAATCAGGTCCTCGTTGCTGGTTGACCAGGGAAGCTGAGAAGTCATTAGTGGTTAGCAAGCAGATCCCTAGGAATAGTTGTTAGAAGCACCACAATCTTACATTTCGAACATAGATGATCTCGCTTGGGTCAGTGCCAGCGGTAGCAAAATCAGTAAACGGGTTCGGAGCTGCTGGGGCAGAAGTCGTGGTATCAAATCCACCACCACCACCACCACCGCCACTAGGAGGCCCACCGTAGCCTCCCCGTCCTCCATAGCCGCCGCCGCCGCCACCACCACCAACGCCGCTAAAGCCTCCGCGACCGCCGAAACCTCCACGGCCTCCGTACGAGCCACCGAAGCCGCCGCGGCCTCCAAAGCCTCCACGGCCATAGCCTCCTCCTAACCCTTGATGGGCAAAGCGGTCCTCGCGTACCTCGAGTAAACGACCCTGCCATTCGAAACCGTTGAACTGTTGTATAGCATTGCGCGTGTCTTCGGGATGCTCGAACATGACAATCCCAGACCCTTTAGGTCTTCCATCTGGACCTAAATGAACATCGGCTCGTATAACTTGACCGTTTCGAGCTACAATGCCTATCGTTAGTGTCTAACGTCTGACCACGATGATTAGTAACTTCTGAATAGGAAGACTAACCTGCCTGGCGAAACAGGTCCTTGAGATCTTGCCAGCCCACGGTATATGGAAGCTATAAGTAACGTTAATAACCAAAGCTGGACACTTGAAGTTGCAAGAATGGGGAAAAGAAGCGGGAATGGACAAACGTTGGACACGTATATCTGGCGGTTGCCACCACCAGGCATACCACCACCACCGCCACCATAACCCCCGCCGCCGCCGCCGCCTGCACCTGCGCCAACGGCTCCTGCACCTCCACTATAGCCGCCTTGCATTCCGCCGCCACCGTAGCCTCCGCGGCCTCCGGTTGCGCCGATAAATCGTGGTTCCGCTTCGCGATCCTGAGCCTAATTTTAGCAGGTGTATAGTACTTGCCTGACGAGTGGATTCCTTACTTCACGGACGTAAACGAGTCGGCCCATCAGGTTCTGATTGCTGAGAGTCTGAACAGCTGTTTGTGCTTGCTCCCTTGTAGCATATTCCACAATTCTGAGATGGGTTAGTAATGGCACCGGATAAAGATATCTTATAAGACCAAAGACGATGTATGGTTTACTTACCCGCATCCCTACAAAAACCCGCGGACGATGTCCCAACCCGTCAATCCATCAATTCCAACAAAAAGCCAAAGAGAGGGAACCAAAGAGAAAACCAGCCATGAATCACGTGTAGAAGCCCACCTTAGACATCCCGTTCGGAAGTAATAAAACATCGGCAAAGAGAACTTCTCCAGCTGCAAGGCACATTGCTGTTAGCGTCCAACTTTTCCTTATGGTGGTGGTAGTCCGTGTAGTATCTCACCCTGGCGCATGAAATCTTTGAGGTGGTGCCATTTAACGTCATAGGACAGATTGCCCACATAGACACGGCGGTCCTGCTGCGACGTCTCGCGAATGTTATTCATCATTTGTTCCCGCGCAGCTGCACGCTCTTCGTAAGATCTTTGAGGGGGTCCTCCGTAGCCCGAGCCTGATCCTCCAACTGGTGCCCCAGCTCCGGTCATGGGAGATCGCGATCGTCTGTCCGATCTACGATAGTCGTCCCGGCTTCGAGACCGGCTACGCGGTGAATATGATCGACGGCGGCCTGTGCGTCCTGGGCTCCTCGAACGACCACGTCGGGGAGAGCGAGATCTCTCGCGCTGTAACTCGTCAGCATTTGGGTGGGGTATAAATGACATTAGAAACAGGATAGTAGCTCGCTATTAAGCTACCAATCTGCAGGAAAAGGGAAGAGAGGCAAAGAGAGTTGAAGTGTGGTAGTGATGTTCTAGAGGGGCTTTGGACTGGGGACTTTGATGTTGACATGGGCAAAACAAAGTCTTCCAAAACAAGAGAGAGCACAGGCTTTTAAAGCTTCAAAATGATTCGTTCTTTGGGGCGGCAGCAAACTTTATATGCTGGATCCAGCCAGATTTGACTCTTTGCCCCTCTCTAGCTCATAAGGCGAAAAGATGACGTGGGGAGAAGCTTGTGAAGTGTACACATGAATTACCCTCTTGTCATCTTGCTCTCTCCCTCTTGTCGTCCTGTCAACCTGTTATCTGTGCAGACCGACTCTCATTGTTTTTTAAGTTTTGCCGCCGCCTCCGTCCAGTACATTTCAAAGAAACTTAGGCTGTGTAGCTGACATAGGGGTGGAATGAGGTGAACGATGTAAACGAGAGGTGTTTTGAGATGCCGGCTGATGGCACCACGCCTCAACCTCGAAAAACCAACAAACTCGCTGTATGCAAATAACTTACCTTTACAGGGCGGTAGGTGTCTCCGGAATCAGCTATCGAAAGTGTCGCAGGTTAGAAGTGGAAATCCCAAAACAAGGTAAACGTTGGAGAGTGGGAAGAAAGAAAGGAAGAAAGGAATGGGCAGGCAGGCAAGCAAGCACACAGACAGGCAGGCAAGCAAGCAGCGAGTTATTAGCGAGAAGTCAATTCCAGACAGTCAACTGTGACAATTTGGCGGGCCGCAGTTGCATATGGGGGTGTTCGAGAGGCCAGACCGTTAGTGGATCGGGAAGGGGAAACGTCCAGGGACGGGGGGTGGGGGGGAAGCGCGGCGTATAAAAGGGCTCTGGAATGGGCTGCGATTTGTATAAAACGGCACAAAGGGCAGAGTGAACGAGGATAGAAGAACTGGTGGAGTGAATCGAGAAAGGGGGCATGGGAAGAGTGTGTGATTGGGTAGTGGTGGGGGTGGGAGAAGGTGGGAATATTGATGGAAGCGGGTAATGCTGTGGGTTGTTACAAAGCTTAGATGTGAAGAGAATGTAATAAGTAGTAGCACGTCGCAGAGGCATTTTGGTTTTATGCTCCAGGACATTGGTCGGGGGTGGGAATACCATAGACCAAAGCAGTCAGGGCAGGATCTGATTCGGCAACCGAGGTGTATGGGAGTGCAGGAGCAGGTTAGGTAGTTAGGTGGTATACAAAGATGTATACATATGTGTGTGTGTGTGTGTGTGTGTGTGCGTGCGTGTGTGTATGTGTAGGCAGGTAGACAGTCAGATAGGTATGGGTGTACAAAATAGGACATATATGTAGGCAGGAGGTGGTAGAGGTAGTAGCAGTAGTAGCATTAGTAGTAGTAGTAGTAATAGTAGTAGTAGTAGTAGTAGTAGTAGTAGTAGTAGTAGGATAATAGGGTCTACTATGAAAGTAGCAAGGAAAACCAGTACCAGTACAGCATACAAGCAACGTGGGTTAGGATGATAAAAAGAACATGTTTGTGTTGCTTCAAGATATCAAGGTGGTGTGGACTTACCCATGATCGAAATATGTTTAGAAACGACTTTGTTAAGCTTAGCCGCCTTGTCTGAGAAGTTTTTTTTTTTTCCTTCACTCCGCCGAGAAGTAATGTACCGACAACGAAAGCACTGGTAGGCCAGGAAGTAAACCTGTATTGGAGGGGTGAGTCTTCGAAGTGACAAGGAGTGTGTCGAATCTTTCGGGGATTGGGACAGCACGGGTTGGGACCCTCGCTAACTGAGAGGGAATAAAAAAGGGGGGAAGGGGGGAACTGAATGCAGTGCTAAGGTTCGAAAGAAGAATAAAACACAGAGGGGTACAAGTGTGCTTGTATCGGTGTGATTCAGCGCCTCTGCATTCGCATTGTATAAGAGACCGACTGGGCTGACAAAGGGCCTAGGCTGATCTCGTATACAAAATAGAGAGGTATGCAGGAAGGGGGAGGGAAAAGGATACAAGCAACAAGCAAGCGGCTGCCGATATCAGCACCAACAACAGCGGCAACACCAGTTGTAGGCAGTTGCAGGCAGTTGCAGGCAGTTGCAGCCCTTTCGAGACACGCAGCAGCAGCAGTACACGGGTAAAGGCGCGTAAAGCAGCAAGGCAAGGCTATGAAGGAAAGAAGGAACGCGCTGTGTCCCAAGGTTCTTTTTTTGCTTGGTGTATAGTAGGTATAGTGTATAGGGCTTAGGCAGGTATTGTGAAGGGTATGTATGGTATGTACGGTATAAGGTAGGTGTAGGTAAGGCGAGGTCCGTTTGCTGGCTGATGTTTGTGCGATGTGTACAAAAAATGAGGTTAGGTAGGTGCAATGGTGCATGTGGGAATAAAAAAAAACATTAAAAAAAAACAAAAACAAAAAAAGAGATCACAACTAGGATGGTGGGAAGGCATGCATATGCGACCTGATGGCCGGCGGCTCTCATACGTACGTACCTGATCTTGAACCTGATATGGTATTGCTGCTGCAGGAGAGGGTACCGGACTACCAATCCCAATAGTATTGACGAGAATAGGAAATGGGAAAAAATAAATCTGGGGAGATGCGGTCGGCGAATGCTGGTTGTGGACAGATGGGAAAATGGGCTGAAAGCGACGCGATTGGAAAAAAAAGCGGCCCCCCTAGATGGAAGAGATGATTATGTACCGCGTTCCGAGTCAGCTGAATTTGACTCTGTGGTTGGTTGGCTTTGGGGGCTAAAGCATTCGGAGACGTGAAAAATATGCCCCGTAATCGTGATTTATTACCGCTAATGCAACAATGTTAGCACTGTCCATATCCCTGTCATGGTCACAGTAAAGTGTAACTTGAAAGTATTGCGATATAACGTTAGTGCGTAGAATGTACTGTACTGTACTGTATTATATTATATACTGTAACTTACTTAACTATTAACTACATATGTAGTACATAATATTAGCAGCTTACCTAGGTAGTGTAGCTGTAGCAGGCTAGCAGCCTATGTCATGTAGTGCATACATAGTTAGCACCTACCTATTTAGTTAGTATCCTATTAATAAAGTTATTAATTGATTCTTTCCACATTCTTTCAACATTGAAGTTACTTTCAATGTTATAAACTCTATTAAACTGAGAACTCATGCTTTAGCATAGTACTAGTGACATATGTAGTTTCAATGTTTCAATGTTACATACATGTACGTGCATGTATTTATTCATTGATTTGTTTATTCCCATCCATCAATTTTCAACATTAAGCGTTATACATACCTACTTAACCTAGACATTACTATGTATGTTTGTATGTATTATATATTATACGTCAGTTTCTTCACAACTTCCATTACGCCTCCAAGGCAGGTATCCAGCCAGAGCTTACGTGGCTACCTTGATATGTAGGATATTCTACACCGGTCAAACTCCTATCCATATACCTACCCATTTACCAGCTTATCCAATACATATTCCGTCGTTCAAGTGCATTGGCACGGCACTTTCAGAATCATAATTGACTGGCTACAATACGCCAAGGCTGTAACCCGATGTGCTTCGAAGACTGCAAAGCGACACTGATATTAGGGTTACGGGTAAGCACATTCCATACATTTCAACACAACATTGAATATGCCTCTAGGTACATATTCACCATGTATCTGTATATAAAGGTCGATGATGAGGCATTTAGGATAGGTACTTGAGCTTTTTCCCATTGCTTCTTCGGGGGGATATAGGATGTTTCAATGGCCAGAGGTGAATACTAGGTAATGTCACTTACATATGTATATACAAATATATGCAGTACCTATATTTAAGTACTGAGTATGTATTCAGTAGTTATTGAGTATCAATGATACTCCTAACCTAGTACCTAGGTAATTAAGCTACAACACATACTACATACCTAGTAGTTGCCGGCCCCTAAATCACTTCTGTAATCTCATAGGTAGCCTTACCAATAAGCATATGCTTGCCTTATTCGGGACGTGCATAAGGCAACTTTCTAACCTTTAGGGCTACCGGCCAGGTCCAGCCTACATTCTACTAACATTGAACCATAGGAAGGTACCTACATAATAGGTAAGTAGATTACTAGTAACTAGATAGGCGTAGATGTAACTGGCTACCCTAGGTCTGTAGTGAGCAAGGATGAATGAAAATAGTTCCCGCTCCAAATCTTTCAAGGAGCACAACCTTGGCATTATATCGGTATTCCTTCCATAAACTAACTATGTACGAATATATACCTACACGTAGTACTAGGAACATGATCAGGCACATCAAATATACTACTTAGTTAGTACCTAGTAGTATTGTGTACGTATAACTATCCCCTGAAAATATACCTAACTACATCAATGTGTAATATATCATGTATCTGATATTATCAAGTACTTCGTACATGAAACTATGTAACTACCTAGTAGTACGTACAACAATGAAGTATACATGAATACATGACTCGGATTATGTACATGATATGTATAATACATGCATAGTACCCTAGGTAGGTATACCGCTGACTGCTAACTATAGGGGCAGTACTGCCAGACTGCCAGTAACTACATGCACATATTGTAGTTACCTACATAGTACTAAGTTGGAATGGGGGGTCCCAGGCCCTCCTGGTCTTCTGGCCCCCTGTCTATTAATGGATCTAGTCTAGCCGCTTTTAAGATAGCGCGGTACATTAGAAAGAAAGAGATAAATTTCTACAATTTAATTAGTTAAAAAAGCTCCAACTGCCATTCTAAGCATAGCTCCTCAAATCCAGCCAATTGAACCATCCCACTATTCCCCTTTGGGTTTAGCTTTTTTGATTTCGGTCCTAATACAAATAATATGCTTAATTCGGACAAACGTCTCATTTGGATCCGGATAAATCTTGGCTTGCTTAAAAGGCTTTAAGCCTTTCCACTAGCCGTTTTAAGCTAGTACATTTAGCTTTAAATAGCCAATCGGATCAAGAGTTGATCCACTGCTTTACCTGCTTTTTCGAAAAGCAGCCTTTTGATTGGATCGTTAGCTTCAATCGGAAAAACCGTTTGAGCCGCTTCAAATATGTCACGTGACTTACGAGGGGTTTGCGTCCAATCAAAAGGCTCGATTTGGATCAGCTGAAGCAGTTGTTGATTTGTCCTTGTATGGTGTTTCGTGTATACATATAACTAATGTTGCAAGATATTGTAACAAAAATCAAATAATATGATTGATCAGCTGATGAGGTGATGAGATTTGATTGGCTGAATAAAAAAATAAAAAATAAAAAATGTAATAGTGGAAGTACATAAACACATAAATTAAAAAGCGGAACCTTTGTTGAACCGCGCACTTTTATTGGCTTTTAAAAGACGCTACTTTACAGGGGGCCGAAGGACTTGGAGGGCCTGGGACCCCCCATTCCAACTTACATAACTACCTAACCTAGTAGGTATATGTAGCAACTTACCCCAGTCAAAAGTGGCCCAAGCTTCACAACTTTTGAAGTTTTTAACCATGACTAACAACAACCGAGATTTAAACCCATTAATGATACACATATATTATCTAGCACCCCTTGGTTTTCTCTCACATTAACTTTTCACTTTTCACTTTCCACGTTTAGCTCTCACAATATATATGTTCTATGCAGTCCTACGACTTAATTCTTCACGCGTCTATCAAGCGGTGCAAATCACATAATAATCGATGCAAGCAAGTCTTCCTTATGGCGGCTGGTGCCGTAGCCATCGTATTAGAGACATTGGCCCGCCATGCCAGCCATGCCAGCCATGGATGTCTCATAATCCAAACTTCCCCCCCCCCCCCATTTTCCTCATCTGTACGTACCAGTGTCAAGGATCGTTGTCACAGTCGTATCCGAGCCCAGGGTACGCTGTCATATGCAGGCACGTAACCACGCGTACGCAGGATGTGTAGCCTGCGTCTGCTTCTGCTTCTGCTTCTGCGCTTCTTCTCATCCTTCGGGACTTGTATATCAACCTACGAAGACACAGTGGCACACATATAAGAAAGTATAAGTATACATAATAAGTCCGTATGTTTTACATACTGTATGAAGAGTTTCCCAGCATTCCCATGCATATTTATTTGCCTGTCCACCCACTTGGCTTGAAAGTTGATGGTGTGTTTCGATTCGAGACGCAAAGAATCTACCATCATTTGTTGCCCTAAAGGCCAAGAGCCTAGTTCGATTTTTCTCTCTCTCTTTTTTCTGACCTGTCACTTTTGTGAGGAACATGGCTGCCATGGTTGGTCCCTAAATGGCCGGCTGCAGCGAAGAACCAAGGGCCTTGTGGCCCTCGACTCCGAGTCCACGCATAATATCCTACTACGTACATGTATGTATGTATGTGTATGTAGGTAGGTAGGTACTTATTACTATTATTATGGAGAGTTCTTAGCAATCAATTGCTAAATCACCAAGTTTTACTTACGAAGGTCCTTGGTGACTTGGTCGTCATGTGCTGGGAACATGAAGCAGAGAATACTTGCATATCTACTAGGTACCTAGGGAAGCGTTCCCCCTTGCAGGCAAGGCGATGCGATAGCGAGTTGGTGGTGTAGGTCTTCTTTCATACATACCTAGGTACATCCCTTTCATACCCCTTTCCTACCTCTTATGTGCTCCACGCCGTGCCGCAGTAGCGAATCCCTTTGACCGGCAGGAACTTGCTTAGCGGGCAGAATACCTACGCCCATTTATTGGAGGTCGCACCAATATAGGTACATATGGGATTCGGCGTCTTCCCCTACTATGTACATGCCCGAGAAATGGTTCCTATCACGTAGCCTTTCAGAGCGCATTAAGGGGGCCATAGTTGGAAAGAAATATCATATCAATGGGGCCCCCTAGACGATGCTTTGCAGAATCGATCGAGGAAAGCGTCCGAGCCAGACCTTACCAAGCTCACCGCCATGGGGGAAAGGTAATCGTTTGAAAGCGAGGTATGCTTAGATACCTAGGTAATCCTGGCGGAAACATGAAAAGGCTCCCTTGCTCTTCCGCTGCCAATATTGGCACTCGAAACACTCGAGGTATACATAGTACACTCGAGGCACTGTCGTTTAACGACACAAGGCTGTCACCATCGCTGCCCGCTAAATCAAATCAGGGAACTTTAAGGTAGCATCATCGTTACCGAATCCACGACTTATTTGCTAGTTCGTAAGGATAATTTTTCTATTCCCACGCCCAGGTGAAAGCCTGTATAGCGATTGGCGACTGGTCCATTCACTATGTGACGCTTCTCCAGGACTCGGAGCCAATACTCGTTCTCAGCCGCGATGAGGTGGTGACACAGCAGATGTGGTGCTACTAAACCAATCCTTTACTAGCCATGACTTCGTAGTATCACATCCAAGGTTCACCTGTTGAGAGGAAAGAACACGGTCCCGCACCTCTTCCCTCATACGACAGGTTCGGAAGCCCGAACTATCGGGATCGCTCCCAATCATATCCTAAATGTACCATCGTTAAACCGGGCTAAGTACTCAAGAGTCTCAAATATGGGATGAGCTACCAAGGAGACTTCTGCAGTATATTCTACAGTATATCACACTCATCATCGTTATCTTTGTTACGGAGCTAGACACGGGATACCTACTTTCCGGACCTTTACTCATCCATGCAGCTAAGCATATAAGCCTGGCAGGTACATCTTTAGATATTTTATGTTAGATATTTGCTATATGGTGGGAGCCTAAACTCTAGGACGGCTGTTATCCCGCCCCAACCCATTGCCTACTTCGCAATAAGGCAACGATATGCGTATGCAACTCGTTGGCTCATCCAATGGAGAACCACGGTGCTCATCTCACCAGCGAAAGTACCTATTCATGGGTAGTGCCGGGGTGTTGATATGAGTGAAAATATCTAACAAGTCGGCGGGGCTACATCCACTGCTTCAATACCTACATTAATACATAACTGTATAACGAAGCAGACTGAAGCTACCTAACCTTAGGTTAGTACCTAGTCCCACCGACTTGTTCGGGTACTTGAGGAACAAAAGTTCTCTTATCACGTTTTTCGCCACTCCACACGGCACAAACATAGAACCCAATGAGAAAACTGACCGCCCCTACCGGATGCTAGTAGGGCTGCTGGCGCAACCTCCCGTGGAGATAAGTCACATCACTGCCCTGGTATCTACCTACACTGTAGGTATGATGCCTACATGCCTACAACAACGTGTCTATAAAGAGGACAAAGGGAAGCCACAGAGAAGAAGAAAAGGCTTGAGAGCGAAGGGAGAACTTGATATGTACATGAAATGAGCCGCATTTCTTCAAATAGTTACTGTTCTCTCTTCCTTTCAATGTTCTTTGGACAACAATCTATTATATACTTCCCGCGTACGACCATGTCGAGACTTCGGGTGTGCTTTGCTTTCTAATAGAGTATGAGTTCCAGGCCTGCTTAAGTAGGTACATACTTACTTACGAGATACTTAAAATCCCTATGTAGGGGGTTCAGACTGTTTAGTAACTGAGATATGACTAACAGAAAGAGTCGAAGTGTGTACTTATATGCCCCCGTCTGTCCTTGAAAGCTGTTATGTAATACATCCATGATGTGTATCACATACATGTAGTAATAGTAGTATCATTCAATGTTAATGTATGCGCATGTACATAATAGGATGTATCAATGATGTATTTAAAGGTGTATGTACCAAAGGCACTTGACAAGATTGAACATTGAACATTGAAGTTAAGGTTCTATGTAGTATGTACATAACTATGTACTTGGTCTTCAAAGTTCAAAGTTCAAAGTTCAAAGTTCAAAGTTGTATCTTGAGGCGGGCCGGAAGATCTCCGGTCCAAGCTTCGGCCGAATCCAATTGACAGCTGCGGCCGATCGAACGGCCAAAACTTTAAAGATCGTCCATCTCTAAAAATGTACGTATCTAATAACTATGTATTATATGTATTAATTAGCTTTTGTAGCTTTGGCATCACATTTTATTTACTACCACCAGACATACATACATTAATCCATTCAAACCTCAAATCCAAATAAACATGGCCCCGTCTCGGGCTGTAGCCAGACTAGCGACCGTCCCGCGGCGTGTTGCTCAACACCAACAACGATTCATTCACGGGCCTGTCTTGCGCCGATCTTATTACTCCCACGACCACCCCCAGCCGCAAAGCATATACAACCCTGCCGAGGAAGCCATTCTATCCGCCGCCTACTGTCATGTCCCCGAACACGGCTTCACCCAACGCGCCCTATCTCTCGGCGCCCGCGACGCCGGCTATCTCGACATCAGCACCAATCTACTTCCCGAGGGTCCCTTCAGTCTGATCCGGTACCACCTCGTCACCCAGCGGAACGCCTTGGCCCCGCGTAGTAAGGAGATATTTAATGCCAATGCCACGGGCGAAGAAGGGGCGGCTCCTACGTCGGTGCAAATTCCGGACAAGGTCGAGCGATTGACGTGGGAGAGGTTATTAGCGAACCAGGACGTCAACCACCGCTGGCAAGAGGTGAGTCTCGGAACCCATACATCAATAGCCACTCCCCGCTCCTTGGCTTCAATGGCCAATGCGTAACCACTCTATACCCTGCTCCGCTCCTCTCCGTTTTATAAGACCCCTACATCAAATCTCTCCATCCAGTCTGTCAGCCAGCTAACCCAGACACCCCCAACCCACAGGCTCTAGCCGTAATGGCGCAACCCACGCACGTCCCCGCGTCTCTACGCGAGCTAGCACTACTGGCAGACGAGATATACTATCTAGCCGGTGATCCTTCGGTCGACCCATCCTGGTATACGAAGCGCGGGTCTCTGTCCATGATCTACGCCTCGTCCGAGCTCTTCATGACCAACGACCGGTCTCCCGGCTACGACGAGACCCGCGCTTTCCTGCAGCGCCGCCTCGACGAGACGAACAAGATGGGGAAGACCCTGGGCAGCGTTGCCCAGTGGGTAGGCTTTACCGCCTCCGCTGGCGTGAATGTGCTTCGGAGTAAAGGGGTTAGGATATAGAGCATACCCGTTTACGTAACAGAGCCGGTGAGATAAAAAAAAATCAAACTACCTCGTATGAAAACACACACACACACACACACACACACACACACATGTACTATATGTACATAGAGAAATTCCCATGCGCACGCATTAAAGACGGGGTTCACAATCACCTCAGAACTGGTTGGTCTGCAGCAGCATTCGAGGTAAATTTCGAAGCAACTAGCTTTACACAGCGAGCTCGCCACTATTTGTACACTATCTCATAATACAGCAATGAAGCCATCATTACCATCTATTGTCGAATCCTTAGCCCACCGAGCCAATCCTATAACCACCCTATCACCCTTTCCTTCCCTCGGCACATACAAACATGCCCGTGTGGGATCCCTTGATGTTACCGAACACAGCCTCCGAACGCCCCGGACCGGATCAATGGACACCAGAAACAAATTCATGGCGGGAGGGTATCATTATAACTCAGAAAAGAGATTCAACTTGTGGCATTAATGGTCTGCCAGGCGTGTCTGTCGAGGGTCCGTGAGTCTAGTACACAGTTAGTCAGTCCTACTACGGCCAATATACGCTCGAGGAACCAAGATAAAATATAGTTACCTGATAATCTTGACATCTTTGTCGATTTTTGCTCGGCCTTCGATAGCATTAGGGGTAATGAGAATGAATTGCTTGCCAACAGATCGACGAGCCGTCGTTATCTACCCAGACAGGTTAATATAATATCATCGATGGTGTCGGGATAAATCAACTTACCAACATGTTCGTGCTAATGGCACGATTAACATTGTCCATAAACACGTCGAATTCGTCAAGGCACCGCAGGGGAGATCCCATAGCGTCCCAGATGGCGAGGAGAAGACATATAGAAGAGAATGATTTCTCCCCACCGGACAATGTCTTGGTATTTCGGCCCGAGCTACTCTTTCTCGTCTCATCGGGCTCGACTTGAACTTGTAGTCTCTTGGCCTTGTGATCAAGGAAAAGCTCACCCCTGAAGCCACGCTCGCTGAGCAGATAGTTGAAATTGCATCGAGCATGCGCAGATATGAGCCGCTGGAAAGTTCTCCACTTGCGCAGCCGATCCATCAACGCTTTCTTCAATTCATCAACAAGCGAAGTTAGATTCTTGTGGGTTTTCTTAGCCTCCCGATATTCTGAGATTGCTTGCGACGCGCGATTCTGGATTTCTTCATCCGATGCACCTAACTGGCCACGGATCTTCTTCAACTGATCCCTGATGGACTCGAATTTGCGCTCGATGCTCCGAACGGTTTCCCCTTCAGGTATGTAAGCTCGTTCAGGAGCGACAGCGCTTGCCTGTCGTATATAATCTGCCACAAGGTCTGCCTGTCTTTGCCTCGCTCTTTCTGCACCAGCCTTTTCCTCCTTTGCCAATCCCAGATTCTCGTAAGCTTGGTTCTTCTCAACTAAGGCTACCCGTCGGGTCTCGTCGTATCTCTTGGTCTTGTCTTCGGCCTTGACGATTCTTGTTTTATGCTCTCGCGCAGCCATTTTGGCTTGCTCGAGGACCTGCTTGAGGCCCTCTACCTCCTTGTTTATCTCTTGTTTCTGTATGGCTAGTTCGCCATACTGGTTTCCGTAGTGGTCCTTCTGAGCCTGAGCTTCTTGGAGATCCATTTTATACCCTTGCAATTTATTATCAACGCCTTCAAACTTGTCAAGTTCCTCTTCAATATGCGTGACTTGTGCTTGAGCGTTGCGCAAATTCTTCTCGAGCGTCATGCCTTCTTTCTTGTGCTGCTTGAGATTCTGGTTACAACGTTGGTCCGCTTGCTGCACCATTCTCCTCGCCATGTCCAACTCTCGAAACTCCGCCCGAAGTTGGTCGAGGGTGTCTTTAAAGTAATTAACTTGTGACTCCACGTCTTCCGTCTTCATGCGGGACTTTTGGTCATAGCTGGGGGCGATTGGGGTGGTGCCCAAACTCTGACCGCGATTTGTGATTCGTACAGCGTGGCCTCGTTTCTTTTCCTGGAATGACAAGCAGGCGGTGACATTCTGCGGTGGTTGTCCGTCTAACATGACGCGCTCACCCTCTGAGCGGTTCTCGATTAGAATAGTCTGTTCGATGTTGTGATTGATAACCAACTGATCTCTCACGCGTGGATCACTAATCTTCAGCGCTCTTAGGATCGTGTCGAAGCTTTCGTCTGGCTCCTTCAAATTCCGAAGCGAAGTCCCCGAACTTATGAGGATGGGGCTATTTCGGATTCCCAATCGTTCCATGTGAGAGAATAGCCGTGTTTGATCACGCTTACTCGCGACTATAAATCCGTTTAGGTTACCTCCGAACACCTTCTCAAGGATGGCTGACCACTGAGGTTTCGTTAGCTGGATGAAGGTGCCGATAGGGCCGATGGGCTTTTGCGAGAAGCTACTGTCGCTATCAATAATTCGCAGAAGCTGGGGCATTTGTCTATCGAACGCAGCGAGCGGATCGCCACGGTTTTGAGACAAAGTTTGCAGTCGTGATTCTGCATCCGACACTTCTTTCTTCTTCTGTGCGACGAGCTCGTCGGATTCTGCCACCTTCTTTTGAGCTTCATTCAGTTCTTCGAGGAGACTAGGAGTAGTGTTGCTGTGAGCCTTTAAGGCCTCCCGGATATCTTCTACGACTTTTTTGGCACTGTCTAGCTCTGACTGTTTCTCAGCAAGAGCTCCGCCATTCACGTCTTCCAGGCGTTGCTCTTCTTCGCGTATTTTTCTCTCGATATCCTTGACCCGTTTGGAGGCATTCGTAAGTTGTTGATGAATGTCTCTCTCTTGGGTATGTATCTCCACCACTTGACCTTTGGCCTGGTTGTAATTGAACTTGGCTTCATCTTCTTGCTCTTTGAATTGGCTTTCCTCTTGGCGGAGGTTGCCCAATACTTCCCCCGCTTCACGGATCTTATCGTCGATTGTGGCAAGAATCTGGGTCTTCTCTTCAATCGTCCCTTCCGTCCGGATGATCTGTTCTTGGGCTGCCATTATGGCGTCTTCTTTCCGCTGCAGATCATTCTCCTCTTCCATGACCTGGGCCCATGCCAACTGGTTTGAGTACAACTTGGACTGTCTGCGCATCTCTGCGCTCTTGGTGATTGCGTCTCTTAGCTTGACCGCTTTCTCACTCTTTTCTTTTAGCAGTCCAATATCTTCCTCGTAAGCGATCAATCTCGTCTCGTTAGCCTCGAGGGTTTCCTGGAGGAGCTGATAATCTTGATCAAGCTGTTCCAGTTGGGTTCCTTGAACAAAGTATTTGTACTTGGCAGCCGGGGTAGCAGCATTGAGGAACTGGCGCGCATTGTCCTGAGAGAGTACGTTAAGGGGGTTGTCGACCTGGAGGCAGTAGTACTCGACAACGTCGTCCACATCAGCCTTTTTCGTAGAGATGGTTCTGCCCTGCTCATCTTTCAGTTTGAACCCACTGGAGCCAGATTTGCTGAAATGTCGTTCGACAATGATGGACTGTCCAAATAGATCTGGCTTGTAAGCATCAGGACCCTGATTCTTGATCTTGACCTCTAGGGAGGCATGCTCTTGGCCTTCCTTGACAAAGCTTCGTAAACTGCCACCACGATTCGTCGCGCTAGCTTTGCCGCCTAAGCATAGGGTGATGGCGGTGAGAACGGCACTCTTGCCACTTCCATTTTCTCCTACGATGAAGTTGAGTAGGGGGCCGAGCTCCACACTCAATCGCGTATGGCACATAAACTGGCAGCAGACAATTTTCTCGATAATAGCGTTGAGGGCTACCTGGTTCTCGCCGAGGGTATGCGGGCGGCTTTTCAAAAGCTGTGTTGCTCGTTGGTCGTCTAGATCGGTATTCTCTAGATGTTTAAATCCATCATCGCGCATCATCTCGTACTGCGTCGCAGCCGGTGGGGTAGGAGTCTCTTCCCGGTCTTGCATCACGTCATCTTCGTCGCCAGAAACAGGAGTGTCTTCTCGGCGGGATGCCCGCGCTGATTTACTGCTGGGGCCTGCGTTTGACATGCGTACTTTCTTGCGCTGCTACGCATACATGATTAAAAGCTAGCACATGGGGCCACTATAGGAATTGCTACTTACAGTGTCGCCTTTAAGGCTGGAGCTAGCTTGAACAATGGTAACGCCATTGCCATTGCCATTGCCCTCGTCGTCGTCGTCGTCGTCGAATGCAGCGCGACGAGAGCGCTTATTAGTGGCGGAGGGCATGGCCACTTCGCCAATTGGTCGTGTTTGTTTCCAGATAGAATTCAATTTTAATTCAATTGAATTTTATAACGAGTAAGTGGCAAGTGGGTAAGTAATGGATGATATTTAGTGTTGAGCCTTTCTTTTTCTTTTTTTTTGGTCTTCCCTTTTCTCCCTTGATCTTTGAAAGAGGGGATGGATTGGGACTGAGACAAACGATACAAATTGTAGAATTTGGATTGTTGGTATGAGACCCAAATAGGTGGTACTAAGTATGTAGTAGCGGGCGGTTAGGAGTAGACCGTTTGTCAGATAAGGGTAAGGGTCAATGGTCTGAAGGAATTAAGGTAGGATGATATTACAATTTGGGCGGCTGACGCGACTTGAGACGCGACCAGTATCTAAGGCTAGAACGTGTTACTGTACTGTACCCTATCAGGCTATCAGGCTATCTACTATAACTACCTTATAAGTGCATATATGAGATAATTGAGGCAGTTTAGTATGTGTTAAGTTAGACTGCCCCGCATTTACCCCATGCGCAGATCTTATCTATTTAAACAGTAGTAATTGTCTACCACTAGTAGGTAGTAATACATACAATGTCATACATAACTATACCTAGTAGGTAGTTAGTAGTTAACTAGTTAGTACCAAACATCTAATATTCAAGAATTCATGAAATTTCAAATTAAAAGGAAATAAAAAAGAAAAACATACCTAGAGGTCACATTCATGGATGTCGAAGAGGCAGTCCACTTCCCCGAGCATGGCTTCGGAGAATTTCCCAGGAAACTCCCAGAGAACTGTGTGGAGTATCTATTGTTCATTCTTGACAATAAACTCGAACCCCGAAATGTTCTCCCTGAATTAGAAGCTGTTCGAAAGGCGGCTATAAACCTATGCGATACTGTTGCTAAAGGATATATATGGCAACGGGACTCCTTCCAGCTCCGTATCGAAAGAGATCAACACCTAGTTTATCTACGAGGAGTCACCGACTATGGAGATTCAATCGAAGACGAATGGCTCATAGTCTACATACTGAGGGAGTTGACTAGGTCCTTCCCGAGCCTCTGGCTGAGAATTTTTGACGGCGATGGCGAATTTCTGCTCATTGAGGCCGCCAATGTCTTGCCAAAATGGTTAAGCCCAGAAATAGACAATAACCGAGCATGGATACATGATGGGATGCTTTACATAGTTCCTCTTGCCGCCAGCTCGGGTAAAAAGATTGCATTATCCCTGGCAGAGGCTGTCAGATACATCCAGTCAAACCCAGATGATCTTGTACATTCTACCTTCGTTGAAGCCGAAGCCCTTTACAGGCTAGAGAAATACCCCGGACAGATCACAGATTCGATTCACAATTCATTGGCCACCATACCTAGGAAACTGGCGTACATCCTACACGAGAGGCCCTCCACCATTGCCCCTGCCGTTGAAGCGTTCTACCTGCGAAACCCAACCGCAATGAAGCCACTTGCTTCATTATCTGGAAACCCGCACTTCCCCCCTCAGGATCTGGTGACCATCAGCGTGAAGTTCACCAAGGTACTATTCGCTCAGCTCAAATCCCAACGCTTTGCATATCCTCCAATATGGAGCAGCATTTTCGAGGCCGCCGAAAAACACAGTTCTACTACCGAAAGCACACAAAAAGCATTGGCACATCTAGAAATCGGCATGAAGATAACGAGCGGGTTTGAAATGCTTGCTACCAATGCAGATAAAAGGGATAACCGGCTGGCACGTGAATTTTCCATGCTTCTGGAGGATATGGAAGAAGATGGCGCTGATGTACTTCCAACGAACGAGGATATGGAAGCTTGGGAAGACGTGCACAGGGAAGATGATGAATCCTGGCTAGACATCAATTTCAACGACTTTGAGAATGAGTTGCAAGGAAATCGTGGGTCTAGGGAGGGGGCTAGTAATGGGTTTGGTGATGCTGCAGCACAGGCGGATCTTCAGAAAATTGTCTCTCGCTTTGAGGCCTTTCTAAACGACGAAAAAGCTGGTGTAGAAGGCGCTGATATGGAAGATATGGATCAGGACGACGATCTCGAGGATGAGGATGAGGATGAAGATGAAGAGAGTGAGGACGAGGACAAAGAGGTCAGTTTCGATGAAGAACAATTTTCCAAATTGATGAAAGAGATGATGGGGTTGCCATCTATACAGAGTGATGAATACGAAGGTGGACCTGGATTTTCAAGCAAGACTACCACAGGCGGTATTGTTCAAGGGGAGAAGGAGAGAGAAGAGGACGAAGATGAGGATATCAAGCAATTGGCTGCTCAAATGGAGGCTGAACTAAAGGGACATGGTGCACTTAAACTTGACCCCAGGCCCCAAGCACCAAAAGGTGTTATAGCAGGAGACGATGGCAGTTATAAGGGCAAAGAAAAGGCTATTCTAGAATACGAGGCCAAAGAAGGAGAAGAAGAAGAAGGAGAAGAAGAAGAAAGTAGCGATGAGGAAGTTGATGTCGACTATAACCTTGCCAAGAATTTACTAGAAAGTTTCAAGAGCCAGGCTGGAATGGCTGGGCCTGCAGGTAACATTCTCGGGATGATGGGATTACAACTCCCTCGAGACGAAGACGAGGATGAGGAGGAAGATGGTTAAGAATATCTACCTACTCTAGGTAGGGTAGGTATGCATATGAGTACTGTGTTGAATATACCTCACTGTATTGCATATTCCTTGCTAGGTATGTAACTAACTAGGTTAGCAGTTTTGCATTTGATTAATAAGGTAGTTATTGACTTACCTAATAAATGTATAAGTACTAACTATTTCTTTTAACTTTGGAACCCCACTGTATACAGCATGGAGCGACGTCACTGGATCCTTTTCAACATGTTAATTATTTGGTGTGCAAAGACGTGCACGACTTTCAAGAATTGACATCTGGAGATCCAACCTTACCTACTAAACTTCGGTGTCTAATTCGATACCATCAATAAACACTAAGCCCAGCCCTACTTCATATGAATCTATGGTTTCACCCTTGCAATGCGACAATATAGGGTACCTCAAACCAACTCCATCATACCCCCTGTGAACGCGACATCACGACATCGTTAAAGACCCAGATGCCCTCCAACGAATAAACAACACTCCCCCAGAGCTGAGCTGCAACACAAGCAATGTGGCCCACCAGCAGCGTCTCCAGCCTCCAAAAGACGTATGACGAGACTTATCTGAAATGCTCAACCGCCGTCTACTACGAGAGCCAGGTATGGCTATCTATCCCATCAGAAGATCCCATCAGAAAGAAACATGTGCCCAAATTATCGTCTACGAATAACCCAATTAGACTAACACCTGTTATTGTTATACATTTAGGGAGACGAAAAAGAGGCAATGGTATGTTGGAGGAACGCCCTCGACCAGATACGGCAAACTCCAGCGATCAAAAAACAGAATAATCACTCCAATAAATCCGAAACAGAACGTGCCTTGTATGAAAGCCTTAGGGAGTTGGAAGTACAATGTAAAGAAAGGATCGATCTTCTCGAAGCCCTTAGGATATCGCGAGAGGACGACCCATCATTACAGCTCACACAATCTATCAATGCCACTGAAACTAATGCGAGTAGTCGGTCAAACACAAATACACCAGAGAGGGGCTGGATTGGTGATGGGACGATACCTGCTATAACATATACGGAATTATCTAAACCACCACTTCCCAAGCGGCCTTCTTTCCCTTCTAGAGCCTCGTCAGAACAGGCGGTGGTGGGGCTCCGCAACGCAATGATGGATCAAGACCTATCACCTTCGGGGGCGAGGCCACCTGCACTACCTCCATACGGTACATCTACTCCTAGAAAGAGGTCCTCTAGATCACCTAGTCCAGAGAAGCATACGATGAGAACGACTCTGCGGTCCAGCAGACAAGAAAAGCCACACAAATCAAAATCCACACCATCCAAGCTAAGCAGGGGTCCCGGTGCTAGCAAAGCAGCTACTTTGGCGTGGAGTAACCTGGAACGGGGTTCATCGACAGATGCGATGAGTTCGTCATCAAAAGTGCCTGATCCACGACGACCTCAGGAGCAGATGCGGAAGAGTTCCTCGAGGCATTGGGACAGCCACACAAGAAGATTAGTGACCTCTCCTGAAGCTTCTGGGACTGCACCCATTGGCACCCGCCCGAGTCCTGAACCATCAGCACGAAACTCGGGCGATTACTCATCTACTACTACTCCATCCTCTCTTGCCCTAGGTGCCGCCTCAAGCGCCCTAGGAGCGTTAGTTATCCAAGAACGACAAGAATCCAGCCCTTCGACAACTCGAGCAGAACGGAGATCTCCGTCTAGAAAAACAACCGGGTTGAGTTTAGAGGACACAAAGTTTGCCACTCCTCGAATACCGGTATCATCAGATGCCTCCCTGAGAGCAGGTTCCAGTTCGAAACAGAGTCCCGTAAGGAGAAAGCCTTTAGATCACGGTAGAGCGTTTGAACCCAACAGCGCTAGAAAGCGCGTAGGTCGGGAGATGTCTGATTACGACGGAAAAGAAGATGCGTCTTCTAGTGACGGAGAAATCAGGACGAACTCTTTCATCCGGAAAGTTAAAGGCAAGCAGAAAGAGTCTCCTGTGTCTTCTAGCGTCGATGGCCGCTCCTCGGCCGACTCTACTGCTGACGAAGAAAGGAAGGCAAAGGACGGATGGGAAAAGAGGAAAAAAGCGATGATGAAAAATCTACCAGCTGGGGTAGATGAGGCGGCCGCAAAAGCAATCTTTAATGAAATTGTAGTGCATGGTGACGAGGTCCACTGGAGTGATGTCGCCGGCTTAGAGATCGCAAAGAATGCACTGAGAGAAGCCGTAGTGTACCCATTCCTCCGTCCGGATTTATTTATGGGCCTCCGTGAACCAGCTAGAGGCATGCTACTCTTCGGGCCTCCTGGGACGGGGAAGACGATGCTTGCCCGTGCCGTGGCGACAGAGTCCAATTCCACCTTTTTCTCCATCTCGGCGAGTAGCCTGACGAGCAAGTACCTCGGCGAATCTGAAAAACTGGTGCGTGCATTATTCGCATTAGCGAAAATGATGGCACCAAGTATTATATTCGTTGATGAGATAGACTCCCTTCTATCCCAGCGCACGGGATCTGGGGAGCATGAGGCCACGAGGAGGATCAAGACCGAGTTTCTCATTCAATGGAGCGACTTACAACGAGCTGCTGCGGGTCGCGAAGGCACAGGCGGAACGAATAAGGAGCGAGGTGATCCAAATAGGGTACTAGTATTGGCAGCTACCAACTTGCCATGGGCGATTGACGAAGCAGCAAGGCGAAGATTCGTGAGGCGCCAATATATTCCGCTACCAGAAGCAGAAACCAGAACCACTCAGTTGAAGACATTGCTCGGCCAACAGAAGCATAGCCTCACAGACACCGATATTGCAGAATTGGTGGACTTAACAGACGGTAAATTTCACCTTGAACGGATTCTTACGTGATTTCGGCCCAGTACTAATCGATGAATCTCTACATAGGCTTCTCCGGCTCAGACATCACCGCATTAGCTAAAGACGCAGCAATGGGACCTCTTCGCGCCCTAGGCGAGGCTCTCCTCCACATGACAATGGATCAGATTCGACCTATAGAACTCGCAGACTTCAAGGCGAGCCTTCGTATGATCCGCCCTAGTGTTAGTAGGGAAGGACTTCAGGAATATGAGGATTGGGCAAGGAAATTCGGAGAACGGGGTGGGTAAGAAGTTCCTCACGGGAGACACCCACGCCATAAATATTGTACTTATTAGACGGCGAAACGAGATAAAGGGGTGGCAATGGGAAATTGGCGTTTTTGGTAGCTAGGAGATGACTGGTGGATGGGTTGAAATACGATTCTTAGGACGATGCATTCAACCAATATGAGTTACATATGTATGTTGATGTGTCGCCCTTCCAGTTGCATCAGTTTATACATATACATAATTGTACATACGATACACTAAGAAGGTTCCCGTCTCATCGTAGTTGAGGAAATGATCGAGACGGCGAGCAAGGCAAGGTATTACTCTTTTTTCTTTCTTTCTTTTTCTTTTTTTGGTTCTTGTTTGTAAGCTTAGGTATCTAGGTAGGTATCCCCATCAAGCATACCTACGTACCGCTTTGATCAACGCCGCCTATTCATGTAGCTTGCGAAGATTCGGTCTTGAGGGCTTTCTGAATTGGCCGCAACGCCATATTGACTTGCAGTGCCAATTTCTCGGATCTAAGTAGCTCCCTATTTACGGATCTTGTCAAGTCTCTCCGCTGCACTTTGATTTCTCGCTTCGCGCTTCTCTCTTGTATCCTCTCCTCCAGAGTGGGAATGGGTGGCCGTTCGTCGATAGGGTCGCCGAATGGTGCTATAATATCCTGGACGACATAACGCACATCTTTTGATACTCGCCATGACGATGTTATAGATACGACGTCGCCTTGTCGTAGGGAGTTACGGGGGTCGTGGACTAGCTCGCATCGCGGTTGTTTGAAGTACTAGATATATGAGATTGGTTAGGTACAGTTTATGTTTTACCTGTTGGACGAAGATAATTAAATGGGGGTGTGGTCTAGAGGGGGAAACTAACCTTCTGCACCTTCTCTTCCCATCGCAGTCCTCCTAATTTGACTTTCACAGTCTTGTCCATGCGACCAGCTGAGACCACAATGCCCTTCATTATCTTGTGGGCATGTCGCGCAGCCCCCGCCAATTCTGTAGTGACATTCATTTTTTCCTCTCTCTTTCTTGAAACCTCGGGCCTCTCCTCATGTGGCCCCAGGGTGCGAGGTGTGTGCGGATTTCGTGCGGATTTCGTGCGAATTTCGGGGTGGTTGAGCTGCTTGATTCGTGTTGATATTTTGCCAGTTAATGTTAAATGGTCTGAAAGCTTTTGGGATACAAAATACAAAGAAATCCAATTGGATGTGCGATGGACCCACATCTCTTAAGGAAAATTTGATTATGCCGGCACTAGATCTGCCCGGGGGCCGGGAACGGGTACGGGCACGGTGAATCCACTTTAAATTGGCTAAATTGGCAACTTCAACTTGAAGTTACGGACCTGTCACATCGCAACTTGCTAAGGTACCTACCGGTAGCCAATACCTATCATAGTAGTTATTTTTATACTTATCATATCATCTAAATGGACATAAACTAATTGATCCGTCCCGCACCTTCCAAATAGATGGACGTAAGGGCTCTATCCAAACAAGCCAGTCGAATCAAGTAATAGCAATAATGATAGAATACCTCAAATCGAATGTGACGTGTCATTTTGATTTCCTTGGGACTGTATATGTATTGTGAGTGATGCTAATCTTAGAAATCGCCTGGAAGCCTAGGTAAATCACAACCACCACTCAAATATGCGAAATATGTCACTGTCTATTTCTGTCAACTTACTATCATGTGTGAGCATATGAATGAATTAAAAAAGAGGAGAGGCTTGAAGAAGACGTGGCGCTGGTTTTGGGGTAGGTTGTCCTTCATAAAGAATATGCTGCATATGTATGTTTGCTCGAATCTGAATGGATCCAGTCATGCTATTTAAGCAGTGGTACATGTAGCTTCTATATTGTTGAATCAAGTTCAATGATTGGCATGAGTGACCTAAACTTGCTGGTCGTCGATCTTTAGAATGGCATGACCTGGAGGATAAGCTGAAAGGCTTCGAGGGTACCAAGAAAAAAGCAGAAAAATTAGGATTTCTGATCCTGAACAACTATTGTACGTAATTAAGGGAGACGTCGGTGTCCGAGCAATCAGAAGAATACTACCATTGTACCAACATAGGTAGTAGTATGTAAGTAATTACACAGTAGGCAGACATTCACCCGTTTAGTTTCTCCGAGGTCCTTGTTTCCAACGTTTGGACTATTAACAAACAGTAATACTCTTAGGAGCCTAATGTGTAGCAATTGTGCAACGATAATAAGTTAAGTCAGAATTATCACTGCATTGATTTCCTCTTTCCTTTTTCCTTTTTTTTCGTTATTATCATCTGTGAAGACCTCTGAGGTATGTAGTAGATGTCCGTGTAAAAATCGGAGACATTGACCGGATGGGACCACTATCGTCTATTTGTGGTGGATCTGTCACTCCGATGGATCCTTGAAGTCTCTAATTCAATGATCAATGGTCCACTTACGTACATGATTTTAGCACGTACATATGTACATGTAATAGTCACTACATGCGCCATAATGTACATGTATGTAACTATGTACCATTAACTAGTTATGTGCACCGATGCACTGATGCATTTGTAGTGGGGCATTATACATATCTAAGATGGAGGGGTTCAAATGTTATGAATTGTGTAGTAAAATTGGCAATTTGGAACTTCCAATTGTCTATCCTTATCGGTGGAGACTGGGGTGCTACTACTAGTGTAGACCAAACCAAAAAAAGCCCTCTTCACACTGCGATACTCTTTTACTCTTACCAGATTTGATTCTTCTTGATTCCCTCTGAAAAAAAAAAAAAACCACCATTCTCTTCACTTCAATCCTTCATTGCACCTAATACCCGCAAGTCAGCATCGGACTCCGACTGTATATTTTCCCTCCTTCTTTACAACTTACATTAAGCATATAACCATTTATTTAGTTTTATTTGCCGTGGTCCATCATAACTCATAACTTTATAGAGCATTTTCATCTGAATTTGCAAGTTCCGTTTGCTCCATTTACTCCATTTTGCTCCATTTGCCCTGTTCGCTCCAGAAACACCAGCAGCAGCTATGCCTTCCACCACAGAGTATCGTGCCGGGAAACGACCTCGTAAGTTCCAGTAGTTGCTTTTTTACTTTTTCCCCGTTTTGTTTTGTTTTTTTTGCTGTATGTCAAAAGGGGAAACGTGGTATCCATCCATTTTTCCTCTTTGGCCACTCCACCCTTCACCCTTAGGTAGCTCCGAGCAGCCCCCCAGCCGTGCTGCCATCTGCATCTTTGATCTACCTACACCGCATGCAAACAGACGATAAACTAAGACCACCTGTGGTTCATGCGGCTTTAACTCGATAGCTCCCGCAATAATAATTATTATCCTATTCTTCTTCTTGCGATATCAATCATTATCAATTCTAACAACAATGCCTTCCCTCACAGGTACTCAATCCTTACCTCCCCCAGCTCTCCCCCAGCTGGTCGCCGAGCAGCATGTACCCATCGCCTCCAATGACAAGGACAGCCAGAGACTGATAGTTGTCCTGTCCAATGCGAGCCTCGAAACTTACAAGGCCTCACACGGAGTGGGTCGCCCCGGCCTGCCGCGGGAGGACAAATACTCGCTTCTGAACAGCGACGAACACATCGGCGTCATGCGCAAGATGAACCGAGACATTAGCGATGCCCGGCCAGACATTACCCACCAGGTACGCCTAGCGTCATGACTCCTAATAATTCTACCGCCCTTCAACAATATTTTACTCAAGTTGGCATTCAACATGCTGACAGCCTGTCCCACTAACATAGTGCCTCCTCACTCTTCTGGATTCTCCTATCAACAAAGCAGGGAAATTGCAGATATATATTCAAACTGCCAAGGGTGTCCTTATCGAGGTGTCGCCAACTGTCCGTATCCCCCGAACATTCAAGCGATTTGCTGGTTTGATGGTCCAACTGCTCCATCGACTTTCCATTCGCTCGACCAACTCGCAGGAGAAGTTGCTTCGTGTCATCCAGAACCCAATCACGGATCACTTACCACCCAATTGTCGAAAAGTCACGCTAAGCTTTGACTCAAGCACGGTGCGAGTTCGAGACTATATTCAAAATCTGGATCCGAAGGAGAGTATATGCGTCTTTGTGGGAGCCATGGCTAAGGGTGCGGACAACTTCGCGGACGAATACGTAGATGAGAAGATATCCATTAGCCAATATAGTCTCTCGGCCAGTGTAGCTTGCAGCAAGTTTTGCCATGCTGCTGAGGATGCCTGGGACATCCTCTAGGCTAGACTGCGCCAGCCCCTTCCGAAAGGTGGAATGAAGGAAGGTGAGAAGGGGAGCGAGTGGTGGGACATATTAGGTATGAATGATTACACGGGCGTTGACTTGCGGAACCCGCCATACAACATGACGGCTGACGCAGGCCCGCTCTGAGCTTGGGTCTACGGGTTTTGTTCAGTCTCTGTTTTTGCAACCAAAACATCAGGCGTTCAACATGAGATCCAAGACGTTTTCGCCGTCTTTTGTGGCCACTTCAACTTGGTCCACAACCCCCTTCTCTTTTTCTTTATGCTTCCCTTCTTGGTTACATCACGTCCCCATCGTCTTCGATACGAAGACTCGTGTTGACGACTGTGGGACAGCTATCAGTCGAGACTGATAATGTTGAGAGATAGCCCGATTATTAGTAGGGCATCGCAGGTTAGTTGAGAAGCGGATCTGATCTGTGCGGCAGGACAATGTGTCAGCTCCATGCTAGACAGGCTTGCTCCGGTATGCAGGATGCTCCCTTGGAATTGATTCGTGGAGAGAAATGCTCCACATATTGATGTATGAACCTTTGCGGTTCAGCCACTTCCATCCTAGAGAGATGAAGCCAGCGTTAGAAGTGGGTATAGCGAAGCTAATGGTTCGGCATGACCCGAGTACTTTACAATTCCTCTCACCATTGGCCTTAACTACTACGTTCGCGTTGTAGTTATGACCTGGTATTTGCAGTCCCCCGTGAAGAGTCAGGCGTGTACTCGGACGTAAGGTGAAGATGAAGATAGATATGGTTGGTTCTGCGTTTGTGTGGGGGTATGTACAAAGCATACAGGGTATAATATCTATACATTTAACTATATGTATACTATATGTATACTATATGTCTACTATATGTCTACTAGGCATGTGTACACAGTTGCTTCGATCTCGGTCAAGACCGCAAATCTGGAATAGAGGGGAAATAGTCCGATGGGGGGGAAGGGATTGATAGATACATACACCAGACCCTTACCTTCCAAGTTCTTACGCATGTATATACATTGCCTAGTATCTAGGGAATTCGTAAGCACCACACATACATATGTTGCAATGGACAACCAAGCATGAACAACATACTACAAACAGCTGTAGTCGAAATCTTTGAACTAGCTAGGTACATGGTAGGCATTCTTTTTTTTTTTCCTTTTTGGAATCTAGAGTCTAGACCACCGGTGTAGATTACGTACCTAGGTATGCACGTGTATGAATGAGGTGTATCGGTTACCGTACTAGTTAGGTATATTCAACATTGAAATTTGACTACTAGTACTACTATGTATGTACATACATACTATGTGCTAGTATACATGTAGGTTAGTTATTAATGCTACCAAGTAGTTAGGTAGATGTACATCATCAATGTAGGGTTGATGTAGGGTTGATGTAGGGTATTGAATATTTCCGGCTTGGGCCACGACTATCACATACCTAGGTATGTAACCTAGGTTTGTAACCTAGGTATATGTACATACATACCTACCTAGGTAGTACCTAGGTAAAATACGTGTAAGTGCCATTGTCCACTGAAAAAGCGGACTGTGGAGAAGGTGTACAGGGGTAAGTGACTGCAGTCACTGCACTGTTACTGCAGAACAAGAAGATGGAGAAGGCACAACTGTTTATAGGTGAATTGGTGAGTTCTAGGTTTTCTGCTTGGACCGGGGACAATATAGTGACCACTTTTTCACTCTTTGCCCTCTTGCCCTCTTGCCCTCTTGCCCTCTTTTCCACTTCTAGATTCTTGCACGTACAGTATATTCCACTAGTCCACCTATTCCATATATTCCAGCACATACAGTACTAACCTTAGCACTTACAACTCCTCTCAACCAGATTTTACAATCTCAACTAGCCTAACCAGGTTAATCCAATCATCTGTGGAATATGCAGAATCTGTGGATGTTCCAGTTTTCCGTCGAGGGTCTGCTTGTATGTCCCTTGAGACCAAATCCATCAGTGTACTTTACAGAGTTAGCTGGCGGACAGGCGGACAGGCGGACAGACAGGCAACTTAGCAGACGTTCCAAGCATCAAGCACCAAGCATTTTGAATATAGAATTCCAACCCAGTGTACGTAGGTAGGTATGTATATGGCACAAACCTAACGTGGCAGCTCGTCTTCCACTACCATTACCACGGTGAGAAGGCCTTTAGAGCCATCGCCAAATCCGTGCCCGAGCCGATGGATGGACATACAGGCTGGCCCTATCTCTGCCGCCTACGTTGCGTTAGCGCTGTGAGGACTACCATATACCGTTTAGACTTGGATCGGTCCCATATCCATTGTGGACTATTATGACAAAATCAACTAACTGGCTTCGTCGTAAGTTGGTACATATCTGTCGACGGTGTCGATAACCATGGTTTGTGATGCGCATGCAAGCGCTGTGGGCCTTCACCTGCCACTACAACACTCCACTGGATTGCTTCTTGTTCGGTCTATTGCTCTACACGTGTATGAGTTAGTGAGAAGAACGCAACTAGACCAAGTCAGGTACCCAGTTGCGTTCGATCGATGAGGCCCGCATCTACCGGAGAATTGCTAAGACATGTCAGGATAGTTTCCTACTGCATCAGTACCTAATGATAGTATCTCTGAGCTTTCTGAGCTTTCTGAGAAACGTTCGTCTATTGGTCATCTGTGGGAAGCTCTTCCCTTTAAGAGACTCGTCTGCCACTGTTGTTGATACATTCTATTCTCGAAGAATTGCTCATTCTGAAGAATCCCGACCACTCTCGTTACTACTGAACTGTCCGGAGAAGAAGAAAGACTTGGTTTCGAACTCTTTTTATTCTTTTTATATTTTGAGTAAAACTTTTGCTCTAGTCTGCTCACTTGAAGAACCTCTATATTCGTCTATAATTCAACATCAACAACACCTCTCGTTCTACCACTCAATATAACCTAATATATTACATTCAAGAACTTCATCTTAGAACCCCTATCTTACTATTAATCGGTAACTTCTTCCTATTTAGCCCACAGCACCGCTGCTAGTTGGCTAACTAGATCTCTCCATAGCATCCCTAATTTGCTGTATTTAGCAGCTTGCAAAAATCAGTAGTACCTTATGCAGGTCCTGCCGTTTCTCCAAGTCTCAGACCTGCCCCCGTCGGCTTCACTCTACGCCGCCATAACCCAACCACTCGGTCTCCGGTTTGTATCCGCCGACTCAGCGTCGATAGTCTTCGGTGACCTCAGTTCACCTACCCCTGAACCGGTCTTCGAGGTGAAGAATAGCATTCGTCCCAAGGGCCAAGCAATCCAACCCTGCCATCTGGTTCTCTCTGCAGCATCCCCCTCAGCGGTTTATTCTTTTTACACAGCTGCCCTACGAGCGAACCCTGCTTTGGAGGACGCTGGGAAAAACTTCAACTATCTTCACATACACGACGACCCCAACTCTATAGGTGATAGCCGCGCAAGAATCGGAGATTTTGACGGAAACATCATGGAGGTAATTCATTCTGGAAGCCGTGCGGGACGTCGCAGCGAATCTTCCTCCCGAGAAGTCAGCCGTGTTCTGGATTGGAACCTGGACATGAATGCTGCCCCGGCCCATTCGCGCTCCATTGCGTCTGGCTCTAGTGGAAGCAGCCGCGCTGCTGGCAATGAGCCTTACACCATAATGAAGAAAAGTGTTACGACATCGACTGTCGAACATGCCCCACCGGAAAGCCCGAGGGGATTCAGTGCTACCGGTCTGGTTGGCTCCCTTCTCGGTGTCGCTGTCGGTGCTGCTGTTACCGGTGCGTTGACTTACGGCATGGGAAACAAAGAACGCGAGCGCGAGCAGGCGTATCAGGAGATGCCCCCATTCATGCGACGATCGACCTGCCCTGACCAACTCCCTGACACCCGACCTAGATATTACCCACCGACCAGTTACGGGGGTGGGTATTCTCAGGCTGGAACTCCTAAAAGCAGAGCGGGCGATGATATGGATGATCGTGCCAGCCGTCACTCAAGCCACTACACCACTGGCAGCAGATCTCGGGGTCGTAGTCAATCCACGTCGAGACAGCCATTGATGATTACCGAGGCTGAGCATAGAAGTAACGCTGGCTCAAAGCGCAGTAACTCCCCTAGGCAAATGGCGGAGGCCGACCATCGTGGTCATAGGGGATCGAGACATAATGAGGACCGCCGCAGCCACACCGGATCAAGGCATAGTGGAGACCACCACAGCGGGAGGCCCGCCTCGCGCTCGCGTCGGCACTCGCCCGAGTTAGAAGATCATGGTTACTTCAGCTCAAAACACGCCTCGCCGCGACCCTCCAGGCACTCGCCGGAGTCGGAAGATCATGACTACTTCAGCTCGAAACACGCCTCACCACGGCCTCGCGAGCCTGAAGTTGAGACCTACGTCTCGGCTCGATCAGATAGGTCGACAGCCGCAAGTCGGCCTCGGTTAGCTAGGGTTGAGACTGCGCCGTCGCGAGCGTCCTCCATAGCTGACAGCCGGTACTCCGCTGCCACTGTTCGAGGCCCGGTAGCCAAGAATCACGGTTCAGCTAGGCATAACCCACAGCCAGAGAGCAGCGTCGGAACCAACTATGCTTACTGGAACGGTGAGGCGTGCAGCGTTGCACCAAGTGATAGCATCAGCAACGTTGGCAACCGCCACGGCAGACGGTCACAATATGCTTGATTCATTCCGCTTCCCTTTATCACACTCCTTTTTATATTTACGACGACGACGACGAAGAAGAAGATTACGTATACACGGCTTCTCTGCCAATAATCTAATTGGGTCAGGTGTCTCACAGAGACAACACTACATTCATTACTTAGTAAGAAGGGAGAGTTTCGGGATTGGGAATTTGGTATTCGGTTGACATGGGCAGGATGCTGTTGTTGTTGTTTTATTTATTTATCTTTTGGAAATAGACCTGAGCATATGGTATACATTATCTGATTGGCATCGTATTCTCTCACGAGTTTTCTCCGGCTGCTGGTCACAAGATAAGCCTCGAGGAGACTTGGTACAGACGAGAAGAAAATGTTGCTTGTATGTATGTTTTCTTATGCGGCGGCCTATAGAATCTCACTTCACATTTGATGATACTCCGAAAAACAATATATCTTAATTGAGGGCATAATTTAGGTGACTAGACTAGATACATACATATATACAACACATACAGGCACATATAGGAGTCAATAGGGCTTATGGACTTCAATATAATGGCCAAAAATTATCTAGCAAATGCCCATGAAGCCTCCGAGTGAACGAACAATTTATCAAAGCTTAGTAGTTCACATCGCTCTCCACACGCCTAACCCCCCGTGCGTGAGTACATTTAACGAATTAGTTCCCCGTGACATTCAGAGCACGGTCCAATCTATCCAAGCCTGCTAGAGACAGAGGACCGTCTGTGGTGAGGAGGACCTTTCCCCTTTCGCTTTTGACGAAGAGCTTCTCCACAACCCTCAAGAATCGGGTTACGTAGGCGCTGGTTTCAGGGCTGCTAACACTGTCGAGGCCAGCGATTACGAGGTAGTACGCAGGGACCCGGGGCAAGTCGGCTGGCGCCCACAGAAACGGGAACGACTCCAGGATCCGGAGCTTCTCGTCGACGGTGCGGCCGCGGTACACCGGAGCCCACGACCGCCAGTTGGGCGGGATGAGAGGCAGGATCTCGTCGAAGAAGCTTCCCAGCAGGGATTCGAAGGCCCGCAGCGCTTGTTTCTTGCTGGGCGGGCGAGGCTCAACCGCAACGAAGATCACCGGCTTAATGGTGGCGATGACGTCCCAATCCTGGCCGTGGAGCCACCGGGCGTCTCTGCAGTAGCGGATGGCGTCGACGGCGATGCTGAGACCGGCTCTGTAGGCACCGTGCGTCTTGATGGCGATGGTCACGGGCTTGGGGGTCGATATGAAGTAATTGGCCACGATGTCGATGGACCACCAGCAGCCGAGACGCTTGGCGACCGCGTAGTTGTTGTCCTCGGCAAGCTGGTAGGGGTGGACTTTTAATAAAATCGGCCTGCGATAACTGGTGGGCAGAGCTAGCATATGGGATATTCCTCTTCCTCTAGCTGATGTAGACTGGCCTGCAAATCTCCATGCTTCCCTCATCGTGCTGTGCTGTTGGCGAATGTGAAATGATTAAAATGATTAAAACGATTCAGAAAGTGTAGGGGAAATTAAAGGATAGGTTGGGATGTTAGATGGGCCTAGCTGTTACCGTCGTTGTCGTCGTTGCCATTTGAGTTAACAGGATATGCCTGAGAACAATTGCCTTGTTGAGGCAACAGCCCTGCTGTTCATGTAGACAATAGAGGGTGAATTGGTCTTTATACTTCACCAAGACACTCGCTTTGTGTGTTGAAGCTAACCACCCTTCTCGACCTTGAGGCCACAGGCTTCTGCTTATGCCGAACATGACGTCTTGGTTAGACCTTGGGCTACGTTAACACACACTAATAGCCCAAGGTGTGAGGGATGTAGGCGAGAAGATATGGTTATGAGATGCCTAGCCCTTCTTTCACACATGGCGTTCCGACTAAGGCTATGCTTATGGCTCATGACAGTTGCCTTTGTGCTTACATATATGGTATTTCCATATACGTGATATTCCTTAGAGCCTCAAACGATACAATTTGCTATCCAGTTGCAATTTACAGTATACAGTATACAGTATACCTAACTACACGCCTTAGGTCAGTCATGTATCCATGGATAGCTTACTAGAACCCCCAGATTTCAATAGTTATCAGTAAACATTGCAGTTCGGTATACGCTTGCCTGATACATAATATTGGACATGATATTCTATTTTAGTTAGTACGTGAATATGTACACTGCATGTAGGTAGAAAAGTTGATCTACATAGGCTCACTTTAGCTCCTTTGTAAAGGTTCATTGTCAATCTTCTTATTACTTTAAATTGTCTCTGATTGTGAGAGCTTTCTTGGCGACAAACGTTTGGGAATAAAGCCAATGAACAAGGGGCCAGCATTAGAATCTGCTTGACGAGACTATTCGCCTATCTGCCCGGCAACATGGAAATAGGGGCCCAGGGGTAGAAGATACCGAACGTTTGGAAGCTAAGTCATACGAGGTCATCCCACGCAAGCCAGCTGGTTCACATTTATGGCAGACATAGAAGAGAAGAAAGAAGAAAAAGATTGGGCAGAGGCACGAAAAGAAATAATACTTCTGCAGTACATGCCGTTACGTCCCTAGCTAGGGACTCCCCAGTAGATCTCAGGGGTCCAGGCCAGGGCCAAGGACTAGAGATCAAGGATCAAGGGTCAAGGGTCAGGGTTGGTTCGAGTGATTGTGGCCAGTGGCCAGTGAATCCAAGATTGGAGAAGGTGCGGAGAATGGATGTGGCTTCGTGAGTTAATCTACAATGATTGGCCAATTTCTGCGAGTTTAGCCCAAACGGAATGCTTGGAGGACAAACCCCCCACTTTGGTGTCCACCGCTAGTTTCTTCGATTTGACAAAAGTCAATTAACATTAATCCTTCCATGATTTGTTAGTTACATATAATACATAACTACACGTGTATGTACTAGGTAGTAAAGTATGAAATATTGCTAACCTAGTACAATACAATACATTTTCTTCATCTTTCCCCATTCCCCATAACATTGAAATGGTTGTGTAAGACTACTTAAAACGAAGCGACCTCTACGCCTTCCTATATAATCATCTCCTTTTTATCTAAGACACTGGTAGATGACTAAAATGGCCGAGAAAAAGTATCCTCTCCTCTCCAGGAGAGAGATCGAGGGCCTAATCGCCGACGGACGCAGCATCTTTATTGTTGACCAACAGGTCTTCAAGGCAGACGCTTGGCTCCAGTACCACCCAGGTGGTGACAAGGCCATCCGACACATGGTTGGTCGAGATGCCACCGATGAAGTGAACGCGTTTGTGCTACCTTAATCCCGAACATTTACATGATATATCAAAATGTATACTAACACATCATCTTCACCAAACAGTCTCCATTCCCCCGAAGCAAGGCAGCAGATGAACCGTTATCGAATTGGAAGGATCGACGGAAGATGGACCAACTTTATCCCCCCTATACAGGGCGGGAAGTTCAGGTTGTTGTCGGACAACCAGGGCGTTGAAGACGCTGAGACCACCACAGGAGAATGCGACTCGGCTTCTATAGGAACCTTGAGTAGTCCGACTTCCCGCGACCCCTCTCCGGTGTTTGACGGTGCCGAATCCGCCCTACGAAAGCGACGGGCTGCCAATGAAATACCACCTGGCTCACCCTCAACAGCCTCAGTATCTTCCGTCGAGCCTGAGAATGACGGGATGTCATACCTGGATACCATCACAAAGGAAAAGACGACGCTGGATCTGGAAAAGTATCCTTCCCTGGATTTTACTACCCAGGATAGTATAGTGACCAAGTATCGTGCCTTGGGTGAACGCATCAAAGCCGAAGGTCTCTATAAATGCAACTATGGGGCATATGCAATTGAGCTTTCACGATATTCCCTCCTTTTTGGTCTTGCCTTTCTCTTCCTACATTGGGGTTGGTACGCCCTGAGTGCGGTGTGCTTGGGTGCATTCTGGCACCAACTTGTCTTTACGGCCCACGATGCTGGCCACATGGGTATCACCCATGGCTTCCACACAGATACCGTCATTGGTATAATAATTGCCGACTTTTTGGGGGGTCTATCTCTGGGATGGTGGAAGCGGAACCACAATGTGCACCACATCGTCACCAATGCACCCGAGCACGACCCGGATATCGAGCACATGCCTTTCATGGCCGTGTCTCATCGTTTCTTTCATTCTCTCCGTTCTACCTACTACGATCACGTAATGGAATACGATGCTGTCGCAAAGTTTGCCCTCAAGATCCAGCCGTACACGTATTATATACTGCTACTTTTTGGGCGTTTAAATCTCTACCGTCTATCTTGGGATTATCTGATCATGGGAAGAGGTCCCCGGAAGGGACCAGCGTGGTGGCACAGGTGGCTCGAGATCACCGGCCAAATTTTCTTCTGGACATGGTACTTCTATGGTATCGTCTACAAGTCGATTCCCAACAACGGGGATCGATTCATCTTCTTCCTCATCAGCCACATGGTCCCGATGCCTGTACATGCGCAAATCTGCCTTTCTCATTTCGCCATGAGCACGTCCGATCTTGGGCCTCATGAATCGTTTCCTCAGAAGATGCTTCGCACGACCATGGACGTGGACTGTCCCCAGTGGTTAGATTTCTTCCATGGTGGCCTCCAATTCCAGGTCATACACCATCTATACCCTCGAATCCCACGTCACAATCTCCGGCGCACCCAGAAGCTGGTACAGGACTTCTGTAACGAAGTCGGCATTCCGTATGCCTTGTATGGATTCGTGGATGGTAACAAGAAGGTCGTCGGTACACTGGCCGAAGTGTCGAGGCAAGCAGCCATTCTCGCCAAGTGCCAGAAAGTCATATGTGAAAGTGATGATCCTATTCATGGGCATCATCACTGAAGTCTCGATATGACACCTGCTGTAACGTTGTAGTCTTCATAGACCTTGTAATTAGTAACTTCCGCCCCTTGGCGGAACGCCCACGTGGGAATGGCCTTGGACATAGATGGTGTTGCAACTTTTTGCAACTTTTGCCGTATCTTACGATTATCTCCCACTTAATGTAACCATGCTGAGATGCCTTCAGACCAAATCCCCTCAACCTTGGCGAAGTATTTACTGTTGATCCGCATCATAGTTCTTTACGAATGACGAATTGAATGACCCGAATGAGACTCAAGCCAACGAGAGGGTTTCATGGCGTGCCAATGTTTTGGCAAGCAAGGGCAGTCAAACCTACCAATAGCCTTGCTGCTTTGATGTACAGCCTGTCGACACTCTGACTGGAGTTGGGCGGTGTGTCAGTCGCTAGGAGTATCTTACCCCGAGACCTCCGAATTCTCTCCAGAATCGGGTTCCTATTCCCGTAGAGAGGGGAGGGCGGTCGACTACGTTGGTGCCCTACCGGGCGAGGGGATATTTGCCCGAACTCGTCCACGATGTATGCCTCTTTTCTATGATATGATATGGCAGTCTATACTCAGACTTGAATGAATCATTATACATTATACAACCTTGATTGACTCCCTATGTCTCGATCTAAGCTACCGATTAGTAGTTGTTTTTAAGCTACCTGCTTACGTATATCGCGTTCTCGGCATTTCATTGACTCCCTGCCGACGGATAGAAGGATGTCAATGGAGAGTTGGGCGAAGCTCGTCAGGTTGAACGAGTGAGCACGAGTTCTCATTCTCGGTTCCTACATGACGCGTCTATCTGTATTGGCCGCCAGATGCTGATATGTAGCAGTTCCATCGCTTTCTTGCAGGAATACGTGCCTTGGCCCAGTTGCTTGGATAGATTTCGATCACACTCTCTATATGAGTAGGGTGCGAAAGGCTAGCATATTTTTCCTTCACCGGCCTCCAGGTGGGTGATGTAAGTAGCCGCGCCAAAGAAGGAGATTGGCAGAAATGCTCCTCATGTCGTTCTGCAGCACGTCAGTCGCTCAGTTGTTTGCTACGGTCGTACATTTCACAACAATGCTTCCTGCAGCCTTCTTTGCATACCGAGGACCTATGGAAAAGACTCCGCTGTCAATTCTTCGCGGAAAATCCTTGCTCACTCGCACAGCCGTAATATCTTCAGCAGTAGGCAGAGGGGGAAAAAAAAGCAAATATTCTGACCATGATTGGTGACTGGGATTGCACAGATCATCAATCCTGTCTCTTCAAGGCACGGACAACGACATGTATAGTGTATATATATTAGAACCTATCCTCGCTGTCTCGGCTCATGGCCGATTTTCAACCATACTCACCAGTGTTGCAAGCCTACAGTTCATCATCCAACTACCCTTGATATCCACTTGACATATCGTCTTTCAAGCGAAACCCCAAGTCTACCATAGTCATCTCTATCTCGAAAATGAGTCCCGCGAAGATGGACGAAAATGCAGCCGCGCGGATTCAAAAGGCTCGTGGCCAAAAAGTAATATATTACTACCTACACCACCCAAGCTAGGTAGATGTCCCTTACTTACCATTGAGTAGGACTCCTTCGCCAAACGCGCAGAGATGGCCGCACGCAATAACAAAGACCAGAAGCGCGACGGCCTGGACGGTTCTTGGCGCAAAAGTGATTCCGGCCAAAAGAAGGCCGATGGCAATCCCGAGAAATAAAGAGAAACGGAGCTTAGAATCCCCCCCAATCCACTACCCACGGAGTTCTTGGGTTCCTACCCATGCCATTCAACAATTAGGGGCGAGGGTGGTGGCAGCGCCTGAAAAGGGGGGGGGGGGGGGGGGTTTAGGGGGCTTGCGAGTCCCCTTTTGCTTTTTTGTTTCGTGCCCTTTTTTTGCTTTTTTTTGCGATAGATGACAGGAACAAGAACAGGGGAAACTTTGGTCTGGGGGCGTCGATGAAAAAGCCGGGCTGTGTCGTACGATTTGGATTGTAACTGTACGTAGGAATGAGATCTCTGCGCCGGTAATAATGCCGACATATAGACGTCACTTGCGTTCTCTCGTGCATATCCCACATTGATTTCTTCTCTCTGCTTCTCTCGCTCACCCACTCCTATCCCACGGCCTAACGCGGGATGTATCTTGGATATGCCTACCTATGTAACTGTAGATGGAAGCATCGAGTTTGCCTCCCTTTTTTTTTTTTTTTTTTTTTTTTTTTTTTTCGGTTTTTGCTTTTTCTTTTCCTAGTGAGGAGGGGAGAACGCGTAAGGTAGCAGAATAGCCGCCGCGGTGGCACGATGCTTACTGTAGGACTTTAGAAAAGAGGCGTTGTTTCGTCGTTGCTGCCGCTGCTGCCAAGGTTACCCACTTGATATGTCAATTATACATATGTACACGATGCGTACCCCGACAAGTTCAGGGCGAAATCTGACATGTCTTTTCAGTTCATGTACCGACTGACCGGTTCAAGTGGCTGTACCTACTACATGTAGTAGGTATGTGCCCACAGACTTGGCGCTACATACATACGGAGTCAGTTGAACTACCTAATGAACGGCTACATATATAGGCACCTATCAACAAGCCGCGTAAGAGAAAAGGGGGGAATAAAAACACATATATAAATGCTTGGACGGTGTTTAAAACTCAATGCTCCTTAAGTTGTTGTTATGCTTCTGGTTATGCTTCTGGCCGTTTATTGATTGCTCTACCCCCTTTTTTCTCAGCTGTCGGTGTATAAGCCCACGGTATCGCCAGCGCGGTAGTGATAGATTATTTGTACAGTTGTTGAATTAGTTTGAAGTGGATGAGAGTGGTAGCAGGCATGTATTAAAAGAGATGATTTGAAAAGAGATGATTTGAACTGATGGCTGGGGACAGTTATGTCGCACTTCCGATCTCGCGTACTACTAGTAGTAACTACCTGTCCAGCACATGTATGTAACTGATGTAAGATACATCCTGTAAGATACATCCATGATGTATGTATCTATCTACCTAAGGTTACATATATAGGTACCTAACCTTAGGGTAGCTTGATTGCCGCCTAATTGAGGTTACTTTAGCTGCTTAGGTACCTACAGTTTCAGGTGTTGAGATCGTCCCAATGCACTGGGCCCGGGCGCCTTGGCACCTGTGCCACACTGGCCTTGATACGCAAAACAGTTCGTTGAAGGTTAAAACCTTAGGGAACTCTTTCTACTACGTAGGTACCTAGGTAGTAAAAATTACTACTAGCAATACCTTCAGCCTTGTTAGCCTCCGATGGTCAGCTGGTGATATTGCAAACTTGCCCCGCCATTGAAATGATTGAATAGGTACGAACCCTTGCAAGTACATATTTACATCATCGGTTGCTTCATCCTACTTCATCCCCGTCAATTCAACAGTCTTGTTTTCAATTATTACTTTACTTTTTATTCCATCTACACAGTCTTTTGAACCACAAGACTTACCTACTAAACTACCTAGTAGGTGCCTACCGAGCATACTGAGTAACTAGATATCTCATTTGACTTATTGCTTCTGTTTTTGTCTTTGTTTCTGTTTCTATTTCTGCTTCTATCGCTATCTCCTTCTATACATCACAATACAATTCAATTCAATACTACCCTTTCACTCTTACCGTTCATCCGGCTAGTCTCTTGAGTCTTGGGCACTCATATCTGCGGGGCACTATATGTGAACTAAACTAGCTACTTCATCGGCAATCCAGCATAGCAATGGTAACGTGACCTGCGATTATTGAAGAAGAAGACGACGAAGAAGACGGACGAAGACGAAGACGGCGCAGAAATGGAGCCCATTATTCAACGTCTTCTTAATGATAAGTTGTATGATAAGAGGAAGACCGGTGCCCTTGAGTAAGTCCTTCTAGTTCATCTTCTCTCCCCCTTTTTTTATTAGCCAGTTAAATCCCATTATCCGAGCATATCTCTTTAACCTGACCTACTATTATAGACTCGAACGCTCTATTCGAGAGCTTGTGTTAGCCAAGGATTATAAAAGGGTTTCGGATATTCTTGAGCAGTTGTGTAACGAATATGCTTATGCTGTCCACCAACCCCATGCCCGAAATGGGGGGTTGATAGGTTTAGCTGCCGCCGCAATCGCCCTCGGTTCAGTATGTTTACTTTGCTTTTTCCACTTGTCTGGTTGTATCCATACACACGCGAGACTTTTCAAACTAATTCGGCCCAAGGAACTACCAAGATATCTCGAGGTTATCGTTCCCCCCGTCCTAGCCTGCTTTACTGATCAAGATGCTCGTGTCCGGTATTATGCTTGCGAGTCTATGTACAATATCGCCAAGGTCGCTAAGGGAGAAATCTTGAAGTATTTCAATCACATTTTTGACGCTTTATGCAAGGTATATCCACCGACCCTAACCCCCCTCCTTTCCTTCTTGATTTGATATTGATCTTCTGTATAGCTAGGAGCAGACTCGGAACTTTCTGTGAAGAATGGTGCCGAGCTTCTTGATCGCCTGATCAAGGATATTGTCTCCGAGTCTGCAGCCACCTATGTGTCCGTCCTCGAGGCTGACCCGCCTCCGCCCTATGAGGCGAAGGGCTCTGAGAACGGATCTTCACCCCACCCGGGCCCGCCAACAGCCTTCTCCTTACCGGACTTCATACCGCTTCTGAAGGAGCGGATATGGGTCATGAATCCATTTACCAGGACCTTTCTCGTTGGTTGGATCACTTTGCTCGACTCTATCCCAGACCTGGAACTAGTCACATATTTACCCGAATTCCTAGGAGGTTTGCTGAAGTTTCTCAGTGGCAACAATGCTGACGTTCATGCTGCCACACAGGGGTGTTTAGATAAGTTCTTGAATGAGATCAAGCGGATTGCAAGAGTGAAAAAGGGGATAGCCGAAAGTAAGAAGTCGAAGGGGGACGGCAAGAGAAAACGAGAGGACTCTGTCGACAGCGGCAGTTTACGTCTAGCGCACGGCGAAGCCGATGAAGCAGAGTCTGCTACTGCTAATGATGATGACGATGACGGCGAAGTTAGTAGTGAGGATGACTGGATCCCGGGGCAAGATGTCCAGATTAACTATAAGGCCATCCTGGAAATTTTGACCGCAACGCTCGATTCCCCTCTCGGTGTGTAGTATCTCTAATCATACGATTCTCCCGAAGATGCTAATATTGCGTAGAGGAAGATAGCCTCCTGGAGAGTTTGCGTTGGGTGGTATCGTTTCTAGATATTTGTCCCGAGGAGGTCTTGCCCTTCACCCCTAAAATACTGGCTCATCTCCTTCCAGCAATGGCCAGCGGTGTCGAACCGATTCGCCAAGCTGCCGCGAGGGTGAATTCCTCACTGATGGACTACGTTGTTTCCCTCACAGACGAAAACGATGGACCGCCGAGCCAAGGACCCACGCGGTCGTCAGCACCTAACGTTACAGATCAGCCAGAGAGAACTTCAAGCACACGCGCCTCATTATCGAGCAGTCGTGAAATCGACCCGCGTAGCCCAACACCAGCTCAAAACCGTCGAGCGCCCACCCCCGCTCAATCACTAAACCCCCAACCAGATTTGGATTACGCCGCTGCGGTGAATTCTCTTACTTTGCTATTCTTGAATGACCATGAAGCAACCCGCGTTGCGGCACTAACCTGGCTCATCATGTTGCACCGCAAAGCGCCGAGGAAAATCGTCGCGTTCAACGACGGAACATTTCCTGCTCTCCTTAAGACGCTTTCGGACCCCGCAGAAGCCGTTGTTACCAAGGACTTACAGCTGCTGTCGCAGATATCGAGGAACAGTGAAGACGACTACTTCTCTAACTTTATGGTCAGCCTCCTCCAGCTTTTCTCCACCGACAGAAAGTTACTGGAAACTCGAGGGAATCTAATCATTCGCCAACTATGCATGACTTTGAGCCCCGAGAGGATATATCGTACACTAGCAGAGACAATTGAGAAAGAGGAGGATGTCGAGTTTGCTAGTATCATGGTACAAAATCTTAACAATAATCTTATCACAGCGCCTGAGCTGGCCGACCTCAGAAAGCGATTACGAAACCTAGAAACAAAGGTTGGTCACTTGTTTACCCAACTAACAATATGCTCACAAGTTTTGTAGGATGGCCAACTCTTCTTCGTCGCTCTTTTCCGTTCTTGGTGCTACAATGCCGTTGCCACCTTTTCCCTATGTCTACTCGCCCAAGCATACGAGGCCGCATACAATCTCCTGCAAATCTTGTAAGTGATATACCACTACTTTGTCAAAAGGCTTCGCTTCAGACATAGTACATATGACTAACAAACATAAGTGCGGAGCTCGAGATGACAGTGAATATCCTTATTCAAATCGATAAGCTTGTTCAGCTTATTGAATCGCCCGTTTTTACCTGTAAGTTTTGTATGCACGATGCTTCACTCCTTTAGCTGGGTTAACGTTCAACTCTTTAGATCTTCGGCTTCAGCTGCTTGAACCCGAGAAGTATCCGTACCTCTATAAATGTCTCTTCGGATTATTGATGCTTTTGCCACAATCATCTGCTTTTGCTGCTCTCAAAAACAGATTGAATAGTGTAAGCTCGATAGGCTACTTGCAGATCGCGCCTCGACCGTATGTACCACCCTACACAATCCCTCCTAAACATTTCAGACAAGGTTCTGTAGCCGAAGTTGTTTCTTCTATCCAAAATTATGCCCCTCTTACCCAAAGTGCACATGACACTCATGCTTCATCCATCAGTTCTGGCCCCACACCTAGCACGTCAAACTACGATCGACCAAACAGATTAGGAAAAGGCCGCGAGGAAGGTACAATTCGATGGGAACAGCTCCTAGAAAAGTTTAGAAGTGTACAGGAGAAGGCGAGACGAGCACATAGGATGATGGATGGCGGTAGTATCGAAGATGGGCCGGACTTTGGTGAGTTACGTATTACGGAGAAGGAGCCGCCACGACCCGCCACCGGACCGACCGTGCCCCCGAAAGAGCCGACACAGGCCGCAGCACCGCAGAAGCGCTCGGGACTTGGAAGACAATTCGGAAGACTCGGGGCGTCGGTTTCGGGAAGAGGGAAACGTTCCCAACAACAATAAGCCTTGGAGTTGGTTTTTAGTGACGGCCCGAAATAGGTGACGTTTTGTCTACGCCAATGAGTTAGAAGGGCGAGGGATATACATATACATACGCATGCATTTAGAGGGGGTTTCTACCGAGGTGCTTGCACATGCGGGTGGAATTCTGATTGGTTTTGTACTAAGTATCGTTTATCGTGTAGCGGGAATACCCAGAGTATAACGAACGAAGCTATAATATTAATGTCGTGCATACAACCTGTATTGCGCAGCGCTTTTCCCCATCATAGTCTCCTCCTGGTCTTAACCGGGCTTTCTCGCTCCACTAACTTCTCAAAATTCGTATCGCGCTGTTCGGTTGCCTCTCGAAGTTCAGTGCGGAGAATTTCCAACTGGACACGAGCGGCCTCGATATCGGGGGACAGACCGGCAAACGCCTTGACCTGGACATCCAGGTTCTTCTTCCTCGCCAATAACTCAAGATAGGCCTCTTCATCCTTCTGGACATCTTCGACGGTGAGAGTTGGTATCCCGACTGACTTCTCGAGGGAAATGACCTGCTGCTGGAGCTCGGGCAGCTTGGTCTCTGTACCCTTGATCTGGCGCTGCAGCTCCAGGTTCTGCTTGGCCAGGTCGGGCGCCAGCTGGTACTCGTCACCGTGCCGGAGGTCCTCCAAAAACGCCTCTATGCGGGTGGATTCGCGGTCCAGGTACCGTCGCAACAGGTCTACACGCTCGGACGCATCCTCGAGCTCCGAGGCCCGCCCTTGCAGGTCCACGAAGGCGGCGCCTAGGCTCTCGGGCGTCGGCTGCGCAACACCCAGGTCCACGGCCATGTTGGCCATGGCATCGAGGGCCGTGGACCCTTCCCTGGACAGGCGAGCTTCCAGGGCGGCGAGGAGGTCTGCGGCTAGGGATTCCCCGGTGGGCAGGCCGCCGGCCTTCTTGTCTCTCGGGAACTCTTCTTCTTCCTTCTCCTCCTCCTCCCGGCGCCGCTCCCGCCTCGCCTGCTCGCTGGCCCGCACGTCCTCGAGGGCGGCCTCCTCGACGCGGGCGAGCTGGTCGCGGTCCTCGTCGGCGGCCTCGTTGGCGGCGGCGAGGGCGAGCAGGGCGCGCAGGGTGTCGGGGTTGCGCTCAAAGGGGGGGATCCTGCTGCTGCCGTTGCTGGTGCTGTACTTGCTGCGCAGCCAGCTGTCGACGTAGCTCCAGTCCTTGGCGGTGGACGCGGCGGCGCGGGCGACGGAGGGGGAGAAGATGGCGGCTTGGGAGGGGGTTTTGAGGTGGGACATTGTTATTTGTGTTTTTGTGTTTTGGTTATAGTCTGAATAGATGTGTAGGTACCTAGTTTTATTGAGGGGGGTTGGAAATCTGTAGCTAAACTACCTAGGTACATAATTTGTGAATAGTTACAAATTGTAGGTACGAAGTAGAATAGAATTATACGCGAAGGTAAGAAAGACACGCGACTTGCAGGGGTATTGAATCGAATTGAATTGAATAGCGTTAGATTTGGCGGGGTGCGGCTAGCTGGCTACAAACGGCCTTCGGCGAGTCGATTTCCTTGCCATAGCCCCTCCTACCTTTTTAGGCAAAGGCGTGGTGTGGCGCGTAATCTAATCTACAATCTTATGTTTAGTATGTATTTATGTAGGTATGTATGTACATCGCGCCTGGAAGCTTGAGGTCATTTCTACCATGTATCTTCCAACAATAGAAGTGGCCAGCTTGTCCATGCAGGGATTACTTTGTTTAGCAAGTACGAATTTAACACATACTACCACAGTCATATGGTAAAGTATCATCTTAACAAATACATCTAGATTCTAGATACGTTACCACTTTGTTATGTACCTGAAGTTAATTATCTTTTAAACTTCCAAAGTTCCCCGTTGCTCATTTCATCGTTTGTCTTTTCTGTCCTTTTTTGTTTTTTTTAAATGTCAACATTTGAAGTTGTGATTTGATCAAATAATTATATTCTTGATCTTACATAGTAAATACCTAACTTCTAAGTTATAACTCTTCGCCTTACTGTTACTTACTTTTTATTATCCTACTCTTACTCATCAAACCCTGAAGGCGTACGCGCCAACAGGCATATCCAGTATCGCCTTGAAACCATGATTGTTCCTCTGTCGGCGCTGGCTATTGCTGCCACTGCCCTCTCTGCTAGTTCCGTTCAAGCCCTCTCCGCTTCAGATATACCCTCCGATACTCCCATCTCGGCCCTGCTCTCCTCGGCGCAATCACACTTAGCCAAAGGCGAGACAAACGAGGCCTTGACGTATTACGATGCCGCTATCGCCCGTGACCCCCGCGACTACCTAACTCATTTCAAACGCGCTACCACTTACCTGTCCCTCGGCCGCACGTCGCAAGCTACCTCCGACTTTAACACCGTCCTAAACCTGAGACCGGACTTCGAGGGCGCACATCTCCAACTCGGCAAGATTAAAGCCAAAAGTGCCGACTGGGATGGCGCCAAAGCACATTATATCTCGGCCAAGCACAAGCCGGGCTCTTCTGAATTCGACAGACTCACAGAAGCCCAGGGTGCTGCCAAATTAGCAGAAGTCGCTGCACAGAGCGGAAATTGGGACGAATGTATCACTCAAGCTGGCGAGGCCATCTATGTCGCAAACCGAGCGCCTAACCTTCGAGAACTGCGCGTCAAGTGTCGTTTTGAGAAAGGAGAAGTCGAAGAAGGAATGGGCGACTTACATCACATTCTACAGATGAAGGCAGGCGATACTACGCCGTATCTACAGATCTCTGCCACCACCTTCTATGGTTTAGGAGACTTGGAACAGGGTATGACACAGATCAAGAAATGTTTGCACTCAGATCCCGAATCCAAGTCTTGCAAGAAACTGCTGAAGCAAGAGAAGAATGTGGACAAGACGTTAACCAAGGTCAACAAGGCTCTTGAGAGAAACCAGCCCATGACTGGAGTCAAGTTGTTAGTGCCATCTGGTGAAGACCAAGGCCTGATCCACGAGGTGGAAGAGCAAGTCAAGGAGTTGAAGAAGGATGGCATCATTCCAGAACGCGCACCGAATGTGTTATTGGCCAGGCTGGTTGAAACAGCCTGCCAAGCTTACTACGAGGTATGACATTTGCTTATCCAAGACTTGTGGACTGAGACAGTTGCTAACGAATGACTCACATGCACAGGCGAATGCGAAGAAGGCAAGCACGTATTGCGCGAAGTCTTTGGAGTTGAATCAGGATTCGTTCTATGGTCTCTTGTACAAGGCCAAGTCACAATTAGAAGCAGAAGACTTTGAGCCTTGTATCGCAACGCTCAAGAAAGCCGCGGAGGTTAGACCTGACAAGAACGACGTGGTCAACCCCTTGATGCAGAAAGCCGAGGTAGCCCTCAAGCGTAGCAAGACCAAGGATTACTACAAGGTTCTCGGTGTTGCCCACGACGCAGATGAGCGACAAGTCAAGTCAGCCTACCGAAAACTAACCAAGATACATCATCCGGACAAGGCGATCCAGCAAGGCTTGACCAAGGAGGAGGCGGAGAAGAAGATGGCGAGCATCAACGAAGCATACGAGGTCCTGAGCAACCCGGAGCTGCGCGCGCGCTTCGATAGGGGTGACGACCCCAACTCTCACGAACAGCAGAACCCCTTCCAACAAGGCAACCCGTTCGGCGGCGGCGGCAGTCCATTTATGTTCCAGCAAGGCGGACGTCAGCAGTTCCAGTTCAAATTCGGATCCGGAGGCGGTGGATTCCCGGGTGGGTTCCCATTCGGCTAAGACATGCATTTCAAGACAAAAGACAAGGGAGAGGTCTCGCATGGCAATGGATCATTGGAGTTTTGTGGAGTTTTTTTTTTTTTTTTTTTTCGTCTGCCTCTTTTTGATGGCACATCATGGTGCATACCTAGGTATGTATGCATGCATGGTAGTAAATACAGATATCTATTTAGCCAGCCAAGCCAGTTTTTGAAGATTTTATTCCCGGTCTTGTCAGATGTGCTGGTCTGTTGGGATTAGGTACATACATACTGGTAATGTCCTGCTTGGGGATTATAGTCGTGGCGTCCTTGACCCCCCCTTTTCCATCCTCGTCTCGGGGACGATGTAGATAGGTAAGTTTGTCTAGTGTACTGTAGGACTACGATTTCGAGTTGTCACTTTTAATCAAACTTCGTGTGGTGATATCTACTGTACCTAGCTACGTATACCTATTACCGTCCCTTGTAGTGGCAGTATGTGGGTGGATATGATAGCAAGTCATCATCTCCCCCCCCTCTCCCCCTTTTTTCTTATATGTGATATCCAAATAACTACCTATTATACCTCCACTTAGCTATGCAAGTAAGTTCGTTGAGATAGATCACTTCCAATCAACCTCTCTCTGCCTTTGGCGGGTACTTAGCAGATAGGAAATATCGGAGACACATGTGCGGAACTACCATGCGTGGACATGTACCTAGGTATACATTACCTACATGTAGGACTTACATTGAGGCTTGCAGGATGTACATATCATATATCATGTAACCTAGGTATGTACGCCACGCTAATATATAAAATTTTTCTTCTCTTTTACATATCATGCGCCTACCCATGCATATATCTCATATAGAATACCCAGTATATGATACACAAAGGTATATAGAAACCCCTACATACTGACGCAGTGCCTATCATGCTGCTTACGGCGTAACTACAATAAGCGCACGCACCCTTCGAGCGAGAACTCTACATAGGGGGGTTAAGGTATAAGGTATTAGGGACCTATTAAGCAGTCACGAAGGAAAAAAAAAGAAACAATAAAGTTGAAAAAACAGTAGCCAGTTTGTTGATATGTTGAACGTGATGATTCAACGTCTCATTCCATTTCATATTCCTAGTCTCATTCATCTGTTCGTTCAATGCCGTTCGAGAGGCCAAACGGGTTTGCCCTTTGAAATTACTGTACATTGTAGTGTTTGAGAATGATTTTCAAATGGGGACGGGTATCATTATCCTCGTAACCTTAGAAGCCGTCACATTGCACTTCCTTATCCACTCACTTGCCCGTCAGCCAGCCAACATTAACTGTCAATCCGTGGCGAGCATGACGCACAGAGAGAGGAGAAGAGAGCAGAGGAAAGCCAACCCCAACCAAACAACAATGAACAGAACCCAGAGTGATAAAACGCCGTCTCTTTCTTTCTTTCGCGAAATTCCTACCATTATCATTCGAAGTCCCTTTGCCTTCAAGCATCAACGTCAATATCTTGACGATAGAGAGATGGCACCAGGGGAAGAGGGAGGGGGGGAAGGGGAGAGAGTAGTAGTTTTATGTACAAGTAGTGTCTAGCCAAACACCTGGCCTTTTCTTTCTTAGATTCTCCCTCTTCCCTTTCTTTCCGATTGCTCGTAAAAAATCTTAAGATGGTCCCGGAAAAAAAGAGAGTAGGTCAGAAGTGTGCGAAGGCGGAATCCCCACACAGAGGGCACCAATGATGGCAATTATCCAGGAATCGTTATCCCTTATCCCTATAGATTGATTCCCTGACAATCATTGCGGCATATTCGGCGAGTCTGTGAGATGGGACCAATCTTTTTTTCTTCTTTTCTCTTTTTTTATGTTTTATTTCATTTTCGTTTCTTTTCCGTATGACGAGGCACATAAGCCCCCAGTAGCCAAGTTCTGTCATCACCTTGGCAATTGTCATACCATAAGCGAGATGCAAATATTCTCACGGTCTCGGATTCGGTTACCTTATTCCTCGGAGATATGCTGACGGCGGGAGGATCGGCAAGAAAGGGGGCCGATTTGTGGGGTTATGCGTGAAGACTGCGTGGCATACCTCGAAAAAAAAACGAATTTCGACTTCATGCCCAATATTCCCCATCAAGAAGACGTAGATGATGAAGCAGAGGAAGAAGAAGAAGTGTTGGTGCGAATAAAGTAAGCCCTACGTATAGGAATGTTAGTTCATATCATTATAAATCATAAATCATATAACGAGAGTAGGCATGTAAAGACTGCAAAGACTGCAAAGACTGCAAAGACTGCACTTACTTGGATGCCTCGTACGCCGACCAGCAGATGGCCGTGCTCGGCATGGTAGTCACCACTCTCGGCCGAACTCCCTTGAAAAATCCACGGAAACCCTCTCGTTGTACTACAAGTCTGCATCCCGCCATAAATCCATTCACCGATCTTAGTTCGGAGTCTGTGGCAGTACCACGGGTCTGCAGCATCGTCTTCACCACGTCCATTGGAGTCGTCAATGCTGCTGCAAACCCACCAGCAACGGCACCCGCCATGCAGTGCGTAAAGGGATCGTACTTCTTGCTAGGATTCATAGCCGTGGATATAGACTCGTATGCAAGAAACTGCAGTGCAGTGAAGGGTACGGTCATCGAGAGCGTAGTAGGGTAAGAAACGTAAAAGGCCGAGAGACCTTCCGTCTTGTAAACGTATCGTGCGCAATCGGTCATGGATCGATACATTTTGCTAGAATGTTGGATCTGCATGCGTTGCTTGATGACTATAGCTGTAGTTAGAAGAGTGTTCTTTTCTTCCTTTTCTCTCTTGTTCTAAATTCCAACAAGGCACTCCAGCATACATACCGTCAAAGGGGTTCATGAGTGCATCGCTAGCGATCGTCGCGCAAGCTCCGCTCGTAGCTAACAAGGGAAAGATATGTTAGAGATCCGGTATCATCAAGACATCAGGTTGGAATTGGGATCGTCTAGGCTTACCTGCTGCGAGGGGGTGGTGGACACCAACTCGATTACCACCCATCAAGTGCTTTACTGCCTCGTACGTTGCGAAATACACAGCATGTGCAGGTCCTAAGCAGTTGGGATAGTGAGAAAATGCCTTTGGCCAAGCTTCTCTCTGACTCTCCGAGTGACCTACCGGCTCCAACCACCACACTAGACATGCCTCTCCAGAGTTTCAGGACACCTTCTCCGCTCGCCACGCGCATAGTGCTTTGGATCACACCCTTGTATACCGCGTTCGCCGAGGGGTTTATAATTTGCATGCGCGTCTGTAGGGATATCTTACGTTAGTTCCAATACGGAGGGTCGGTTAGGATCGAAGGTCGCGCACCTTGATAGCGTCAATCGGGTACATGACTGTGTGTTCCTGTTATCCTGTTAGTTGGCGCTCAAATTGGCTTCAAAAATTGTGATAATAAGGGCAATCGAGGCGTACCGCTATACCGGCGAAAGCACCGGCGGTCATATTCTGGGCCAGAGAGAAATTGGGTGGCAGAGACTCATAACTGGAGGAGTCAGCAATTTGATATTTATATATGCATATATATATATGTGTGTGTAAGTGCTGCAGGGGCACCAAGGTAAGGTATCGCGACATACTCGTAATCCTCGACGGGTTCGACGATTGTAGGCTGGGCCATTTTGGCCACAGCTGGTGAGCCTTCGCCGAAGGCCTTCGGTTGGAGCGCCAGGGTTGCGTCTTTGCGGACTCGGGGGTGGTTAGTCGCGCAGGTTTCAACTCGAACGGCTCGAACGGCTGGACCGTTAGTGTCCCCGCCCTATATGCCCTATATATCAAGACGATACGGCGAAATGAGAGATATTACGGGTTAAGGAAACCGGTAGTGGCGGATATTCGGAATTCTCGAGAATGGAAGATGGAAAATATTTCGCAAAGGATCAGTTAGGAGTTGCGAAATAATAAAAGATGGTTGGGTATGAAGAAAGGGAAGTGGATATGAAGTATAGAAGGGTACTATGTAAGCGCCTTGGATGCGACAACTTCAAAGTGCAAGAAGTTCAAATGATGATGGGGAAAATAATTCGGACTCAAATACGTAGATGAATGAATTGATTTGGTGGTACAAGTGGATAGTTAATGCTGGGCAACTAGGTAGCTTTTAGCAGCTAAGGTACCTTTAGCATTGTGCATAAAAACCTCTTCGAGGTGAAAAAACATTGAAAATTAAAAAAGCCAAAAAAAAAGTTGGATCGCAGCGCATTTCGGAGCCCGGATTTGCAGGGATAAATATTTAATACATACATATTGAGGCCGAGGCTGAATCTCCATGTGGCTTTATAACACCGTTGCATTTAAGGTACCTGGTACCTACTTAATGCATACAATCCTTCAGCTTCTATTCCATTATTTTCCCAAGGTGTCAATAACTATCAACATAAATACCAAGGTGATGAACATGTAGGTAAATAAATCATCATGCTAGGTGTAAGCATAGAGGTCAGTCTGACAGATTAGTAGTAGTGGTAGAAGTAGTAGTAGTAGTAGTAGTAGCTAGTATAAAGTACTTAGGTAATAACTAGAGGTCTGCCGCCAATATGGGAAATGATGTGAGAGATGCGATCAGATAAGACAACATAACTATACCTACATACAGTACCTACATGCTAGGTAGGTATAAAAAACCACTAACCCTCCACATGCAAGACTTCTTCCCGCAATCACGGCTTCTAGAATCCTTCCATGTCGATAAAGTCACTGATCTATGATCTCAATCTATGATCAAGACCCGACGGGAAGGTAGATCTTACTGCTCTGCACGTTGCAGGCCTGAAACCCGGGGTTGTGTAGTTACATCCCCCTCGTTCCATCGGGCAATCATCGTATGATGGTGGATGATATTCGGGATACCCGATTTTACCCCCTTGGCGTCTTACTGTTAGGTAAGTAAGGCTACCCGGCGAAGAATATCTCTCTCTTTTGAAGCCTTCTTATTTCATATTGTATAGCTGAACATCTTCCGACCTTAGATGAATAGGCTGTCCTTCGAAGTCGTCTTACGTAGAGCGTTTATATATCCCTTTTCGTGAAGTCAGTAGTAGTTTCGACAATATATTTATGTAGCCATTAGTTGGCAGTCGTATCTTAGGCGAAGCTCGTGCATTCATTACCTAGTGCTACACTAGTATTTTCTGTCTTGAAGGAAACTTTGAAAGGAATAATTCCAGCATACCTGCTTGTGTCTGTATATGTAGCGTACAGGGTCCATAACAGGTAAACCAAGAAAATTACCTAGATGCTCAGGTTTTCGGGGCAATGCCCTATCGTCACGACATCGAATGCCATCGAAGGGGTTGGAGGAGCTAAGTTTTTGTTATATTCGAACCAGTTCAATATTAGATACGCCGTACAAGTAATAAGGAATTATATTGATCCCCCCGACGAGTTTAAATTGAACTTCAAGTCAGTGAAGTCACTAACCTACATGTACATAACTACTCCTTTCCTTCTTTTTCTCCACCGATATATGCATATTAGCCAAGTTTGGGATGGATTCAGCCTGGATCTTTTAGATCTTTTGCAATGATCATGCCTCGGGAAGTCCGGGATCTATTATTTAGTTTTCCTGCTATGAATTTCATACATACACACGTACATGCGGCATCTCATCTCCCCTTGGATGGGTCTAAGCAAAAAATGGACCTTTTGGCCGAACCCCATCTCCATTCTCCTCCATTCTCTATTCCCTTTTTCTCTCTATGCCTAGGGTAGTTAGATATATATTCTTATATTCATATATATGTACATACAGCAACAATATAGGTGCACATGTGGGGGTTCCTTTTGCCGTATGCATCAATCCAGACTCGCCCGCAGGCGGGACCTGAAAAAGACCTGGTTCAATCATAGCTTGGCGATTGGTCAATTCGAGTTTTTAATACGTCATCTCCACCAGGCTAAATATTTTTTTATACCCTTCACAGGGATTTAAATGGTATATGATCACGTGAGAGCCCCGCGCAGAGGCAACATTGGCTTCGGGTTGGTGGTTTCTGTTGGCTTTGGTGCTACGCTGAACTGGGGTACCGACGACCGGCGTACGTGGGGTAACAAAGTACAGTCACAGTCACCTGTGATTCATAACTTGGAACCTTTTTAAAGTAGAATTTTCTTGACACCAAAAATTTGACGTATAATTCTACCATCCTCTTTTATCTTTTTTTTTTTTATCTTTTATTCTTTTTATTCATCCCTCTTCTCGCAAAACCTCAATAAAATAATCTAGATCATCGTACTATCATATTATCAAACATGTGTGGTACTGATAGTCCAGCTGCCAGCAATGTACGTTGTTTGTTGAAGCACTAATTTTCCATGTCATCCTTATTTCACTTCTTGACCTGATCTGATCTGACCTGACCTAACCTTTGTTTCCCATCTTCTAGGGCACCAATGGCACCAATGGCACCAATGGCACCAATGGCACAAACGGCACAAACGGCACCAACGGCACCAATGGCTCATCTCCTGTTCGCCGCTCAAACCCATACCAATCCAACCCGGGCGAATTCTTGTCCAACGTAGGAAAATTCAAGATTATTGAGTCAACTCTCCGCGGTTCGTTCTTCCTTTTCATCTCGAGCGTCTCGTGAGATCGAATCCCATACTGACAACAACATAGAAGGAGAACAGTTTGCCAATGCCTACTTCGATACACAAACCAAAATCAACATGTGAGTCAGCTAGTTATATAACATGTCCTTTAAATTTTTCTTCTTCTTCTAGCTAACAACTCCCTTTCTAGTGCCAAAGGTATGCCGAGCCCTCCCATGACGACATATTCTTTTTCCCACAGTTACTAAATAGCAGCCGTTGCTTAGCTCTCGATGCCTTTGGAGTTGACTATATCGAACTCACCTCCCCCGCCGCCTCTGAGCAATCACGCTTGGATTGTATCGAAATTTGCAAGCTTGGCCTTAAGGTGCGCATTCTAGCATTCCTTCTTCGTGAATTTTATGCTAATACATTTTATTCAGGCCAAAATCTTGACGCGTGAGTCACCACGGAACGCATTCTACTCTGCTCGTCAAGCTAATTGTGACTCATAGATGTCCGCTGCGATATGCGAGATGTCCAAATGGCCATTGACACTGGTGTAGACGGCTTGGATATTGTCATCGGCACCTCGAGCTTCCTTCGAGAGCACAGCCATGGAAAGGACATGGCCTTCATCACCAAGGCCGCTTTGGAAGTCGTCCAATACGTCAAGTCTAAGAATATCGAGGTTCGATGTATGTTCCCAGTATCCTTTTGAAAACCGCAAACATTGGCAAATATTGGCTAACACCGCATAGTCTCGAGTGAGGACTCGTTCCGATCAGATCTAGTAGATCTGCTATCTCTTTACAATGCCGTAGACAAAGTCGGCGTCAACCGTGTCGGCATTGCTGATACAGTTGGCTGCGCCAGCCCCCGCCAAGTATACGAGGTGAGTAGCTCAGATCTGCCCATGGTTGAAACCGCATTAACAATAGATACAGCTCGTCCGAACCTTGAGAGGCGTGGTTTGTAAGTTGCCGTGATATCTTTTATCAAATTATATCTACTAACTCATCCACAAGCTTGCGATATCGAGACCCATTTCCACAATGACACTGGCTGTGCTATTGCCAATGCGTAGGTGTCCTCTCCCTTGATCGGAGTATAGATTTTAGTAGCTGACTTGGTTTCCAGCTTCTGTGCTCTTGAGGGTGGTGCAACACACGTTGATACTAGCGTGCTCGGAAGTATGTATTTGCAGCTTTTCCTTTGAAGAGAAAGGTGTGTTCCAAAGAATTGCAATCACTAACACTTTACAGTCGGTGAACGAAATGGCATCACGCCTCTTGGCGGCTTCCTAGCACGTATGGTGGTCACGAGCCCTGATTATGTCAAGAGCAAGTACAAGCTTAGCATGATCAAGGAGGTTAGTTTGCCACATTTACATGTGCCTGTGGTCATTAGACTGACAAAATATAGATCGAGGATATGGTCGCTGAGGCGGTAGAGATCAACACCCCTTTCAACAACCCTATCACCGGGTTCTGTGCCTTTACCCACAAGGCCGGTATCCAGTAAGCATATTGTCTTGATTTTTGCCGCTCCCTTCAAAGGATAATCGCTAATGTTAAACGTTACAGTGCCAAGGCCATCTTGAACAACCCTTCCACATACGAAATTCTGAACCCCGCGGATTTTGGCTTGACGCGCTACGTACACTTCGCCTCCCGCCTAACAGGCTGGAATGCCGTCAAGACTCGAGTTACACAGCTCGGTTTATCGATGACGGATGAGCAGGTCAAGGAATGGTACGTGACTAACTCGAATCCTAACTGCTTGGAGACTAGGACTAACGTGATTACTTGTAGTACCTCCAAGATCAAGGCGTTGGCTGATGTGAGACCGATAGCCATCGATGATGCTGACTCCATTATTCGAAGTTTCCACCTAAATCTACAGCAAGCTCAGACTACAAATTAAGTAGCATTTGCATTTGGTAAGAGGGAAATGGAGCATATAGGAGTAATTTTATTTTTCCAAAATGGAGCCGATATAAAAGGGGCATCATCAAAAGGAACCAAAAAGGGACCAAAAGTTTTGTGTGCATAACTTGGGCTCGGAAAAAAAGACATGTAGATCTGGGGTAAGGCTCTAGGTTAGCATAGACCTCCTGGCATCTTGTCTACTTACAACTAAGGGGGCCGGGGAAAAAAGTCATTAGTAGCATTGTTTTTCTGTCCTTAAACTTTTCAATACCATGGCCGAGCATTCGGCTTCTCACGTTCATATATTCCAAGACTTCCGTGACGATATTTTACAACTTTGGGGGAATACAACCCAGAAGTAGTTCTTATTAGATCTCCTATTGGTATACCAAATCCGTACATGCAAGCAACCCCCCTTTTGTGTTGTGAGGTGGTAAGGGGGGATACGAGCATGAAAAAGTTCGTTACCAAATGTAAACAAACGTAAAGCGTCAAAGCAACAGAACCCCCTGACTTACTAGATACTTCCTAGGTATTGTACATAGACCTTCGATATCCTTGTTCAACTGCGTACTACTAACTACGTAGGTCTTATATCCAATGTACCGGTATATTGACTTCTACATAGATCCTAGATAATAGGGTATAAATAGATAGATAGATTAGGTAGGTAGATTATATACCTATGTGAACATGCCTTAGCACCTATAAAAGTGGTAATCATCTATTCCCACCTACTGTAACTTGGGCGTGTGTGTGTGTGTGTGTGTGTGTGTGTGTGTGTGTGTATTGGTATCTGCTACATACCTACCTACCTACTGAATATATGTAGTGTAGTGTAATGTAATGTGTACCCCATGTATCATGCATATGATGTTTATGCTAGTACTAATCTGCCTGGAAGTGTCCAGCTTCGAATGCCAAACAAACAAACAAACAAACAAAAAACACCGTGACCGTGACCGTAACCATTGTCGTAGGTAAACCGTAGTAAACCGTGGAACCCTTATACTCCTTTCCCATACCTGTATTCCGCTGTGATCGCTCAAGTCGACCCCGACTACTATCTACGTAGTCCATCAACCAATCGAGTAAGCAACTTAGTCCGCAAAAATGAGGCCAAGTACTACCAAAAAGGGGCATTCACATAACACCTCGCTGGTTCATGTGCGCTTGCTGGAACTGCTTCAGCATAGTCACGACACCCGGTCCATCGTCGCCGTCCGTGGCAGTACTACCCTCCCTACTGAGCCCATGACCAGGCGAACCCTCCCATGTTGATTCACCTAGACGCGCAACGCTCTCCTCGACGTCGCCTTCGTCTGTGTAGTTCGTGTCTCGTCGGCGCATGACATTCCTGGATGCGGTAGCGTCTTCCATGGCTTCTTCGATGGTATTCGGGCCCGGAATCGGGTATGGCCCGCGCTGCTGGCGCGCACGCTTCGGGGTGCGGTTAGTTGTGAAGGAAGCCGAGGGTTGATGGTGGGGGTCAAGAAGCATCGAGGCCATGGGCGAGGGTGCGAAGGCTGGCCCGAAGCGCGGTGTTTTGGCGAGGGGCTGGGGGTTCGTAGGTGCTCGACTTCGCGGTCGTTCACCAGATCCAATACGTGATGACCGCATATCCGCGGCCAGAGTTGGCGACATCAAGCCTGGAAAGTTAGGTGGGGGGTGAAACTGGTGACGTCCGGCTGGTCCTAAACCGTGAGTGCCCGGGAGTCCGGTTCTCGGGTGGTAGACATAATTATCTAAGAATCCATGCATCGAGGCCTGCATCTTGCCATGTTTGGTAGCATAATAATCTTCGCGAGCATCGCTTACGTTCGCCTGTTGCTGGGGTTTGCTGATCCGTTGGTCCTTCTGGAAATCAAAGACTGCAAACGAACAAACATAGCCTAATCCATCGACGTGAATCGTGAATTCGCGGAAGAAGTCGATGATTTGATCGCTGCATTTCGGCAAGCTCAGGAAGAGTACGAGAGGCGTTATCAAAACGCCAAAGATCTCCTCCAGGAAGATAATGATCCTTGGCTTGTAGAACTCGGAGAAATCAGCTTTAACCTCGTAGCTGTGGAGTCGGCCCTTCCATTGGTCTGGTTGGTAATGCGTGTATTCGATGACATTCTGCATCGCAAACTCGGGATCAAACACATCGTTTTCTTCCGATATCATCCCACGAGCGACCGCCCACGTCGTTGTCATGAGCGCAACAAAAGCAAACGCGTTCATCCCAGGAAACAACTCAAAGTCAACAAACATCTCTGGATCGGAAAACCCAACGATGGCAATAACGGCTATGAGCGCACCAGCAAAGAATTGTATCGTCCGAGCAGCTGACTCCGTCTTTTTCTTTGGAAACTGATCGATATAGTGCTTTGCGAACGGATAGGACATATTGAGACGCTCCTCAAAAAGGTGAGGGAGTTCGTTAAACTCTCGAAATTTCCATCTTGCAAGAGGTGTGTACTGTCGAGCCCCCAACGACGAAGTGTTGGTTTTGAATTCCTAGATAAGATGTGAGTAGGTAGGAAGGTAGGAAAGCAGAATCGAACTTGAATACAAGGAGAATAGATACTCACGTTGTAGTATGTGAAAATGAAGTCGATGACAAGCGCCGAGGCGAGAAAAGGGGCAAAGATGAGATTCATGAACGCAGCAAAAACAAACCTCGTATGCATGTCCCTGCTCAAATGTCCCCGATGATCGGACTTCAGTACACGTTGATGCACCTGACCGCCTTCGTTAAAGACGAGGTCTAGAACGCCGAACTGAACGGTCCACTCGAGCGACTTGGAGAATAGTTGCCGATTTCGTAGAAACGGAAGCGGAGCTGTTAGGTCTAGTATATCTTTATTGAAGAGAGCTATAATGTAATTTTCTCGTCTCATCAACCTGTTTGCAATGTCATGAGCGTCGAGTCTCTCTTTTGATTGGCTGGCCATATGCGGTCCTAGCTGCTTGGACAAAAAGCGTCGCTGGGATGGTGTGATGTTGGTAGCCGTCTTCACATTCTCATCACGGAGGGCAGTGATCTTGGAAACGACATCTTGCCAAGATACGGTCTGCATATCCTCTTCGGGGATATCTAAGAGATAGACGAAGAAATCGCGTATGTGCATGAGGCGGGGTACGTCGAGAATCCACTGGATAGTCTTCCAGACAAAGTAGAAGCTACAGACCCAGAGGGTCAAGTTCCAGATACCCCACATGTGCTTAGTACACTGAGGAATCATGATCTGCGACAGACTCTTGCTATCTCGGAGTTTACTGTAATCTATACACTGCGATATCAGGGTGAGCAAAGTTGCTACAAAGGCGACCTTCCTGTCAAATGTGAGCTCACGAATTCAAAAGGCAGATGTCACGGTAAAGGGGAAGCCTTACATTAAGTGCAGAAACCTCTCGAGCAGGATACACCACATTCCTGCTCCCAAATAGTAGTCGTAGACATCTCTAATGAAGACGTCGAGGTTGGAGACGTTGGCCCATCTGAACATAGCCTTGTCTTTTGGACTCCCAGTAAACCCTGGTCTCCTCGTAGAAGGCCCTGCTTGATGCTGGCCATGCCGTGGGCCATAGTCGTCATCATCGTGTAACCTCTGTTGCGCCTGCGCAGTCTCCCACTGTGCTTGTATTTTTCGGTTCGAGGGATGTCTAGGATTTCGTGACTGCTTGGGGCTACTTCTGCGTGGGTTGGACCTGCTCATAGGGGGTTCGGGCCCCTCAACTAGCAGAGAAGCAGGAACGTCATTATCGCCATCGTCGTCAGGCATGAGCCATCGCGGTCTCATCTCCTGTCTTCCCGTTCTTGTGATGCCATGATGAGGTTCGCCTGGAGTAGCAAGAAGGCTACGAGGTGGGGAGGCGCGGCTATCTTCGAGACCAAGACCATCGGTATGATCTATTTCATCATCGCGAAAGTGATGAGCAAGGTTCTCTTCGTCAACGTCAAGGCCGGCTCTACTCTCGATATCGTCATCATGATCTCCGAGTCGATCGTACATGGGTCGGTTCTCGCCGGATGGGATGAGGTTGGAAAAGAGACTAGGAGGCATCGTATCGGATCATGAGTTTTAAGTGCATGTAGAGTGCGTATAAAGGACGTGGGCGTGGGCGTTTGTTGGCTTTCCAGTTAGGTGTAAACGAGATCAAGTTCGTATCCTTACCATGATCAAGCTTGTATATGTAGGTATGAATAAGTCGGATGAATGGTGACTGTTGGGTATATGCAAAATACAAGATGTAGATAATATAGATAGATAGATAGATAGGCAGGTAGGTAGGTAGGTGCCTATGTATTGATGTTCTACCCTAGGTAGGTACTGTTAGAAGTAGGTCAGGTAAGATTGAAGACAAATAACGTTTGATTACATGCCCAAAGCTATGACGCACGAAACAAGAAGTAAGTACAGGTAGGTACTAGTAATATGTACCTTGGTAGGTTATCAAACTACATAGATGTACATAGGTATGTAGGTATGTATGATTTTTAAATGCTTAAATGCTTAAATGGGTCAACTGGACTTGCTTGACGTGCTTCTCAAGTGCTTCAACTCCACGAGGCAGCCGCACGCGTTAATAGGCACACATGCATGCAATCCCACGTACTTGTGTACGTACTTATAGTACAATAACTATGTCCGCGTGAGTGAAGTCATTTGACAGGGATCATGCCAGTGCTTACAGGTACACCATGGTATATGTAGTAGTACCCACATGTGCAGCTGTCAGCCATCCTTTCCCAGGTGTCGTTTTATCTTCTCAATTTAACTTATTAACATGCATCGATATTGACGAACCCTCCGTTAGTTATATTGAATAATCATATTAAAATATTAAATAATCAAAAAATAATGGCCTCAGATGGCCCCAGCTCGCCCGGTCTACCAGGACGGGATGATCTATCCATAAGATCATCGTCGCCTTTAGGTACTTCAACTGCAGCATTAGTAGGACGATCATCGAATCCGCTATCATATAAAGTGACATCTGTACTTTCAACATCATACGCAGATGCCGAGTTCCGCGAGTCTCTTGCTTTGCTAGATGAGCGTGGCATCACCAACAGTCCTGAGGCTCGGAGGCAATTACGTCTTGATGTCCAGAAGGAGGTTATCGACAGCAATGGCAAAATTATATCCGAATTCGGCCGGGTAGCTGACCAGTTAAGGAGGATTGGTACTACCATTGAAAAGCTCAATAAGAGCTACCAGGAGATGAGAACCCACGTGATCACCGCTCACGGCTCGACATCGACCATGCTCGAGGAAGCATCGTCTCTCATGACTCAGAGACAGAATATTGAGACAAAACAACAGGTCTTGAAAGCCTTCCGCGAGCATTTCGTTCTATCTGACGATGAGGTGGCGTCCTTAACTATATCAGCCGAGCCTGTCGATGATCGTTTCTTTGCTGTCCTATCCAAGGCAAAGCGCATCCGGAAGGATTGCGAGTTCCTACTTGGTTTCGAAAGTCAGACCCTTGGCCTTGAAATAATGGACCAAACCTCCAAATACTTAAACCAGGCTTTTCAGAAATTGTATCGCTGGGTTCAGAAGGAGTTTAAGACGCTCAACCTAGAAAATCCTCAGATTAATTCGTCTGTTCGTCGGGCTATTCGTGTACTTGCTGAACGGCCATCCCTTTTTCAAAACTGTTTGGATTACTTTGCAGAAGCTAGAGAGCACATCCTTTCTGATGCTTTCTATCTGGCACTCACGGGAACATCGGCATCCGGTGCAAAGGACAACTCTGTAAAGCCGATCGAGCTAGTAGCTCACGATACATTACGTTATATTGGAGATATGCTGGCGTGGACACATTCTGCCGCAGTCAGCGAGCGGGAGGCTCTCGAGATTTTGTTTATTTCCGACGGAAACGAGATAGCCAAAGGAATCCAGGAGGGACGCGAGAACGAGCTGTGGGGATTAATGGCCGATGAGTCAGACGGGCCCGCAGAGTTTGATGCTGTGAAGGCCCTGAATGATTTGGTTGATAGGGATGTATCTGGAGCGGCTCGCATTCTGAGGCAGCGAGTCGAGCAGGTCATACAGACCAACGAGGAGACCATCCTTGCATACAAATTGGCGAACCTCCTTGGATTCTACCGAGTGACGTTTTCGAAGTTGCTTGGCGAAGACTCGGTGCTCCTACAGGCGATGACCAACCTAGAGTCAGAAGCGTTACGGCAGTTCCGCTCATTAATGCGGGATCACATCATAACCCTCGAGGGAGAGTTCCAGCACACGCCGTCAGACCTCGGACCACCGGACTTTCTACAGGATGCGCTCAAGCAACTCAATGCCATAATGAAGACCTACGAGACCTCGCTCTCCTCGGGAGGCGATCGCGAGGCCGACTTTGAACCTATCCTCGCCGAGTCATTCGACCCCTTTATGTCAGGCTGCGAAAACATGTCACGAAACATCTCGCCCCCTTCCAACTCCATCTTCCTCGTCAATTGCCTCCTCGCAGCCAAAAGCGCTCTGAACCCCTTTTTAGATTTCACGCGCACCCGCGTCGACCGCCTCGCCTCAGCCATCGACGACCACGCCTCCAAACTCGTCGAAAGCCAGTACGCGTTCTTCCGGACCGAATCCGCCCTCGAGCCCCTTTTAACGGCCCTAGCGCCTCTTAGCGACACCAAAGAGGAAGACGTCGCCCAGGTCACCTCTCTCGACGCCCTGCGCCCCGAAGCTCTCGCGCAAGCCAGCCAAGGCCTCGACGACTTCCTGCCCTCGGCCGTCATGGACGCCATGGAGAACGTCAAGCACCTCCAGGACGCGAAGCTGGCGCGCGAGATCACGGAGGAAGCCGCGGATAAGTTCTGCGTGGACTTTGAGCACGTCGAGGAATTGCTCATCGCCGCGGACGAGTTAGCCGAGGAGGAGGAGCTGGAGCGGAAAGGCGGGCACGGACACGGACACGTGGGGGCACGTGGGGAAGAAGGGGGAGGAGGGCCTCCGAGTCTCAGGGCGCTGTTCCCTAGGACGACAGGCGAAATTAGGGTCCTGCTTTCGTGATACACAAAGACAGAAACATGACGGGGTAGGGTGGGGTGGATGGAAGGGGAAGGGAGGCCTAGGCTAGGCGAGGCGAGGAGAGGATCGAGAGACACGAGGCGGAAAGTGGAGTGGAGTGGAGTGGAGTGGAGTGGGTGCCCAAACACGTGCGGGAGGCTGTTGTTATGTTACCTACGCTGTTACGTCGTGTCACCGCATTACATACATTACATATATATACATGTAGTAGACAGACAGGAGACAGGACAGATATGTAGGGCGAAGGCAAACCGAACTAAATCAAACCGAACCGAACCGAACCGAACTAAAACCCAGGGGAATGGGAAAGTACTTAGAAAGGAAAAAAGAGTGGTAGGTAGTGCAAAGAAGAAGCGTGCATATACTTTGTGCTCTTCATTTCTCATAGCTGGCAATATGTAGTCTCGCGTGCCTAGGGCTGGATAGCTGGAATATGTAGGTAGCACAGGATACAGGATGTAAGCTAACCTAGGGTAGTAGGTAGGTAGTAGGTAGTAGGTAAGATACACAAAACATCCCCGTATGCCCCCCCCCCCCCCTTTATGTTTCTCTTTTCCCGTGGCCCACCAACACATTGCGCGTGCCTTGTATTGCCTCGCTTGTTCTTCTCGATGAACCTCCGCCTCTTGCTCCTGGCGTTTTGCCTACATCGGCTGTTGATGTTTTCTCGATCTCATGATCGCTTTCCGCGTTAGGACTAGGACTACGATTATCCGTATCCGTATCCGTATTCCCTTTCGTCTTCTTGACGGGCCACGCCTCCACGTTGGCACTGGGCCTTCTCGGCCTCTTTACTGCTGCGTCCTCATCCACGTCTTCGAGTTTCCTCAGCGCGGCTGCTAAGCGCTTACGTGCTACGATCTCGCGGTCGCTGCTATTGGGACCCGGTCGGTAGAATTGCTTCACCACGCCTACCGTAGCGTGGTAACACTCGTACAACAACAGGCGAATATGGGCGGTCTCGTAATCCTCAATGAGAATATCTTCATTGCTCTCGGATTCTCCACGACTTCTCGGGTCGGGAGAAGTATCTAGTCCTCGGACGTTTCGGAAACCGCGCAGAAACTCGCTCGAAGGTCCCTGGCTGAATACTTCGGCAATAAGGGGATCGCCAAAGATGCAATTGCTCCAGTCGCAAAGACCCGTGACGGAAATGGTTGGTTGCCGCGCTTCAGATAGCCTTCTTCCCTCGCCTCCTTGGTTCCGTCCTTCTATCCGTTCCTCAGTCGTGGCTCTATTCTCTCCCCGTTCCGTTTCTCGGCTAGATGGTTGCTGTTGCGGGTTTGTGTCGTGCTCCTTACTGTTGAATTTAGTTGATCTTGATACTCGAATATTGGATTCATCGCTCGCATCCAGTATAACTAGTCGAGCAGTGGTCACACCATCCAAGAAGTGGCCCAACCTGTTAAAGTAACCCCTGATTGGCTCGTAGCTGATGGCCACGGCCATATCCTCCGCGTCTCTTAATACACCTTCTAATAAAGAGTGGAAAGTATGTCTCCAGCTTTCAGCACCATGGACACCAAAGCCAGCCGGTTGCGTTCCAGATGAATCGGTAGACGGTGGTTCTGGGTTTAATACCGCTACGATTCGCCCGAAAGACTTATTCGGTGATGTGAACCCCGAGATCCATCGCACAAACTGACCCTGTTGAAAGTCCACCCCCTTTTTCTCGGATGGCGTTAAAGGTGCCAGGAGTTCGGATATAGAGACCCCTCCCGTTGGCTCGAATATGTTGAAAGGAGAACCTAACTCTGCTGATGAGGGCGAGTGGATGATGGGGACGGGAAGGAACCTGAGCAGATCCCTTCTCGAGCCTTCTGTCCCTTCGAGGCGTGCTCTCTGTTCATCCTTATGCGGTTCCCCTTTGATTTGCCTAGGAATATCAGTGCTCTCAGGGACAAGATGTCTAGCCTGGGCAGGATTTTCTAGCACAGTCTCAAGAAGCCACTTGGTTACCAATGTTTCTGAGAGGTTTGTAGACCTCTCTGACCGGAGTAGTCTCTGTGTGGGAGGTGGTGGCAGACTGAGGATTAGTGTCCTGCCATCCGAGACCTTAACACTGAAGAACCGCAGGAGTCGACATGATGGCAATGGATTGATAGACTCGACAGTAATATTTGGAAGAGCATTTCGAATTACTGAACGCATAGACTCGAGAGGGTGAGATCGATCCATGGAGGGGAAAGGTGACAAACGGTCATTCCGTGCAACAAAAGAAGTTTTTGGACGTGAAATTAGCCATCTTGTGGAACGCGGTAAGCCGTGTACGTCGAGGACCCTTTTTGACGGGTGAGGTTGGGAAGAAGCAGAGTCGGGAATGTGGAGTGAGATGAAGGGATTGCCGGTAGCTGCGACGACGGAGTATGGGTCGGTTGGCAGCGTTAATCCCACGCTTGATGTCCGACGCATTACTTGTGTCTGTGGCATCTGATTTCTGATAGGTGGCAATGGTATGCTATAAGAGGCACAGATAATGGCTTAAATGGGAAGGTTGAGACGGGATGCTTGTTCCTCGGTGAAGGATAATAATTAATGACAATACTCAACCTAGGTAGATATGCCGAGATGATAACCAACATGGAACGACTCAAAGGAGATATGAATGTCTTGGCCCGCGGTTGGATCGGTCGATGCCGGAATATGTCAATCTATGAATACGCAGACAACTGATCTACAGAGTTGCGGATGTTTATCGTCCCTGTTGGACTTACACAGAAGACAATATATATATTTGAAGGAGAAACTATACTGACGGAGAGGTAAGGGGTTATGAGGGAGAGCGAGAAGAAAAAGTTGGAACGATGATCTCAACATGGCAACTTAGTAGATGAGTGATACTGGCGGACTGGGTCCCAAGAGGACGAATTCAACCAAGGGCATAAGTAAAGAAAAAAGCGGTATTACGGGATATGATACGTCTGAAGAGACGATAGACAGCTCTCGTGAGGCTAATGTGAAATGTAGTAAGTTCGAGTACTGACGAATGAGGCGTTCTCGCCTGGCGAAGAAAGACATCCGACTCGCGGCTCCTAAGGAGACTAAGATAGCAACAGGCAATACTCGCCTAAAAAGAAGCGTAAGCAAGTTACAAAGTGGAGCGGACGATCTGAAGTGGCTGCAATGATGTGCGTCGAAGGGGAGGAGGACATGTTATTCCTCCAAGGTGAAACGAGAAGCATGATATGGTTGTTCCACTTGGATCAAGAGACATCCGAACGCCAAGGCGCCAACCGAATGATTCCAGACTTCGAGAAGCCCAGCTTTACCCATCTTACCCATCTTACCCAGAGCTACCTTACCTACCTACCCTTCCTAGTGTAGTATAACCTAGTGTAGGTAGTGTAGGTAGGTAGTGTAGGTGTAGGTACGTCAAAGGTTCGCGGCCATGATCCCAGCTAGGTGCGGCAACTGTGCGGGCTGAGAGCTGGCATGAAAGATGCCATGACTCCATGAGTAAGAGAAGGGGAGAAGCTGTTGTGGGACTTTCAATTTCCATGTATTCCCATGTATTCCCATGTACTATGTTAGTATCATGTAGTCCCACGCAAATTAGGACCCAGCAGATGCATTCTACGACGCCAAAATTCCGAGGGCAGATCGGGATACCGAAGAATCTAAGGGAGGAAACACGGTCCCGTAGAAGGCTACCTTGGCCATTGGGTTTTGACAAGCGAACGTTGCATGGACACGATGGTGTCTCATTACCTTCATTGCCTTCATTGCCTTCATTGCTCCCCCGTTGTTGCGCTGTAATTCAGCGGTGTGTGTAACAAGCGTGGGACGGGAAAAAGACACGATGGATGATAACTATGCACAATGTGTTAAAAAGAAGGGACCTGAAGTGGCATTCATTGTTCTGACAGGTTTTGGCGTTTGGCGTTTGGCGTTGGTGTTGGTATTGGCATACGAAAGTGCTGGGGAAAGGTGAGGAAAATGCATTTGAGAAGAAGAAAAAGAATTAATTGGTGCCTACAGTTGCAGCAGACCTTGTAAGTTGTACCGTGGTAGTATGTAGTCTAGGATAATACATTTTTAGTACAGTTACATTGGGAAGCGAGCCGGAGAATTTATCATTGGCTGGAAGTAAGCGAAACTGGCCGAATTTGGTAAGGTCCCGAGCCTTAATTATGGGAGTCATAGGGACAACCCATCCAGGGCCTCTTTATACCCCTGCTTCTTAACAGCCTACTTTACTTTGATGTATCCACATCTCGCATTCCCATTCCCAAGTATGTATTATTAGTAGTACGTACTAACAACCTAACCTAGTATTTCACTTCCACCTATCGTACAACACGCATTGTACCATCGTCATCTTCAACCTTCTCGGTTATACATACATACATACAATGAACGCCAACATTTCATCCCCAGCCACGAACACTCAGCTGGAGAAACTAACTTCCCGTAATTTATACGCTATAGTACATGTTATAGAATAGTCCACATATCAAAGATCTAAGGCAACTAGTTACTATGTAACTGACTGTCACGTTGCACGCGTATGTATACTCTTATCCCGGACCGGTCAACCTTGTTGCTGCTTATTAGAGAAGATTTATATAACCCCTTCGAAGTCTATTCGATACGATGCCAAGAATTATTCCGTGACACAAAGGGTTAATTCTTCGACATAAATGTATGTATATACATACTTCCAGTTATATAGTATATACATGTCATACATACCTACATAGTACATACCTATATGCATACCACGTACACAGCTATGTATGTGAACTACGGTCACCACTTCGGTCTTGTCGGTCTTGTCGGTCTTTGATCGTGAGATCAAGCCAACAGTATAACAACCCGGTATCTGTCCATCTATCCTGCTAACCTAACCTCCTACCTAACTAGGTCCATAGTAAATCTTTAATGGACGCTCAATGGCGTATCCGAGCAAACAGACGACCACTCACGAGCTCTGGGTAGCGAGGATCGCTGGCATCTACAACGATAGTAAAAAGAAAATGTCCTGCTTTTCTTACCGGTTCTTACGGGGTACGCATCGTTGTCGTTAAATTTATCGCAACAGGGCTTAGCGTGGCTGCGTTTTCTTGGTTCGGGATCGATGTAATTAACCTCTCCCTTGTTTAGATCAGATCCATGGTAAATATCAGAAGTCTCGTCACGATGTTGGCTCATCCGCTCGGATCTTCGTTCCTCTAGAGCACATACATCCGTCCCTTGGAGTCCATGTGTAGATTTGTGTGTGCCATGTGGATTTCTAAGCACCTGCTAGGTTAGGTAGGTCGGTAGAGGCATTGCAGCCGGAGCTGAACATCATGGCAATGTTTTCTGTTCGGATGGTCCGATTCTTTTGGAAGCCAACCCCTAGGCTTCTGGAAATACTGCTGCAAATACGACGAAGGATGGAGCTTAGTATTAGATGGTCGTATCATTTGGCCAATAGTCAAGCAAAGGTACTTCCATAGTATAGAAGAGATACCCTATTGCCTAGCCTACTAAGCTAGGTAATTATGTGTAGCTGTAGATATATTTGCTGAGACTATTCTGGAATGGCGATTGAGTCGTCATGCTCGGCGAAATCGCATGATTGAGTCTTCTTAGCAATGTTAAAATCTTCAAGAAGGCCTCAAGATGGACTCCTCTTAAGTGACAGACCGTTAGGCCTAGACTGGGCCATCTGAAGATCCAGGTCTTCATTGAAGTTCAAGCGGGTAAGCCTGGGATACTGTATATCCACATTTAGATATTAATAGGTGCCTAACCTTAGTATCAGAACGCAAATCTCCAATGTTTTTCCTTCGAGACTCTGCAAAGGAAGTGATGATCCCGACGCTAACAAATCAACTTAGACGAGCAGAAATTTAGAAGCCTAATAGGATTATTAGGCACGATGGTATTCGATATAGCCTCTTTTATCGAAACACGGAATAGGTATTCCTCTCGCTTATTGAAGAAGTCAGGAACGAATCACAGTCCTTGGATGGAGATGGATGAAGTAAGCCACTATCTAGGTATGTGATAAGCGAACGAGCTCAACCATGAAAGGTACGATTTGTTCTTTGACGACGTCTCCCGACCTACCTAGCTCGCATGCGAGCTTCTAGAACGCAATGCAACCCTCCCCGGATAGCTTAGCCAATGTTTTCAAGCCAAGTAGTGCTCCCTGCTCTTTCTCCGTCTCGCTTCCTCCCCACCACGTCTGGGGGGCCTAGTTTGTCAAGGGGAGTTACATATCAGGGTAGACTTTACAGCTCGACATCTTTAACCGATCATGTCATAATTTCTATAGCTATGATTTGTACACTACTAGGTAGGTAGGTGTAGATGACGTAGGTATCTTAGTGCATAATACATTGGTGTGGTGGCTTTTCAGACTAACATATCTTCAACTTATAACAAATCCCGAGCCTGCTAAAATTCAAAGCCCGAGAACAGTCAGGATAAGAGATGGCGATTTTGATGCCCTTTTCGGTAATTCGACGCTATAAGTCGATCCCGCTGTTAAAGACCACTTCGTCAAGTTTCAAGACGGCTGGCTTAAAGTCTAAGGTATTGCCAAAGGGTTAGCGGTTAACTTATTCTTGTAAATCAACATAATTAGTACATATCAGGTTTAAAAGCCACCGGCAAAGACCCTCTTACTCCACATGTATTTCGGTTCTTTCCTTTTTTCTTACCTCCCGTTTCCTATTACCTACCTAGTATCTGGACTATGACATAAACGCCCAAGTTATGTTAGGCACTTCTATCCGAGGATGAGGCGAGTTTTCTTAACTCTCTCAGTGTCATGAGGCGGAACTTAGAAGACGCAGAACATCGTCGTTGTTACGCGGGGATCTCTAACAACCCCCCCGGAGACCACGGAGGCTATATATACATGTGAGCTATCTTTCTCCCATCTAGCTCCCTATGTAGACCCCAAGCAGGCCCTGGACACTTAGCATTATATAACTTCAAGTCGGTGATATAACAGCACAGATCTATCTATCATAAATTAGCAGGCTAGTTAAGTAGCTACTAGGTAGTAGAAGACTTTGAGGGCCCTTATACTGTGTAATAGAGAGATGCCAGTCTTTTACTGGAGTTTGAGAACCCTGAGGACACTGGGCTACAAGGCTAGATACCAACATGGTTATTGTAGGTTACTGTAGGAGGTGAAGTTTGTCTTGAAAGTGACGATTCTCGGTGGGTCTCATACATAGTAACCGGTTAACTACCTAGTAGTTATAAAGTGCTTGCGCGTTATCTGTCTTTTGCTCCAGCGTGCGCGGCATCTCAGAGATGATTGGCCGAGGTACGGCCCGAGAGACATATAATTTTGTCTTCATACACATGAAATAAACGTGTGGGCCTCTAGCGTGCTGTCCGCGGCCCGACTAGTACGGAGCGGTCTTCTGATCCAAGGCGCCGGAATATTTAAGGGGCATCGGATCGGCACCTCGGGATCCTCTTAGGTTAAGTTGTCGGCAGTGGGCAATTTATCTTAGTGTTCGGCGTCTCGGGTAGGTAGTCTTCCATGCATTAGTAGACAGAATATTGATACCTAGTGAGTAGACACTTGGTGGGCTTGCTCCCCCTTTCTCAGGGGCAGGGAGATATAGCATCACAATATGTCATCTAATCTAAGACTAACCCGCAGACCTGAGTGCCGATTTTCACATGTGATTTCTTACATAATTAAATCCGGTTGGATCATTACTAGAGGAAATATGCCGTTTTTCTAGTAGCTTTCAATCTAGTGTATGCCATTATAAGGAAAGTCTACGTCTATATCAACACCCTGTGATGACGAGCACGATGTTATGTGCTACGTAAATAAAGCGGTGCCATTAATGAGTATATGAAATGAATTTGTTTGAGTGTAAACAAGATCACGCCTCTGGATTGGCCGCTGGCGGATTTGCCTCCCCCTTTGGCTCCTCAGGGGCTTCCTTGGTATCCTTCCTCGTGGCTTTCAATGCCGCCAGGTATATCTCATGAAGGTTGTATCGCTTGAGAGCTTCCCAATCACCATCTACAACACTCATGCCACAGTACATCTACTATCGTTAACGCAGGGTTTCTATTTACGAAATTATGGAGGGAACATACCTGATAGATATCGATGAGAATGACCTTATCGGGTGACGTGAGGTTGACTTTATGAGGCGATGAGATGAATGATGCGACCTTGTCAATTACATCTCCACGCTTGAGGTTGTTATGCGCTCGGAATGAAGGACGGATGGCATACTATTGAGTCAAGTTGTTAGCCCCTATTCTGGCCAGTATCTATGTAGGGTATGAAGAATGACTGACTGAGCAGACATCGGACCCATCAGCCACCACCTTCGCATCGTCATTACCGGCGAGTTGGAAATGGCTACTTAGGATTTTCTTAGCAACCTCCTCTACACCGGTCTCATTGGCCTTCACAGTGAGCGTGACGGGAGTAAATCGATTGATGAACCTCGATCGCCTCTGCGTCTTGTCGGTGATCTCACTTGCATCCTTGCAGATACGGTGCACCAGCTCCACGGGGTCAACTGGTGATCTCGTTCTCACGAAGCCTACACAATCAAGATCCATGCGCATGGGCTCGAAGGTGGCATCTTTTGGCCTGGCTGCGGGCTTCATGCCTTCGACTTCCTTCTTGATAGAAGCCTCGATGTCGTCTTCGTCATCGGCAACATCGGCGGGGCCTTCGGGCTTGATGCCGTACAATTTCTCTCCATACTAAAAGCATGAAGACATGCTAAGCATTGTAGGGCATAGTGTAGAATGTGAGGGATCAATATAATACCTCGCTGCAGATGTCCATCATTTCCCCCAAGGCTTGCCGTTCCTTTCCTTTTACACACGTGATCCATATGCCCATGTCCCCTATTTCTAGGTTCTTGCCTCTTAAGGTCTCAAGCTTGGACTTGTGGTGAGGGGTTTGCCATCTGCCACCACTACCGCCCTAGGGGACATGAGTTAATATATGATATATGAAAACAAAAGTACCTAGTAGTATGACCTTACTTTGCTTCTTTTGAGTTGACGATTGTCGGGTCCATTGCTAGAGGGATTCTTTCTCTTCGCAGATGCCTCCATGGCTGGATACGTAGTAGATAGGTGTCTACGAAGTAATTATATATGATTAGAGAATGAAGAGGTCACGATATACTTGTTGACTTTGAATAGTTGCGTTGAGAATTGGATTTGTGAAGTAAAGAGGTACATATGTACACAAGAGGAGGGATGTTGACGAGGTCAAGTTACATAGATACCTATGTATGTAGAAGTAAGATAGAAGGTAGTTACTAGGTAACCTATTGGCGCGAAAGGGTTTTCTGTGGAACATCCAGATGCCTCTATTGGTCCGTGCACGACGCATCTAACCTTAATACTGTCTGTCATATAAATATAACTAGTACTAACTTCTATGTATCCCAATAAAGTACAGCCACCTTCCTGTATAAATATATACCTATACCTACACATAACCTTCATTCATTAATAACTACTCATGACATTCATCCCTCGTCCATTCTGCATCATTCTCCATCATTCTCCTCCTCATCTTCTTTTTCTGCTTCTTTTTCTTCTTCTTCCTTTTCTTCCTCTTCCTTTTCTACCTCTTCCTTTTCTACCTCTTCTTTTTCTTCCTCTTCTTTTTCTTCGTAAACCTGAACTCTGTCTGCATACTCTCGAATGTTGCTAAATATGTGATCCTTGATCAGGTGACCCTTACCCGCCGCAACACGCAAAACCATCTCATTAAGGGTTTGTCGTCCCAAGATATCCACGTGGTCCGCCGTGTTGGGTCCGCCACGGGGGTTAAACCTGTCTGGATCGTGAGGCATTTCGACCACCGTGATCTTGGCCCCAGCTGGGTTGTATCGCTTCATGTGCCAACCCTTTGAGCACATATACCCACTACTTAGAATATTGACCGTCCCATCGCCTTCCCCCATGATAACACCGTGGTCGATCTCGTCCACCGTCAGTCCTGTGTCGATGGTAACATTAAGCTTTGTAAGCCCCGGAAATTCAGGAGTGCGATAGTAGTACGCCCTCTCCGTTGGTTTTCCTACGCCGTAAAAACAGTATATCTTCAGGTTTGGAGCCAAAGGAAGCCTCGTCTCTAGCGGATTGACCCATTTGCGATTGTCTAATTCATTGGCCTCCACCTCCGCAGACGTGCTGGCCATGCCGTGAGAATAGCTCTTTTGGATCTGGTCTCGGTACCAGTCGTCCGTGGTATCCAAAACATATTTCAAAGCATTACTGACCGTCAAATTCTCATCCGGAGTCGTCCAGTTTTCGCCACGACGGAAATTTAGGAACGAGCCAAATGAGTTTTTCTGTCCTGGTAGGTCGTCTGGTGCCCACGTCAAATTCCCCCAAACTACATCGCCTCCCAGGGGTAGCATGGCCGAAACACCCGGCATAGCTCGAAAAATCTCAGCTCGTTCATCCTTGGCAAGGAACTTCTCAAGGCCGTAAACTGCAAAAGCATTGAGTTGAGCTGTGTCACGCATTTCGCCTGAAAGAATTGCAGTCACATCCTTGACAGCGCCTAGCATACATCCGCTGATGTTTATCCAGGCCTCGACGTGGCGGTCGACCCAATCGTCGCCTCCCTTACCACCCTGGGCAGATGCCACCCAATGAAAGAAATAAAACAAAACTTGGCTTCCCATGCTGTGTGATGTGAGAACGACTTTGTGACCGGAGAATTCGTGTGCTAGCTCAACATAACTCTTTAACCTTGTGAAGAACTGGTCCCGAAGCTCCAAATTTTGGTAAGACAAGCGCCAATCGTAAGCAGCCGTGAACGAATTGGTAGGGTCGTATCCTAAGGACGCAAGGTTTTCTAGAATCTTGCTCCAAATCCAGTAGCCTGTGATAAAGAAGTCGGTGGCATCGAATCCTTGGGCAGCTCTCAACTTGACACCCGGCGGATCTAGCCCTGTCTTTTTATCTAGCATGATGTGCTTTTTCCAGATCTCCTTATCCATGACAAGTGCCCTCATCATAGTCCAGCTACCCCAGAGCCGCTTTCGAAAATATGGACGGGAGATATTAGATGTGCCCCAGGACTCGAGACCTGTTGAAATGACTCCAGGCACCATGATGACAGGATGGTGGGCACTCAGGCCCTCAGATCGAGCTCTTAGTCCAACGGCGAAGGAATCGTAACTATCGACAAACTCCCGTTCACCTTTCTAGGAGCGGGGAGCGTATTAGCTGAAGTGAATCCTTGTCCGAGAAGTAGGGACGTACTACAAGATCCTTCATGTCTCTTATCAGGCCGGCAGGCAAGACATCAAATAAGCTATCCATGCTAAGCTCACCAATCTCGGGAAGGTCGAGGAGGTCATTGTTTTTCGCTAGAAAGCCAGCAGCTATGAGTCCAAACAAAATGCCCAATAAGAAAATCAAGGTATTCCGCCGCTTGCGTGTTTTGGGACGGGCTTCATGGTGGATGATTTTGACCTTATCGCCCGGCTTCACCGGACTTTCGTCTCTTGGTGTGGGAGTTTGCGACGAGGATTCGGATGGATTATCGGCGCCGAGCACGCGGCGTCGAAGGGTTGATGCCATCACTGGACTGTGCTACATGACCCAGGCACTAAGCGCGACGTGAAAGTGCGGATGTGTGGATGTGTGGGATGTGTGGGATGTGCGGGATGGCGGGATGATGGGGAGGAAGCGGAATCGAGACTGGTCGTAGTGGAGGTAACGAATCGCACTTCAGTGGAGTCAAGAGTGGTTAACAGACGAACGCACAGGTCAAGCCACTTTGGCCAGGGATGTCGCAATGGTGTTTCACGGACTACCTACTAGATGAGGTATGTTGTAAACGGTTGTAGAAATCTAGATGCCTCACTTTACGCGTCGAAGGCTCATATATGTATGTATGTATGAATGTATGTAATGTTTAAATTAGCTGTCAAGGTAAAGACTTATGCGGTATTTGGTCAAGGATGCCTGTAGCTGCAGGTGAAATGGAGAATAGGTCAACTGAAACAGATTACAATCTATTATTGAACTTACCAATTTATAACATGTTGACGTCAAGCTGCTTCACATTAGCATGTGGTATTTAAATCTAAAATATATTGGCCAATGAACAACGTGGAAACGTCCTAGGACGTGTTGAGTTTGCTGAGGTAAGTATCCAGGTTTAGGTACCTAGTACTTAACTACCAGGTAACTATGTCCCTATGTATTTTGTACTATTATCTATTGATCATGTAGCCCTATGTACATAGCAATTGGAGGTTAAATTCTGCCTATCTTGGCTTGCATGTGAAAGCGGGCCATTCTGTAGTCTACACACGCCTATTCTGAAAACAATCAATTCTTTATTATTGCTTTACTGTACTAAAACCAAACTAAACTAAACTAATCAATTGCCGTCTTACTCAATTCAACCTCCGATTCAACATCTGATTTACAACCTCTGTATTTCTTCATTTGCCTCATTTGCCTCATTTGCCTCATAGCCAGCCCTTTTCTTTAGATCAGTCCCACCATTATCAACCATCTTCAAAACTGACCAGGTTTACCCTGTGATAACTCCCCATATCGGCGCTTGGCCTTTAAACTCTTAACTATCTTCAACTAGCAGTACGCCCTCATGCGGTTAACAGCGAAGCTATGGAAGTAGCCCGTGCGAGTGAGCTTCCCGGCGAACTTCTTTACATCCAATATGAACATGCTCTGGAGGAGAAATACCTGCCTGCCATCCGGGCTTTGATTTCCAAGGATCTGAGCGAACCCTACAGCATCTATGTGTATCGCTATTTCTTGTACCAATGGGCACACTTGTGCTATATGGTAAGGCTGCGTTATATCTGTTGCACTCCCTAAAAGGTTGATTTTGCTAAAGAAACACTCTAAAATAGGCGCTCAATCCTGTAGACAAGTCTCTCATGGGCGTCATCATTTGCAAGCTCGAGCATCATGCTTCACACTCGCCCCCGACTCACCGAGGATATATAGCCATGCTTGCAGTATCGTCAACATTCCGAGGCCAAGGCATAGCTACCGCACTGGTGAAGAAGGCTATCGATGCCATGGCCGATCGTCACGCCGACGAAATCGTTTTAGAGACAGAAGAAACGAACATACCAGCCATGAGATTATACGAGAGACTAGGGTTCTTGAGGTCGAAGAAACTCCATCGGTATTACCTTAATGGTAACAGCGCCTATAGGCTTGTTTTGCTCTTGAAATCGACAGATATCGACCCAGGCCTGCAAATCAGCTAGGGGCGGAGGAGGTTGCTGCCTGGGCAGGCATACTCGCTGCGAAGATTGGGAGTCAAACCCTTCACAAAGGCCCTTCCTGTGCGAATGCCAGATACCTCTGGGCTGACTTGGCATTTCATGGCAGGCATGCGTTATGATTGATACTTCTATAACTATGACGAGAAACGGTGGTATGTTCTAGGAGGGAACCGGATCCGCAGTATGATGCTAAGGATGTTGGCCGGGGGGCCGGGACGATAACCAACTTAGGGCTTCATGCATTGGCGGCGTTAAAGGGATAATAAGTAAGCATTGTGATCCTGTTTGCTCATATTGGAATAGTAACCATATTACTCGAAGCTTTTGATTAGGCCTGGAGATACGAGCCTCTGAAAGCATAGGGTATGTCGGCGAATTCATCATCTCTTAACATGCTTCGTATAACCCATCAACTGACCCATCCAATTCCTTGTATCATGCTTCCTCTGTTCTAAGCCTTCTTTAGCATAGACGTGGTGTCGTATATGGAAGCTCTTATCTTCCATGGATTCCCATGCGCTATCCCCAAGTAAGTGTACACGTCTGATCTAGTAAGCATCGCATCTTAACAGAGATGAAAGTGAGCTTAGACGATAAGACTTACCAGGTTTGTAGTATAAGGGCCTCCCTTTGGTCTGGATAAGTCCGAGCTGTTTCAATTTCTTGGCAACTCTTCTAACATCTTTCGTGTCGGTGAAATCGGCGGTGTAGACGCAGATGAGCCGATCGGTTCTCCTATCACCAATCGATCGTGCCGCAACCTTACTACCAATTCCAAGCTCATTATTTGCTGTAGCCTTTGCAATGATTTCCCAAACCTCGTTGACCTGGAAGACGGTGCAGAACAACATCCACTAAGATAGGAACGAATCAGATATAGCTGTTGGGTCGTGTCTTTTCTTCTATGATATGAGTAGGTCTTACTAACCTTACCACACCTTACACGATGTGTTTGGGCGAGATCAAGGATGTCCTTCGCCGCATCTGTACCAGCCTTTTGACATTCCCGTCGAACGAAATTGGGGTTGCCACCGGAATTCTTGCAAACGTCAATGAACTCGGATGCAAAATGTAGCCTCGCCATCCCACCCTCAACCACGCTTGGCAAATCCGCGCCCTGTTCTTCAGGTGCTTCATCTTCGCCACCCCGAATCATTTGGTTACTCGCCTCACGCTTACTTTTGCGGCGGATGTACGGGTTGCAAACCCATATCCAGCGACTCTCAGGGGTTACATCTGTTGTTGCCGGTGGCACGCGTACCACGAATTCCTCGATTGTCTCGGTGAGTTGCCAAGCGTATTCCAAGCCTGCGTAAGGGTTATGTAACTGGGATCTATCCACCACCGTCGCCTCTTTTCGAGCTTGAAGTTTTAGAGGAGTATTGAGATTCTCATACTCTCCCCACCATTCTTTCACATCGAGCTCCTTCACTCTGGCCTTGAGGTCTGCCATGGTATCATCGTCGCCTAGGACAGGAGTGTTAGTCCCATGAGTTAGTTCATGGGTTTACTTGAAGCAACATAGATGACTTCACCATACCATAAAAATCAGAATCGTCGGAAGTCATGGTTGCGTTGTATGTGATCGGATGAACAACTACACTAAGTGTGCTCCTAGCTAACTGTAAGCTTCTTTGATATTGATATTGCAGAGGAAAAGAGAGTATAAGAGATGAATCAAATAAATCGGTCAAATATGGATGGAGAACTTATCAGAATTAAGTCGTAGCCTCTGTCAGGATCTCGCGGGGAAAGAATGTATTATATATAATATATAATACAAACATTGAACGATGGAAAGACCAGGGTGGAGTCTATGATCCGTGAGTCTGGATAGACGTCCGGCTCCCCCAGCAGCCCAGCAGCCCAGCTAGCTACCCCCAGCTAGCTACCCCCAGCTCTTTTGTTATGCACTTGTACTACCGGGCCTAAGGCTTGGGCAGCCGAGGGGTAGGTATTGTACCGTACCTTATCCTAAGGGTCCAACAGCGGGGACAATTCCGAGCCGCAGTTACTAGTTACCGTAGTACCCTGTTACTAGTGATCCACTTTTTACCCCGGCCATGCAGCATACATGTAAGAAGAAAAAAGTAAAAGTGTAAAAAGCTGGGTTTCTTTCTAGTATCACTTCGTATTCTACCCAGGGTACATAGGTCTACATTAGGCACCCTTTTGATATCTTATTTATTACCTTATCTCGCCTCCTCAAGACTAATCAACAGACCAATCAACATTCCTCCTTTTCTATCCAGGATTAAACAGAGAACGTCATGGAAACGTCGGGACGCAGCATAACGCCTCTGTGGTCTATGACTCTAGACCTCCCTCCCAGCTGTATCGAATTCTGCCCAGCCCTCCCGGACTATTTTGTTGTAGGGACTTACAACCTACAGAAGGAAGATGCAACTGATGGGGAGTCTACATTCGAAGATGAAGAGAAGCAGGTCACCAACAAGCTGGTCCAGAATCGGAATGGCAGTCTCGTTGTGTTCAGGTTGACAGACGCTGAGAAGATGTAAGTAAATAATCTCTTCTGCCTGGTAATCTCAATCTATCCATGAAACCAAGTTCACCATTAGACAGAGAACATGTACAAACAGTTCTCTATCCTTCTGCCATTCTTGATATTCACTTTCATCCTCATCAAGAAAGGGGTACTGTTATGGCCGTGGTCTCTAGCACAGGGACCCTTTCGTTTTTCAAGCTTTCAACTTCAGCAGGGTCAGTCTCCCTGCAGGAGATAAGTACACACAAGCCACTTGGTGAAGGAGAGGGAGTCCTCTTCCTGTCTTGCTCGTGGCATCCATCTATACCCAGTCTCCTTGCCATTACCACTTCCGACTACCAAGTTCACATATTGCAAGTCAGTGACACTTGGGACGTATGTAAGGCAAGCACAGGACCTTTGGTTAGCCATACGCTCGAAGCCTGGACAGTGGCATTTTCACCGTTTGTGGAAGGGTTGAACTCCGAGACACCAGGCGCACTGGAGGATAGCTCGCAGCTATTAATACTTTACTCGGGAGGTGACGATTCGAAACTTCTCAGCTCAACTTGTGCCTATACAGCAGCCCGAACAGATGATGATCTTCACGACTTAATCGAAGCTCCTTACCCTGCAGTGGCCGTCAGAGGCCATGAAGCGGGTGTCACTGCTATACTGCCGTTAGACCTGAGGCTCTCGAGTAGTACTTCTGTGATTGTCAGTGGAAGTTATGACGATCACATAAGAGTATTTTCTATCTATGAGCAGATAGAAGGGGCACCTCTGCATATGCCCAGGTTGCTAGCAGAGCAAAATCTACAGGGAGGAGTATGGAGACTCAAGCTCATCAAACTTGAGAAAATGGCGGAAGACGCAACAGGAAAGAAACAGTGGTGGACAGCGCTTATCCTTGCCTCGTGCATGCATGCAGGCTCGAGGATACTCGAGATCACAGGTGATGGTGCAGAGGTTTGTGAGATTAAAGTGCTTGGGCGGTTCGAGGGACACAAGAGCATGAATTACGGTAGCGACTTTCAACCTGGAACGGAAATAAGAGAAAGAAATCTCCGGTGCGTGTCGACGAGCTTCTATGATAGGTTATTATGTCTGTGGGAATATTAGAAATGCATGTAGGGAACTACCACTTGACTCGTTCAGGGTCGTACTCATGTGAAATTACGATCAGATTTACATGTTTGATTTTACGTAGATTTGCTTAAAGCATATATATCCCGAGGTGCAACGAAAATGTTGTTTGTTATCATCACTGAATATTCACATGAGGCATCGTGTCGATATCTAACTACCTAGTATCTAGTACCCTAAGTACCTAGGGTAGGTGTGTACTAGGTACATATATTTAGTATGTTGTGGAACCTATTTTGTACTGTAGGCAGGTACTATTTGTAGACACCTATTTATGGAGCACAAGGCGACGTATGGTTGTCACTGAGCACTTTAAAGAATTCTTCTAGGCCTTCTAGAAAAGGGAGCTTCTGGGTTTAATTCGACGGCTAATTGGCCGCGGCGCTTGTCCCAACTGCTTTAATCAACATTAGGCGGGGTGGGGGGGTTCTGTCTAGTACATATGTACATACTAGGTACATACATGTCGAGATAAGGTTGTGCATCCGTAGACGTCAAGTATCTTCAAGTTCCCATCATTGTACATACTTTCAATGTTACTTCTAGGTTGTATTAGTTAGTGCTAGGACCTTAAGTGCTTATGCATTAAAGTACTTATTAGGTACCACAACTTTTAAGGTTACACTTCCAATTCCGTCGCGTGCAAACCATACCACTGACACAACTGACACCACTTACCTGAAGCAACCTCGATTAAATAAATTTCTCCCGACACGATCCTCAATCACGGTACCTTACCTAGGCACTTTAGCGCATAAAGCCGCAGACAGCACTGAACATCATTCCACCTTACAACGCCTGCAACGTCTGCAACACCTAAACACCTACCTACAAACCTCTCAACTTTACCGACTAGAACCAAAAAAAGAAAAAAACACTTCCTACCCAAGTCGTGACTACTAACGTCCTCGACCAATCTCTACACAAATATACCCTTTCTTTCGCGTCATATTTCGTGAATTCAACCTATACTGATTGCCTGATGATTTCCACCTAAGTCAAGATTACTAGACCGACAGCTACACCTAGCTACCTAGTACATCCAGGCTGCAGCTCCCGCCCACTCCCCTCCAAGATCGTCGTCGGCCGACCGCGCATTCTTAATTTCTTAGCCTGATGCCACAACATACTTCGATCAACGGAAACATGGGAACGGGCGGCGTGGGTGTCGATGCTGACAACATGGCAGTTCTGCCAAAAATACATGAGGCATTGGAAGTTGTCCATAGTCCTTATTCCGCGAACGACGCTCGCAAGGACGCCCAGTTGTACCTCGAGAACGTAAAGAATGACGAAAAGGCTTCTTATTATGGCTTTCACCTTGCCTTTGATAAAACACAACCTCCCGTCGTGCGACATTACGCACTGTCGCTACTCGAACATGCAATCAAACACCGATGGGCCGATTACACCGAGGAACAGGCCGCCTCATTGCGCAACTGCGTTTTGGAGCTCTCCCAAGGCATATCGAGGGAAGACCCTACCTATTTGAGAAACAAGATCGCTTTGCTATGGGTAGAAGTTGCGAAAAGAAGCTGGGCCGGCGAGTGGATGGACATGGATGCAATGTTAGTCAGTCTTTGGCAGGTGCCCGACTCTGTGGTACACAAGGAGCTTGTCCTTTGTATCTTAGAGATGCTCTCTGACGATATATTCAATGGGGACGACCCGGTAGTTTCGGTTCGCGAGGGTGTTCTTAGCAAGGCTTCTGTCGAGATCTTCACACCTGCCGCGGTTCTCGTTGAGACTTTCCCCAACCGACAAGCAGGACCCGACGTCAGATGCGGCGGCGAAGGCTGGCTGGCGAGGATCACGGATCTTCTAAGGCAGTGCTTATCTGGGGATGTGCAGCATAACGCAGAGGTGCGAAGCTGCGCAGTTCGCGCTCTTGCTTTGCTTTACTCTTTGCTGCCGTGGGTTATCCCTAATGCTGTCACTGCTACCCAATGCGTACCAGTGATGTGCGAGGGTCTTGGCGCCTCGCATATTGAAGTCCAAAAGGTAAGACTATTGAATACCGAGCTACATAGGGCAACTGGAGCTAATTAACCCAACTTCAAAGGCATCTCTGGAGGCTATGCATTCTCTATATGCTCGAACCAGCTTTGTCGACCAAGAATTTCTAGATCTTGTTGTCCCGCTATATGGTCGCAAATACGTGGAGCTATTCAGACAACTTTTCGAGTGGTCAGTGGCTGATCCAGAGGACATCGACGACGACAAGTACCAGTTCTCCAAGAAGCTTTCCGAGGTAAGCTTTAAGACAACTATTGTCCATATATAATTCTGCTAACAATTGTTAGGTGATTTCGTTCCTAGGAACTTACATGGATCGTCGCTTTGCTGTCCTACCAAATGACCCAGACCGTATCGATTTTCAGGGGTTCTTGCAACTTCTTCTCCTCATTACCCAGAGTCAGAGTCTCGTAATATCGATACCCGTCCTTGTAACGTGGACTAGGCTTCTTAATAACCGAACTCTTGGACCCAGCATTGCAAGCATGCCTATGTTCATCGGACCGCTTTTGGAATGCTGTAGCTCAAGGCTTCTCCGATATGAGAACCTACCCGAAGATACCCAGGATGCTACATTCCTCTTCCTGCTAGAAGACACGGACACGGTTCCGGAACGCCATGCTTTCCTTGGGAACTATAGACGATATAGCTCACAAATCATTGAGAGCATTGTCCAGTTGAAGATAGCTGATGCTATGCAGCACATTCTCGGGCAGGCAGAAAATGTCCTTGAGCATCTTTACGACAATGCGCCAGCATTCAATAGTATGTATCTTTTAAGTGGGCGTTGAGAAAGTGAGATCTGAGATTGATATTCTAACTACAAGCAGTGGCCAATTATTCCAAGACTTCACAACCCGTTCTTCTCGTCGATGCTCAAGCGACAGTAATTGAAGCTGCCCTGAAGGGATATGGCAAGTGGCGATCGAACAAAAGCTCTCATCATGTAAGTATATACAGTTTCTGTATAGTGCCGAACCCCTCGCTAACGTCTTCTAGGAGCAGGAGAGAGCTTCGTTGGAGGAAAGCTTGGAGTCTTGGTGTAATCGCCTACTTACAATGACGTTCGAGGTAGGTAGCGCAATATTAGTGTCTTGTGTATATCCGCTCACCAATCTAGGACCCTCTCATTCGAAAAAGGATCCTGCAGCTTCTCGTTGCCTTCTCTGTCATGGCACTAGACAAGAACCCAGGGTTCATGTTAAAGGTCCTCGAACATATCCTGGTGACCTGGCCCGCTACGCATCCTGACCACCGGGTGTATACCGATGCGATTAAAGAGTTACAAGCAGAGAGTATGGTCGAACTGCAAAGGCTCGCCGCCAAAATGCCCGATCATTTACTAGTAAGAAACCGGCCACTCTCTCATGGGAATCTCATCTGTAGGCTGACCGAATCTTCCAGGATGTATACGATCAAATAGAAGGCAAGGTGAACGAAATGATTGCCTCGGGAACTCTTGATGAGAAACGTCAGATTACGTATCAGACGTTCTTATTTACAATAGTGTATGTTCATCTTTGCAAAAACACTCGTTTTCAAAGAAGACCACTAACGATCATAGCCATCGCTCTACTCGACTTGATCAGGCCACGAAAGCTCAGAAACTGCAGGGTTTCATTAATCCTGTAGTGGCTCAATGGCAGGATGAACGCCTGAAGCGGGCTTTGTCATCCTATGCGGGCTTCTGCGAGCTCATGGCGCTTGATAAGGCGCAGGACTACTTAGCACGAAAGCAGATGCAAAATATTGCAGACTGGGGTTCTGTAGAGCTTGATGCCGAGGGACAAGCGCTACAGGCCGAACTAGAAGAACGACAGGCTGTCAGATTATCTCTATCCCTTTCTTTTGCATGAATTTTTTATACTGACATCACACACAGGTTCTCCCATTGAGACCAACGAAGTCATTTTTAACTTGTTCCGTCGACAAAGTTGGTAAAGAAACCGATGCGTTCCAAGTTTCGTGCGCATTATGGCAAGAAGGGTTTCCCGCTATCCTCCCCGAGTTGCTCAACTTCCTAAAGTGAGTGGTGCCCTGTTTCTACTCATATCATTTCACCAGCTAATATTCATGTGTATCAAGCCACGCGCACGCTTCTCATACGCCAGAAAATTGGGCGGGATTACCACCAGAAATGAAAACCATCGTTAGCCGCGTTCTTACAGATAGATTTTGGCAAGCCGGCATTTCAGAGGGAAGCAAGGACGAATTCTATGCTCGCGTGCTTGATAAAAAACTCACTCTGGAAGGGCTTGCCTCTACAATCCGAGGCTCTATAAGATTTGTGCGCGAGTCTTGCTACGCCGTTATATACTGCATGACACGGCTAGACGTGCAATTTTACGGCTTCAGCGAGCTGCCGGGCCCCTTGGCTCATGCTCTTCTAGCTGATTCCTTCAGCCTTTCAGCCCATCAGCTGATCAACGTCCTCAATTTGGTTAGATATCTCGTAGACAACTGCCCGGTCCCCCTACGAGACCATTTTCTCCCTCCGATCATGGCGGCTTGTTGTCAGCAAATGGATGCTAGAATCAATGCCGAATGGGCGAAGCTTGACGAGCAGCAAGGCGTTAAGACAGGAGGAGATGCCCTGACTGAAGAGATGAAATCGGAGAGCATTCTCAGGCAGCTGACATACGCATCAATTATGATGATTGCGGACTTTCTAGATCCGGCCCGAACAAGTAAGTATTGAATTAATTTGATTGCTAGGCGGCGGCATTCGGAGTCGTATTTGCTAACTTCTGGGACAGATACAGGCGCAGAGGCCGATAGGTATCCCACATTGCGGGAGTTCTGCCTAATGCATTCTTCCATCGTGGAACCCCTTTTACTGTTTTGCACTCACGCCATACGATGGCGCGACTCACGATGTTGCGGAATTATGTTGCGAGTGTTCCGCTCCATTATTCCGGACTTTGCGCGGGCGAATTCTACTCTGTCCGGTTCTGGAAAGGTTGATGCTGTAAGCATGCCCCCAGAAGCTGCAGGCGCGATACGCCAATATATCTCGTCAGATGTGGTGAAGGCGTGCATATCATCCATTCACGAGCCGTATTTTGTTGATCTGCAGAAGGACTATGCGTCCCTGATCGCCACCATCGTGGTAGCCTATAGCCGACTCACACCGACAGCCCGAGATGTCCTAGTCTCGCTTCCCAATATCAAGCAGACTGATGTCGATAACGCGATCGAGTACATGATGCGGAAAGAAGTGAGTAGTCGAAGTCAACGAGGAGTTATTCTTCAGTTATTGGGTGACTTGAAAGGAGTGAGCGTGTCCGAGATGGGCAAGCTCAGCAAGAGCATCGGAATTCCCTCTACCAGGAGCAACGGCTCCTCCAGGAGACCGACACGTAGTAAGATGGCGCAACAGTTCATGACTGCTCCGGCGCCAGACCATAGCCAGGCCACGCCTCGCAATAGTCAAATGGAGGGAAATGGCGACCATCTAGAAGGGGTTTCCAGCCTGTTTGATTCATAGGCGGGCTTGGCGGATGTATTATCGCCAGACCAACAATGGATCTGAGGGCATGGTGAAGCTGGCTACCTATCTACCTAGGAGGTAGGTACTTAGTCTATGCCTCGGAGGATATCAATCGCATACATAGGTGCCGGGCCGAACCGGGGATTGAATGAAGGAAGGAGAGTGGCACGGGCTAAGGGGTGGTTGCCATAATATGAAGCACGATGGACAGACAATTGGAGCTATTTCAGCACGATTGACCAAGGTCAGGGAGACCAGCTACCAGAAACTATTTTGAGATGGTGTTGCTGACAATGATACTAGACTTTTTTTTTTTTTAACTACCACCTAGGCTAGGTAGAGCATACCCTTTGCTTTCATTCTACGGTAGTAATGTGAAGAGTCAATTCATTTGATTATAGTGAGAAGTTTAATGATTTGAGTATGTGATTGTGAATGTGATATTATTATTATTATTATTATCCCATCTATGAATATTTAATGTATTGTACATGTAGTACATGGGGGGGATACTTTAAGTTGAATCTTTAACCTCCAGCACTAGCATGTATTGTATTGTACTACTGCCATGTAGCAGTGCGGCAGCAGTCTGAGCACTAGGCTACTGAGCAGTGAGCACTAATAGTACTCCACCTTGAATATACTTAGTATGAATATACTTAGTATTAGGTAACTTAACCTTGAACTGAATGGATGTTCTTTTCCCCCTTACGCCAAATCCGCCTTTTTTTTATTGTCACATTACTTTTTTATTGTCACATAACTATTTAGTACCGCACGTTTCTGATCGACAGCCCAACTAAGGACTTTTAGGTTATGATTATACGTCGCAGAAATTCCAAGTGATCATCATCGTAATCATAATAAAAAATCATAATCATAAATCATAATCATAATCAGACTTCCAATCCTAATCCTCCTTCTACTCCCTTTCACTTCCATGTCCAAAATATTCGCTGTTGTAAAAACACGCGCCTCGTGATGCGATGTCGCACACGCTGCTGGGGCTCTAATCAACATGGCCGAATCCGATACCAGTTATTCGATAGAAAATGAGGAGCAATTATGGAGTGGTGCGTCCCAAACTCTTCCCTTCCCTTCTCATTCTGCCTATCATATCTATCTATCATTCCCTACTGCCATTCTAGAATGCGACTAATCAAATCATCTTCTCTCTTAGAGCTAGGCAAAATCGTCGCTATTCAGTGCCCTGCCGAAGCTCACGAAACCATCGACGATGCATTACGGTCGTGGCTAGATCTCGCGTCGCGATGTCGATATGAATTCTCCCAATCCGAAGATGACGTAGAAGCCTGTTCTCAGAGTCTCCTTGATGGTGGTCTCTTTCATACAAACCCAGAATATGTGCGCACACAGATGATTTATAGCCTATTGCAAGAAGATGAACCAGGCCCCTTGTATGTCATCGCCAGTTTCCTGTTACTCGATGGCCGAGCCGACGAGGCCATATTCAGACGAATGATCGAGGAGGGTTGCTTCCACCGACTGCTTGAGCTTATCAATGGACGGAAAGAAGACGATCCAGGCCTACATCGACTTCTCCTAGATTTAATGTATGAGATGTCGCGCATTGAGCAACTTCGCGTGGAGGATCTTCTACACGTCGACGATGGCTTTGTGACCTACCTATTCCAACTCATCGAGGGCTTCTCCGATGATGTGCACGATCCGTACCATTATCCGATTATTCGGGTTCTTGTAAGTTGATCATGATACCATGCACCTCGTAAACCTCTGCCGCTCCTTATACTAACCCTTAGTAGCTCGTGCTTAATGAACAGTACATGGTTGCATCTACTTCGGTAGCGACCAACCCCACCTCGCCGGCTGCGCCATTGACGAACAGAGTGGTCAAGTGCCTCGGTCTATATGGCCCGCATTACAGGACTTTTGGCGAAAATATCATATTACTTCTCAACCGTGAAACTGAAACGTCCTTGCAGTTGCTGATCTTGAAGCTTCTGTACCTACTTTTCACCACCAACGCCACGTATGAATATTTTTATACCAATGACTTACGAGTCCTCCTCGACGTCATCATCCGCAATCTTCTAGACCTGCCAGAAGAATTGATGGCTTTGCGACATACATATCTCCGTGTCCTGTACCCCTTACTTGCTCACACGCAGCTTAACCAGCCACCTCATTACAAAAAGGATGAGATACAGAAGCTGCTTAGAATCCTGGCTGGAACAGGAAATACCCATTTCGCGCCAGTAGACGAGACAACGACGCGGCTGGTTGATCGGGTATCCAAAGTCAAGTGGCTTTCGGATGAAGGTGCTGGTGCAAGTGAGGTAGCACGCAAATTCCTCGGGATCAGTCTCTCACCTACGGAAACCGCCAGCAACGTTAGTGTCGTGCATGTGGCGGCGGTCACGGAAAGGCCAGGTGTGCAAACGCCAAGCCGGAAAGCAGAGGTCGCGGAGGCAAAGAGTGATATACACCAAGCAAGCAATGGCGTGCGCAGCTCGGCGGGCACCATTACAGAAGTAAAGGAGACGTCTAAAACAAACAGGCCCAAGAAACCACTTCCAGAAGTACCGAAGCACCGACATGGAATGCCGTACGTCCCTTCAAATCATGAGAATGGTACTCGAAGCAAAAAGGCACCACCTAAGGCGCCGCCACCGAGACGGAAGGGTAGAATGCGGCACACAACTTCGGAAACGGTCAAGTCTATATCAGAACTAGTTTAAGACCCAAAGGGGGGGTCTGGATACTTTGAAAGGGACGAGGACGTAATATGACTAATTCAGAATTGTAACATATCAGCAGTCGAGATGGTTCTTCTGCCACGTTAAGGCCGGCTAGCAGAATGGCATCAGGGCATGGGTAAGGGTAAGGGCGTACTTGGGACGTTTTGCGATGCTTGAATAGTAGGATCAAGAACCAGCATGGGCATTAGCACGGCGTTTCAGGGATGGTTTGGGGTGTCATGGCTCCTCCTTTTCTCCCCCTTTTTTTCTTCTGCTGAGATAAAAGGAGAGGAAAGGATCTGGAGGAGACCAAGTGACATCTAAGTCGCGGGTTGATGGGCTATCAAGAATAATTCAGAGTATTCAGAGTAGTCTCTAAATCTTTAATTTAATGGAAGTAACACACTGTTTTGGTCCACGTACACTGTACTACTTCTATTGCTATTGCTACTGCTACTACGAAGTACTACTGCTACTACATACATATGTAGTTAGATGGTAGTACGTTTACGAGAACTTGAAGCTGTTTGGGCTCTGGATTATTGCTAGGCCCCTTTCAGCCTTACATACTTGCAACCAAATTTAAGTGTCATTAGGTGTGTGTATTATGCATCCCTTTTAAAAGATGCATACATCTATTCCATCAGTTAAGTGTAACTAATGTAGGTACGACGTTAGAGTGTAACAAGAAGAAAACCTGATCAGGGCCATCAGGCAGATGATACTAAATAGTGCGGTACATGTAGGTGGCCAGGTTATCGGTAATAGTTAATCCCATGTCTGTTCCCCTGTTGATTTGCATCATTGGATGTGATGTAATGGTGATCACTAGTATCAAAGCGGCATTGTTACTTGCAGAAAGGAAAGAAGATTACTTATTATGTATGTACATATGTACTAATACAGTACTGTATCAAGAAAGATTGCAACTATTGTCACCAATGGGAGGACTTGTACAATATGTACCTAGACCAAGTTATGAATTATTAGTCTTGTTAGTCTTGGAGATCAGTTCGTCTTAATCTCAAGGGAGAAGAGGTGATAAGTTCTTATGCTGGTATATCACAATTGAATCAATTCACACATTTACTTACTATTAAGTATGTAGATGTAGGTACCTAAGTAAACTTGAAGCAATGCAGTATCTATGTCCGTTTTTGGATCTAAGATCTGATCTGAATTTGAGACCCAGAATATTTCCATCTTTACATGTGTTATAAAAAGAAGAAGAATCCAAATAAAAAAAGGGAAAGAAAAAAAAAGAGATGCGTTCGAACGGAGAATTCCAGATCGGCCGTGTAGTGCAAATGTTGTGCTATGTACAGTAGCTACGTAATAAATGATCTACGTCATAGTCGTGGCTGGGTAACAAAAAACCAAAAGATTGCACTCGTGCAAACCCCGCCAAGTGGCTCTATTCTGACCAGATCCTTGTAATATTGTTACCGAATGCGGATGCTAAGAAGCTCTAACTTGGCCTTAGCTAATCTAAGCTCTTTTAGGTCGGTGTGTTCAAGGTGTTCAAGGTGTTCAAGTGGGTGGTAACTAGTGGTACCTAGGTTAATTGTATGTAGCGTAGTAGCAAGCTGGGGAAGTCGCAAAGGTGACGACAACGCCATCATCGTCACTGCACTGCACTGCACTGCACTGCACTGCGTATCCTTCCAACTAGTTATCCTTTTTCTCTTTTCTTCTTCTTCCTTCCTATCAGCCAAATAAACCCCCCCTTTTTTCCCCCATACATCCCAATGGGATTCACATTTCCAGTCGCAAAATAAACCTTAGATAACCCTTACTTTCTTTCAATCAGAGCCCAATCGAGGTTACCGCCCAATATCGATAAACCAACTCATTCTGCATTGTATACGTACATAGAACCCCCCCCTTGGCGGCGGAGTCCTGGAGGATTTGTTAATTAACCTACCTAACCTAAGTACCTCGGTAGGTAACATTGACACTTGAGTCGCTTAACCCAGATATACCCTATCGTACAGTGTACTACAGCATTGGAACAATAGATAGTTCATGCACGAGGAGAATTAGTTCACTGTACTGACTGACTTGGTGTTTGTTTATATGCAGGACCAGAACCACCAGAACCAGAGCCAGAACCAGAGCCAGAACCAGAGCCAGAGCCATCAAAACCCATCGTCAGAACCACCAACAAAAAACTAAAGAAGCGCACCCTTAGGCCTGAGCCTTTTCATCATCCACTATCTCAACCTCTATGCACACCCCGTCTACGAATCTCGCCTGGTGCTACCCTAGGTAGATTGGCAATCTAAGAATTACCGGTATAAGGATTATTCCAAGGACTAGACTTTAGTCTACGTACCTACAAGGAACCTAAGGGTTTAAGGTGCGTTAAGGTGCGTTAAGCTACGTTAGCTAAGTGTTAGTAAGACGGTGACATAGGACATTGTTGGAGCCACGGACTGGCCGACCCTTTATTCTTTTTTGTCCTTTTTACATACATATCTAGTCTCAAACCTTCTTATAAATCTAACACTCCCATCTGACTGGTACTTGCCTCTAGGGTTGCGTCACGGCTGTCATGTCCGCCAAGCCTCCCATATCCTCCGCACAGCCTACAATCAATCCGAACAATATGAATCAGTCAGTCGCCGCTCTAGATCCAGGGGGAGGTGGAAGTGGAGGGTATCCCGGTAACGTTGGTGCATCACCAGGAGGAAACAACTATTCAAATTCACGACCGAATTCCGGTAATTACTTTGCGTACCACCAGCCACAGAGGCCTCAGGTTGATGACGAAACCTTGTCCAACACCTTAGCCAATACTCATATAGTTCCGCCTCAAACCGATAACTACCAAATCAACAATCGCCAACCTAAATTTACCGAGGAGTGGGATGCCAGCGTGAGAGGAGGATCCATCGCCGAAAGCCAGGCCTCCCAGCAGAATCACTATCAACATTCTACTATGCAGCGCTCCAATTCTATGTCGTCGCGACCTGAAGTTCTTACTACCGGCGATGCCTCGAGCACACACGCCATCTCCCTAGCGAGGGGCAATACCTTGAAGAAGAAGAGTTCGCTGAGAAGAGCTGGCAGTCTCAAGCGCAGTAGTAGTCGCAGGAGCATGAAAGCTGGTAGTGTTAGAAGCCTGGCTTTGCAGAGCTCCCACGACTCTGATGAAGTCCATAGTGCATTCTACTGTCCTGTGCCGACCACGGGCAATCCTACGGACATTCTCGCCAACAGATTTCAAGGTATGCTATGCTTACACCATTCTCCGCATCTATTGTATCGGTAATCGATTCTAACATTAGCAATTAATACACAGCTTGGCGCAAAACCCTCAAGGATCTCATTGCATACTTTAGGGAAATACAGTCGCACTACGAACATCGATCCAAGTCACTCCTCAAGCTTGCCAACGTTCTAAACAACACCTCCACGCCCCCGGGCTTCCTTTCGTCCGGCGGATTAGACGATGCGATCCAAATCCTGAGAAACTACCACAAGAATGCGATTTTAGAGGCCAATAAGGCTCGCGACATCGAAGAAGATGTTATTCTGGCACTGACTGGTTTGAGAAGTGATCTTAACCAGAAGATTAAGGAGATTAGGAGCTTGTCTAGCGATTTCAAAAACTCTGTCGAGAAGGAGATGGACGGAACTAGAAAAGCCGTCAACGCATTACAGGAAGTATTGGGACAGAGTGAACTGGACTCCTCCATGACTACGGGCAAACAGGATCCCTATCTTTTGCGACTCGCGGTGGATCGCCAAGTTGAGAGACAGCTCGATGAGGAAAATTATTTACATAAGGTAATGATCATCCGAAATTTGGTTGGTAGCGAGGGGCACAGGCTAACATGCTTACAGGCGTATCTCAATCTAGAATCATCGGGCAGAGAGCTTGAGGCAATTGTGGTGGGCGAAATTCAAAAGTCCTACAATGCCTACGTTGGCATTCTTAAACGAGAGGCGGATGCAAGCTACAATGCCATCGACGACCTCCGCGCTGGCCCCATTGCGATGCCCAAGGATCACGAATGGGTCAGCTTTATCCAGAGGGATGCGCAATTTGTCGATCCCGACGTCCCCATGAGATCTGCAGAGCACATTCATTATCCTGGAAGAGATCACTTTGCTTGCCAAGAGATTCGCGCAGGTTTGCTCGAGCGCAAGAGCAAGTATCTCAAGAGTTACACGGCTGGATGGTATGTGTTATCGCCTACCCACCTACACGAATTCAAGTCGGCGGACAAGACTCAAGCACCTATTATGTCGCTGTTTCTGCCCGAGCAGAAACTTGGCTCTCACTCCACTGAGGGCGGTTCGTCCAATAAGTTCATCCTAAAGGGGCGACAGACAGGAGCCATGCATCGTGGCCATACTTGGGTATTCCGTGCTGAAAGTCATGATACGATGATGGCTTGGTACGAGGATATCAAGGCCCTAACCGAGAAGAGTGCCGAAGAGCTAAGCAATTTCGTCCGAGGCCATGCTCGCACGTACTCACGATCCTCGCAGCGCACCACTAGTTCTGATGGCATGGTGGACGAGGACGATGACGAGCCCTTCTTGGTTGATCCTGCTGTCGCTACCCCGGGTTCTCGACAGGACTCTCTCCAGAACAGACCTGAGCCAGGTGGGCGTTTCCCCTCTGACATCCAGATAAACGCACAGAGAGGTTTACAAGCCCCACGATCTCCTAGCAGTGTAGGCTCGGGATATGCCATCAACGAGTACGCGATGGGCGGCGCGAACATGACGAACATGCAAGACCGAGATATGGCCGCAGCCATCGGGGCGGTACCGAGCAGCAGTTACAATGAGCCCTATCCGGGAAATCGGGCATCGCTGGTTGGTCAATCCTACGGCAATACGCCGAGCGTCAAATTGGAGCAGGCGCATAGTCATGCAGCAGTTATTGACCAAGAGGCGCGAGCAGATGGCGTGAACCCGTATAACGCAGAACCCATTCATCAGCGAAGTATGTCGAACAGAATGTCTGGCGTACCGGTCGTTATCCCCGGACCAGGGTCTACGAGCACCAACCAGACTCTAGAGTCTACCACTAGTCAAGATTCCGGTAACCCTGGCGCTTATGAGGTGGTTTCCGATGGTCAGCAGAAGTACGCGCCGGCTCCTGTAGCTTATGCTACTGGCAATGGTGTCATGAAGCCGCTACCTACACCTGCCACAGGCATGCAGTTCTCAGTTCAGAACGGACAAGCCAGACCCTATGGCGACAGAACGAATAGCATCCCCCATGTCCCTGGGGAGTACCCTCGAAGCACTCCCGGCGGAACGCCAGGCGTCTATTAGACGTATAGATTCCGAGCAACCTCTAAGAACCGCTACCTCTGGCCAAGCTCGCTGGTTTATTCTTCCATGAACGTCAGCCGACATATCACCAACGAACCATATACCGGAGCAGCTCGTCGATCGATAAAATGGGCGTGATTTAGTTCGATTTCTCCCCATTTTTAAGATAGGGGTCCGAAGCCAAACTCTCATTCTACTCTAAAATCCACTTGATGTACATAACATGGGAGATCCCCCTCTCCCCTTGGTTCTATTTCCTCCCGTCTTCTCATCTTCCTCCTCCTCCTCTTCCTCCTCTCTTCTCATTTGCTCGTTTCTTTCTTTCTACTTCTTCGATTCTTGCGCGGCGTTGGTCTTTTTCAGATTATTACCCTCCCCCCGAATTTTCTATACCTCTTGAATCTCGTTTTTACCCCCCGTTCGGTTGGCTGAGAAGGGGCAAGGAAGGAAAGGAGAAAGCCTTGGAAGTTGTGTAAAAAAATGGGAAAGACGAAAAAAGAGAGCACTGTCTCTGAAAGTTGAGAGGAAAATTATCTTCTAGATTTTCTGGAGGGGGACGTCTTGCTTGGTCTTTGAATGGAAATGGACGGGTTGGAATGCCGTTTGTTGGTGGTAGAGCAGCAGCAGAAAGTAGTTCTGAGGAGATGGAAAAGAGTGAGAGAGAGAGCTGGATGTGTTGAGTGCTTGAGGCGTAGTAGGTATGGCTACGGATATGGATACGAATACCGGTATAAACATTACTACCAAATATGAATTCTGTTGCATGCATTTATGGCTTCATCAGAGTTTGTGATGTTCATATGTTACTATGACTGTATTCCTGCGAATGTAATTCTGAATGGGCAGTGAGTGTTCTCGTTGAACGTTTAATATCAAATCTTAATAATTCAGCATCATCAGATGTAAGCTCGGGTATACTGAATCGCACTTGCAAGTATCATACACAGCCTACCTAATACCTAGGAAATAGCCAGGCAGGTATTCCTAACTTTAATACTCGATTCTTCTCTTCTCTTTCTCCCTCTCACCCTCTCTCTCTCTCTCACTCACACACACACACACACACACACATTCAAATTCACGTAAGACCAAGCAAGACCAGGAAAGACCTGTTCTGTTCTGCTGTTGTTGTTCTTATTGTTGTTGTATTTTTTTTTCAGAAGGAAGAAAGAAAGAAAGAAAAAAGATCATCAGGATTTCCCTTATCAAAAAAACGCCTTTCCCGTACTACCGCATGAATAGGCAATTATCGAACACGATGGATGATGACAAGATCGGGGGGGGGGGGGGGGGGGGGAACGCCACGCCGAGGAAGGGATTCGACTTTCAAGTCTTCAGAGTCTCCATGACGGGAGAGAGGGGTGGGAGGTCAGCTTCTTCTTAGAAGACAAGAAGATGTCGAGAGGATAGGATAGGGTAGGGTAGGGTATGTCTCCCTTTTGGTTTTTACTTTTTTCTTTTTCCCTGTTTGTTCTGCTTGGGGTCCAGAGAACCATCCCTTTAATATCGGCCTCCACCTCCGCGGCTGAAACCACCTCGGCCTCTGCCTCCTCCACTGCTGCCACCACGGCTGAAGCCACCGCCTCCACGGCCACCACCGCTACCTCCTCTGCCACCGCCGAAGCTACTTCCACCGAAACCGCCTCTGCCTCCTCTTGGCGGGCCACCACGACCCATTCCACGACCGCCTCGTATCGGGCCACCTCTGCTAAAGCCACGGCCACCACCAGCACCACCACGGCTGGGCTTCTTGACCTTGGGGGCACCTGGCGGGGGCTTAGGTCGGGGCAGGAACTTCTCGAGGGGGAGGAGCTTCTCGGAGCCGATGAAGAACTTGTCGCCAGGCTTGAAGGAGGCGGGCTGGATGCCCTCGGAGGGCTTGATGGTGAAGTAGACCTGGTTGATGGGGCCGAGGACCTCGTCGACCTTGCCGACGGCGGTCTTGTTCTCGAGGAAGATCTGCGCGTTGAAGTGCGGCACTTTGGGGTTGGAGCTCTCGCAAACCATCTCCCCCTCACACGCGTGCAGGAAGCTGCCTAGCTCCAAGATCGTGTCCGGCGGGCCGAAGTCTCGTTGTCCGAAGCCGCCGCGGCCGCCTACGAAGAAAGGAAAGGGTTGTTAGCTAACCTGGGTAGTTACCAAGGGAATGTGGGGGCTTTGGTAGTCCATTTCAATTCAATTGAACTGAAACGAATTGGGGGCTTCTGATGTGCAAAAGATATATAAACGTACCTCCTCGACCACCGCCTCTACCACCTCCAAAACCACCACCTCCGCCATAGCCACCACCACCACCGAAGCCGCCTCGTCCACGCGGCGCTCCTCTCGACATTTTTATTTTTGAAACTTCTGAGGAGAGAGGTCAATTGGGCGGGTTCAAGGTGGGCTTATTAACATATGTTGTGTTCGTTGACTTGGGGGGGTGTATTGGCCGTTTAATCACGTTTTTCGCGACTTTGCGAATTGGAAAGCTTTAAGAGAATTCTTCTTTTTTTTTTTTTTTTTGCTAATGGTTCCCGCACTTTTTTTTCTGGAGCCGGCCGGAAAAATATGGACGGGTGATAAGATAAGATAGCTATTCAGATAGTTACGTATGTAATCGATAAGCGTGGCATGTCTGTGCCTGAATAGCCACATAGTTACACTAGCCACAGGTTTGGCCGAGGCTTCAACTTGATTTTATGTATTGTATGTACATGTACTAATGTGATGCCATGTGTACTATGTACTTGAACAGTGGTCCATCATCACGCCAAGCCATACTATGTATGTACATAGTATGTTAAGCTTTTTCAATGTTATCAGGTCCTAATCGGAATCATGGATGGCGTCAAAATAGCATGTTTATAAATACGGAAAGAATGGCACTATGTAATGCTTCTTTTACGGTTCTATCCCCTCGAGACCCAACACCGGGCTTTTTAGCGCCCCCCATATTTTGAGCCTCGCTGGCGAATAAAATACAAGAGCTTGGACCTACTCTCCATATATTTATCTGAGCTTATTTTGAACATTTTGTACATTATTTCTAAGAGAAAAATCAATTAAACTTTTAATACTTGTACGCGTCTTTCTTTGAATATAAGGCATACCACTTTTATTAATAATTACATACCTTTCATAAAGAATTATTTATAGTAAATTAACAACTTATGTTTGATTTAGCTGGCTCCCTTATCGCTATCTTAAATATATTAAAACAAATAAGCAATATATCGTTATTATTAAACCTATCGCCGTCGGTGTCGTCGTTAATAAGGTTTCTCGAGCGTTAAAGGATAAGTACAAACGAGACCAAAAAATTAAGTACCACGCGTTGTTGCTACACGTAAAAACGCGCCTATTATTTGAACCGGTACATAGTCGATGGTAAAAAGCTGGTAGCGAGCTTGGCCTGTGTGAGGTTTTAGTGGGGGGCGCTAAAAAGCCCGGTGTTGGGTCTCGAGGGGATAAATAAAACTCACCAAAGCCATATCCAAAAATGTAAGCCAAGTCTTTTTCACATATGGGCGTTAAGCCGTTTTTAGTACGACTTACAGGGCTGAACAGAGGGGCAGTGAACTTTTGAGCTGGAACATTTGGGGAGCATTTTATGGATCCGTATTTGTTTTCTACGCCAACTTGGCACGTTGCGTTCCTAGATTCGCTTCGAATTGAAACCTACCAGCGGTGTGGGATGGGCGAGGTGGGATGGGTATGGGATGGGTATGGGATGGGTACTATGGGATGGGATGGGATAGGATGGCGCCAACCACATAGAGGACCCTGCTTAAGGACACACACGCACAGCTAACGATTATGATATGTAACTTATGTATGTACAATACCCTAGGCAGTGTAGTGTAGTCAGTACTAGTCACGTTCCCAAATATTGCTGCCGAATTCAAAAAGTTGTCTCACGCAAATGTTAGCCACCGGGGACGCCATCTATAATCTTACTCGTCGAGGGACGTTGGGGGATTTTAGTAGTACACTACTTTTAATACAGATAAAATGTCTTACGATTGCATAATAAGCCGTTATTGTACTACATAGAAGGTAACTACATACCTACATACCAGGTTTGTCATGTGAACTCTCACAGTTAATTATTAGGTACCTTGTAATACAATCTACGATTATCTACCAGATCTATCGTGGATAAGGTAATTACAATAGTTATCTGCTAAACCCTTAATATCCATAAGGCTGCGCACAATCGTCATCGCATTGGCATCATCGTTGATACTGCATGATAAGATAGGCAGGGAAGAGGGACGAATGCTGTTACCTATGTATGTATCTAGGATTCTAGGGCCTAGGCAAGGTCTCACGTTTGTTCCGACATAACTACATAGTTATATATACTCGCGCAGTGACACCCCAAACTCCATGAAAGCGCCCCCTGGTTTTGGACAGCTGGGTTTGCGCCTCTCGTGCGACGTTTATCATATAATTGAAGCAAACATGACGACGTTGTATCGACTATTTGTTGAGAAGAAGATCTACACTACACTTTGGAAAGGATCATTATAGGATTTTTGGGGGGGAAGGTCAGGCAACATAGTTTACCTAAAGGAGAGGCACGGTTGATAGAATGTGTGTGGTTGTGGGTACGAAAGTGAGACGAAAGTAAGCACTTTGTGGCCTTGGCTAAACGTTAGTTAGTTATGTATCTTATACCACATGGCATATTCCCCTGAACAACCTCTTCTTTTCCGCGGATTCATTAATTAACATGATATTGATACTATGTATGTATGTATGTATGTAAGCCCGCTCGCTACCTGCATAGTACTCTGGAACCATTCCTGTGGGCTAGTGCTAGTTATGTATTATGTATTAATGTACTTTCCATCCTCGACGTTTCCATCAGCGGCTTGGCAGATATGCTTTAAGGGTCTGGGCCCATCCCGATGAGATTAGAAAAAACCAGGGTGTTTTTTTTTTTTCTTAGGGTTGTAAATCTTATAGCAGAGCAGAGCAGCATCGTCAGATTCGTCACATAATATAATAGCCTACTAGAATGATACTGTACATAATCATGTCATACAGTACGATACAGAGCACCTAGTCTACATAAGCTACATAATGTACTATACTATAAAATAAAGCTAATCCTCCATTAGCCAAATTAGTCCATACCATAATCAAAGGATCGTATAATCAATAAGGCATCCCAAAAGTTCTAACTTAGGGTAGGCAGCACTGAAAAAAAAAAATGTTAGCCCGGGTATTTTGCTGTAACAAAATTCCCACCCAGACAGACATCGCGTAAGTGAAGCCTGAAGTGTCGATATATGACTGCTTTTCCCGAATGTAACATAATATTCCGGCAGATACACTAACAGGCATAAGTACTAAGCTACCTAATAGGTAAGGTGATAGATGTATACATATGTCAGTCAATGTGAGTTCAAGTTGCTGTGCCCGTACAATGCATAAAGTCAGATGCTAGCTATGCTGCTATGTAGCTGGCCATGGATATGTACTCAGCTATCTGGTATCTACAATGTAGTTATGTATGCTAGGCTTTCATCAATCATTGCCCATCAATAGCCAGCATTGCTAGGTGAGTGCTGGTCCCACCAATTATCTAGTTGGTCCCCACCTGCGGGGAGCATACATGTAACAATGCAACTTATTACCATCAATGATAAGTACTACATGTATGGCATTGCACCAATGAGGATGGGAGAAAAGCACGTATGTATATTGAGATGGGCATATGAAAGCGGAAGGTACGTTGTTGACTCTGTATGTGTGTATACCTAGTATAGTACGTACTATCATGTATGTATGTGAGTAGGTAAGTATATGAGTACCACATGCATACAAACACACACACCACACACACACACAACACACATATGTACAGTAAATGCACACATCTTTCAGCTCGGGTACATAGTATAATAGAATCTAGATAATATAGGGTAGGTAACTAATACTATCTTGGGTTGGGCAGGGATATAATTACGCTATGTACCTTCTAGCCTTCTAGGTAACTACTAGGTACTAGTAGGTAGTAGGTAGTGTAGTAGGTACTGGTTCTAGGTGCTGGGGTTAACAACCCAAACTTGAAGCAAGTGCCACTTGGGGGGGACCATCCCGTATGGAAACAGGTACCAGCCTAGTACATACAAAGTAGTAATTTCCCTTGGCCTCGACCCTGTGCCATACTACTACATACAGTACATCCTCAGTGGTCTCTTTTACATAGACCAACATAGACCAACATAGACATATCGAAGTATCGACCTAAGATTAGTTCTTGTACTAAGTCCTAGGGTAAGTACAGCCTGCCTAGGTACAATACAATAATAGTATTCATGGTAATAAAGCAGCTGACTTGCCTGAATATCATCTCGTCACGCCTCGCTTCTGTAATTTTTTTCTTCCTTTTGCCCCTCCTCTTTAACTATTCTCTTACAGTACATTGTTCATGCCTTTCATTGATCTTGCTCAGCCACGTCAACGGACTCGAGGGATGCTGCGTACTTCCGTACTATGACACGTTCGCTAATATCATCTTCGTTTCTGTCGTCCCTATCGTCACCGTCGTCGTCGTCGTCGTCGTCGTTATTGCTATCGCTACTATCATTGACCTGACATTTATTGCAATAAACCCCGCGTAACGTGTATCCGATAATATATCCCGTCGTTGATACCCACAGGATTTTCGGCGCATTCCCATCGCAACGTTCGGAGCGACTAAAAAACGACCAAGTCTAAGATAAGACGTATTAGTACAATACGCATAATTTCAAAATGAAGCGAAGAGAGGAGGACATCGAGTCCTCTGCACAACTACTGTCTTCCAAGGAAGCTCGTTCGTCGTCGAGCGAGGAGTTTGACTACGACGATTCAGAACCCAGCCAGCATTGGTCCGCACCTCTCCGATCACCACTAGGATCCGACAGGTTTTCCTTATGGCGCCGTTTCCAGTCTATACCAATACCCAATTGGTTTCCCGCTCGTAAATTCAACGCCAGGTACTTCGTTTTCGCCATTGCCCTATCGATGCTCACCACCTTGTTCATCTTTCAACCCTTTTCTCCTGCGACCCCTACGCAACACGAGACGAACGTTGATGTTTCTCCCGTTTCGTTAGCCGGCACAACGACGGCAAAAGTGGTTCCAGTAACATCAGTAGCATCAGTAGCATCAACGTCAACGTCAACGTTGGAGCCAGTTTCGACTCCAACGGAAAAGGCAACCGCAACAACTACCTCAGCCCAAAGCGCAACATCTTCTGCGAAGCCCCAGCAGTCGGGTGATAACAACGCCACCGCTTCCGAGCCGCCGCCGAAGAAGAAGTTCTGCACCACATGGCCGGTAGATGAGAAGGGCGAGTACGAGCTCATGGCAAATGATCGCGCGAACGCAGTCCAGCTAGATAGCATAGCCCCCAAGGATGGATGGAAGAAGCCAGAGGGTATCAAGGTGATCGGTATGGTCTTTTATGGTCGTAGACGATATGTAGACATCTTGGATTGCTACCTCCAACAGAACCTCGCATCTAACGGAGGTTACTTTGACGAAGTATGGTTCATGGCTCATACGGCAGAGAAGGACGACGTAGCCTGGATAGAAGATCTCGTCGAGAGCACGCCCGGTTACAAAATCGTCGGCAAGGGAGTCTGTGAGGGTAAGAAGTACAGTTGTATGTGGAACTATGCTGTCGAGGACAACACCATCTATGTGAAAATAGATGACGACATTGTGAGTAACCTGCGACCTATTACGGTTCTTCACATGGAGCCACGAGGAGATTCTAGGTGGGACTAGAACAATGTGCTGACTGACATGTTTAACCAGATTTATATCCACCACGATGCCATTCCTCAGCTCGTACATACTCGCATTGCCCTACCTCACCCGTACGCCATCTCTTCCAACTTGGTGAACAGCCCTGTGACGGGCATGGAGCAGTACCATTATGGTGCGATCCACCCCTTCCTTCCCGACCCAGCCAGTAAGCCTTCGTTCCACGCTGCCGAAACGTGGCGTGTCTCGGAGAAGAAGAGGTATCCCAAGGAAGAGTTGCCAGACAATTACAATGTCATGGACATGGCTCCATCGTATCAAGGGCACCCGTGGCTCCTCATATCTGATGACCACTACGATCTGCTCAAGACCCCGATGGGCAAGTACGATCAGGATCGCGGCGCGGCGCCGATTGCGTTCGGTCTCGCATGGAAGTCGTGGGGAATCGGAGCGCAGCAGCAATACTCTCTTTTGTATAACCTCGAGCAAAACAAGATGCAACGCTACTTCTTTGGTCGAAACATACAATATCCGGAACACGCCAAGGCGCCCAACGCGTCGGCCATTGTCCCGGGCAAGAACAATGGTCCCGGCGGTGAGCAAACGTATGACACGGGCTACACCCGTTATAATCTGAACTTTGTTGCCGTCTGGGGTTCCGATATCCGGGACCAGTTGCCCATTGCAGATGACGATGAGCAGGATATCACGGCGGACATTCCCCGACGCATCGGACGACCGTTCCTCATCGACACCCGCTCCGTTGTAGGGCACTTTAGCTTCTTCACCCAACAGGAGGGTATCACTAAGAGTGACCTCCTAGATCGATGGCGGGCGTTCGCGAACGAGGCGGTTTGCACGCCAAAGAATCTGAAGAAGCCTTGGGATCTAATGTGTGACGGGTTCCGAGTCGAAGGCGGCCTAGGACGGTAGCAGTGGTCAAGATGAGTTTTAGCTCGGATGGATGAGATATTGAAATGAAGGCGAATTAAGATGGAATTTTATGATTTCTTCACATCATGTTCCATGACCCTTTTTTCAATTTTTTTTTGCTTTTGTACCCTGCTTTTTTTTTTCCTGCATGGCGTTCCTGGAAACTTGCATATGAGTGGCCTGGTTCTGTATATGAAAGAGGATCAGGAGGCCGGGTGGGTGGTGCACGGATGATGGATGTGCTGCCGCGTTGGTTTTTTCCCACTCTCTGGTATGGAAAAGGAAGAAGCATAAGACGGCATGGTAGGATAGGGCGTATTACTGTGTATATATCGGGCATTCGAAGTACACACTTTCCTGTCCCTCCACTTTTCTTGGGCGTGCTTGAGTGAAATTTCAAAGGGGTGAGATGCGAAAGAAGGCTTTTATTTAAATTCAGCAAATCCTTGCGGTCTGAACGTTTTGTACGCGCGGCCCCGGAGATTTGGTCTGAATAAGCTTCAAATTCAATCTCTTAAGCAGGCTAAGAGATATTGGATGCGCCGATGTAACAAGATCTGGAGCTTTAAAGCTTATATGCAGGTGGTTTGGGGTGGATCGTGGGTAGGTAAGTATTAAGTAAGTAATAGGCTTTCCGTGTTTATATGTGTAATAGGCAATAAAGGTGGTAGGCACTACATCTCCTTACATTATACCTACTCTGACACTCTGACATGCTTTGATATCTGCTTTTTTACATGTTAGTATGGAAGTTGGATTGCTTCGATAAGAGTGAGTGAGGTGAAACAGTATTTAATTAATCTTCATCTAATTTTTTTCTTTTTTCTTTTCTTTTTCTTTTTTACTTTTACTTCATTTGTCTTGTTCTGCAGCCCGGGCGGACATCCGCATATACAGAAGTCTTGGGTATATATGGTTCAGGCCAACGGTTATCCGTTCTCTAATCTTGAATCTTCTCCCCTGCGTCCAGTTAATTTCTCTCTCCCTGGGTTAAGATGTCTTGGATCGTGATCGCAACTACGGTCGTTGTACGACTAATATGAAGATGCCTGTAAGCCACGAAATGGTTATGGCTTGGATATATAAGTGCCTAGGTTAGGTAGTCTCTTCTTGTACTACTTAGTTGCGTACAACACCATCAAGTCTTCCTCCTCCAGAATTAGACGTCTCAAACCCAACCACAACCACAACTACAACCACAACTATCAGACAATCAAAACCCGCAACCCCTTCGAGCTCAGCTTCGGCAGAGGCAACATGAAGTCATGCGCGTTCCGGACATCGCTCTCGTCCGACTCAAAGAGCCTCATCTGCACGCCGCCGGGGCGGAAGAGGACCGCGAGGATGAGGCTCATCTCTGCCATGGCCAGGCTATGATTGTTTCAAGGTATGACGGTTAGCCAACCTCCCCTCCAGCGTGATTAGGTGATTTTACCCCCTAGGCTGTTGGGTGTATAGGTAGGTAGGTAGGTAGGTGGAAACTCACTTCATCCCAAGACAATTCCTCGAGCCCCTGGAAAACGGGACGAAGCTCCGATGCATAGCCGGGTCGACATCCCCGAGCCAACGCTCCGGGATGAATTGGTCGGGCGAGGGGTACACCGAGGGGTCGGAGTGCATTAGGTACGCGGACATCCCTACTGGTACCTAATTCACGCATAAACATCTGTCAGCGAGAGGCTAGTTGGGGGTGGTTACGTTATTAGGTAGGTAGGTAGGTATGTGTTTGTTTGTGAGGAAGGGAAAAGGAAAGGGAATGCATTTACCCCTGCAGGAATCGTGTATTGCTTGTACTGGAGCGGCTCGTCGGGGAAGACGCGAGGGAGACGGTGCATGATTCCGTAGCTGAGCCTGTATCGGGGGTTTTTTTTTCTTCTGTGAGCAAAACCAAAACCTCCCAAACGCCATCGTGGCTAGTCACTCACCGCAAAGCCTCCTTAATAACACTCTGCAAGAACGGCAACTGCTCCAGCCTCGACCACGCCGGCACCTCGTCCGGCCACCCCGCCATGACCTCCTTCAACTCTTCCGCGAGCCGCCGCCGGATCTCCGGGCGCGAAAGGACGTAGTAGGTCGCGAACCCGATGGTGCGCGCGGGCGTGACGGTGCCGCCGCCGAGCATCACCTGCGCTTCGCTCGTGAGCCGGTCCTCTGAGAGCTCGGAGGGGGGCATTCCGCTGGAGATGATGGCGTGGAAGAGGGATGTGTTGGTGTTGGTGTTGATGTTGTTGGGGTGATTCTTCGATGATGAGGAGGTGTCGGACATGGCTTTGCGGATGTTGCGTCTTGCGTTCTGTGGGATGGGAAGAGTCAGTTGTAAGAATATGAGCATATATATATATATATATGTGAATAGGGAGAGAGAAAGGGGGCGTGTCGAACATCAGTAAAGATCTTGAAGACCCGGCCTCGGGGAAACGCCCACAGCATTATTGGCTCGGGGATCAATTTCACGATACTATGTATATGCAAGTGTTATCTGTCAGCTCTTGCCCCCCGAGACGTGGGATTTTGGATGATAGAAGGGGGGACGACGAACCGGACGAGCCACGGGAGGCCGATGAAAAGGTGTAGATTGTGCAGTAGCGAATTCACCACATTGTACCTGGCGAACCATTAGCTCCCATCCATGCTACACTACACTCTTTCTACCACCTATACAAGCAAACGAAGAGAGAGAAAGAAAAAAAACCAAAAAAAAACACACCACTCAGCGCCAAAGTCGGTCTCCCCCAAGAACCTCCCACCCCGTCCCCCATCCCCATCCCCATCATCCAGACAAATCCTCTGTATGATATCCCCCGTGCACGCAGAAAACACATGGTCGAGCGTGACGACCTGCCCCCCGCCCCTGAGCCCCTCGAGCCTCGACTCCAGCTGCAGCGCCACCTCGCCCAGCATCGGCTGCAGGGACGCGATGCCGCGCTTGGAGAAGAAGGGCTCGAAGGGCTTGCGCCGCTTCTTGTGCAGGTCGTGGTCTGCGGTTAGCAGGAAGGCGCCTGGGGGGGTAGGAATGTCGGGGTTAGTTTTGTTGTTGGTGTTTGACAAAAGAGAAAAAAAAAAAAAGGGGGGGGGGGGGGGGGTAAAGAAGAGAGTGAGAGGATATAGCAGACCGTCAAAGTCGATGCCCTGGCAGAACTGGTCGTAGTGGCTCGTCCGTCTCTTGCTCTCGGTGACGTACACCTCGTTATAAAAGTCCGGGTCGTGGATCGAGATTTCCACGGGGTTGATGCGAATGATCGGGCCTAATGAACGGAGAAATCCAAAATTAGATAGGTAACTAGGTTAGGTAACTAGGTATTTATCCCGTCTATCTCAACTCCTATTTCCATACGCCTAACCCAACCCCCTACCCTACCCTATACTAGCAAGACAGCATCACCTACCGTACTTCCTGTGCATCCTCTCGATCTCAAAGAGATACTGCCCGTCAAGCCAGACGTCGAAGTAGAACTCGTACCACCCCGTCGCCGCCGCGATCCTGGACCCCGGGATCCTGGCCAGCGGCGACAAGAGCAGCCGGTAGACCACCAGGCCGATGGCATAACACAGAAGTGCCAGTGGTGCGGCGGCGGTGTAGACCGTTGCGCGGGGCAGTTCTAGGAGGGGAGAGAGGAGCGTCATGGTAGTGGTTATTAGTGATAGCGAGGATGATAACGATGATGGTGATGGTAGATCCCGATGGACTGCTGCTTGTGTACTAGATATATAGGTACCTAGGGAATCTATATATTATATCTACCCATCAGAGAGGCACAGCACAGTAACGAGCCGCTTATATATACCTACCTAGTACCTACCTACCTACCTACCTAAGTCCTTGACTTATTTACCCAATATGTAGGCCAAAACAATCTGGGCAAAAATATATATAAAAAGAAGCTATATACGGGTCCTTGCTGACATAGTATGCAACCCAACCAACGACTTCCCGAAAAAGGAATATGAAGAGCGAGCTGGGCAACGGCCCTGCGCCAACGCGGCGCGGATCCGATGCCGAACGTTGGCACTACTTTTGTATCGGCGTATTAGAGACAGAGATGGGGGGGAGAATAAGAGGATCGTGACGGTTAGGGCTGACATGCTATGCAAGCCTACCTAGTTGTAGATATATGTGCAGTCGGCTAGGCTTATTTGGGTTGGAATACGGCTAGTACGTGGTGATGGACGTGGAGGAGCAAGGTGCTTTGCAAATCCGGTGATGCTGATTCGGTATAAACATACCACAGTGTAGGAATGAAGTGCTTTGGTACTCGAACCGCTTGGAAGTTTAGCCTAGATGCTGAATCTCATCAAAGTAAAGTCAAGGACGGACGAGGTAGTCGTTTTCGATGACATCCATAGACACTCTAAATATACTATATAAAGCTAAGTCCTAAGTAATATACCAGGTCGGTATCGTCTCGCTACCTGCCCAGGTACTAAACACGAGAAAAGGGGCTTAGGGACAGAGGGAGTAAACTGATGAAGCCATACAAACTGCACTCACTAATCCCACTCCATTCACTCGTATAATATGAACATTATGAACATGATATAAAATTATTTCTAAATTATCCTATTTTACTTCAATTCTATACATAAGCCGTAAATATAAACAAGAAAACCCCAATAGTTACCCATATATCGTTTCTGAAGCCCGACCCCTTTTTGACACCTAGGTAAATTTTCTTTAGATAAAAGTCATAGCTCATGTAGCTCATGTACACCCACATCCCCACTCATCCATTCATTAATATGCCTTACTCTGTTAAAGCATTTCTCTTCGCACTTGCCTCGGCTGTCAACATGAGACTCTTGGGTGCATCCTCGCGGGGCATGTACAACTCGACGAACCGCAGTCCCTTCCTCTCGTTAAAGTCTTGGTCCTTCAACAACTTCTCCAGCTCGCCGCGGGTGTGCACGGCGTACGACCTAGCCGTGTCCTCCGTAGCACCAAACACGGCGGGGAGGTCCTTGTACCGCCAAGTAGCGACGTCGTTGTAGGCTGCGTCCATGCCGTGGATGAAGCGCTCGATCGTGTATCCGTCATTGCATATAACAAAAATGATGACGTCGAGACGGTGGCGGATCATGGTGCTGACCTCCTGCACCGTGAGTTGTAGACTTCCGTCACCCTCGAACAGGATCGTACGGCGCGCCTTTTCTACACCGCGGTCATCTTGTGTAGCCAGCGCCGCGCCTTGGCATGCGCCGACCGCCCAGCCGATGCTACCCCACAATGTTTGGTTCAATGCCGTCACATTGGCCGGGAAACGGGTTTCCCAGATACCGAAGTTGGCCGTACCGGTCTCGGTCACAACAATATCCTCTTCGCGCAAGAACCTGTCGATGCGCGCCCAAAACCACTCCTGCTTGATCACCTCATCCGGGTTCGACTCGGTCGACAGCTCTTGGAATTTGGGTGGCGGAAGAGCCTTGATTTGAGCCACGTCGAGTTGGTCGATAACCTTGCGTAAGACGCCCTTCATGCAAACGCCCGGGTACTCGGAGTAGCGGACGATGCAGTGGTCGCTGTGCAGGTCGATGGAGGTCAGCTGGGAGAGACGATAAGAGAAGCCGGCGGTGTTGAAGTCGCTCTTAAGGGCTCCGACGGAAATCACCAAATCGGATCCCTCGACCATATCCTTGACGGCGGGACTGGATGCGGATCCGGCGTACACGCCACCAAAGCTAGGGTGTGTTTCATTAATGGCACCTTTGCCCATGGGCGTCACGAACACGGGTAGCTTTGTCTTCTCGATCAGGTCATGCACCTCATTTAGTACGCGGTGTCGAATGGCGCAGGCATCGACCAAAATGACGGGTCGCTCGGCCGCATGGAGGTACTTGAGGATGACTTCTACGACATAGTTTTCTCGGTCTGCGTCGTTGGCCGGCTCCCGTAGATCGATCTCGGTTTCCAGACGTTCACCCTCCACTTTCTTCTCGACCATATCGGTGGGGAACATGATGTAGACGGGACGGGAGCGCAAGTAGCACTCGCGCAACACATGGTCAATTTGGTTGGCGATTTCAGCGGGGTCGTTGAGTTTAGCGACGGCACACGAGATGCTGGCGCTCATGTTGGCAAAAGCGTTAAAGTCGCCATTTCCTAGGGTATGGTGGAGTAAAAGACCGCTGCGTTGCGATATGGTGGACGGGCAACCGACGATATGGACAATGGGCACGTGCTCGCTGTAAGCTCCGGCGAGACCGTTGACGGCAGATAACTCGCCAACGCCAAAGGTGGTGATGATGGCAGCGATACCATTGACACGGGCATAACCGTCGGCGGCGTAAGCAGCGTTCAACTCATTACAGTTACCAACCCACTTAAGATTGGCCTTGGGTAAGTAGTCAAGGGCGACAAGATTGAAGTCACCGGGAAGACCGTGGACGGATCGGATTCCAATTTGGTGAAGCCTCGTGAAGAGGTACTCAGCCACGTCGACGGGCTTTTTGAGATTTTTCGTTCTGATATCCACGTTGGGCATATTTGCGAAATCTCAGGAGAGTCGGGGGTAGATAAGTTAGGTACGAAGTATATAGAATATATGAGTGAATTAAGGATAAATTTGAGGTATAGTAAGTAGTTAGTACACACTCTGGATTAGACTATAGTGATGTCTTGCTAATAAGTATTGAGGTGTACTGAGGGGATAGATAGGTAGAATAGATAGGTAGATAGATATACTGTTTGCTTGTCAAGTATGAGGAATAAAGGACAAGAAAGGGATGAAAATGGAAATGTATCAATTATATATCTGTACCAAAATATTTCTTCTTCCAAGTTCAAAGTTAAAAAATCCAAAGCCAACGTCGAAATCGGAATCGAACGGTAGTCACTGGCATCGCCTGTTTCGTTTAACAAGTATCGGGCCTTGTTGTTGTGGATCTAGTATGTAGCATGGTGCATTTTCGGCGTCTGGCGATGGTGGATGATGATATGATCAGGCGATGATGCAATGGATACTTAGATTTCTATGTACTTACCAGATTCTAGACATTCTAGACATTATGCCTTCCCTTTTTTCTTAAAGGCTGTGCAGTAACTAGAGCCATATAACGTTTCAGAATATATGGAACTTGATGTATCTAACTGTACCGTACTTGCCCTCTCACATACATGCATACATACATAGATAGTACCAACGTCGGTATGTAGCTAATGTATTACAACTCTAAATTTAAAGGGACCCATACATCTCTAGGGTACACACCACTTGCAGAGAGTTTCGTTAGCTTCCGGTGTTACATACATGCTTCGTACATCTAGGTACGTTACTAATCGGCCGAACCCGGCTTGCTTCGGACTGGTTACTTATCCTAGTAGCCCATTATTAGTCGGGACGGATGCCCACCTCTAAGTACCTAGCTTCCGGTCTGGAAGGATCCAGCTGAATGTTGTACAACGCGTCAAAACTTGACTTAGCACAAAGAAAGCTTTCTATGTCATCCATGAATCTGGTGATATCTTGATACAAAGTTTTGAGCGGTGAGGCCATCTCTATCTAGTAGGTAGATACCAGGTAGGTATTTTCTAAAATCTAGGTTAGTTCGATCAAACAAATGTCCGCTATTATCGTCAGTCATGATTCCGTCGTGACATATTATACAATGGATTACTGAGCAAATCCAACCTCATTTGTCCCTTATCGGCTTCGAGAGGCTAGGTATGAGGTACCCTGTATATCCCTCAACTTGATGACCATCGCTCATGCATGTCAATCACAACGCCCGTCTTTCCAGCCCGTTCGCCATCTCTCTTCCCACTTCGAACAGTCAAACTTTTGTTTGCCTAGTTTGACGTTGACGGCATTGTGCGCCTCGCACAGCCACTTGCCAAACTCGTCACGGCTACCGACCTGAATACGTTCCTTCTGCATATATTCCTGGAAATCTTCGGCGCATACCCAACATGGATAGAGTCTTGAGAAGACTCCCATGAAAGTCTTGAGATCGGACTGCTGGGCAGTGTTTGGTGTCTTGGGGTATGTCGCGGCGATGGAGTGTAGTAGAGTCCAGGTGCTCCGACCTAGTGTCTCGACATCGGCAGGGCAGTCGTCCGGCGTGGCCTGTTGCGAGGAGTTGGCCGAAGCGGCTGCGGCTGCGGCACCGGCACCGGCACCGACTCCAGCAGTAGCAGCGCCTACATTACCACCCCCGGACTTGAGTGATGATTTGGCCATCTGCGCCCACGAGGCAAAATCCTTTTTCGATGTACATGATCGGCAACTATGCGAGAGAGAGAGAGAGAGTTATGTTAATAGATGGTCATTCAATAGACGGAAAAATGATGATAATGCGACTAGGTACATAGAGACGAATGCTACTCACGGCTTGCCATCCTTTCCTATGACAACACCTTTGGGCAACTCATTGGGTTGCGGTTCTCTCGTATCGGCAGCCATTTGTGCTACTCTGACCGGAATGAACGATCTAGAATGAGGCTCCAGAAAAAAATGCTAGACGCGAAACGCTCACGAGGATTTACGATAGAATCGAAAGGTACCTGCCAGCAAAAATAGATTAAGCTCTTAAGCTAATCGTGGATTTGTCAGTTACTCGGCGGGAAGCGAATCCCGGCGCCGGCCGGTGACGCCACTAACTTCAGCCTAGCACATGCCTAAGTAGCTGTAGTTACGCTAGACACGGCCCGAACTTCGAAATGATAGGTACCTACAGTGCATAGCATGTAGTTATCCATATTCCATGGATGTATTGTACTTAGTTAGTACTTAACTACCTCTATGTCTTTATCACGTAACTATCGATAAAGCTTATTACACGAAGCTCCAATTGGAATCACTAGAATTAGTTCTGTGTCAGTTCTACTATCTAAGCCAAGTTGCTCAGTTCATTTTTGACGATGCAGCAATTCAACCCATAGCAATGGGAACTGTGGCATCAATGGATGTTGCTCATTTGATTCAGATCACATAATTCATTATTACCTAGGTACTTACCATGTCTTTAAACTCAGACCAAGTTCCTGTGTTACTCCTCAAGACAAAATCGGCACCGACGGATGCGTACGAAGACTTGTTCTCTACCCCGCGGGATGGCTTTGATTTCGAACCCACCTTCGTCCCTGTTCTCCAGCACCAATTCGAAGATGCTGGAATGCGCCAATTTGAAACTTTGCTTCGGGAGAGGCAAATAAGTAAAAGACCAGGCAGCGCTTACGGCGGTCTCATTTTTACGTCGCAAAGGGCCGTAGAGGCGTTTTCCAAATTAGTTCAAGAAGGCAAAGGTCTGAGGCCTTCAATGTGTTCGATGGCAACCCATTTTCTGACTTACAGAAATGATTAGGCGACGAAAGTTGGCCACACCTTCAAGACATTCCAATATATAGCGTCGGTCCTGCTACAACTCGTGCAATTAATGCCGTTTCTCAGAACCCTCCGCTTCAGGTCTTTGGAGAGCATACCGGAACTGGCGATGTGCTCGCGCAATTTATTCTAGAGCACTATGGCGAATGGTACAAAGATCGGCCAACCAAGCCCCCACTGCTGTTCCTGGTGGGCGAGCAGAGGCGAGATATTATACCAAAGACATTGATGGACACAAATTTGCCGGATAACCAGCGAATTGATGTGACAGAGATCGTGGTATACGGCACCGGTGTCATGGAATCATTTCCTAGCGACTTCGCATCGGTATTGCAAAAGACGTCGGACCGACCGGCGAGGTGGGTAGTCGTCTTCTCGCCAACGGGCTGCAATAGTATGCTCAAGGGATTGGGCGTGCTAAACGACAAGTCAGGAAAGGTTGAGAAGTCGCCTCGTAAAGAGAAGCCGCCTACGTATATCGCGACGATTGGGCCGACAACACAGGGGTATCTTAAGAAGACGTTCAACTATGAGCCGGACGTGTGCTCTGAAAAGCCGAGTCCCGAGGGAGTCTGGCAGGGCATTACTGATTTTACCAAAGGGCTAACATAGGTGTATGCATGTTAAATAGGTTCTTGTGTAAGATGGCTGGGTTCTTGGCATGTTGTGTCTCTTAGGGAACATTGAATCTAGGAACAATGCTGATTCGTTCCTTGGTACGACATCTAAACCAGGTGTTTATTGGATACATCGATAGTATGTTCCTGCCGACTTACCTACATAGTAGTACCTACATCAATGATAGTGCCTCTTACCTTGCTACTACCTATCTACCTAGGTCCTAGGTAACACTTACCTATGTAGTAGTATTATATACAAGTCTCGTGGTACGAAAATTGAGTTTAAATTTGTCAGGACGGATGACAAGGAGGAAAGCCTAACCTTAGGTTAGATGTCTAGATGGCTTGGGTATAGGTAAGTTTAGGTAAGTTTAGGTAAGTTATAGGTTTGTGGATGCCACTGGATGGTGATTGCCATGATTACCTTTCTGCAGAGTGGAGAACCCAGCATAAGTCGAATGGTTTCAGGTAATGCCAACACTTATTAAGCCGTCAAAGTTTATGAGAAATAGAAATAACTATTACCTAGTAATAGTTTATTAGGTATACCTTCTTTTACCTATTACCTAGTACAAAGTATGTACTACATGTTACATACATTGATGTACCTATGTAATATTTAAGTTTATAAAGCCCTAGTTTTCCCCTCCAAATATTTTAAGTCACCAACAAACGTATGTGTCCTCGTTGATCGTCTATATATAATTTATCCAATGTTCATCGTTAGACCCCTGAAAGGCTGAAGCATTCAAGTTGCAAGGTATTGTACAATCCATATACCTACCTACTACCTAGTACCCAGTATCATTTGTATTGTATTGTACTAGGGCTGCCCCACCAAACTTATATACACCTAATCACCACCCACTACGAAGCAGCCGACGTCACATTCCATGATTCCACATTAAACAACTACCCTGCCTACTATACCTACTATAGTGAAAAAAGAAAAGAGAGATACTCATGAAGAGATGGTAGGCAGATGGCCAACCTAGAGTTCTACCTATGCCTATCATACCTACCTACCTAATGAAGATAAGACAAGGAGCAGCCTAAACTAGAAACAGCTATTATCTACATGATTATCTATCTACATCCTGCGTACATATCCATTCACCTGCGATTCTATGCAGAACCTGTCAGCCTATACCATACCAGCCATAGTAGCCAGCCATACCTAGATCGACAACACACGACACCGCTTATACCCTCCACATCAACAAAACCTACCTAGTTAATGCCAACCATGGACTCACATCAGGAAAACAACCTCATAGACTTCTCGCCGCCATCATCTGGCATCTCCACCCCCATTTCTCGCCATTCGCAGTCCTATTCACAATCCCAACCTCGATCTCCTCCGTCTACTTCCTCAACTAGCGGTAGCTACATTGGTTCCGCCGTGTTGGGTTTATGGCGACGTCTGTCCACCCTTGAGACACCTGGTTCACCACCGTCTGGTATTGCCACCCCGCCGCTCTCCCAAGCCCAGCTCTACCACTACAACACAGAATCAGCTTCTCAAATGCGACCGATGGGAGATGGTATTAATGGCCCTTTCATCCCGCCCTCACGCCCCCCGGGCCGTACACCCTCGCCACGCGGTTTACCCTCCCTCGAGCCTCTGACATTGAACGGCTACCATGCCGATACTGAAACCGACGATCAATTACTAGCCAAAGGCGTAGCAGAGGAGATCCGGACCTTCTTACCCGAGCGCCTTAAGATCGCAGAGGACTGGCGGCTTGTGTACAGCTTGTATCAAGATGGCAGCTCCCTTGCTACACTATACAAGCTATGCGAGGAGTACCGTGGCAGGAGAGTCGGATTTGTGTTAGTCGTTCGGGACGGTAGGGAAGGGGTGAGTTTCTTTGTTACCTTTCGCTCAAAAGTAGGAATAGGCCATCATCTAACTTGATACGCAACAGACCTTTGGCGCATACCTTACAGAAGCACCACACCCAGCATCCTCATACTTTGGCACAGGGGAGTGCTTCCTCTGGCGAGCAAGCCTCCACGCGCCTCTACCCCCACCACCCTCCGCCGATACTAGTAATCTCAACTACCGCGCCACCACGATAGCATCGCCTACCTCGACCTCCTTTCATCACGACGATCGCCAAACTGCCACACAGCAACAACAAAGTCTAGCGCCGGGACTAACAGATCCGACAACAAACAAATTGCAGAAACAACCACCATCGCAGAGCATTAGGTTCCAAAACTTCGCCTACACGGGCGCCAACGACTACTGCATCTTCTGCGAGACCAAGTTTCTGTCAGTGGGCGGCGGCGGCGGCGGCACGTTCGGCTTATGGCTCAACGACAGCCTGAGTAGGGGCCACAGCGCACCTTGCGATACGTTTTTGAACCAGCCGCTGAGTGACGAGGGCGAGAAGTTCGATGTGCTTGGTGTTGAGCTGTGGGTCGTTGGGAGTGGTTGAGGAGACCACTCTTTCGACTCTTATTTTAAAACACTGGCGTGGATGAAGAATGACGGGTGAAGATTCGGGATACCCTATGAAAGAGACTGGATATTTCTCTCCCTCGTGCTGCCCTACTGCCCGACTACCTAGTGGCTCAAACGACGAGATGAATGGGAGACAGACTGGACACACCAAGGCAGCATGCATCCTGAGTAAATGATTGCACGATTTGAGGATAGATGGTGTACGCACATAGTAAGCGTACCTACCTACCCAGCAAGAACAGAACAGAAAGGGAATTGAATCAGGGAACGAACAAATTTCGATAGCAGATACTCTTTTTTTCTTTTACCAACAAACGGCGTCTGGCGCATAACGGGAATAGGTAAACCACCTTAGGTACCTAGATACCTCAGGCAGGTATGCATTAGATAGGCTAGGTGATCTTGAACTTGAAAAGAAGATCAAGAACACAAGATTGATGGATTCGTTCAATATACCAACCAAAATACTTCACTCTTGCTTGTTACCTGCTGCTGTATTGTGTCGTCCTTGGGGAGTAGAGTAGATGAAGTAGACGGAGTAAGCGAATAGACCAAAAAATAGGGAAAGAAAAGAAGGGAAAAAAAACAAAAAAAAAACAAAAAAAAAAAAACAAGAGGCTATAACTACCTACCCGTTTATTACTAGGTACGTAAATATCTTGAGCCGCCTCTATCCCCGTAGGTAGGTAGGCAAGGTAGGTAGGTCAAGAGACAATACATACATACATACATACATACCTAAAGGATGAAATACGAAATTCAAAATCAACGTATCTATCTACCGAAGTAGGTACTAGGTACCTAGGTTAGGTATGTATTATTTATTGAATTTGAATAGCATCGAGTGCTACAAGTATGTAAACGTGCGTTTCCTAATAAGCAGGGGGGGGCAAATCAATAAAGCAACCTCGAGGAGAAGAGAGAAGACAGAGTCTGACACAGGCAAAACAAGCAAGCATTCTCACTGCCATTTCCATTCAGGGTTCTTTACTACAAATCATCGTCTTATTTCATCTCATCTCAGGGTAGGTAGGTTAACAGCACCTATGTATGTAGGATAGGTTGGCTAGGTAAGGTCAGGTTGAGGTATGTAACAAGCACATGCATGCTCTCCCTTGTCCCTCTTTAGTAGTATAGGAAAAAAAAAACCCCTCCAACTAGAGGCACATTTTTGAGAATTTTTACCTAAAATTCTCATCTCAGCTCGTCCCATCCCATCTCCAAACCCCTAGCTCGTTTTCACATGGTTTTGCCTCAACTTTCCCCTTCTTTCTTTCTCTCCTTTCACTGACCGATTCACTGACTGACTGACTCCAAGGCTTATGCTTGCTTTGTTGATCAACGCCTGAAATTTCACTTTGCTATGCCAAACCCCCCACATCAGCTTAGCTCCCCCCTTTCATACCACCTATTTACCCAGCCTTCCTCATGTTGTCCGTCCGTCTTTTGTTGTATTTTAGATGCGGCCTCGTAGCTTAAGACTCTCCATGAGATATGAACCAAGGTTGAGTATTTGGGAGCCCATGCCCGATGTCTCGTGAGCATTCCGTTTCTACCGCATGATCTCTTGATAGATAAGTTGCTTCAACTGCTCTTTGCTCAAGTTATCCTTGTGCTTGTCAAAGTCGAAGAACTCCTCCGGAATCGGGGGCGCAGTTGGCTCGTCCTCGGGGTCGTGGTAGGGTTCGAGATACGGGTGCTTCAAGGCCTCCTCCACAGTAATACGCTTCACGGGGTTGAAGGCAAGTAGCTTCTCTAGCAGGTCTAGTGCGAGGTCGGAAGTCTTGGGGAAGAGCGTTCGGAAAGGAACCTTCTTCTTGAAGGGGAGAGAACGGATGTACTCGCGAGCGCGGCGAGACTTGATTCCGTAGTAGTCCTCCATGGTCGGGGTACCCAGAACATCCAGGATCAGGGTCAATTGATGGTGGTCTACATTCCTTTGTTAGCGGGCAATGGTCAACGAATACGGGTCAAGGGATCACATACAGTCCTTTCCAGGGAACAGCGGCTTGCCACTCAGCATCTCGGCAAGAATGCAACCAACAGACCAGACGTCAATGGCCTTGGTGTACTCCTTGAAGGTTAACATGATCTCAGGAGCACGGTACCAACGGGTAGCGACGTATTCGGTCATGAAGCCCGAATTATCCTCTTGAGACGCGGCAGATCGAGCGAGACCAAAGTCACAAACTTTCAAGTCGCAGTTAGCGTTCAGCAAAAGATTACTGGGCTTCAGATCTCGGTGAAGGACGTTTGCCGAGTGCATGGCCTTCAACGCTCGAAGCGTCTGGTAGATGAAGTATTGACAATGATCATCTGACAAGTCCTGAGTGCGGATGACTCTGTGCATATCCGTCTCCATCAGTTCCTACATGGTCATGGAATTAGCCATCAATTACCCATGTATCCTTGCGAGTTCCAGATCTATGGCATACCTGAATTAAGTAGACTTCATTAAAGGTCTCGTAATTACGCGGCTTCTGGATATCAAGAATGGAGATGATGTTCTCGTGGTTGAAGTATCTGAGAAGCTTCATCTCTCGAAGAGTTCGCAGGCAGAACATGGAGTGATCAAAGGGGGTGATCTTCTTGATGGCGACCTTTTGGCCAGATGGCTTGTGTATCGCCGAGCTACATACCAGCAGTTAGCAACCTGACCCTGACCAGACTTGAACGTACAAGGCAATCTTAGGAGGCAGCCACAAACTCACCAGACGACACCGTAGGCACCCTCGCCGACGACATCTTGAATATCGTACTGCTCACTAACGTTGAAAGAAATCTTTCGGGATCCGGCTGGATTGGGGGCGGCTGTTCGCGACATCTTGTTATGCCGACGAAGAAGTGGATGGTGGAAGTTGAGTTCAGAATGAAGAACAAAATAGAAGTCGAGGACCTAAATATCCTAACGCCTCAATGGTCTCGATGGGGTATATTATAACCCTATAAGGGCAATAAGAGGCGTCTATATAGGTAATCTCGTAGGTAATTTCGGCTCGTCAATTATTAATCGTGCACGATCCACGCAGCGGAGTAAAACACCAATAAATTTTTGAATGCGACAGCACTCAATCAACGTCTTAAAAAATGAATCGAGTTACGTGAGAGGGTGAAGTCGTCGGGGTCTGATCTATTAAGCTGAAATGACCGAAGAAAATCGAGCTGTCGCGAAAGGGGGGGCAAGGCCGGATATGTTTTTATAGAATCGCAATTTTTCGGTCCTTTGAAGTGGGCAAGCTGAAAATAAAGGTATTCCTTTCTTTCAGTTTGTCAGACCTGAGCTTTGTGCGTCGAAATTGGGATGATCTGGTCCGAACTGAGAGAAGTTGGTATGTTAGTTGGGACTGTTGCGTAGAAACAAAGACGACAACTTCAAGTGACGGCAATGCAAGGAAATCAGGACGGATGAGATATGACAACCAGGTACGGTGGAAAGTGAGGTAAAATGTATCAAGAAGAGGTACAGAAGGCAATAACAGTTTCGGCCTTGAGGTCGAACAAAGTCGAGGTCCAAGGGTGCATATAACTGCGACCTCTTGTTACAAAGCTGCAGAGGCCTCGTCGGGTGTCTTGTCTAAGAAAGGGAGCCGGGGGTTTCAAGGGAATATACGCGCCAACACCATGGGCAACACTCACAGTCCTGGTCACTTGAGCGCACAGGGGTAAGGGGTGTAGGTATGGGTATGGGTATTGATATGGATATGGATATGGATATGGATATGGGTATAATATATATCAATGTGTGGTGATGATGGATGAGGGGTAACGAAGATGTATGCCAGTGTACATATGTAAGTAGGTAGGTTGGGTACCTAGGTAGTTAGGGGATCTCGCTCACTTACTTTTGGGGTGCTTTGGCAACGGCGCGAATCGAAAAAGGTTGAGTGCGGTGCGAGCTGGAATAAGACAGACTGGTGAATAAACGAACTTAGACAGGCCCCGCCTTCGTGTGCTTCTTGTTTATGTAGGCAGAGAGAGATAGGTAGGTAGGTAAGTAGGTAGGTACTTTTGCTAAGGTAAGGATGGTGGTATGTGGTCAAGAAGAGGTGGATGATCGTCGTGTAAATGACCTACTTTAGTCCTATATAGTAGGTACCTATCTAACCTCAATAGTAGTAGGTAGGTATGTGAAGTAGGAGGAGAAAACTAGTAGGTTCGTAAACCGCAAGTGATTCCTCAGTTATAACTAATACCTAGGGTATTTAGGTCGTTATAAGTTAACTGCCTGCCTATTACTAATGTAAGTAGCTGAAATGAAGTGAGGTATGAACAATACAATAGTAAGGACGAAACAATTGTCTCGAAGTGGATATGAGTAAAAGAAAAGGGATTGTGGGGTGGGAAGAAAGTGAACAAGTGGGAAGTGAGGAAGTGAGAAATTGTCAAAGAGCTGGACGGGTTCAAGCTGTTGCAATGGTTGCAATGACTGTGGATTAAAAAAACCCCTCGGGCCCCCTATGTAGTAAATAGGTATCAATGAATATGTAGGTATCAAGGTATCAAGGTATCAAGGTGTCAAGGTGTCAAGCAGGTAGGCAGATATGTATGGATAGGACGGGTTAATCTATTGAAAATCGACTTTTTTTTTTTTTTTTTTTTTTTACCTCTGTGTGGACCTTGATAATCCAAATAGCGACTAAAAAGACGAGACACTAGAGTCTGAACCCGAGCCAGACGTTGGGATAAGATGGCCTAGTGTTGTTTACTACTATGGTAGTAAAGTGCTGTGACCTAACCTAGGTTAGTATGTAATGAATGAGTTAGGAATGAGTTATCGTGTTAGATGACAAAGAATGAAACAGAACTAGTGTGAGACAAGCAGACAACCTTGGAAGTGTGTAAAGAAAAATGGAAAAAAGGGTCGTGCAAGTTTAAGACTAAAAGTGTGATCGATCTGATATGGGCTTTGCCGGTGGGTTTGAGAATCCAGAAGCGGTTTAAACGTCTCGCATTCTATCACTTTTATTTCCAGTTTCACATCCCATCTAACCAAACTAAGTACTATTTGGGTATGTATCTCAAGTGCTAGTCGCAGGTTTAATTCTCCACGTGGGATCTAAAATCAGCTATTTTCGGTATACATAAGAAGGATGGCAAGTCCGATCGATATAGTTATCAAAGAGCAATAAAGAGGAAGCAGCCACAGGCATACATACATATATTATCCTAGGTACCCTAGGTACTACTATATCTAGGTACTGTGTACCTCAATTACTTAGAAGCAGTACTTGACACTTCACAGTTAGAAACAATCTCAAGTATGTACCTACAAATGTAGACCTCCGTTCCTCGTTCTTCCTTCCTCCCAAGCTGTAGCATGTTTCGAGTTTGACTCAAGATGGGATGGTGAAGTTGAAATGGTGGGGTTCCGAAGGGGGGGTAGGGGGGGGTAAGAGCTTGAATTGAAGGAAGGGAAGGGGGCACTTACTACATGTACTGTAACTATATGTATGTAATGTGCATCGCAGCATCCGAATGATCTGATTTCTCTCTTGCGAATAACCCTCTTATAACGTCATGTCCAATGGATAGTAGTTATCTTCAACATTGACCTGTTTTTACTTCTATCACAGTCTAACTACATATATTACAGAACAACCAACACTTTTAATTCTAACTTTAGTACATACATATATATCCTTGTTTTACCCCGATCAAGCAAGTCAACTTCGTTTGAAGGCCACTCATTAGGGAGGATATCTACAAGTTAGTGCACTTACACAGACAACTAAATTACTTGGGCGACACGCCGCCCTCTCGAAAGCAGGCAAGCAAGCAGCATCACTCTCGGATACTATATCTAACCTAAGCCTTACTTACTTACTATGTATGTATTGATTGTACCTACATGTGTGTATTGAAGTATGTAAGACCAATGCGCAGCGCCAGAGCCAATGACATAGCTCCCTAGGCGCCGCACACCGCAGATGGGCGCTTGTGTTTTGGACTTGGATGCCGGCAGAACCCCTGGTCCCGTTTCATGACTGGCCCGTTCAGATGTGACCCAGGGATTGATTTGAAGGCCACGCACGTTCGACACGAGCTGCCTCACACGTCCATTGTCCAATCTTCGCTCATTGTTCGTTGTTGTATCTACATATCTATCTTTGCCTTTCCGCCCCCGTGCCACACACGCATATAGTCGTATCCAGTAGATGGGACTAGAGCCAAAGTTGCCTGCTTGCTTGCTTGCCTGCCTACCTACCAAGTACATATTTAGGTATTCCAACTTTCCAACAACGACTCTAAAATTAAAAAACCACATCTCTAATAGAGACTCGGCGACCTCTGCTGAAGGAACCGGGGGCGCTTACTATGTACCTGTACTACAATTCAGGATCACATGTAACCTATGGATCCGCCGCGGGCGTCCAATAGCCAGATCCCCGGAAACGGGCGTTGGAATCCCCGACTGGCCTTCTTGGCGAGCGAACGAACGCCTTTGGGAACCGAGATGTCATGGGTATGACATACATACATACATATGCTAAATGTTATACGTACTTGAATCCTGCCTACTCTTTGTTGTGCATACCAACTTCATCTGATGAGCCCGTCAAGTGGTGAAGGCGCCTTATTGTTAATGGATATTACAGCCTCGATATTCTATACTTGCCTCGGTAGGTTGAGAACCCGTGAGATGATGCAGTTGCCGAACGTTACAAGGACATGCAAATCATGCACATCACCATCGTAAATCACTAACATGTCAAGATCTCTTGGGTGTTCATCCAACTTGGTTTGTCATTTGCTGGTCGAACTCTACTTGGCAGGGCATGTATGGTGTGAACAACCCGCTACCGATATACGGGTCGCCTCTAGACTAAATTCGGCCGTGTGAAACAGTCCTGAAGACCGACATCTATCGACCCGCCAACCCGTAAAGATAGCCTCATGTGGCTTTATTGGTGTTGGCCTACTTACAAGATGCTAGGTGCTAGGTACTGGATAACATGTTGAAATTCCAATTCGGTTTGGGGAATCGTTCGCGTTGCTTCATTTTACTTCATTGCTTTTTGTGTTTGGGTGTCGCAAGCATCTATCCGTCTTCTATACAAGTATCACTTTCACCCGAGTGATAGAAGTAAATCTAGCTCCTTCATTCCTTCATTACTGAACAACCTACAAAGGCAAATAAGTATGAACCGACTAGAAAACGATATAGGACATAACAGCATCTCAACTCACCTTTTCTCTCAGCGTGCCCATCCACTGACCGAAGCTCATCCCTTGGTCGGCCCGGTCTTCCACCAGCAGTGTCTGGGCCCAGAGCTTGAGGCTAGGCTCGCCATCTTCCCGCACAATGTATAAATGCGGCACTACGATGCTACCCACTCCACGTGACAGGTGGTCCCGGCTCTTCTGGATCACCGCCCGTACTCGTTCATTGAAATCATTGTCTAGCTCTGCAATAGTGCCCTTGCCTACACGTAACTGCGTGCGATCTGCTACACCAAACACGTCCACCAGCAGCTGCGGTACTGCATCCCTTCCTACCCACAAAAATTGCGTCTGGCCGTCGTCAATAAGATACAAGCCGTATGAGAGGAATCGTTCGGATGATAAATTCAACGGAGGCGGGAGGATAATCTGGCTTGTGTCTGGGTCGGGGACTCCAGAGTTGTCGGGCATGTCATGCAGCGAGTATAACCGAGGGTAGATATACTGCATTAGAAGCGGCAGAGGTAACGTAGAAAGCAGACACAGAGCTGCGGATCTGAGATCGGACGGGATCTGTGCCGATTTTCGGAGACCAACATGCTTGATCAAACCCAAGAATAGCACAGGAAGGCCACGCAAATTGGCAGGGAACTGCATTCCACCACCTCCCATGCTTCCGCCTCCGAGCTCCTTCTTGAAGGTTTGGAGTAGCTCGACAAGCTTGCTCTGAAGAGCGTCGCGTGCGGCATCCAGCCCATTACTGAGTGCCCTCTCGACAGCCTTGTGAGTGAAGTATGTCGTGATAGCGCACTGATCCGCCGACGCATATATATCCGCAAGGTTGGTGGTGGTAGGGATGGCGAGGGTCATGACACGAATACGTCGTTCACCGTTGCACGTAGTGTACAAGACACCGGCTTGCAGACAGACGTAGTTCTTCTGTAGAGTCTCGTCGATAGCCACTTCAACAACGTAACACTGGTCGCGGGGGAAGGCCGGGAAAGCGCAAAGATCCGAGGACCTGTTGAAGAAGTTGCCGTAGAAGGTACTCATACGTAGACCAGTAGTAGCTCGTACTCTCAGCACTGCCTCAAGACCAATCTCTGAGGATAGGTAATCGCTGAATTCCGATGCAAACTTTACCGCGTCTTCGGCGCGGCCAGCATTCCATCCCGGGTAGTGCCAAGTCTGGCCACCAGTGTATCGAGGTAGGTTGCTCTGGGAAGCCACATCTTGGTATTGCGAGGAGAAGAGGAACATGTCGATCGATACTTGGTTCTTGGAGCACTCGACAGCGAATGATTTGTAGAAACTGTTGGCAGTTTGTAGAAGGCTGCCTTCTTTAGACGTGCCTAAAAGTTTCTTATCTTCCCGCATTTCCAACTTGCCCACTCCCAAGTTTGGCAACGAAGAACTGATCACCACGAGCTTACCACCCAACGGCGAGATCAGTTTGTGGCCGGCTCTAAGAGCTGAACCCATGCACGAGCCGTTGCTTTGGTTGTTCTGGAACATGTCCGGAAGCTTGGTCAAGAAATTCTCTATGCTACTGCGACTTTCGGTAAGATGAACCAAAAGGTCCTGTGGAACCGGTAAGAACGGCTCGTCTAGATCGCTCACAACCAACATGCTCGTCTCGGCATTCTCATCATCGTCCTTAGGGATGGAGAAGTAGTGCAAGCTCGAATCGACGGCAATAAATCCCAATCGAGTGCGCCTATCCGCATTAGGTATCCTATTAAGACTGTCTAGAATGGTCCTCGCACTCGTAGCGAGAAGGCCGGTAGAAACGGCAGCGTAACTGACATCGAACAAGAACAAATAGACGAGTGGCTGCGGAGGGCGCACCATATACTCCTGGGGAGCCACAAACTCGACGACGGCGTGGTTCAGTTCATGCCTGTCCCAACGATTGACGCTCTTCTGGGCAGCAGCATCCCAATCAAAGGCTTGCGGTACGTCATTGGTGAGATTGCACATATTACACCTCCACCTATGGCCTTGATCAAGAAAGATGACGAAAGGGTTGATATATGTCCGACATCTTCGGCACCTGGCTATAACTTGATCTTGGACGACTGGTACGTTGTCGTCGATATCATGAAGTGCGGCATACGGTTGGATGATGAGCGCGAATGGCAACTTGGACTTCTTCAACAGCGAATGGGTGGTGGGTACTGCATTCATCGTAGATCGAATATACTTGGGAGAGCAGTTTGCATCGGGGGACTGCGTAACACTAGCCTATTACGAGGAGTTAGCCCACGGTGTCCAATACATAAGACAGACAGCCCCAGCAAGACTCACATTTGGCGGGAGGATGCAAGGAGGAGGAGGCAAGTCAAGTTCTGAGACGTTGAAGGGCTGATTTAATAAATCGGTAGGATAGAGCTGGTTTAGAGCGACTCGGGCCTGATGCGGAGCTTGCTGAGCTCCAGGTTGCGGACTCGGTCCCACGTTCATACCGGCCATTCCCTGAGTTATGCCAGCAACCCCCGGAGACAGAGGTCCTGGTCCGGATGGGTAGTAAGCATCAGGAGCTTGGTAACCGACTACTCCTGGCTGGGCGGGCATGCCAGGCTGGGGAGCGCCATAAGGCGAGGGAGCAGCGGGAGCAGGAGAACCATATCCGGGCTGCTGAAAGTCCTGGCCGGGATATGCTGGGTAGCCCGGAGAGGGTTGAGGGGCCTGACCTGGAGCTCCAAAAGCTGGGGGCATACCACCGGGAGGTGGTGCTGTAGCGCCAGCGTTCGCGCCGCTTCCAAATTCGAATGCCTGGGTAGCATAACCCCTCTTCTTCTTCTTCCCAGCATCGTGGTGTGCGGCGCCTTGGGGGGGAGGTGAGGGCTGTCCTTCGTACCCAGCAGCAGCTTGCGGATCAGTGTATGGCGCCTCCTGGTCGTACTGCTGTGGAGGGTATTGGCCATAGCCATCGTTGGGGGCAGCCATCTTGGGCGCAATTGGTCAGTATTGCTGTCCTGAATCTAGCCTGAACTGTCTTATTCTATTTCCGCTTTCCTTCCGCTTATGTTTTAGATGTTGATTGTTTGTGTGATGCGGAGTGTGAGGGATAATCTAGTCGAGTCGAGTCGAGTTAAAAGTCGGGGCCTAGCTTGTTGGTGAATTAAGGAACCAAGTCTCGGACTTGTGACCACGATTTTTTAAAAAGGGCGATTTTCAGCGAAGGCCACGTTTTGATAACCAGCAATTAGAACAGATAGACTTGCTCAAGCCCTACACTTTTGAACGGCGTCTGGGGGAAACGGATAAAAAAAAAAGAGAGAGAGAAAAAGACAACAACAGGAGATGTGGTTTTATAAGATCGTCATTTTTTTGGTTGGCTTTTTGGTTGCTTGCTTGGTTCTTGGGGATTGAACTTGCGATGTAGCCAAACTCAGCAACTTGTCAATTTCATGAGCTAGATGACACCGTTGATTCGTGGACAACCGTAAGAAGGGTGGGTAAGGCGTTGACAAAAGGCAAAAAAGGCTGGGGGTTTGATAACTTTAGCTTGGCCCAAGCTTCTATTTTGTGGCGGGGCTACCTGTAGGCTAGACAAGCTACGTAGATAGAGTCACGTGAAGATATTCGTAATAGTATGTATTGTACCTAGGTACGTACATGTAACTATGTACATACATACTACATATCTAGGTTACAGTACTAGGTATGTATGTACATTCATCAGGCACCAAGTTTAGATAGGCTGATAAGAGTCGTGCTGTTGGAGTCTTCAAAGCTCAAAGTTTGGTACAGAGGGATTAATCCATGTCAGGGCCCCTCCATTGTCAATCTCCTGGAAACTGCTATGTATGGTATGTGCTGACATCTCGCATGTCGAACGGGTACAATACAATAATAGAGTCTTTGCGTGCCGAACATCCATATCGATCCTGCTGTATCAAGGTAACAGCCCTCTCAATTAGGCAGGCTACATTTCCCTTGTGCGACATTGTATAATATAAGGATGTATGTACTTCATTTTAGCGTCCTAGCCTCTAGGTGGTATCCGCCTAATTTTAGTTCGTTGTTACCTCCCTCTCTGTTACGAAGCGCAAGCACGTTATTATGAGGCCTCTCTCTCCTTCCTTCAATGTTCCTCTGATGACCCCAGAGAAAACCTGAATTGAAACCGTTTTGGGCTGAGACTTCTTCGTTTACGTGACCTACTAGTTAGTGACTGCGTGACTACCTATATACATACATGCAATCATGAACCTCCAGACTTGTTCTTACCTTCTCTAGTTCTAGATCTTCGTTAGATCTGACATATGTATTGTACCCTGACATATGTACCTCGGTGTTGTCTGTATTCGATGTTAGTTCGACATTGAACTTTGAAGTTACATACTACTACATCCTATCTACATGCCAACTACCTATACATATCTTCGGTATACCTTTGTACTCTGACCTAGGATAACCTATCTTTCATTCACTTCAATCCGTTCTACTTGTAATTACTATATATTGTCGCTACATATAATTCATTCTATTTCCCTCAACCCCCTAACACTAAGAACACATACAAACACCCAAACATGGTCCGAAAAGCTACTCACATCGAGGCCAAGTCCTCTACCTTTACGTAAGTAGAACTATAACACTATGCCACCAGCCTCGCCTACCCACCCCATCTCATCTTAATCGCTAACCCAAAACCCCAGCCAGCTCCTGCCCCTCCTCATCCTCCTGGCCATCCTCGGCGGCGTCGCCTTCGTCGGGTACCAGATCTACCTCAGCGCGACCAAGATCCGCGACAACGCCGAGGCCCGCATGGCCAAGAAGAACGTCGTCTTCACCAAGGACGGCCTCCGCGTCGGCGTCAAGCACGTCGAGCAGGAGAAGTACGTCGACGCCACCCAGAGCTGGGTCGTCAAGGCCTGGAACATGGGAAGCCATAATCCGCCTGCCGTCAAGAGAAAATAGAGAAATGAAATGAAAAAAAAAAAAAAAAAGGAAAGGAAAGGAGAAGGGAAACCTGGGTCGCGGGTCGTAGGCCAAACTACTGTTGTACGAACCGTGGGATACGGTATCGCTTTATTCGATAATATACAGCTTTTATTACTATCACGAACCTCCCGACGGGGGTGGCGGGGGAGCTGCTTATGGGAGGGGACAGGACTTTTACGATTATATGCGGGGTTTTTGTTTCTTTCGGCTTCTTTAATTTTTTTAATTTTTTTTACGTTGTCGATCATCATAACGTTGTCGCATCGGGATTTTGTAAGCCGCGCGACAACATTTACCACGAAGGCAAAGCAGATGTGGTTTATATGTACTGTATGTGCTAGATACTAGCTGCCTACCTCCCCTTGCCTGCCTGTCTGTCTCGTCGCTAGACGACGAAGGTGAGTGAGGGTGTGAGAGGGGAAAAGTCGGCAGTGTATCAAAATACAGATTTCGACCAGTCTATCTCTCTCTCTCTCTCTGTTTGTGTGTCTGTCTGTCCGTCCATCTATTATCTTCCATCATGATCATGATCATGATCAATCCAACGAGCCCATCTCAGCCGACGCGAGTCATGTTACACCCACCCACAACGAAGCGCCTCATACCTATCTATATGTATGTCTCATATGTATGCCTGTATGTATGTACCTCTAAGCCTCTAAACTCTGCATATCCAAATCGAGGAGCACATGCATACGCAAATAACTTGGAAAGTAGTACGCGTGGCTCCAAGCCAAGCCCCCATTATGTAGGTAGTTTATGGTGTCGGAGTTGTCATGTCTGTCCAAAAAGGGGGAGGGGTGGCAAAACCGCCAAAACCACCCAGGCATAGAAAAAGATATTATATTCATGTCTTCATGTCTTCATGTCTTCATGCAAGTTTAAATGTCGTTGATATTCCATATAATATATCTTATTTATACACATTTACACACTTATACACCTCAAGCTATAGACGACACATAAACACCTTATACCAAGTAAGTAATAGACATAACCTCATCAAACTTTTCCCCTCCCTCTTTTTAGATCCGCTGTTCCTTGCAAAGGATATAAAATACAGAAATTCGTAAGGATCGAGAGCTTCGTGATCAAACCACAAGCCACCGTTCCGCAACCCACCGCTGCCCTTCTCCCGCATTCGTGCCCCCCGCAGCTCTAGCCAGCAGTTCCGCGCGCGTCTTCTCGAAGCGCTCTTTCTGCATGGCTTCGACGTGTCTCAGGGGGTCGCCGCTGTCGCCGCCACCGGTATTGGTACTGTTCTGATCGTGGGTATTGTCGTTATACGTAGTAGTGCTACTGCTATTGCCGCCCTGTCCCAAGTACGCCCCTGACACCACCGCACCCGGGGGCAGCGACGATGGCATCCCCCCTATTCCTCCTCCCTGCCCAAGTCCAGCTCCAAGTCCAGGTCCAAACCCAGTACCCGCCCTTCTCCCATGCACTAGCTGCAGGTAATCCTCCTTCGTGAGGCCGGGTAACGGACACGGGGGCGGAGGCGGGTGCAGATACGGCCTCGCCATGAAACTGTCCCTCCGGATGAACATGGAGGGCATGCGGATCTGCAGCCGACGGAGGATGTGTGCGTACTTGACGCCAAGCTCGTCGCCGATGAACCTCAGGCGCCCGTGGATCCACGCGCGCTGCGCATCCGTCGTATAGTCCTGGCTGATGAGGCAGATCAGCGGCCAAGTGAGGAAGTATCCCGCGAGCGCCTTCACGTGACTGCCTTCTTCTCCCTCCCCCCTTTCTTCATGCCCGTCGCCGTAGAAATCCCCCACCGCCTCCCGCACCTGCTCTCGTCGTCGCCTGCCGCCGCCCAGGTGCCAGCCGAGGTGGTACGGCACGGAAGCGATGACATCAGTAATAATATCGACGCAGGTACGAGCGGCGGCGGCGTACTCGGGGGTGGTACGGTAGTCGACGGGACGGCAAGACCAGGCGGCGCAGCGGACAATGAGGCTCGCGAGTATGAGACGTGCCGTGCGCGCCGTGTTCCACACGCTCGAGATATAGAAGTCGTGGTACATGTCCACGCGGCCCGGGAACGCCTCCGCATTCCCGAGGTCATCCCCGCAGGCCGCGGCCGACACCCAGGCTACTGTGCGGTAGCGCCACTCCGGTGGCACGTCGCGCATCCAGCCCACAACCTCGTCATCAACTGCTTGCACGCGCCGAATCATGTCACGCATTGCGTCGAGGGGAGACGATGGAGGTGAGCGAGTGTGCTGGTAATGCGCAATGTTACTATTCATTAGTTGTGCGATCTCGGCACGCAACACGCCCGTCTTCATCATGAGACGATGACATTTACCTGCCGTGCTATCACGGACCGCATCGTCGATCCACCATTTTGTACCCATTGTTGGGGCAGTGCCGGATGTGAGGCTATGGATGATCTAGGGGTTATGTTAATAATAACGTTTGGTGTATAGAGGTAGGTGAATAGATAGGTACTAGGCACCTAAAAGATGCCAAGGAGGAGGAGGAGGAGGAAGTAGAAGTGACAAGCAACAAAACAAACAAACCATTTGGGTCCGGACAGCGGAAAATAGCGACAGCCCAACTTTGGTCTTTAACTGCTTCTTCCCTCGAGCTTTGACGAGCTGTATGGCGCCTTCGGTATGCGAGCCCCAATTCAACATGCCGATTTGCTTTGCCGTGATACTCTGCACAGAGCTATATTAGCAAGCATATCGTCTACCTGGGTGGTAAGAATGCTCTAAGAATGACCTAACGTACCTCGAACAGACCTAGCAACAAGACCGCAGCCAGTGTCGAGTCCGCCAACTGCGTCTCGGGGTTCCTAAGCGCGGCATTGGTCCCATTGAGCGCCTTGGTGTACTCATGCAACGCCCTGTCCGAAAATCTACCTCCCACGCCTCCCCGGTTATTCAGGAACGCTATGGAGCACGCATTGAATGCGTAACGTAAGTGGCCTTGGGGCTCCTGCCGTAAGAGAGGGATGACAAAGTCCATGAACCCTCGAGCGCTTCCGTCTCGGGGTTCTAGGATAAAGTTGGAGACGAAGCGGCAGCTAGCTTGATGTTCCACAGATACACTCAACGTGGGGATGATGGACTGCCCCAGGAGTGATCCGATATTGTCCTGGATTATCATTGGAGATACCAAAGAATCTTTACCCGATCTTGCTGGACTATTCGTGTGTGGCTTCTTACTGGCTTTCCGGGCTCTCCGTTCAGTTGCCTGTGTTTCGTTGCGGAAGACCAGGTCGAACTCATCCCTATACCCGGGACATTTCCTACGCGATTTGGCACACTGGTTACATGTAGGCTTCGTCTCATCGCACTATAAACCGAGAGTAAGCGTCGGCTAGTCTGTGGAAATGGTCGTGGGTTGTAGGTAACCCAAGATGGTCAGCGTACCTTGATCCTCCTCGTCCGGCACATCTGACAGCCCTTGGAGGGCTTTCCACAGTATACCATGCTTGGAGAATTTGTTGATGCCCTCTTCCACCTATAATTTCGACTGCAACGTTGCTCAGTGGTCTCATAGAACTATTCCAGTGTAGTCTGACAAGATCCCAGCACCGACTCTGAGAGGCTCTTGACTTATAGACACGATGTTGGGAGGTGAGGAGAATGCGTAGATAGGAGAGGTTAGATAAGAATGCCTAAAGTTGATAATACTGTACATTGACGAGTTATATAGGTAAGCAACAGACAGTATTGAAGATCGACATCCCTAGATCGTCTAGACGCAGTGTGTATATATACACCATAGCGGCCAAGCCATGAATAGAAGGGAATGGGGAGATGAAAGCTTGATCGGATACAGGAGCCGGTAAGGCTTGGTATGTCTAGATGTTTGTTCCGTAACAGCAGGGTACCACTCCGGGTTGCATCGATGGATACTGCCCATTGGACATGGACAAGGGGAACAGGGGCATGTTGGGGTCTCGCAATTCCCGCTGTCGCCGTTTCAGAAATGTCTGTGCCCTGGACTTGTAGAAGCAAATACCAAGTTGTGTTATGTTTGACGGCATTTACTATTACATCGTCTATTTGTAGGATCCGTTCAATCCAGGGTATTGGTACGGGATCCATTGGGCATGATTGGCGGATCGAAGTCCTGGCAGTCCGTGATTAGTGAAAAGCCACACATCTCTCGCCATCCTGTTTTCGTTGCCATCATATGATAAGTAGCATTGCACAACGAAACGAAGTGATATATCATAGATACAGCGGTTGAGGAAAGGAGAAAAGGATGGAGGATGTGGACATGATACTTGATTAGGGTAAGTACATGTATGTAGTATGCAACATTGAAGTAAGGGTCCCATAGTGACTTGGAAGTTGGAATGCTACTAGTTAATGCTACTAGTTAATGCTACTAACAACATTGAATGCTACATATGTACTCCAACGGCCCCAGATTTTAAGTTGTAGCTAACGGATTTAAACTTTGAAGGATCCATCCAAACATCCAACCTCTTTACTACTGGTCTTTACTACCAGTAGTAGTAGTTCGTCCTCCGGAGATATATCTCAAGATACATACATACCTTACATGCATACCTTACATGCATACCTTACATGCATACCTTACATGCATACCTTACATGCATACACTAAACTCTAGTCTTCCTAATTCTAAGCGATGTCCTGCATACCTAAGTCTACTACTACTAGTAATATCTATAAAACAAAAGACGGGCGGCAAGAAGAAAAGACCAGGTACCTGGGAATAATAAAAAAGTAAAAAGTCCATCATATCAGATCTCATCAACCCTTAGTTCCTTACTAAAAGGAACAAAACCCCTGAGCAGATCCTAGCGATCAGCCTAGGCTAGGTGCCTAGGAAATATCTTCATCAGATCGGCATCAGTGAAGATTACCTACGCCACCTCTACATATTATCCGACCCGATCCGCAAAGGATGACGAACGCTTCTATATGCTAACTAGTTATATGTACCTAGCTGAGGACTCTTACTAAGAGTCCTCAGCTCATATTAAATACCCGTGGGGGAAATCAAGCCTCTCTCGTGCCACCACCAACTCTCCTTTAATCAGAGCCAGCCATTGGCCCCGTCTTAGCTATGGCAAATCGTAAAAGATACGGTGAAGGATACCTATCCGATCACGAAGCAAGCTGGTAGTAGACTCGTATTTAAAACAGAACAAAGATTTCGCATTGAATTGCCGTAGCAATCCTCCACCAAGACTGAATTATCTGCCTACCCTACCTTACCCTACCGAAACGCCGATGCTCATGCAATGCCCGACGTCTCCCTCGGCCATTTTTACACACATTACTCCGCAAACATGACATGACATGCATCATCACCCGCGCCTCGCAGTCCCTTCCGTTCCGCGCGCATGTGCCCATGTCCAAATCTTTGCCTCTTGTCACCCCATCACTCCTCCATTCACCGCCCCCTTGCCTACTTAGTAGGTAGATAGCTAAGTTCCTATCCTATCAATACTTGATCGACTTTTGCCCATTGTCTTTATTCGCGGAATCCAATGTCGAAAAGGCACAGTGTTGATCCTTGATGGCCACCACCTCATATGTACCTTCTAAGCTTGCCGTAATCACCTTGCTGTGCTCGTAACTGATATCGTGACGAGTCTCTAGTATTTGGCTCCGTTGCCCCTTGCGAGCGTTGGTGCTACGCGTGTAGGTGAACTCAAAGGGCGGCGTACCCCAAAACTCGAATAGGATCTCCACTTCGCTGCCTTCGTGAATGTCGACTTGGATGATACGCCCCTTGCTGATCCGAACACTCGGCATCGGGTGGATCGTCTTGGCTAGGTTGACGGCGGCGCGACATTCACTCGCCTTGTCACTGATGCTGTTGATGGTAAAGTCACCAGCGGACTCGGCGATACGGCGGAAGCTAGTGGTTTGAGATTTGGCCTTCATTTGTTTCCCGGCAAAGTCATAATGTACTTCAAAAGGCGGTGTGCCCGACAGAGTGTACGCGATCCGTTCACCGACACAGTAATCCGTCCGCTGCTCGAGAGGGTAGATGGAGGGAGCCTCATAGAGCTGAATATGAACCACACCACCACCACTCTCGGTCTTCAGCTGGCAGCCACGATCGTCACGTACTTTGCGAATCCGGATCTGTTGGCCACCGAGCTTGAGATACTGTCTCGGGATCTGTATGCCAAAAGTGTTGGACTGGATGTTGGGGATTCTGAACACCTCCGGCAGGTTCCCAGTGTGGTGCTTGATTTCCACCTCGATATAAAACGGTGCTTTGCCCTCCAGCTTGATAGGAATCGATTCCCTCTGGTCTTCTTCTGACATGCACATTTTGAACGTCTGGCCAGGTTTCATAAAGGAAGCGGATGGTTTGGGGTGAACCGTTTGTTCAAGCGTCAGAGGCTCAGATCGTCGTTTGTCGTTGTAGAGATTGTCTGACAGACTAGAGAAACTATATGTAAACAATCCAGCCTTGGAGGTGTCCAGTGGAATAGCTGCTTTGCCTAGGGCGGCATCGAACTCCTTTCGCGCTACTGAGCCCGAACCTGACTTCGGCTTGTGCTTCACTTCGTATTCGACGTGATATGGAGGTGAACCTGAGGTTTTGTTAGCATCGAACCGGCTTCAATTCAAAAAGAAAAAAGATGAAAATAAAATAAGAGCCAACTTACCTTTAAGGGCAACTTCAAATCCGTCAACGTCACCCTCGCAAACATCTTGCTTGACAAACTTGTGCTCTTTGTCTCCGGGTCGAATGGCGTCGCTTTGCGTGAATGATAGCTCTGGGCGAGGGTACCACTTGACTTCGAAAGTACTAGCTTGCGCGTGAACTGTACCAGGGCACTGATCATCCGTCACGTCCAAGATCTCGTAGGTTCCCCGCTCTCTTGCCTCGATGAAGTCGTTGGTCGAACGAGCGACACGAACATATCTATCGGAGCTTATATTCAAGTTGCGGTATCCCACTCTCCATGGCCCATCACCAGAAAGTTTCAGGGGAAGGCTAACTCGAGCGGCCTCGACAACGGTTGCTGTCCTCTTACCCTCGATGAGACCGAAAGCAGCCTTGGGTCGTTGTCGTCGTACTGAGATCTTTGTTTCTTCCTTTAGGAATATACGACATCCAGTCTTGTCTTGAATACTCTTCAGAGCTAGAATGTACTCGCCACCAGTAGACAACGGGGGTGTTACAATAGTGTGAGTATCGGTGGTGATGTTGGTCGCCTTCTCAGCCTTCCGCTTTCCTTCGTGAACCAATTCCCATTCCAACGTAAAAGGACCATCTCCGAGAAGATTCACGTCCAGTACAATTGGCTGATCTAGACAAGCATTGATTGTGCGAGGTCCCTGCTTGAAGTACGCTGTCGCGGGGGGCTTCACCTTCTGCTCTAGGTAGTAATCCTCGTTCAATGGTAGGGCAACCCTATAAATAGCGTCTTCGAGTATCCTAAATTGGTATTGGTAGAACCCAGCATTCCTTGGCAACAAGTCAATTTGTTGACGAAGGCCTTTGACTTCCACTGTCTCCCTCCTGTTCGTCTCAGTATCGCTACTAACAGTATAGAGGATTCTGAAAGGAGGTGTTCCGATCATGTCCAAGTTCACCCGAAGTCCGATAGAATTGCCAGCGCACTTATCTGGGATCTCCTCGGCCTGGAAGGTCAAAGTCGGCTCAAGAGGATTCAGCAGCAGACAAGAGGAAGGTTCCTCGATCTCTCCCTCGCAGGAGTCACATGACACGGATTTGAGGGTGTATAGGCCTGGCGCAGTGATGGTAGGTTGGTCGTCTACATTCTTGGCGGTGAAGGTGCCAACCTCGACAACATCGCCATGGTCACCACTTTTGGTGAGAGTATCGATCGGAGAGAAATGCCAAGTTAGTGTATGCGAGACGCTCTCTGGGGTTCGACCTGGACGCCCGATCTTAACGGGAAGTTTCGTCGACTTCCCCTTGGCAACCTTGAGAGGGTTGCGAGAATCACACCCCACTATGGCAGCTCTAGGACGTTCTCTCACGACGAAGTTTTGATACAGGTTTTTGGGTTTGGGCTTCGCATCGGGCTCTTCAGGCTGGGGGTACTGAATCACATTGCCAAAGACATCATGAACTTCGTCGATGGAGTATTGCCACTCACCGGCGGCATTCATGGATTCGTTTAGGCCCACCTCCACTTTTTGGGATCGAGCCCAACTGTAGTCTTCCTCTCCTGGGGGAGCAATCATAGATCGTTGGGTGCCAAGCAGGGGAGAGGAGAAACCATCGGGCTGCAGGCTCTGGAAATGGAAGCTATGATCTTTGCCGTTAATGGTCCGGCTATAGACGATCTTCATTGGCGGTGTCCCATATACGTCCAGAGATAAATTAGAAAGATCGCCTATACATTTGGTCGCCGATTGTGCTGCGCGAACCAGAGCTCTAGGGCAAGGAACAATATAAGTAGGCTCCGTGATCCTTTGAACCTCAAGCTTGTACTCGTCGAGTACTTTGTGTAGTTGATAAACGCCTGGCTTCTTCAAGGACACATCGTATCGATAGATACCTAGGGACCCATCTTCGACAGATCGTGCAGATTGCTTGCCAATTTCCCTTATATCTCTCCGGCCGAGCTTCACAACCTCCTGAGAATCAGTGTCCAAGTCAAAGCGTAAGAGTTCAACCTCGATAGGGACGGTGGCATTGAAGTAGATTGGGACGCTCGCTATAGTCTGTCCTTGGCCAAGGCAGTAAGGGTGCTTTTCGGGATTTAGGAGGGCGGAGCTAGAAAAAGATGTGTTAGAAAAGGTGGACATTACTCCGAGTTTTATGAAGCCTTACCCTTCGGGCAGAATATTAATAATCTGCTTGCCCATGATGAGAGACGAATTATGCAAGATGCTAGAGACCTTGACATTATGTTCAGATATAGCGAGCTCCTTGTCGTAGAAGACTTTGGCGAGACCCAGAAGCCACGAGTGCCAAGGCACGGGAATATTGAACATGAGGAGCCAGTTGAAGATCAAGTGGGCGAAATAAATGGTGGATACAGTCGGCGCAGAAAGCTCCAGCCATGGTATGCGTAAGGAGGGCAGAGAGAAGAAGAAGACAAGGTCGAAAAGGATCCATTTACAAAAGAAGTAGAAGGAGCCGCCATTGTCCTCCAGCATCTGTATCCAGTCATAAAAGCGCCATCCCAACAAGGCTACATAGAAAGCGCAGGCGTAGAAACGTTGAGTGGGAGCGTCGATAAGTGTAAGAGGTATGACGGGTGCGCTGGCTGAGTTGGTACCAGGTTGGTTCTCGGGAGCTGCTGGTAGAGGATTTCGAGGTCTGGCATCTTGTGCTTGACGCTGATTTTGAGCTCTAGCGGCTGGCGTTTGCGGGAAACCGCCAGCACCTACTCTCGGCGTTCCAGGATTCATGGCATTCCGTATGGGTGAAAACGGATTAGAAAGCTGGAGTAGAGGGATTGGTGGATGAGTTGATCAAGAAGTTCAAGTTGAGGTTCAGGTTCAGGTGTCGCAGGTCAATTAATGTGTCTGGCGACTCTGGCCAACTAACCTACATATATATAGGTACCCACCTACTTAGCTGGTAGACAGGTATGTATGTATGTAAGTTACCTGGGTACCAAGTAGAGAGGTAAACAATTTTTAAAAAGTTGTGGCTAGGTGAACAAAAATTGTTGAGAAACCTGGACAAAAAAAAATTGCAAATACCTGGCCAAAATGTTGTAGGCCTTACGGAAGTTTTTGGGAGATGTGATGTGATGAAATATAAAATAACAAATGCAACATCTCGACGCGGCGCGTCAAAAAGTTCTAAATTCTTAATTTTTTGAAAGGTAAAAAGCTCTGCGCTGTCTTAAGCAGCTGCAAACGGCTGTCAAGTTACTCATTAGGTACCTAGTTAGTAGCTTTACTACTAGCGTACATAGTACTACCTGGGCAAGCTACTAGGTTAGCTGGGTGGTTTTGCCGTTTTACTTCAAGATGTAGGTGGGGTATTTGAGCTTCCAGTTACAGTACATTCATGGATATCCCAGCCTTAAAGCATTGAAGCTCCCTGCATATACATAACTATGTATAGGCGGTAAATCATGTAACTAACTTTTCATATCTAGAATCTTTAAAGAGTTAAAACCAGTAACTTAGCGTAAACTGACTTCATATAAAACCAATACATATAAAAGTCTTAATAATACACATATTATCTCAAAATATAAAGGAAATAACATTGAATCTACTACTTATCTCTTTAAAGCAAGTAATGTTTATCTTTCTAACTAGTACTATATCACCTTTCATCACACAAAGCCATTTCAAGACAGCTAGAGAGCTTTATCGTCACCCAGTCAAAATCTCCCGGGTAGATATACTCACTTACGAACAGTAACCTCCAGCTTGGACCAGAGCTGTAGAATCCATGAGACTCTCTTTAGTTGAATAACTTCGTACAAGATTTTATACAGAACTTTTCGACTTTGGGCTACGTAAAGGAGAAAGGGCAAGTCGTTAACTGTGCAATGTCCTGAGCATGTACTCATAGAGGTGTGTTTAACTGCTACTTGTTTCTTACCTCCCGCTATGCTACCTTTGTATCTACTAAGCTTCCATACCAAACAATAATTCACCAAGGAAATAAGAACAGAGCATCGAAGGTCGTAGTTAACGGTACCTAGCAGCATGGATGCCTCCACGCCCGATGAGTCGATTTGCCACTTTTGCTGGCATATTTGTTCTATATGACCCAGGCCAAACAGCCCTCCTCCCCCTTCCAGCCTTCTAGGGTCTCTCATACAGTGCCCCATCATCGTCTCTCGAGAGATATCACTCTCTCTTAGCCAGTACATGAAGATACAGGGCTTCCAGGCAGATATCAGATTCACTGTCAAGCCCTTGGTCTGCATTTTATGTCCCACATATCTAAAATCCCCATCTCTGGCAGTTCCCTTTACCTTTCCTGACATTTCTTTACACACAAACACAGACACCTTCTTACCTACCTACCTACCAAATACTCAACTACTAGCCGCCACCAACCCGTAACTTACACCATTACCCATCCCAGACCTTCCTATATTCCTCCTTCCTTCATTTTTCCTGAAACGGAAACCCGAATAACTTATTATTGTAATTCATCGTGACAGTCTTTGGCCTATCGTGCCATTCATTTTCCACTGTTGTGTCATTACTTCACTACTTCTTAACCTAGACGCGAGTCTGACCTCACGTACCAATGGCAACGGTACCCGACTCTATCTGGGATATCCCGAGATCTCCAACCCCAGGAGACGTAGAGGCTGTTCCCGTACGTCGGTCTGGAAGAGTCAAGAAGGAGCCTCCCAAGAAGAAAGAGAAGGCCTCAGACGCTTCTGTCCCACACGAACGCCCGAAGCGTAAGGCGGCTGCTGCTGCTGCTGCCGCGCGAAACATAGTCTCCGATGATGTCAATTCTCTTATTGAAGAGACGCTTGGCCAAATAGAGCCGGACGAGTGCCGGGAGTACGATGGCTGGGTCGAGCTTGAATCGGAGCCGGTGAGTCAATCAGTTAAGAAAATACAAACAGCCACTCAATTTGGCTAACTTGTACTCTAGGCCTTCTTCGAGTCCATGCTTTTACAGCTCGGGGCCAAAGATTTCACGGTTGATGAAGTCCTCCAGTTGGACTCGGACTATCTTGACATCCTTCCGTATGTTGTTGATCTGTGATGTAACTGATATACATTTGCTGACCTTAAGTACTAAATAGGCAGCCAATACATGGCTTAATCTTCTTATTTGAGTATGAAGGCAGCGACGATGATGAAGACGAGTATAATCGCCAAGACTGTCCAGATCACCTTTGGTTTGCCAACCAGGTATGCAATCTTCGTTACATATGAGGATATATATTCCACTAACCAGGCTTAAGACTGTCTCGAATGCCTGCGCAACCTTTGCGCTCATGAACATTGTCATGAACGCCCAGGGTGTTAGTCTTGGTGACCAACTTCAGGAATTCAAGGACTCGACCAAGGACTTATTGCCACCTCATCGCGGTCATTTTCTTGAAACGAACGACGCCATCCGTTCCACCCACAACTCGGTCGCCAGGTAGGTAACAGTTATACGATGTCGTGTTCCATTGTAAAGGGCCAAGTTGCTAACTGAAAATATTAGACGAGTCGATCTTTTAGCAGAAGATCTTAGCCTTGATAACAAGCGAGAAGAGTCACTAGCAAAGAAGAAGAAGAAGAAGCAGAAGAAGGCACAGAAGCCGTCACGCACCACAGTGAAGAAGGTGACCGCCGACCTGAACTTTCACTACATCGCATTCGTGCCAGTCAGCGGTCAACTATGGGAACTCGACGGAATGTATAAGAAGCCTCTTTGTCTTGGTATTTCTTCCCGTTTCTTTAAACAAAACCTACCCGGTGGGAAGAATCTATTTCTAACTATGTTATAATAGGGCCCATTACACCAAACTCGTGGTTAGAGACTGCCTGTCCTATTATCTTGAATCGCATGGCAAAAATGTCAGAACAGTACAATCTCCTGGCTGTTTGCCAGTCTCCCCTAAAGGCACTTTCCAGCGAGCTGGGAACCAACTACGCCTGCGGCCGCTACCTCCACGAAGCCGGACACATGATCCCAACATGGGGTGTTCCGGATCCCCTGAAGGATGTGTCCGATGCGCAATTAGCCGAATATAATCTAACCCGAGCAGCCATCAATGCTCTCCATCCTCCGCCCGATTTTCTAAAGCAGGTTATGCGCGAAGACTTCGATGCCCACGCTGCAAGAAAGCTGGCGAGTGAGTTGGAGAACCGTCGATTGTTCCTCATTACCCAGCATGCGAATGGTCTGGACAAAGCTAACCTGGCTGTGGACGTTATTAGAGGTCGGCAGCGGGACTTCACCCCTGCCGTTCATCGATGGGCGCGCGTACTTGCTGAGAAGGGTATGCTGCGACAGATGATCCGAGATATGGACTAAGTCGCCTGACTAACCATGTCGCGATATCGCAGCACACTGCTATCCTGTGTTGCGCGATGGTATATGAACCAGTGGGTTTACTATGTTTGCAACGTGGCATGATTTGAGTCTGAGAAGAGAGAGAAAGATGAAGAGAGTGATGACAGAGAGAGTATGTGATGAAGATCATTGAGTAAATCTTGCTCTTGCACTGAAGTCGATATCAGTACCGCCTATAGGTACTGCCTACACACGAACGAGGCATGGATAGGGACTATACCCTGGCGTCAGATCATATGTGAACACGCGGCTTACTCATCACCATTTTCCGCCTGTGTCACTCCCACCCCCTTATGGAAGAAAGGGAACGCTGAAGAAGGCGAGGAAACGATTTTAATGTATAGGCCTCTGGGGATTACCTATATACCCCGGGGTCTCATATCGTGACGTACAAGTGGAAGAAGGGAAAACTGGAGAGGCTGAGAAAACGATGGTCGTGTATTGGCCTCGGGGGATATTTATCCCTAGGGTCTCATATCGTGTAGCACGAAGAGTGCGTTTGTTCTGGGCATGGCTATGAGCAACCCGTCTACCGCCTACCTTCTATTGTTAAGTGGCTGCTTGCTTGCTTGCTAGTTAACCTACTAGGTAATCTAGGTACATAATTTGGCCACGGAGAAGGAGAAGGAGAAGGAGGGAAGGGCCTGCGATCCTACCTCCCTAGGTACATACTGTATTTAATGTCGCGACCAATGCAGAACTCGGCTTTACGAGAAGTTTACGTACTTGGTAACAGAAGTGTCGTACGTATTTACTTGTGCTGGCAGTATATATCGAGTGCGCTAGTTGTCTCTATCTTTTATAAAAAAGGTTAAGTCACCTACAGCACCACATCACTCCTAACCCCCACGATCCCAATCACCCACCTACCTAACCTACCTACCTACCTACCCAGCGAACACAAAAAAAAAAAAGCAAGTGAATAAGTAAAAAGACAACACGCATTAATGATCTTGGGCTATTACCTGAGTATTGCCATTCTCTATATGTAGGTAGCCTACCTACCTACCTACCTACCTACCTACTACCAATTCGATGTGTACTTTTTGTTGGCTGTTTGTTGTATGCGACACCCCAACACCCCAACACCCTACCACCCCCCCCTTCTTACTCCCGTGCCCTTTTACCCCTTACTCTCCTACCATACCAAGCAACCATCATCATTATCTTCTCGGCGTTTTTTTTTTTGGTTGGACCCAGTTGTTTACTAGGTATTTTCTTTCCCCGGTAACTCTTTAAAGGTATGGACCTTATGTAAGAGTAGGTTAGAGAATTAGTTAACCCCCCACCCCTTAAAAGTAGATTTTGAGAAAATCTATTAGAGAGAGAGAAAAAAAAAAAGAAACAAGAAAGAGCAAGGATCTGGTCTTCTCCCGTCTCCTGTAGAAAAGAACCGTATCCCCAGAGGCTTCACAGAAAACCGTGACACTAAGGCTTCGGGACATGCAGCGTCTTACTGCACATCAAGCAGCCGTGAACCACGAACAGCGCCACCACAGGATGCACCTCGAGCGCAGAGCCCGCGAACCATACGCCGCCGGGGATCTGGTCGAGGACCCAGCCCTGGGAGACCCAGTAGGCCATCATGGCGTCGAGGCCGAGGGTGGTGGGGATGGGGGTGCCCTCGAAGTAGCTGGCCTTGCCGCTGGCGTCCTTGGGGATGTCTCCGCTGTTGGCGGTGACGTTGAAGCGCGCGAGGCGCGTGAGCCCGCAGAGCACGAAGACGGCGAGGAGGATGTGGTCGAGGGTTGTGCGCATGCCGATGCTGAAGGCTACGCAGGCGGGGGCGAGGCCGAAGGAGATCTATAAGTATTCACAAGGGTGGCGTTAGTATAGTAAAAAAAAAAAAAAGCATTTTAAAACCTGCGTAGGTACGCATGATGAAGCGCAAGGCAAGGTAAGGGCGAGGGCGAGCAACAACGTACCAAGTCAGCCAGCGAATCCAACTCCTGACCCATCATGCTGCTCTTCTTCCGCCACCGCGCGACCCGGCCATCCATGAAGTCGAAGAACAATCCGAAGGGCAGGAATGCGAGGGCGATGTAGAGGGTGTTCTTTTCGGCGGGGTCGCCAAGGCAGTATCGCAGGGACGAGAACACGGACATGATGCCGCAGAAGCCTAAATCCCCCAACTCGTTAGCAGTCTAGCCTTAGAACTCCTCCAACTTTTTTTTTTTTTTTAAAAAAACCCCGGATGCGAAAGAATAGAGAGGCAGGGGCAGAAGGGGAAAAAGTACCGTTCAGTTCCGTGATATAATCGGCCATGTGTAGAGCTTTCAGGAGGGAGAAGTGGCCGGTAGAGGAGGAGAGAAGGTCCTTCTGCTTGTTATAAGCTACAAACGGCAAAATAGGCCCATCGTTAGCAAATCCTTATTCTTGAAAGTAGACATTTCTTCCCGCTTCATAGAGTGGCCGAACATGTTCGCTCTCGGGGATTATCGTCGAGATAGACAAACAAACGTACAAGGTTCTTGCGCAACACTCGCCTTGGCTGCGGCGCCATTGCTCGCACCGCTCGTTCGTTTCGACATAACTGTTCTGTTTGTCGGTTTTTCTTCGCTTCCTTTCCTATTTTCGCTGTATGACTATGACTCGGGTTCGCAAGTCCGATCGATTGTTTCGTTTTTTTTTTTTTAATTATTCTCTTATCCGCAACCAGAAAACCTAATACCGACGTGATTTATTAGATATCGCTTGCTATCCTTTTCTTCTTTTCTGTTCGTTGGTAGACAAGCTTCTCTCGCGGTGTACAAGTCCCTTCGTTCACCGAATCTTTCGGAACGGCAAGTAATAGGTAATATGCTTAATTGTTTTTTGGTCTTGACTCGAGATCTCCTTTTTGGTAATAGAACACGTTTATGTCACGTATGAGCAGGAACTAAAAAAGTGCGCAATAATAAAAAGCTGGGTGAAATATAATATGGATGTAAGTGTCCTTTCGACCAGGTAGTTAGAAGCGGTAGCGACTGTTGAGAGTAGTGACGATAAGTATATGGATATATTGTACAAAGTAGGTTGTGAAAAAGTCTTGGCAATTCAACCAAGGAAAAAAGGCGGCGACTATTTTTGTTGGAGCTTGTCGATAGGCGCAGCATCATTGATGCCGTCATTTGGACACGTTCAGCGCCCGCTAGGCTGGCTTGGGATAAGCGCGGGGAGAACCTTGGTAGCTTCGATGTTTCCTTCAATCAATGAATGCTCATTGCCGATTACATAGTAGGTACCGAGGTACTTACATAATTACATAATACACCTACGTAACTCAAGATTTACAAGCTGTAACTATGCATCTAATTAATATTTACCTAGTACTATTATGTCATTCCTTATCGTGATACTACACATGTAGATACTCAATATATCTACATCCTACAATCTACCTGGTGCTACACATACCTAATATGTTACCTAGTATACGAATACATATGATATGTAGCACCTACCCATAACACAGCCATCCATCGTCAACCATTCACATTACAACACGACCAAGCAAGACCAAACTCTCCGTATGGCTGTCTCTTCCGCAGACCATTAAATCCCTGGGATGCTGCTGACTGACTACCTATGTACACTGATTTAATTCGGGCAGCAACACCGGCTCTGCCGTCTTCGTTCCCATCTTCGTTCCCGTCTCTGTACTTGATTCGACTAACCGATGAAAGTCGATACCAAAAACAAACATGAATATTACTTTGGGAGACAACGTCTCCTACGCCTCTCTCCCTGCCTCTTTCTCTCCCCCGTCTCTGTGTGTATTTTCTCTTTCCTCTGTCTCATTCGTGTACCTCGACTGGGAAATATGTATCCGTCGTCCTTGACACAATAAGCCCGTGTACCTGTATGTATGAGAATGATATGATAACTGGACAAGCCTGTCCATCTTTGCTATGCCTCGCAGAATCAACCCTGTTCCTTTCCCTGGACACTCAAATGGTCCAATACACATGCATGCTATGAGGTAATAATTATGTATGCTAGAAGCAAACTGAAGGGAGAAAGACAAAAGATATCAAAAACATTAGAATCCGGTTGTATCCTGGGATATGTTGTGATGCTGTAGCAGTGAATATGCAGATGCGAGAATCCCTCCAGCCCCCCCTTGAGAATGTGATGAATATGCTTGATAATCTAGGCATCAATAGACTTGACCCTTTATCGAGTGATAATTACGGAGAAACCGTCGACCCAGGCTGCGCACGAACCAGATACACCGCAGACTGTGTAACCGGGCGGTGGTAGGAGTGTGTGACTGTGAAGTTCTTGTTAGTAGTTTACAACAGGAGTTAGCCAAGGGGCAAGAAAGACTTACGCAGAACCACCCGTTGCATTTCCATAGATGGGAGACTTTCTTCCGAGACTTGTAAGGACTTGGATGCCGTCGATCCATAGGCCTGCTCGTACAAAGAAACCCGTAATATACTCGCCACGGCGAATGTCTAGCAAACAAAAAAGTTAGATATGTTCTCCAAACGGACAATTGGCAATCACTTACCCATTTCAAAACTATCACCACCAGGTTTACCTCCTCGCTTTCCGAATAGCTGACTCGAATTATCGTCGTAGAAAAACTCTAGTCCATCCAAGGCAAAGCCATGGTAGAATACAATCCGAGATAAAACTCGAGTCTTTTCCTTGGCGCTCGTGAACACAAACTCTTGCGGCTGACTTCCTTCCATCTGCGAGAAACCGAGCTTCTCGCTCCTAAAGGCTGACTTGCCGAATGATAGCTTCAAAGAAGACGCCTTCGAACATAGGTTGTGGAAGTCGTTAACTTCCAGATTTCCACCGCCACGAGATTTGATGCAAACCCTGAGCTTTGATCGTCGTTTGTTTTCTGGCAATCGATCTCGTAGCTCTTGTTCCGTGAGAGTTAGATTACGCTGCACAGAATTGTTCTCGGTCGAGTACTCAATCCACGTGTGACAGACGTCATCCCCCTCAGCATAAATCTCTATGAACGAAACCCCCGTGGCCGCCGTTATCTGAACATGTCCATTTTCAACCGGCCAAGCGTGAATACTCGCGTCGGAGTTCAGGATCGGATCGTTAGGTAACCTAAAGCAGGGATGGCTCCGGAACCGTAGACAGTCTAGTCGATGCCAGGTACATTCGTCAGCTTGGGAAACTGGCCCTCCTTTCGATTTTGTTCGAGTAGAATAGGCCTCTTGAGCCACGAAGGAACGATTCAACTTGACATAATCTCTGAGCATCACTCCGCTTTCCTGATGTGGGCATCCAAGGAGATGTCCAGTTTCGTGGAGGTGGGCGCCAATACCAATATTGGCAGCTTCCCAAGAACTACCAGCCTCGTTGCAATCATTAGCAACAAAATTGGTATCAGTAGGCGTGCAATCGGTGAACGCTGGTACCACCTCCTCAAAGCTCGTAGGATAACTTTGTAGACAATGGGATCCGCAAATGGCCATATGCAAGTCGCCAGAATTACCCCCCAGAGCCGCGTGGCCCAGAATCGTCTTGGAAGCAGTATCCCAATGCGCGTCTAGCAGCAAGACCGAAACGTATTGTGTTTGTCCTGGGAGTGGCTTGAAATATTTATTGAGAGCATCGGCAGCAATACCATAGAGGTCACCCTTCTTTGTCGCATTGGGATATTGCTGCGCAATATCGAGATCTCTGATCTCTGCCAATGTCTTGTCCGATCGAATGACATGGATTCGCGCTTCTGATCGCATGGTGCCCATCTCCCGGTCCCGGTAATTACAGGTTCCAGTGGTCCATTCTTCTTCAAATCTGAATACACGTCGTCCAAGCTTGTTTCTCCACATCTGCTCAGCAGTGAAGGCCTGCCAAAGATAAGCGGACATGCGAAATTTACGGATGGCGGTTTCAAGCCCGTTTCCTTCCCTCTCCACCCGCGAAGGGACTGCATCGAAAGTGCCAGGAGAGTCCTTAGCGAGCAAGATGGCGAGTTGCACCGGCGGTGCGTTCATAGGAGGGACCATGTGTACAGTGATATAGGTCGAGTGAATTGGGTTCGAAGAGCCACTGTTGGCAAGTTTCGGACTTGAAAAGTCGAATCGTAGTCTGTTTGCTCCGGGCATGAGATATACCAAGGCCTTGAACTGCGACTCATGGACGGGCCAATATGTAGGCGGAAACCCATCGTCTGCCCTGCAAACTGTAACATTCCCATCTACCGGATGTAGTCCTGGTTCACCAATCGTCCCGTTAACAAGGAGAATCTTTTGTGAGACCTAAAAAGTAATTAGTATACACAAGCCGCCAAAATAAGAGTACTTAGTCAACTATTATATATGTTGGTATACACGTTGACCAATGCGCCAGCAAATCTCGCGCCGTTTGCAAAAACTCATATATAAAGAGAAAAAGTCACCATACCCAAGTGTTTTCGGAAAAGTTGGTAATTCGTGGAGCATATTGCGATACTGGCAGTGAAGATTTGCCGTTAAGCACAGGAGATCCTAATCCAGCCATGCCTGATACACTATATCGATTAGAATTGGGTTGAGTTGGTGGCCTATTACCGGGAATGGGAGGAGGTGGCGGAAAGTCTTTGGGTTGGGTGTTGAGAGCTGAATCAGACTGAGCTGTTAAAGAAGGAGGTGTAATGGAGCCGTTGGTGGGAGTTGTGTTCTGGCTGTGGTGATCGTCATAGCTGGACGTATCGGTGGATCGGTTGGTACGGAAGCTCGCTTGTGAGCGTCTTCGGAGCTCCTTGAAGTTGAGGAATGAAGGTGCCATAGCAGTTCGGCCTCGACTGAGGACTCCTACTCGTTACTCGTTACTGGGTACTAGGTTCTAGGTAGCCGGTCCGTGGAGAGAAGTTCAATATGGTTTTTCTTGAAAAGAAGGTCAATTGGATCAAGTCAAGAGTTAAGTTTTTGGGCAAGCAAAAAGTGAGCAACGTTTCCTTCTCGTATCGCGCGACCGACCAGGATACTGATCAAAAAAAGGTACCAAGACAGGCAAAAGTGGTTCAGATCATCAACGATGGATTAGGAACCCTCCCGAGTCCCGAATCTATTTTAAGAGAGGAAAGCAAACAGCCACGGTTAGTTTGGCTAACCGTTAGATGGCTAGTGAGTTTCCCTGATTAACGAGCGAATGATTCTATAAGCTTGAATTTTAAAAGCGGAAGAGAAAACGAAGGACAAGCTGTGAAGGCTTCACTTGTTCAAGGCTAGACGATAATTTATTACGTGGTTGGGAAGTGAAAAAAAAAAAAAAAAGATAAAGATAGTGGAGTGTAGAGAGTAGAGTGAGTGTACGTATGTAGATGTTAGCTTTGGGCTATCCAAACGTTACATTGGTCCCGCTAACAGAGATTCTTTTCTTTCTTTGCTGTCTGGTGACTCTGGTCTGCGTGTTGAAAGTGATGTGTACATTGATATCTGCCAACTTTCTGACAACAGTGACAAGCACTTGAGAAGATTACTAGGGAAGTATTTCTGTAACCGGTGGTCCAGTGCTGTGATAGGACCGATTGTTGGTCAGCGGTACGAAGGTTGTGGCCAAAAGTTTAGACCAAGATATACCTCAGCCCCACAGTTCCTCCACTTTTCTACCACTGTAAGAAATATCATCGCCAACATACTTACCTACTTATAAAGCCTTATAAATTTATTTAATAAATATTAAATATGCTATTACGTTATTTAATTAGTGTATTTAATAATAGAAATTTCTGTAATTTTTTTTCTTTATTAAATTAATGTAAATATTTGTATAATAATCTAAGGTTGTTTAGGACTGAAGGCTTTAAGTTTATAGCATATTATAGCGCTTAAGTGTGCTATAAGGTGCTATATTTTTAAGGGTTGTGGGGGATTTGACGTTAAATGTATACCTATTATTGGTAGAGGCCCAAAAAAGAGTAGCGCACTGTGGGGCGGAGGTATATCTTGGTCTAAACTTTTGGCCACAACCTTCGTAGATTGCCTACTTACAGGTACCTACATGCATTCATATTAGTATGATACATAGTAGTAGTCAGTTAAGGTTAGGACCGTTAGGTAGGTACAGACCTACAGTAGGCAAAGGTACTAAGGTTAGACTCATATTAGATAAGTGGTTCGGATGACTATGTACCTAACAAGACCTTTTTTTTGACAGTCAAGAAGTTTTGGAAAGCGGGTTGACATGTGTTCGGCGGGCGGGATGTTGACGAATTGGCGAATGATGATGACGTCGCGGCTGATAAGTGGGTAAGACTAAGATACCTTTAGCTGCCTTTAGCTGCCTTTAGCTGCCTCTAGCTGCCTCTAGCTGCTTTGAAAGCTTTAGCGTTGATGGGCATAGTGGGTACGGGTGAAACTAGTGGGAGTTATGAAATTGGTCCCAACCAATTCGAACCAAGCCTGCAACGGAAAGTCGCTTGACTTTTTTGGAAGTTCGAAACTTGGATACGAGAAAGTCACCACATCCATGATTGATACCTTTACATACCTCAACATTAGTAGCTGCCCTGTCGTGAGGCTCAGATTCAATAATTATCGTCAATAATACCCGTCAACGATAATAATGTAGCGATTATTCGTACGTAATTCTTACACACATTTGCAAAACGCAATTAACCATCAACTACCAGAACAAAGAATATCCATGAAACAACGACACGTACAATTATAGTGGTAGTTACTATATTGTAGTACTAGTAGGTCGACTATGATACGATACCGTAACCTCGGAACCTCAGGAATGCTACGACAAGTTCTTCAATCGGATGCGGTCGGATTGTGTTACTGGCAGAAAGCGAAACTGTAACCGTTGACCGAATAATACCCAAGAGCCGAAGCAAGGTAACAAGCTGGGTTTTTTTCTTTTTGAGCTTTGCAAGGATCTTGATATCCCGCTATCTTGGCCAAAATTAAGGTGGCAGGGCGGGCGTTATAAGTATATTACTCGAAATCATTGCAAGACACATGGTGTCATGGATGAGTCCGAATAACTAACTGGATGTTACCAGGTAATTACCTATCTATCTACTAGTGGCATCTACCTACCTCTTAGCCAAGGCCTTGTTGATATCTACTTGAGTATCACAGATCTCAAGATCGAAACAAGAATTATACAAATACATTACTGACCCTAGTCCTACATAGTACTCCGTACGCAGATAGATATCTCTCGTACTACGCAGCTTTTTTGACACTGTCGGAATATGCAACCAACCGGTGATAGCTATCGACGAGCTGCAGCTCAAAATGTAGATCATGTAGTATGGATTGCGGTTGTGCGAGGGTGTGAGCGCTGTCAATTTCAACAAACCAAGCCTTGAGTGCGTATGGGAAACACCCCCCCCACTCGCTCGTTGACTCGATCCTCGATTACCGGTATTTCCACTGTTGTGGCTTGAAAGATCTTACTTGAAACAACCACAGAAATGGCTAGCAAGGTGAGGTGACGACAATCTTTACAAAAACAAGCACTTCCATGTGCTGCACCAGGTACTTAACAGCCCAGGCCAGCTAGCCAGCTAGCCTAGCAAGGTGCGATAAACTGATCGACGGTGGGGGGGGCCTTATGATATTGGATATCGAAATAGTGATGGGAAAGTTGAAAATTGCACGATTACGCATGCTGGCATGGTGGGTTATCTTTGGAGAAGAACCGCTCATCGTAAAGGAGGTGTTGACTTATTTAAGGCAATGATAAACCTCAATAGATTGGTGCTTTCCCAAGTCACAAGCTTGACTTTTGTTGCCCTCCAGTTCGTTGATTAGGTACTGATAGATTTACCGACCTTGGAATATCAATTTTTGAAGATGTGGCATCCCTCATTGTTTGTTATGTTACTGCAAGCCCTGTAAGGTTGAAATGAGCTGATACATGTAGGAGACGAAGCAGCAAAGGGTCCCTACATATGATTTATTGAATATTGGACGTGTGGACTGTTGGCGGAGTACACTGTAAGCCTACTCCATGATCAGCATTGCTGCATATCTGTGCAGCGTATGTGCATCTCGGCCTTACGATAATCACCAATCAGTCGAGTTGGAGATAGTTGATAGTTGTTCGTCGTCAAGCAAACCTCGTATTCTGAGGCCTCTATATACAACTTTGGATCACGAACATGTTACCTAGGCCGACACTAGGTACATTATCCGTGTCTAATCTGCTATGTAGGTATACGACGATGTAGTAGATATTTGGGATATTCGTGATACTGTATTGGTGACGAAGCTTCTGGTATATAAGAACCCGATATTCCGCAATTTCTCCGCCAACGCAAACGCGCGAGTATTCCGGGGATCAGGAGTTTAATGCCATGCAGTGCGACCTGCTCCAGTTGGATCAGTTGGTTGTCAGAGCGGTTCGTTGCCGCTAGTATAATTAGTATAACTTAACCTTAACATGCATCTGTATAATATGGATTAAGAAGCTTGGGAAGCTTCCAAAGTTTGAATCTCAAAGATTTAGTTAACTAAAGCAAGATGAAACGATCAGATGCTGGTACCGATAAGGCTTTATTTGACTTTTTTTTAAGTGCTTGCAGGATAAATGCGGGTTTGGCACGTTTCCGTAGCTTTAATTAACCCTTGCTCTTTAGTGGACATGGGTTTAAATTGGTTGCCCTTTTGAGACAGCCTGTTTCCCTTTTTTTTTTTACTGCGTAACTACAGCTTAAGGAGAAATCATAATAAAAAGGCAAGAGGTCCTGTGAAGGGTAAGCCATTTTTCCTCTTTAGAAAAAATGCCCCTCTCTCGAGTATCCATTGTTTACCTAAAGGAACAAAAGCTAAAGTTTTATATTTATTTTTACTTTTGTTATAACAACCTTGGAATACTAATGATGGGGCTGTTGGTGAAAATAGGGGGAACTTGCTTATCCATAATGTACCTACGTGTAGCATAACCCCTGATCTCGAATTGGCACAGCTAACCAAATCAGAATCGAGATATTCCAATCGAAGCATATCAACTGAGCAACTATGTAGATTAGGTATGTCGATTGTTGTTTAGTCTGTTTCATAGGTCGAGGCCATATGGCAAATCCTACAGGTATGTGTGTATTGCCAGTTTTACCAACTGAACCCATCTATTTATGTACCAACCCACGTACTATGTAAATCAACAATTTGCTTAAGATAATTGAGTTATATGTACGCTAATAGGCTTCGCCGAGAATCATTGACTATGAACCTAGGCGCCGACATAAATCGTAAGCGATTCTGCAGCCTTCTCAAGTTGTCATGGAAACAATTGGCTGTCCCCGGTCGTATGAAACAGCTCGCATTGGCTGCCAGTGTCTATCTGGTAAATTAGTGGACGGGGTGCTCCCCTGAAGTGTGCTGTGCACCATGCTACGGGCGCTACATTCCGGCCCTATGAAGTCAGACTTTAGTGGTCCAACCGTGGCTTGTTTGAGCTCGGGCTTCCAAGCTTATTGGAATAACTAGATATTGGAAGTCTTTCAATGTTCTTTCTACCAAATCGGGTTTAATGTCTTCGCTGCTTTTGCTTTTTACACAGGCTGTGGTCAAGCAATTATCAGCGAGGAATTATTAATAGCTGCAAGTTCCAAATGATATTATGCATAGGAGAAGGGGCTAGCTGACTAACCAGACTATGGTTTCTTTCTCCTTATTATCCGTGACCTCCTATTTTTCAACTACTAGGGATGTTTTTCTTGGAGTCATAAGCTTCAATGGCTTATCAGACGGAAGGGTCGGTAGAAGAGGTTTACTACTTAATATAATGCTTAAACTATGCTGCCAGGTATTGTGTCACGACAACTCTCAATCTGAGTCACAGCTTACGAGACGGTCTCCTTCTTGCTCATAAAATGGGGACTACTTCGTACCTTCATGGACTCGAGAAGCTGTAAAGGATTGTGGTGTCTGGATTTATAGTGGCTGGAACGGGAAAACTTGCTACTTGTATAGGATGGGCTATGTATGACTCTCTGTGTTTCCAAATAGGTTAATTTCTAGGCCATGATGAGAGATTGAAAAGGGATTCTGTAGGTAGGCAGGTGTATAAAAGGCCTCGAAATGTTTCCCGCCATCTTTACAAAGCATCGCTTCTCCTTTTCTCGCCTTATCTTGTACTTGATATCCAACCCCTTATCATCAATGTCTAGTTACCCCTAAGTCACGAATTCCAATTCAACGTTGCCCTGATGAACTTTCCCACTAACACTTAACTGATATCCGCCATGCCCTTGATATGCCACATATCATCAGGGGGTTTTAAATCGTTTGGTATACGATCATTAGTTTTATACGATGTTGAATAAATGTATACCATAGTAGTGACTGCTGGTAACTATTACTATGGCCCAGGCTAATCCTTCAGTGCTAGGTTCAAGCTTTACCAGTAGTAGGCCCAGTACAGTAAAGCGGCATGGTTATAGGGCCCAATTGAGTTAGTGCAGGGTCATTAACTTTGTTGGTGACAGTTGGTCTATCTAGCTGGGTTATCTAGCTGGGTCTTTCTTAGTAATTAGGCAGGCAAGGCTTGTAGGTGAGCGTTGAAGTTGGGGAAGGAATGGAGTTTAATAGATTTAAATAGGGAAGTTAGCGTACTTAGGTAGGTACTTGGGTACTTCTTGTGCTTAACCCTTCAAGGCTACCTACCCTTTTTTTTCTTCCCTAACTGGATCCAAGATCGCAACGTCCGACCAAACTAATTTGACTTTTTTCCTTGTTAAGTCAAGTCAAGTCACTTCACCGTCGTCGTTCATTATCACAGTACAGCTTACACTAGCTGTGCATTTCTTTCTTTCTTCACCGTCTCACTATTGAGAACCGGATAAAGCAGTGTTCTTAATACTTTATTTTTCCATTTATCTAAATTGTACAAATCCAGAATCCAGACCTCCAGCTACCACTCCCTACCTACCTCTAGGTAGGTACCTATCACAAATACTAAGGTATCCTTAACCTCGACTCCTCTGGGCAACATCACTCAAGAAAACCCCCGAAATCACACCCCTTCGCTTACTGGTGCCAGCAAGCGCCCGACCAACTAGTAGACCCAATCGTTCTTTTCCCCCACGATCTTCCTTCGATAGCCACTCCATCAACGTCACTCACTTAAACCCCGGACTGAGAATTTCGAACAAGTTTTCACCTCTGGCCCAAGCAAAAGGAATATGCCGTCACCGTTGAAGAAGCAACCTGAGGCTGTCGCCGATAAAGTCCTCAAGCGAGTGCAAGTTAGCAAGGTATGATGATATTGCGTACTACTGGCCTTTATCTATTTGCTGGGGCAAGCCCAAGACATGTTGCTGACAACTAATTTTTTCACATCACCAGATTGCCCGAAGGCTACAGGGTCGATTAGCTCTAGCCCAGTTCAAGACCAAACATGGTTGGGAGGACTTGACACTCGATACTATCGAACCCAAGGTAGAAGAGGAGATCCGACGCAAGCGTCTGGTTGAGGGTGATGTCTTTTCCGACTCTTCCTCCAGCACATCCGAACTGCCGTATCCTAGTAGCAGAACAACCCTTATGAGCTCCCCGCTCAAGGCCCCTCTCTTTTCCGATGCCATTGGATCTAGCAATGGTAGCACCGGTCATCGCAAGCGTACTTATAACATGGCTTCGTTTGATGTGACTATGTCTAGTCCGACTAAACGATTCCGTGCGTCACCAACAAACCACAAATCCTTCACCTCCGCCCAGACCTCCTGGAGAGGTCATCGTCAGCTGACCCAGTCTTCCCCTGTCAAGCCACGAAGACAAAAACACTTCACAACCTCCACCGGGCCCAACGTCTCCTTTTTCCAAAGTTCTCACCGTCCCTCGGTAGATTTCACCACAACGAACTTTGCAGCACCTTCAGATGATGACGATGATCTCTTACCTGCGCACTCCTTTGCGGTCAACCACCATGGGTCATCGCCTCCTCAGACCCCCCCAATGCGCCACCGGGAACTCAATCGCCGAACTAAGGAGAATGGCATGATGCACGGGCAAAAATCGGGCGAAGAGGGCGCAGATCTTCTACTCTACCTGGCAACGTCTCCTTCGCCGGCCGTGCATTCGACCAAGACTCGAATGGACCCCCCATCTACACCCCCTCAGAAAAGGGATCTAGCTTTGCCATCGTCGATGATGACCACACCTGGAGGGGGTACTCTCTTCCCCACTACCCCAGGTCAGCCTTTCGACATCTCAGACTACGTAAACATTACGCCCAGCCCAGCACAGAAGCCTTGGAAGACACCTCTGTCGCTTAAGACGCCTACAGCGAGGACTCCCATGAGCGGTGCTAGACGACGATTGACTTTTGACGAACCTGTCCATACTCTATCTTAGGAAGAGGGCATTGAACAGATTGATTCATGGTGGAATTGATTCATGCTGGTGAATATCACGTCAGGACTTTACGGATGATATGCTTTACTTTTTTCTCTTCATTCACACCCTTTTACATCTATTTTTTTTTTCACCTATTCCCTTTTCCTTTCCCCCTTTACCGATTGTGCACACCACACATATCGCACACTCATCACACATTACACACATAAATGACACAAATGAAAATACCCGGCTCTGGCCATGATCACACAAACTGCTTTTGGGAGGTATGGATGGATAGGATGGACGGATGGACCAGAGGATGGTATGCTTGTACAACACATGCAAAGGATAGGAGAACAGTATTCTCTCATTTTCCCTCGAGGTTTCAGTCATGCGGAATGCGCGGAGTTCACTGGTAATGCATTTGACCAATTTGATTTCTTTTTTCTTCCCCTTCACCTTGCTATACTATTCAGCACACAATCCCGATCTATATCTGGATTTCTTTCACCTTTTTTTTTATTTTACTTTCTCGTGAGATAAGTAGGGGTTCGACTACCGTTGCATAGCCTTGCGCCGACGAATTTTGATTGATTGATGGATGAATTAGGTGGAAGATGCATGAGAGGGACGGACGAAGGGAGAAATGAAGGGGGGGCAGTGAGGAAAGGAATGGGAAGGGGAGGGGAGGGGAGGAGGGGAAGAGAAGAGAAGAGAAGGCGTGTAGCAACTCTCTGATAATGCCAGTCTTTTTTTGTTTCTCTCTGCAGCAAGTAAACAAATAAATCAAACCACCCAATCAATCAATTGATCAGACCAATCATGATATTAACTTATAACTAGTAAGCAATTGGATTGAGCAAGTAGGTGGGTGTATGGCTGAGAAATATAATTTGTTGGAATGTAGTTATGTTTTGTGTTGTGTGTTTTGCGTATGTATGTAAGTATGTATGTACGTATGTGAAGAATCAGATGCTCTCGTGGGTCGTGAGATATTATAGTAAGTAACTAAGGAAAACTAATTTCACGCGTTTAAAAGTTGGAAGATGTGCAACAAAAAAAAAAAAAAGAAAAGAGTGTTCAAGGTTTTAAATTGCGACGCTAGACGCGATGGACGTGTTGGGTTCGTGTTTGGCTGTTGGGCTTGGTAGCCAATGGGGGGGCTGCGATATAACTAGTTAATAGGTACGTACTAGGATGCATGCATGTGTACGGTTAGGGAATGGGATGGGATGGGATGGGATGTTTTCGGTATCGGGTTTGGAGCTCCTGTGGTGCAGGAAGGTGAGGTGAGGTGAGGTGAGGTGGTGGTACATAGGTGGTGGTACGTAGTTAGGTGGTGGCAGGGATAGGGGGGTTGAGGAGGGGTAATTATGTAATTGTGTGGGTCTTCACCTGCGCAGTCGTAATGATGGATGGAGCTTGTGTTAGTTACTGTTATGTACAGTATGATGCAACTACTACCCTATGTATGTAACCTGCAGTAGGTATGTATGTTAAGATGTTCATAATTGAACCAATCGATTAGTCAATGATACATACATAATTAGTTAACTGCAGTTGTAAATAAACGAGGTTGTTACACTAGTTGTCGTTAGTTACTAACTATATCTCCTCTAGTATTTCAGGGGTCCTTGGTCCTTAGGCACTACATAGGTAGCTATCTGGTGTGTTACTTCTATACCTCGGATAGCTTCGTCTTGCAAGCTTTGGCAGAGTAAATACGTAGTGTACCAGGTAAAGTAGGCAGTATAACGTAGTGCCTCTCTACTAAGGGGTCTATCTACAACTTATATATAGACCTATCCGTCTATCAAGAGGGCAGTAGATAATATACCTTACACATATACGAACCTAGGGTTGGTATACTAGGTGTGTAACATAGGAGACATCGTAAAGGCATCTTGACTTCGCACCATAAACTACAATCATAAGACAAGCAAGACGTTGAAAATCGGCAGCAACTTTTAGTTTGGCAATACGATACTGTGAACGTTTCTACACACAATACTTGATATGTACTAGGCACGGAGCGTAAGAACGCACTCTCCTCTCTGTCTTCCTCTCTTCCTCTTTCTATCCACATAAGCCCAACCCCCCTCCAGACGATATCTCAGACCTGCATCGAATATACACCCATCTTATCTTTCCCATCCTTCCTTCTCTCTCCCCTTCATACTCATGTTGGTTGAACAAAACAAGAAAAAGAAAATCACTCTATCTCTACACGTCTAACGAGGACGTGTGCCCCCTTCCCCTTCCCCTCTTTTTATTCCTGGCTGGTTTGGTATCAAGTATTAAGCGAGTGTGAAATCACCAGGTATATATCAATCGACTTGTAAAAAGAGCAATATGCATCGCACCGTACCGTAAAAACTCCGAGCTACCATCTTTGTTTCTCTTTGGTACCATGCTGAACTGGGGGGAAAATAAAATCAACGCTGCAACAACGACAAACAGCGAACGCTTCGTGCCTCGTCACTTTATTTATGCCGTTTCCTCTGCTTCCTTTACTCCGTGATATGCGTACATGAGTTATATGTCTCGGCGTTTAGCAGGCGAGGCGACGTGACGTGGTTCGTTTAAAGGGCTTTGCCGACGCTCCCATGGCTAGAGCCGCTCCTCCTCCTACCAGTGGAGTCTGGTCGTCCTCGTTCCATATCCGGGGTCGGCGTATATCTCGCGGCCGCGGGGCCGACGTCCGGGCCCGGATCGCTCCACCCGCCTATGCTACTAACACCGCTCGAGTATTTCGAACTGAAGCTTGGGTTCCTCACGTGTGCTGGTTGCGGTGCGTTCGGCGCTCTACCGTTAGGTTTGCCAGCTCCATTAGCGCCCCTGTTGTCGCCGGGCATGCTGGAGGATGCGGAGTGGAGAAAAGGGCGGTCTAGATCGAATGGATCGGACCGGAACTTGTTACGTCGTGGACCAATTGTATATACGCTCGCGCTAGACTCACGACGGCTGCTGGCATTGCTGGTCATGCGGCTGATGCCACCGGCCATGCTGTTTTCACGGGAGCGCCGGACATCGTGCACATAAGTTGCGAGGCCGCCATTAACCGTATTCGTTACTGGGCCTCTAATAGCGTTCGCGTCTGAGAACGGGTTCCTTGCTGCGGAAGCTGCCGAGGGCTTTGCCTTGGTGGTACTGTTGTTCACGGCATTCGCGTCGGAAAAGGGATCGGCCATCGCGAAATCCAGCCCAAGGCCGCCGAGGAAATGCTGCTCGTTGCCTATAGAGATTGAGCGACGGTGGTTGCTGCTCCGGCTATGTGGCCTTCGTGTTGCCGCTGCGCCAATCGCATTCTTTCCTGAGCTCATATTGGAGGCGGAGTTAGGTTGCATGTTCGCTGCGGAGCCGTTGGTTTCCTTCGCGGAGTTTGTAGGAGCAAAGGGGCCATTGCTCATTCCCGAATCGTGACGCAGTCGCCAGTTGAGATCTCTATCTTCATCCAGTCGACCCCACCAGTCCACGAATTGCCCCTTTTCATTCGAAGGCCCTCCGCTAGGAGCAGCGGCTTGGTTGCGTTCGGTGTCGGGTACGCCAAATTGCGAGTTTCCTCGGTCGAGGTTAACGCTCGGACTAGGGCTGGTACTACGGGCGACGATATCGGTTACACGCCCTCGTAACCTCCTAATTCTTGCGCCAATAATCGTCCACGCCTTTACTGGAAACGGTGTTGGCCCCAGGGAGCTACGATCAATAAGATAGGGGCCTTTCTCAGCGCCACCAAAAGTGGCACCCGGAGATAGCGGTGTCAATAAGGTACTCCTCCGATCTTGCGTCTTCCTCTTCCGCCAAATCCAGATCATGAAAGCTATAAGCGTGATGACCACTACTCCTCCGACTGCTCCTACCGCTATTCCTATCGTTTGCCCCGTGGTGATGGTATTGCCAGTTACTGCCTTGTTGCCTGCCTGGGTCATTTCACTTGCCTGTGTTCCAATAGAGGTACCGGTGGGCGGTACATTTTCAGTTGTCAGCAAAGCGACGCTTTCAGCCGAGCCGGTTGATGTATCCAATGCAATCGTTTCGCTCGCGGACAACTGCGCTGTTGTGGAATCGCCTGTAGGCCCATCTGAACTCAGTGCCGAAGTTTCTACTGAGGTAGGGGATGGAGAGGGGGCAGTGGCAGTGAGAAGGGCTGAAGTGAGCTGTGAGCCATCGGCAGAACTAGGGAACAGCTCTGTAGGTAGAGTTGAAGTGTTTGGGTCCGTCGTCGAAATAGGAGGAGAGCTGGCGGAAGTCGTAGGGGTCACTATGTCTCCTGGGACGGTAGTTGAAGGGGCTGGCGCAACTGCATTTACTGGTGGTAATTGGTTCGTAGTTGAGACGGAAGTAGAAGACGGTGAGGTTGGCAATGGGGCCGTAGTCGAAGTTGAGAAGGAGGTCAAAGATGAAGATGAAGATGAAGATGAAGATGAGGAAGAAGAAGATTCCGAGGATGAGGTTTCGGCTTCGGCGGCTTGAGTAGCGACGGCGGCGGCCTTTAGGTTTTTTGGCACTGCCGTACACCTTCTACCCCGTCGAGTCGTAACAATTGCTGCCATATTCGTAAAACTACCTTATAAGGGCGATACCAGTCGCAAATGGAGAATGTAAAACTTTATTACCGCCACTCCGGGCAAAACAAGTCAAGATACAAGAAATATGAAAAATAAGGTATACGAAGTGAAGAAGAAAAAAGAAGGCGGCCGTTACGGCCGGGCGAAGATCATAAGATCATGAACGATTTAGTTTGTGAATAATATGAAAAGGCTCATATTTTCGATAGAAAAAGGAAAAACAGAGGAAGAAGGAATAATACGATGAATTCGTTCTACGAGTTGGAGAAAATGCTAAGTAGAAACGAAAAAGAGAATAGAGTATCAGCCGTAACAAGCATTGAAGGAAATTGATGGGATGGGTCGAGCAAGTTGAGACCAGCAACGAGGACGAGGGGCTTCAGTTTGCCCAGGGCCCAGGCAGCCCAGCAACTTAGCCAAAGAGGTACGTACATGTATGATCTAGTAGTAGACTAGTACATATTACCAGGTATTACCAGGTATAAAGACCCGAGAGTTCAACCAGATACATATTTCCAAGGATGTTGACTCCATTAGTTGCCGTTGTAAAGGACGAAACCTTGTATTGGTACGTTTGACAGTTGAGTAGTGAGGAAATGGAATGATGGGATTGGCTGGTAGGTGACTAGAAGAAACGAATTGGTGGGTAAGTCGAGACAAGGGTTTCCCCTGGCACCTTTGAAGGAGAGTCTGAGAGCCTCAGAAATTCCCTTGGTGGATGTGGGGTAAAACGCTATTACCCCTGACTTGCGACAAATCTGAAGCAGTCCGCCCCCATCAGCCGCATACAAACGCCACACTACACGAATACGTACCCAAGATACCTAGGTACTTAGTAGCCTTATGCAGATCGATTCCCGTTGGTACCATCTCATCTACTACATAGTATGGATTTGAAGGAACATACTACGTCGTAGTTAAATGTTAATGTTTCGGGCCGGGAGGGAAGCTTGCTTGGCGTGGCTTGATGTTTCGTTATGAGACTACATGTGTACACATTACCCAAGTCGATGTTTCTCTTACGTAGTGCCTAGTGCATACTGAATAGTACATACATTATCAATGATGTATGTAATTCGACCCAGATAGTGTACATACATAGGTAATATGTACGGGAAAAGGCACCTTTGAAGTTTTACGGAAAGCCCTGGGGTCTATCGTGGCGAAGTTCCAACAATCCCTTAGACAGATCAAATCTAGTGTTATTCTATAACACATATAGATACATCATGTAGAAGATCATACTGCAAGGTTCAAATGTATTATACCAAAGTTGCAAATTGGTATGTACCTAGTAGTAATGCTAGAGTATTTCAAATATGCACAATGGGGAAAAAGATACCCAGTGCACCATCAATGTTGTAAATGAACCCACACAACGTACCGATCTACCGGGAGCATCAAACTAGAAGGATCGGGTGTTGTCGAGCCGAGATGTTATACCTCCTTGCAATTCTATAACAATCGAGGAACAATGGTAGAAGATGTAAAAGCTGGGTAAAAGATGGGTAGCCCCTTATTTGCTTTGACATTTATGGATGATCAATAATAGCAGTCACCTGGGTGCTTATACGTGCCCAGTGATGGGTAATTAATAGCATACCTAGTGCTTTGCATATGTAACTACGGAGTACCTAGTAGTAATCTGTCGATGAATACAATAAATAGCCAGTTGGTTTCTCTCGTTGCAACGTTGAAAGCATACATACGTTTGCATGGATATTTCGTGTGTGCCTCCATCTTGCTCCAACACGGCACACCACCTTATGTACCTTGTGTACCTTATGTACTACCTACTAGTACATACCTACATATGTACCTAGTAGTATGTAGATATGGATGTAAATGACCTACATAACACCACTGCTAGCACTATCATCTAGTACTACAGGAATAGTATCCGGTACCTAGTGAGTGTTAGCGTTGCTGCAATATGCACGGGCCCACGAATCAAGATAACTCGCTTCCTTTCCCCAGTCGGGCCAGTCCCGCCCTAAGCTTTTTGTGAACTTGCATGGGGGGGATGGGGGGGGAAGAAGGAACAGTTGAATACTCGAACTCTCTTCTTTGCAACTTTGGGGAATCTTTGGGAACTAAAACCAAATTCCCGCTTCTGATTTTCAAACAACAGGGACTTCCCATGATGTCTCTTAAATTCAACTGCGTTTGCTGCGACTACATACATCACTTACATCACTTACATCACTTACATCACATAGTAGCATAAGGGAAAGAAGTGAAGTTCCGAGAAACATCACAATCGCATTCATATTCATTATTCACATTTTACATTGATTGAGCCTGTTTTTTTTTTTTTGGTCGGGTCTTGTCTTGTCTTGATTGATTAATTGATGAACTAAGGTAGTCAAGGCCAAGCAAGCTAGTTCGCCATATCTTTTTTTATCTTCCTTCTTTTTTTTTCCTAGAGACGAAAGAGAGAAACGAAACGAAACAAAACAGATCAAAGATAAGAGAGAGAGAGAGAGAGAGAGACAATAAACAAGTGAGACAAATAGACGAGACACACGAAGAGCTGCTGTGACACCTGCCAGTCATAAGGTCCAGCTTCATAGGCTCGATACCAACTGAAATACCTCCAGGGCTACATACCTTCTAACCTACCTAACCCTACCCAGGGACTAGGTAGTGTATACACTTGATAGGCTCGGCTTTTTGTAAGCCACTCGTATTTGGGGGTTCCTGTTTTATATCTGAGAGTTGCACGTTTCATTATTTTAGAAAGCAACAGCCTCATTCCCTTAACCATGTTTGGGGGATTATCCACCTTTGGTAAGTCAAATCCACTCGTTCTCGAATTTCCTTATTTCTAGTTTACGAGTGAGACACGAGGCATGAGACATATTTCATGAAAAATACTTGAAAGTACCTACTACTAGTAGTATTCATCTTTACAAGCATTGAACCCATAACCCAAGAGAAGAAAAGGAAAGAAAAGAAAAGAAAAAAAGAGGGGAAGAGAGGGATGCTACATTCATACATTCATAAATCTCATTATCTCATCATACATTATTATCATTGAACTTCATCTCATATATTCATTAGCCCCGGTTCAACCCATCGGCCCGCCGCCAAAGAACGTGCCCCCTCCTACTCCCATCAACTTACCGCGATGCAATCCTCAACTATCAGATTCATCAGCTCGGGAGTCTCCGCCATCTGTTGTTCAACTTCTACAAGGACTTCATCGTGCTACCGACCTCAATGAGTCTCACTTAGCCGCGCTTGGTATACAAGTACATACCGATGCTCCGGCCGAGGATGTTGTCCCTCATCCATCTTACTTGCCCCCACTCTCCGGGTGGGATGGTATGACCTTAGACGATGCGCGCCGAAAAGATGAAACTTTTCGTCGCAAGCTTGTACATGGAGGCCTCTCTCCTGAAGCTCGTGTCTATATGGAGCGCCGCGCCGAACTCTCTGTGGCAAACCAGGCTGCCTTTCGCACCGTTCGCCGCCTCAAGCCCGAGCCAGGAAAGCAGCCACCCCGACTAGGAAATTGCTATGAATTCTTCAAGCAGATGGAAATGATGGCCGCTTTCTGGGATGACACCTCGCTTCCACCCCTCTCCAGTGACAACCTGGACGAATCACCGGCAGCACCACCTCCTTCCACAGATGCGGGTTCCGAGCAACCTACCACTGGACCTACCACCGGTGCAGCTCCCGAGTCCAACGCTCGTTCTGAACCAGAGTCGGATGCTAAAGAAAAAGAGCCCGAGCGCGTCACATACCGCTCCGATGTCGGCTCCAATATGCCACCTGAGTTCCGCCATAACATGATATCGGCTTTCATCAAGCTGGTTTCCTACGATTTTGGCTGCAACGTGGTTCCACCCAGAGTCGAGCCGCGCTTGCAACTTCTTTCACCCCCACGTAAAAAGAGTCCAAAGTCCAGGGCCTTCGCCTCTCAGGTAGCGTCTTACTTCCCATGCGGATGCGTATTTTTGTGTAAGATGCCTGTCACCCGGGAAGCCGCCCGTGCGGGTGTTGTAGAAGGTCCCATAGCGGCGGTGTCGGCACGTAATATAACCAGTTTCTCCACTCCAGAAGAGGCCAATGTAGACTTTGGACGGGAGCTAATCGCCGCTCTGATTACGGCACAGCATCGCGCCCGCGAAGGTCAGCCCGAGAAACGGTTCGGTGAGGGAAAATGGTGGGCCACGGAAAAGAGGTGGGGTGGAGGCGAGGGCGGTCCCATAGGACGGGAAGTTGACGGTGATGGCATCGTGGGCGACAAGGATGTCGTCCAGTCTCCTTCTGAGGATGGCACTGGCAGCAGTGGTAGCTCCCGGAAACCCCCATCGGTGCAAAAGCTAGGCCCGACTTCCCCCTCTCAGGAAAAACCGGGTAGACCCATGCCTATTCCCATGCGCGGACAGCCCTTGAGCAAGAAGCCCCGAAAAAACATGAGCATTTACGATAATTACCGCATGATACGCCTGCCGATGACCAACTGGGACAAGAAGACCAAGTTTGAGGCCATCGGCAAGGTCAAGGGCGCCGATTACGACGACGTTTTCGTCATGAGTAGTCTATTCCATCATCTCAGCATACTGAGAGTTCGCGTGCCGACGCGCCTTCTCTCTGTTCTTGGTGGTGAGCCAGAGGACCAGGATAAGCCGCGGAGTTGGGGCAAGTTGGAGATCTGGCGCAGCAAGTGGCACGACTTGTTCCTTGTCGAGGAGCGGCTCGAGGCTGTGCGCCTCCTGTGGGGTATCATGACTTGGGCTATGCGGAAGGATGATGATGAGGGGAATGGGAAGGACACTGCCGGTGCCACTGGGGATGTCCTGATGAAGGATGTCTAAAGGCCGATTGCTCTGACTTGGGTGGGGTCTTTGATTGGGATAGAGGATCGCCCACGGGTATCTGGATGGACGGTACCTAATAACTGCGGCCTCCGTCAGTTGTTTATGGGGTGGGAAATACAGGGGTAAACGGCTAGCTAGGTAGCTATCCACCCTCTCTTTGGATCTCTGGATCTCGATGAGGGATCTAGATTAACTAGGTTTCCGTAGTAAGTCAGTAGGCTTCACTCATGCGAATGAATACTGAACTTACTTGGATATATGAATCAAGAATACGAATGAGTAATGAGTAATGAGACCAATCTCCCTTCTACCTTCTTTTCCCTAGGTCTTGGGCCTTTTGAGTCTTGTGAGTATACCTAATATGCATGATGGTTTGCATGGTTTCGTACGCGTTGGGAATACCCACTTGCCGTGAATTACGAGACTACCTACCTACTCATCGTGTTGGCTTCGGCAGCGTAACTGCCTTGTCTGTCGAATCGTGTACCTATGTAGGTGTGTATGCCGAGTTCCCAACCCCTTAATGAGGATACCTAGGCAGTATATAGGTTAGGTAAGTAGTCACCAGTTTTATACCCGGGCACCTTAGGTCAGGCAGCCGTGTGGGAGACAGGAATGATCTTCTAGCATCCTCTAGCCCAAGCTAAGCACTGCGATTGACGATGAAACGCTGTCGCCCCTCCCCCCCTTCCTCACCTATAGGGAGGCTTTTTGTATTTTTTTTTCAAAGTGCTACATACCTACCTACCTACCTGTCTGTCTGTCACTTTCACCACGAGTAACGTGACACATGGTTAGCTCTGTGCAGTGGGCATCTAAGTTACATACTCGCTTCCTAACAAACAAGGTGATGGCGGGTGTATCTGCCTATTCTGCAACGATATTCGGAGCTGGCTCGCTTTTCAAATCCTTCAACGGTCTACTTCTCACAAGCAGGTATAGTAACTTATCCGAGGTCCCAGTATAGCAAGAGGTGTATAACCACCCCTGGATGAAACTATCTACTAGGTACCTAGGTAGGTAAAGTAAAAATCGAGATGATACATAGAATCGGTCTTGCTCTGGTACTGGACCCCCACCCCACTTCCCCTATCTTTAAAAGAAAGGAGCTTTATATAACTACCGCGTCTCTAAGACTTGATTGAATCTAAACCCATCAAAGGTCTACCTTCACTCTACCCCTTTTCGAGGTTAGATATCCTCAAAAAGGGGGAGAGGCCCCACCTCATCGGGTCCTACCCCTACGCACCCCGTTATATATAAGAGGATATCACAGGTCGCATACCTACATGAGAGCTTTATTAGGAATATGAATATATACGCAAGTACAACTAGATTTTGCAGTCCATAGTTAGGTACATACCTAACTTAGGTAAATACCTAAGCTCGCACTTCATGTCCTAACACCCCCGTTTCGAACGCTGTGAGAGCTGAGAGATTGATGTACCTTGGCAGATACCTAGGTATGCGAGTGTGTGTGTAACTATTCTTTATGTGTACCTACCTACCTACCTACCTAGTACCTATTCTTACTACCTCATCTACATACGTACGCAATCTCGCAAACACCTAACTTACCTACCTACCTACAAACCTAAAGTATTCTGACCGCTCTCGAAAAAAACGCATGGTATACCTACCTACCTACTTAACCCCCTCCCCCCATCGAAGCTCTCAACGCATACGCATGAGCGGTGTAAAAGAAAAAAAAACCCACAACGACTTTAACTAGGTAGAGATAGATAAGATCATGCCAACGTGACTGCCTGCTACGCCCACGCACCTAGGTATGCAGGTAAGTAGTAGGTGCATCGTCAAAGTCACACGACACATACACGCATACATAGGTAAGTAGGTAGGTAGGTAGGTAGGTATATACGCGCCACACCACTATGTATCAACGAATGATACGTAAAGAGGTCGTGTGAGAGAGGATATGCTCGACGTACGTAATCCGGCATGTGTGTGTGTGTGTGTGTGTGTGTGTTTGTATGCAACGTCCTATCTAGTTATCTACGGACGATAGCCACATGCAGTCTTACCAATCCCCGGTTGCGGGTTGGGTACACCTACCTACTTACCTACAGTACATACATATGTACATAGGTAACCTACCTTGCCTTGCCTCTGTATGTCGTACCTCACACATTAATTTCTATGGGCGATAGGCATTTAATACCTACCTGTAACTTAGTTATTAAGCCATACATCAGGTAGGTAGGTATAGCAGACGTAGTGCCATGTTACATAAGGTAACCTCCAATCCTCAACATCGAAATGCCGAACGCCTCCTTACACCTAACCTAGACACTTACCTATCTAGGCCCTTACTAATCTTACCAAATCCCGGCTCAAAAACCCAACGGGTATCTATCTGTGTACCTCGCACCGGCGGAGTCCGGGTAAGTGCGTGGGCAAATGTCTCGGTTCGGCCCCATCTCCTTCATTAGGTATGGCATATACCGACCGGAAACCCAAATGCCTTCCGATCGGAGAAATGAGAATGGGAAATATGGGATGACGTAAAAAATGCGCTAGTATCGCACGTTCTCTTCTTCTTCTTTACCGTTGCGAGACATGCAGTACTTGGCATGTATGTAGGTAGGAAAATTTCCTAGGTGTGTTCTTGTTTGTAATTGCATACTTACATGTACTTCAATGTTACTTACCTTGGTACCGTACCTAGTTTCAAACGTCTTCGGAATGACGGGAGCACCCGTACCTCCACAGGTCTGGCCTTAGTGCTGACGAGAAACTCGTAGCAAGCAGGCTAAAAAAATTTGAAGTCTCTGTGAGTCTGTGGGCTGAGGGTTTTAAAGATACCCAAAGGTAAGGCTTGAACCGCTGCAGCCTATGCTGAGCATAAACCTTGGAGAACCGACAAGCTATATCGCCTCGCCTCGTCCGCCCTATTCCGGACAGCTGAGCCGTGGCAGGACGTGATAGGATGAAAAGATTGACATAAGGCATAAGGAAGATATGTAGATAGATAGAAAGGAGTATAGCGCCAGTGACTGTTGTGAGCTGAAGCTGTCGTCGGGTGTGCTAGATGCTAGGCATGTATGCAGGTAGGTAGGGTATGTATGTAGGTGCCTAGGTAGGTGTCGTCACCTTTGGTAAAGGGAATCCCCTATCGATAATAGGCCACAGCCTCAGCAGAGTTGCAATGCAGAAGACCCGGCTGTACCAAATCAGTTACATGCGTACGCGTGCGCGAGTGGGTGCAATGGCGGCTAGACGGCCCTGTTGACACGCAGCGCTTGCTACAAGCATGACCGTATCGGTCCGCTGACTCGCAGATGGAGAATCTGGAGTAGGTCGGTGTGTACCGATTCCAATACAAGGTAGGTAGTAGATAGGGCTGCTTGGTCTCACGGCCCAAGCTATCCCGAAAAAGGGGCGAAGTTTTTATTTTTATCACTTTTATCAATTTTTTCTCTCACCTTTTTCCCTTTTCTCTTTTCTTCAACCGTTTATGGTGTGGTTCAACTCAGAGTGGACTTTGCGGCTATGTCATCGGCATTACCTCCATTGGCTCCTCCACATGGATTCCTTCCCAAGCGCCTGGGAGTCCAGGGACGATGCATGTGGCGCCTGTAGGGCAGAACTGGATGGGATGAAACCTGTGATATCTGTGACATTTGCACCGTCTGCAACATTGTACCTGATGATCTACAACCCACACTTTGGTACACAGAGGACCCTTGAGGTGTTATCGGGACTCGGTACGCGATGTTGATCGGTACCTCCCTACCTTCTAGTCGGTTAGGTGTACATCTTGGTTGCCTCTAATAGAGACGATCGTCCAAGTTGATCGTCTTATTAAGCGGTAACGTTGTCATGAGAATCGACTATTAGAAACGTCCGAGGCTCAATAGGACCGAGAGAAGAATAATAGAGAAAGAGAGAGAGAGAGAGAGAGGGATATAGAGAGGGCCTTTTCAGATTTCCGCGGAAACCAACCTTGGAACTTGAGACTCGGTCTGTTACCTGCTTGGGTAGTTTTCTGAACACAATTTGATACTTAGCCAATATGATGAAATGCCAATGCAAGAAAAGAAAATCTTATATCCATAGCCACAGGATGCTTGCGTACCTAGATAGGTTTTACTACCGAGTATACGAACTAATGCAAGCGTTATTAGAAAAATGAGACCCGGAAAAGGGATCCGTGGACATAAGATCTCCCAAATATTGCAGAAATCTAAAATGCGACTATGCGGTCAGTATGCATAGCAACCTCGGCAGGGAAAATAGGCGCTTTGTTAGTGGATTCTTCTGCCGGAGAAGCAGAGCTCGACGCCAGATGCAGACTGTTACGACATCAGCCACCATATTCGGATACACCGAGGTCGTTTCTCAAGATCCAAGCCTCAATCTTGAACCTGCAGCACTACCACTACACGCGTTACACCCATCACACCAAAGCTAGGTCGGAAAATCCATTATTCCATCATATTCCATTATTTTGATATATCCTTCTATAATTCATGGCTTATGGCGTTTAAAGGCGTCCTTAAGGCCGGATGTACTTGAGTTAGTACATACTATAAGTTAGTACTTTGACGGACATATGAGCAACATCGAAGCGATGTCCCGTGCAAAAACGGGGTTCGCCGGGGTACTTGGATGAAAGTGAATGAAAGTAATAAAATCCCATACTTGCTGGCCTGGTGCTGATTAGGTTGCTGATTAGGTCGCTGATTAGGTCGCTGATTAGGTCGCCGATCGGGCTTGTGGTGATAATGTAGTGACAAGGCTGCCCAAGCGGCTCATTCGTCCGTCGGGGACGCTCTAGAGAGATTGCACTGCAACAGTAGGTAGGCACTGGCATGGTCTGCTTTAGTTGTTATTCATACCTACTACTACTAGTATTACCTATTGACAGAATATTCAGGTGTATCATGCCCACTAGGCTGCTAGTGTTCCTACAGTACTTCTTAGTTAGTAGGTTAGTCGTCGGAATACGGCGATATGTTGGAATACAGAAGAAAGGCTTGAAACATCGATGGTTAACCGAAGCCTTCAGCTCCGAGCTTGGGTTTTATCAAAGAGCCTCTTGATTACCTTGGCCTGACAGCTATATGTGACGATCTTATAGTAAGAGTAAGAGTTCCAGTTCAGCGCACTGGTGCGCTTAGAAGTAAGAGATTGGAAAAAAAGAAAAAAAAAGAAAAAGGAGAAGGAGTTGAATCTGAAGGATTCATTGTTGCGAACTATTTGTTGACTATTGGAATATTGATGTTAAGATAACTATGGGTATAATCGACGGGGATGCAAAAGTACAGCATACAGAGGATTCTATAGAGTTCATGGTTCAAGGTTAGGTTTAACATTTGTTACAAGTTAACTATACTGCCGATGTAATTAAAAGAATCTTGATAACTATTACCTTATTAGGACTAACCACTTTAACCACTTAACTTACCCTAGATAGATACCTACACTAGTCTCTTATGTTGGCTAGGAGTTATGATGATTTTAAAGTCTGAGGCGGCTAGCACTACTAGTAAAATGACGAAAGATCAAGTATGGCGTATATGGTGTTACTCGTTACAGTTATCAAAGCCGTGGCCGTCAATACTTTCTGTTATTGGTGGCATTCCAACTTGACAGCAGCCGATATCCCCACACATCGGCGCGGAATTGAACAAGCGCCCAAGCTTCTCCACCCCATGCTGCCATGTTTTACCCATGTCTAAAGCCTAGACTACGGGAGTACCGGTAACAACCTGTAGGAACTTTCTGAATTTTTGAACTGCAGATGCTAAAATATTCTCTATCGTGTAGTTACATACCTACGTACATTTATTGAACTCGGCTGCGACCTCTATTTATTGAATTTATTAGCCAATTGCTACTTATTTCTCCCCTCTCTTCCTAGTACCTCATCTACCTACGGGTAGGTACATACCTAGGTAGGTACATATGTCATACCTAACCTAGGTAGTACCGTAGCTATATATGTATAATCAACCCAAAAAAGAGGGAGGGAAAAGAAAAGGAAAAGGAAAAGGAAAAGAGATCCACAACTGATCCTTGCCTGCAGGTAAAGTTTGCAATGAGGTGGTTCAATGTTGATTTGCACTAAGGTTGTCAACCCAGGTTCCCTGCGCCACATCGCTTGACCGCTCTGCTGGGATTTTACCCTGTTAGCGTTGGACTTCTTAACCCAAATAGGTATTTTTTGGCATCATTAACCTATTAGTTTTTCTCTTTTTTCTCTTTTTCTCTTTTAATTTTTGTAACCCTTCTTTTCACTTTAGGTTGTTCGTTGGAGGCTCTAGGCTTGTGAGGTACCTAGTAGGAGTGTGGGTGCTGCGCTTACGTACTCAGATTCTGTTTAAAGTGGTTCAATAGAAATAAATACATGTACAACATTGAACAAGAATACAACTAAACAAAACAAGATAATAAAAATAGAAAAGAAATCAAGAAATATACATAAGTTACAGTTCAACGTTACAGATACGAATATACAAATACATGTATACAAAAATACATTTTACCTCTACATCATCATAGCCCATCCCAGACGCCATACACGCCATACCCATACACCATACGCGAAATCCAAACATCGCGAACTGTCTACCAAATACTTATAGCTGCAGTATATATCATCCCTCTATCCTCCGAGTTCTGTTTCTATAAGAGCCTATAAGAACCTGACATATTTACTGCCTTGTCCACCCCCGACCGACAATTGTCTCAAAAAAGAAAAGGAAAAAGAAAAAAAAGAGAGGAAGAGAATAACCCCGCCTCTTCCCCCCACGCGATCCTTTCATCATCAACCCTAGCTCCCTCAGCTCGCCTCGATCTCTTACAAACCTGATATAATATATAGTATATATATATATAGCATACCCTATACCATATCGGAGCTCAACCTCATCGCCAAAGAAAAAAAAACATATAATTCTCTGTCATGTCAGGTTACGGCTACCCTGGAGGATATGGTCCGCCGCAACCACAACAGCAATTCCACGGCAACTATTTCCAGCCGTATGATCGCCCACTCTGCCACTCTGCCATTCTATTTTGACATGAGCGACATTAATTCGGCTACTGACTGACTGACTGACATGGTCACAGCCCACCCCAACCTTATAACGGATATCCTCCTCAAGGAGCTCCCCCCGCTCCCTCTCCCTACGGCTATAATCAACAACCGCACCCTTCTCCTCAACCGTACGGCTACAACCAGGTGAATTGAATATCATTTCACAGTAAATGATGGCCATGCGCTGATATTGATCGTCAGGGTCCTCCCCCGCAACATGGCGGCTACGCCCAAGCACCCCCCAGCCAATACGGCAGACCTAGTAAGACATTCGCCGTTTTAGCTATTCAGCCATCCATTCGTCATTCTTTCCCCTCCCCAAGTTGGTTTTTAACAAAGTGGTATAGACGTCCCCACGCCGAACTCGAACTCGTATCCCCACGGTAGCTTCAGCGCGCCCCCTCCTCCACCTGCCGGCCCGCAACATTTCGGCCACGGCGCCCCTAACGGCTACGCATTTCAATATAGTAATTGTACCGGTCGAAGGAAAGCACTGCTTGTCGGAATAAACTACTTTGGCCAGCGCGGTCAGCTACGAGGATGTATCAACGACGTTAGAAATATGTCGGCCTACCTCGTCGAGCACTTTGGATATAAGCGCGAAGATATGGTTATCCTCACCGATGATCAACAGAACCCCATGAGCCAGCCTACAAAACAAAATATTCTACGAGCTATGCACTGGCTAGTTAAAGATGCGAGGCCCAATGACTCGCTCTTTTTTCACTATTCCGGTATGACCAACAACTTGCCACCTGCTGTGAAGTTTGCGTCGCAAATCCTAACTTTTGGTATATAGGACACGGCGGTCAAACCAAGGATCTAGACGGTGACGAGCCCGACGGTTATGACGAGGTTATATATCCAGTAGATTTTCGCCACACCGGTCATATTACGGATGACGAGATGCACCGTATCATGGTACGACCTCTGCAGTCAGGAGTTCGACTGACGGCCATCTTCGACTCGTGTCATTCCGGTACCGCCCTCGACCTTCCGTACATCTACTCCACCCAAGGCATCCTCAAGGAGCCCAACTTGGCCAAGGAGGCCGGCCAGGGTCTTTTGGGTGTTATTTCTTCGTACAGCCAAGGCGATCTTGGCGGTGTCGCAAACAACATTATGGGCTTTTTCAAGAAGGCCACCAGCGGCGAGGATGCGCATCACAGGGCTATGGCTACCAAAACCTCGGCCGCTGACGTTATTATGCTCTCCGGAAGTAAAGATGACCAAACTTCGTTCGTCTACCCTTTCATTCCAGTTTATTCGTATTGATAGGATACCCCCTTGCTCTTTCTTTTCAATATCCATGGTAAAAAGCTGTGCCATTCATTTTGGGAGGGGGTCCTGGAGATGAGTTGGCTTGGATTCTGTATTTTCTTTTTCGTCTGTAATGTGTTTTGGTAGGATAGGGGATGTGAGCATGTATGGGAAAATTGTTGGGAGATTCAAAATATAGAGGGGGGACAAATCATGTACATTCTTTGAACGCTCTAGATGCAAAGTACAGTTAGTATGGCTGTGACTTTGCGTTTAGAGCGACGGGTTACGTTGGATCAGTCAAGTGACTGCCTAGGAACTTTCTCTGCTTCTATTGCTTTACCCCCTTTTTATCTTACCACAATCGTTCATATTCTTCGGAATTGCACTAACTGATTGAACTTTAGAGCCGACGCCACTATTGCTTCGCAAGCCACGGGCGCCATGTCATGGGCTTTCATCACCGCCCTCAAAAAGAACCCGCAGCAAAGCTACGTACAGCTGCTCAATAGCATCCGGGATGAGCTGGCCACCAAGTACTCCCAGAAGCCTCAGTTATCATGTAGTCATCCTCTGAGTACGTTTTCGTATTCTTTTCCCCTTCGTTTTCCCGCTTTTGCTTTTCACCCCTAACGTTCTCAGCTAATTCCAAATCAGACACCAACCTGCTGTTTGTGATGTGATCGATGTACATACGCACGAACAGTTTGTCGGTTGTCTCCTACATATCCACCAGGCACCTACCTATCTTACCTAGGAATATACCCCACTCCGTAAACAGGGTATTGCTCGAACCAGTCGAGATTGACTTTCTTGTATACGAATTTCTGACGGGCAATAAACTTTTTTACAATCACTTACGAATTGCGTTGCCTTTGTCCACCCCCCTCTTTACGTGTTTCCGTCACCTGGGTTTTTCTGGTGGTCTTAATAGGTAACTCGCCTACTTTGAATATTGGTATTAAAGCATTCATGGGGTTTAACTCGAGAGAAAGGCGGGGGGATTTAAAGCTGTTGTTTTTTATTAGTTTTTTTCTTCTCTAAATTTGTTATCCATCTTACGAAGGTTATGTCATTTAAAAACATGGAGAGGGGGAAGGGGAAGGATAGGCATGACGATAACGAAAAGAAGAGAAGTATCTACCTACGTACGGTAAACGAAGGCAGAGAGCAAGCATACCTACATAAAAAAGCGAGAGTCGAGTTCCAAGTCATAAGTTATAAGTTGTGTTGCGGTGCAGTTTATTGTTATAAGTTGAGCTTAGGAGTAAGTACCTAGGTAGGCTAGCCAGCTAGCATGTAGGTAGGGCTACTAGTTCCCGGGGGCGGGAAGGGCTCTTTTGGGGGAAGCGGGAAGCGGGAAGCGGATAGTTTGGGGGAGGTGGAGTTCAATGTTGGTTTAAAGCGTTCTCGAATGTCCCCTTAATGCTGATGTATTCCGTTAATTGCTGGTCTTTTTTTTTTTCGTGTGCGATGCGATGCGATGAGATTGTTGAACCCATCAAACTATACTATCTATCGTATGCTCTCTACATACCGGACCATACCAGCCAGACCCCCTATCCACCCCTACTATGCCTATAAACATTGAAGTAAGTACAATACCATACAGCTTCCGGTATAGTACCTACCTAACCTAGGTACCTAGTTAGGCATCTCAACATAACATGATCTATGGTACCTACCCATGACACACACACCTATGGTATAGTATATATAGTATAGTATAGTATTCAAGCCAACCCCCTACGAAGCAAATCCCGTAACCACCCACCCTCCTTTTCATTGTTGCTGTATTGTATTGTATTGTATTGTATTGTATCGTATTGTATTGTATTGTGATGTGTTGGGCTATGTTGTTTCATCCAGAAACCCGCATCGTTCCACATTCACATTCACATTCACATCTACACCTACATAAATACCTAAATTCCGTAAACCCCCAAAGCAAAATCGAGGACGGAGTCGACAAATTGAAAAGGGGGGGTAGGATATTGGGGAAAAAGGAAGAAGGAAAGCAACACTCGAAGGAACATTAGGTAAGTAAAGTTAAATCAATAGTTTAGATAAAAGAAGTAGGTACCAAACTACCCAACTACCGTACCCAACTACATAAGTAGGTTAGGTAAGTAAGTAAGAAGTAAGGACCTATAGGTATATGTAACAACGCAGAACTCCAGCCATCCTGATTACCCACCCGCCCGCCCACCTTCCGACCAATGCCTTTGCCCTATCCATGGATAATCCGTGGCCTGGCCTGGCCTATGACCTGGCCGGCTATACCTGTGCCAGTAGCCTATCGCCTATTTCCCTATGCCTGCAGTAGCCAGTAGCCTGTATACAAACGAACAGGATCTTCTTTTTTGGATGCGGAAAAAAAAAAAAAAAACCCTTCCCTTCTTCCCGTGGGAATTCCATCCTTCGGGTATGTATGTGACATGAACAACTTAACTCCAAGCGCCGTGGAACGCAAGATAAAAGTAAAAGTAACAACAACAAGAACAAGACAATTCACCCCCCGGGAGAAGAAGAACCAACGGAGTGAGTATCCTAGCTGATCTCCGCGGGCTCTCTCGACCGGCTCTCCTCCCACGCGCTCACGAGCTTCTTGCGCGTGCGCTCGTGCTCGCCCCACTGCTTCGCGCCGATGCGCATGCGCGCCACGGCCCTGAGCACGCTGGCGAAAACCTTGAGCTTCGATTGCACTGCTGGCTTCTTCCTCATGGATGCGGAGAGAGACGAGGAGGCGGCAGCCTCCCGCTTCCTGGATGCTAGTAGGGCGTCTGGCGATTTGATGCCGAGTTGCTTGTGGATGGTCTTTAGGACACGGAGATCCGCTTTGTTGCTATTGAGAATGTTAGATGGTTGATGTGGTAAGAGATGTTTGGATATATATATATGCATAAAGGAGAAAAGGGGAAAAGGGGAAAAGGGGAAGGGAGAAAAAAACATACCAAGCTTCAGCAATCTCCAACTGTAGCGCCAAATACTTCTTGGCAAAGGCGGCGTCATTTCGTAATTTGGCCTCGCGTTCCCAACGTGCCTGCATCCACTGCATCTGTATCGCCATGCCACGGATCTCCTTGCCATGCCTCTTCTCTGCCGCGTCTGCTGCTCGGATGACTGCCTCGTGGTCTCGCTGGTCCACCACATCCATCACGATGTCACCGTATCGGAAGCTGGCCTTGTTGCCTCGCTTGACAATGTGTGGCGTGTATGATGGGCCACCGTTGTCAGGCTCCGCGTTCTTGGCCTCGATCCAGGCTAGTGCTTCCTTTGCACCCTCCTGCAGTCTTTCGCAATCGGCCTGCAATTTCTCGGCGGATGCCTTGTAGGTAGCGCGTTCGTTGCGTGCGCGGTCAAGCTTTTGGCGGAGTTCTTTGCACATCGGGCCAGCAAAATCCAAATCTTGTCTGGCCAATTCAAGCTGCTCTCGTAATTCATCGCATAAGCGGTTCGCCCGTTCCGATTCCTTAGTCGCCCGGTTGAGTTCTCGCCTAAGCCCATCAGCCATTCGGTTGGCTTCTTCTACCCTCTGCTCTGATTGTTTAGACTCGTGCCGAGATGCTCTTTCTACTTGCTGTTTTAGCCGTTCGCATTGGCGTTCGACATCGCGCAACTTTCGGTTTGCATCTTCCAGTTGCTGTATGAGATCTTCCGAGACTTGATGGGCTGCTTCTAATTGTTCCGCCAAATCGCTAGCTTTTTGCGACTGAGCGCGCTTTGCTAATTCAAGTTGGCGTCTGAGGTCTTGGCATACTCGATCGGCTTCATTCAGCTTGCGTCCAGCATCTTCTGCTTCTTCGTCTAGAGTCGCTTGAAGAACCTCGACTTCATCCTCCAGCGCCTCCACTTTTTCGGTCTGAGCTTGGTATTCCAGTTGACTTTGTCGCAGGTCTTCTCGGACAGCAGAGACCTCGTTTCGTAGCGCCGTTAATGAAGATTGTCGTGCTTCCAAGTCGTGTCGTAGGTCGTCTATCTGACGGCTGAGCGCGGCTTCTTCCCGCTTGTGGCGCTGCGTCTCGCTATTTAATGCATCTTGCAACTTCATCTCCTTGCTGGATAGAGTACCTTCGGTATCGCGTAGTTGGTTGATGGTCCTCTCGAGTCCGATGGCACGTTCTTCAAGACGGTCTCGCTGCGCCTCCAGGTCACGCTTTTCAGCCTTCCACTTTTCGCTGTCATTATCGTAGAGGTTGTTTTTCTCGCGAATATCGGCACGTAACTGAGAAATATCCTCGTTCAAGCGATCAATTTCTGACTTGAGCTGAATGCGCACATCCCGTTCAATCTGACGGCCACTGCTCCTTTCCTGATCCAGGCTCAGTTCAAGATCACCGACTTGGCTGCGTAAACGAGTAACTTCTCGCTGCAAGGAGGAAGATTCGTCGCTGGTGGTGCTTTGGCGGACTCGGGCATTTGCTCTCTCGTGATCCAAGCTAGTTTCAAGCTCCTTCGTACGCTTCTGCAACCGCTCGACTTCTCGCTCTAATGATGCAGACGCGGTCTGACCTCCAGATGCTTCTCGTCGTACTCGGCTCATCTCGTCTTGCAGGTCAGCAATATCGGCGTTTAGACGACCGACCTCTTCCTTGTGCCTGGTGTTGGCTTCGTACAGGTTTTGTAGAGAGCGGGCCTTTTCCTGGCTCAAGTCTGTCTCGAGTTCACTTATGCGGCTTTGTAAGCGCGAAACCTCTCGTTCCAACGATGCCGATGCCGACTGGCCTCCTGACGCTTCTTCGCGAACGCGGTGGATCTCGTCCTGAAGGTCGGCTATATCATCGTTGAGTCTATCAACTTCTAATTGATGCTTGCGAGTCATGTCGCGTTCAATTTGTAAGCCGTGCGACTTCTCCTGATCTAGGTCACGTTCAAGTTCGTCGATTTGTCGTTGGAGGCGCGCTACATCTCGTTGCAAAGAGGACGACTCGTCACCCAGGGAATCATGACGGAGCTGTAAGAGATTCTTTTCATCCGTGCGCATATTCAAGTCTTTCTGTACAGCTTCTAGCCTCGACGTGAGCTGCTTTCGTTCAATATCCCAAGACTCTCGTTGCTGGAGGAGTTGTTCCGCTCTACTCTTGACTTCCGTACTGAACCTGCTCTTCTCGGATGCATCTTGCTCGAGAGCTGCATACTTCTCCTGCCAATGGCCCACTTCGGTCTGTAGGCGAGCGACCTTCTCTTCGACTTGGCGTGAGAGGCCCTTGGTGACGAGGGACTTGTTAGACATCTCATCCTGAAGTTCTTCGAGATCAGCTTCTGCGCGGTCTTTGTCGGAGATGGCAGTTTGAAGTTGCTCTTTCATATCGTCGATTTGCTGCTCGAGTTTCCGAACATCCGATTCGAGGTCTTCGATGGTGCCTTTTGCCTCATCGAGCTCCTCGTTTGACCTCGCATTCTCTTGGAGCTCACGTATTCTTTCCTGAGCAGACTTCCACTTCTCTTCCGCTTGGCCTAATTTCTCCTCAAAGTCATTCAGCTCTTCGTCGCGGTCGTTAATCTCCAAGTCCTTCTCCCGTAAGTCGGCTTCCAAATCACGGATTTTATCCTGTAATTCATCCATTTTCGCCGAGTCCTCGACAGGTTGCGCATGTGCTTCGAGTTCGGCAATCTTGTTCTGTGCTGACCTCCATTTTTCTTCCGCTTCTTCCAGCTGGGATTTTAGCTCGTCCACCTCTTCTTCGCGTTGGTTGATTTCGCGGTCTTTCTCGCGTAAATCAGCCTCCAGGTCGCCGATTTCGTCCTGTAGTTGATCTACTTTGCCTTGATCCTTGGCCCCTCTCTGCAACTGTCGCTGTAGGTTCTCAATCTCATTATCTTTATCCTCCAAGCGCCTTCGCAATGCCTCGATCTCGACCTTTTGGCCCTCATCAGCGTACTTCTTCTTGGCCTTCTCTTGAACTTCCAAGATTTGTTGCTGGTAAGCCTCGAGGTCCTTCTCTGCCATTGCTAATTGCTTCTTGTGTTTCTGGAGCTCCCTATGCATCGTAACTTTGTCGACCTTGAGATCGGTATTTTCTTTTAGGGCAGCTTCGCTAAAGCCGGGACCCGTTTTCCTCAGAGCCTCCTCGAGGAAGTGGATCTTAAGCTTGAGGCCGAAATTTTCCTTCTCAATCTTATCGATGACGTTTTCCTGCTCTCGTAATGACAATTGGTTTCCATCGTGTAAGGGGCCCTTGTTACCGCTGCGTCGCGGTAATAATACTATAGGTGTAGATGCCTCGCTGCCGCTGTCGACTTGTGGCAGAGGTGTGGATTCGATGTGGGATATGCTTCTCGAAGGACCGTATAGAGAGGATTCGACATTGGTCATATCCATATCTTCGTTAATCCTGTTTAGGGTAGGTGTGTTGCCGTTCGTATTCTCCTTGCCAAATCGACGCGCGCTATTTCTAGTGGCGGACTTGAGCATGGGAGTAAACTCTGCGCCACCAATTCCAGCAGGCAGGTTGTTCTTGGCACCTAGAGGCGCGCGACTGCTCCCTCGTGGTGTTCGCAAGTTGACACCGCGGCCATTTCGTAATTGTTGCACGAGGTTGTTGTCCTTGGCTGGAGAGTGAAAAGAGGATTCTTGGGTCATGTCGAAATCGGGGGCTCGACTTATATAGGTGGCATCACCCAAGTTAGTTCGAGGGCTGTCCATCTTGACGGCGGGAGATGGTGATGGTGCCGTTCAAGTGGGATTGAATATGAAGACTTTCGCGATTATGGCAATACGTTGGTTGGTATAATAGGATGTAATCATGAGATGATGAAATAAGATTGACAAAGTGGTGTTCGAGTTATGTGTATGTGTTGTGTTATGGTAGTTTTGTTGCGTGTTGTAAGTTGTTGCAGATAATCAATTCCATTAACCTCATTAATCAATCAGAAAAAGTTGAGTACAGTATCAATAAATTTACGGAGATAGGATAGACCTGGTCACGTATGAATTTTGGTGTAAAGACGCGTTTAGGTGGTGCTGTGTTTACATTGGTAACAAAGCTTTGCCAAAAGCTAAAAAGCCCGCTAACATTATTTACATAGTACACTAAGTTAGTGTAGAGCTACACCATGTGGCTTAGTTATCACATAGTAGGTAGTTACCCTAGGTTAGGTAACTAGTTCAAACGTTAACTATGTACATAGTTACTAGGTACCTAGTAGTTATGTGCCAAGTTCAAACTTCAAGTTGCAGTGACAACACCGGTACCTAGGTACATCGCATCCCTCGCAACATTGATTGTATCGACATCTGGAATGACTAACCAATACTGGGCTAGTACAATCCTACCTTGTCCTCTTTTAGACATGACAATCCTTGACCAGCCTCTTTTTGCTATTACTAATTTACTATAGTACTATGCAGTACATAGTAAAGTTTTCAATCAAGGTGGGGCAAAGTCAGACAAAGCGGACAAAAGAATTACTGCAATTGATCTTGACGTATCAGACCCATTGAAATTGGCATTACACCTTCTTCCCGTCGCCGTTAGTCGCAGCGGATTCGCACTCACCTCACTAAACCCCTACTTTACATTGGCGGCACACCCGCTTACACCATCGTCTCTGCCCTGCTTTGCCCTGATCTGCCCTACTTACTTCCTACTTTCCTATACATAAACTCTTCAATTTGGCGCATACTGTCGCCCCCCCTCCGCCATAATCTTTTTTACTTTTACCATCTTTCTTTTCTTCTCTTTTCCTTCTTCAATTATTACGTACTTTAACTTTCATCTTATTACTTCTTTTTACAACCAACTCCGAATGTCATGGGATCAAGTAGTCGATATGGCCTCCATTAACTCGTTACCGGATGAGATCGTTCATCAGATCTTACTATATGTCCCTCCCCAACAAACCCTAACCAAGGTCGCAAGACTCTCCAAGCGCTTTCACCGCGTTACCCAAGAACCGCTTCTCTGGAGATCCTACTGTCAACACAGTTTCCGATACTGGGATGTCGGCCATTATTTTGAAGTGAGACTCACGCGCAGAGTGCGCGATACTGATTGGAAAGGCCTCTTCCTTCTGCGACTTAAACGCAATATCCATATTGCACAACTATTGGAAAACATCATAGGTTGCCGCGTCACTCGCTTGCGCAAGATAGAACAGATTTGCCAGTACGGATACGACGCAAAGGATTTCCTCTTGAGCCAGTGTCAAATTCCTGATACTTGTGGTGATGTCTTGGCACGAAGGTATGTTTGCTGTTCGTTTGATTTTGTGATGTGAACGTCGAACTATCATGTCTAATATGGAATCATTTGGAATCTTGGTAGATATTACGCATGTTCCGTACTGGATGGTGTACATCGAAGTGCAGCGATAGAAGAATGGGCCAAGTATCAGAAATTCGCTGCGCAATACGCCGACAAAGATATCACGAATCGCGAGAAACTCAACTGCGGAATGCGCATTGAACGTGCCCTGGGAGCTTTCGACATGTTTATGCTACATGACAATGAAGGCGATATAAATGAGGTAATGCTCTGTGATGTTCCGCTCCACTTTAACATATATCCTGATTTCTTTGGCAGATATCTGAAATACTGGACGACCTTGCATCACGATTTCGCAGCACCATTACGAGAATTGACGAGATGACGACTCGACAAAAGGCGCTTGCTTTAGCCGGATGGCTTCATTTCAACAACATGACGGGCTTGAGCGACCCCACAGAGGAGACATATCGTTATTTACGCAACTGCCTGATTGGCAGGGCCATTAGAGACGAGCACCACCCGTCGCTACCCATTATATCTGCTTCCATCTACTCGGCTATAGCTTCGCGACTCGATATGGAGGCGTACCCTTGCGCTTTGCCCAGCCATGTACATTGTATGGTCCTGTCACCACCCGGTGTGTCGCTAGATGGCCAGCTCCTCCCGGAAGAGGAGTCGCAGTATCAAGAGAACATGTTCCTCGACCCCTATGGATCTGCCGAGGAGTTACCCCGACATGATATATACAACTTCCTTAGCAGACTCGGCTTCTATTCAGGCCACGAGAAATTGCTGACTCCTACAGCCACGGCACACATCGTGTTGCGCACAGCGCAAAACATACGAGCATCTTTCAGCAGCTTTCGAGCGAACGCGGCCCCTCTCCATCAGCTGGTTCCCATGATCGAGCTGAATCGCGGCGACTGGGCCCGGAATCTACGGCCAGCTATGTACAGTCTATTCTGGGCAAGGATCATGATGGTCCCCGCGCTACCGGAGGACGAGGAGGGCCGGTGGGATTGGCAGCATGATGTACGCGACATGCTGTCCTACGCCGGGTCTTACTTCCCAGAGGACTTATGGCTCATTGAGAAATATGTCTGTCCCATGTACGAGAAACTTGCGGCCACTAACGTCAACGACTTCACGTACAAGCGCCTTCATAGGAAGATTGGCGATATCAGAAGGGCTGATATGACTTGGAAGACACCACGTCGAAGACGCGATCTTAAGGGGATAACCGTTAAGTTCCGCATCGGCCAAGTCTTTAAGCACAAACGCTATGATTATTATGGCCTCATTATAGGTTGGTCAGCCGGGGGCCTGCCGCTTCTAGATGACGTCTCCTTGTCACCAGTTAATAGGTCTTGGCCTACGCAAGATCAGCATTACTACCGTTGCATGTGAGTCTGTTTCCATCCTTGCTGGGTAAAAGCATTTACTAACGAAGCATTCTAGGGTTGCTACTGACGGCTCCGATACGCATGTTATCGCAGAGGAGAATATCGAAGTGCTAGAGCTTCGAGGTGGCATTGAAGTGCTACCAACTCAGATTAAGGACCTGCTTCCTATGGCGGGCAGGTTCTTCAAACGCTGGGATCCCGAAAACGGGGTGTTCGTGAGTAACTTGAGAGAGCTGTACCCCGAAGATTGAGTGCCAGACACCAAACCTCTTCTATATCTCTGTTACATATATCAATATCGTTGATGCGCCGCTGGGCGCCGTGTCTACCACTTTTATTCTTCAACTCTTTCTGCTCACGATACGATACTTTGTCTCTCCTATACCCTGATGTTCACACCACCTGTATCTCCCCTCTTCCATTAGGTAGCTTTAGGCTCAACCTATCATTTCCCCTTCCCCCTTTCATGTATTGTTTCTACCCTTTATACCCAATCACCAACCCTTTACCTATTGTAGTACCCAACCTTTTTCAACATTAAATGAAAACTAACCTACATACTTTACTTAATCATATCGGTCTTTGCATTATTTCGGTTTAATCCATCTACCCATCTATCCAATTGTTTTCATTCATCTACTTGCTCATTCATCTATCCCATTCCCATTCCCATTCCCCCGCACTCACCGTACGATGTGAACTCGGTCATATGATGATGTTTTTAAGTCGTTTATGGATTTTACTTCATTGCCTTCTCCCCCCTTTTCTTATTGATAACAAGAGAAAAAGTCAAATGAATTGAATTGAATTGATGATTGCCTACCTGGGTAACCTACCTACCTACCTACCTACCAAACCTACCTTCTTAGAAGCTAATGCTATGTACTTGCTGATCGTCTGATGACTTGATATATGGAGTCAGGGAATACGTAGCGTAACGTAGCGTATCCATACATGGTAGATGTATGTGTAGAGGGTTAGTATAATACATTATACTACACGTACATTGAGAATATAGTAACCTTGGTAGAGTTGCTAGGCAGATGTAAGTAGACATGCTTACATAGTCACCTAGGTAGGTACCTAGTAATGGCTGGTGCAGGCATAGGGCTACATATACCTACCTACCCAATATCCATGGATACTTCTTACCCATCACTTTACTTTACTTTACTTTACTTCAAAATAGGCTATCCATAGTAAAAAATAAAAAATAAAAAATAAAAGGCATATTTCAAAGAGAGAGAGAGAAAAAAAAAAAGCAAGATCAACTTTTGAACTAACATTAGTTATGTTTATCTTCGTTCCCGGCTCATGCATTTATGTAAATCTACTAACCACCCTACCCAGGTGAACCCACCGACCAGCCAACCATCCATTTTATACCTATGTACCTACACCCCGTACATATGCCACCCCTATATATATATACATGTATATATGTCATCTCTTACCGCCCTATCTAATGCCATCCCCCTTTAATCCTCAACCACCTCAATCTTCTCAATAACATCCCCGCCAATCCTCGCGATCTCAGCTAATATCGCGTTTCGGTTAACCTCGAATAACTGCTGTTCCTTCTCACCCTCGCCCTTTTTGCCACTAATCGTGCTCCCCGAAGCAGTGCTCCGCCTCTCCGCCGACTTCAGCGAACACGGCATGTGCACCGTGAACGAGCGCTGGTGCAGCAGCGGGTTCCACAGCCCCGCGATAATCGCACCGTCGTCGTCGGGGCCGCCGTGGAAGAACAATAGCGGGCTGTCGTACGTGGCGTTGAGCTGCTTGAGGAGCGTGATGGCCGGTGGTTCTACCAAGGGTAGCGCGTTTTTGCCGACGCGCTCGTTGCCGTCGACGAGGTTCTTGAACTGCGAGGCGCGTCTTGTTGTGATGCCGTCTTCGCGGGCGACACTCTTGAGGGCCTTGGGGGAGAGGTGCAGGAGGACGTCGTAGTCGCGGAGGGCGGAGTGGAAGAGCCCGCGGATGTTGAGGTCGGCGCCCTTGTCCTTGACGACTTTGCAGGCGGAGCGGGCGAGGCTGGTCATGCGTGTTGCGACGACTTTGGAGGGGCCGTGTTGCGTGTAGGCGACGCCGGTTACGTCGTGGGATGTGGCGACGAATAGGACGGTGCGGTTCATGTTGGGGTCGACCTTGGTGCGCCAGGCGCGTAGGCGAGTGCCGATTGCGAGGCGTTGGGAGGTGGAGAGGGAGTCTGAGGGGTCGATGATCAGGGGTTCATCACGCCAATCCCATCTGGACAGTAACAAGAGTGCTCGGAGGAATCCAGTAGTGGCACTGCTAGGGGTTTCCCAGGGATATGGCTTGAGGAACGCTTGTAGGACGAAAAGCTCTATGAGCTCCTCGTTGAAGTGGCAGGATAGCTTGTGAGAGTTGAACCAATGCTTGGTGAGGCGTATGGAAGCCGATAGTGCAGGAAATCTCGTGCAGAATGTGGACATGGTTTGGTTGTGGAGTGGCAGGTTCGTATACATCCGTCTATACGAGGCAAGTAGATCAGCCGCGTCGGTACGAACGTGGCGCTCAACTGTCTCGTCCTTGGTCTGTCTATCGAGAAGTCCCTCCTCGAGATCGCTATGCACTCGAAGCCTGAAAGATGCACCATTCTCGTAGATGACATCCAAGAATGACAGGTTCTTGTCATCACGATCTGCACTCTCCAGTCCTAGATGGGTCTTGACCTCTTCTTTCGATTCCTCCAATGAACTGCCAATCTTGAGTAAGAATGCAGTCTTGGCTCTCTGAATAGCAGCTAGATTCTCTGGCCACTTGCCGGAGACTTCGAAGGATACCACAACCTCCATAGGACGAAGTAGAGGCTTTCTAAAGTTGAATTCTGGTATCCGTAACGACGTTCGTCTCAAACCTGCACAAATGGGAGCTATTTGCTTCACGTGTAGAGGTAGGTCTTCTAGATTTCGGATGTCTCGTTCGAAAATCTCGAATGCCTGCTTTGCTGCGTCGAAGGCTGTCTTATCCGAGGGAGTTACCGCCATGATCTTGGAAACCTCTCGCCCGTAAAACTCTAGATTACCATCGCCCAACTTGAGTCGAAGCTTTAGAATGTATCGTACAATAGCTTCGGTAATTCCCGCGAAGCCCATGTACGCATGCTCTGTCCAGTCGAGGCTCTCGACGATGTTGCCATCAGGGAATTGCCAAAGGTCTGCCTTTTCACCCCAGAATTCGCGAAACTTGGTTGCCTCCTTCTTCTGCTCGTAGGGAGGGCCGTATTCACGACCCTGGGATGCCTTGAGGGGATCCACAACGATCCCAACCAGGAGAGACTTCCCCTTGATCTTCGGTGATGTGCTTGTAATCGGCCATGCCCCTGACTCTGGTACATCGATGTGAATCAGTTGCGCTCGCTCGCCAAGGGCTGTTTTCAACGTGGTATATAGCCTAGAAGTGAACTCCCAAACGAATCCTCTGCGATCGGCTGACTCGAATCCTTCTTTTGAGGAGGGGAGATTGACGCTTAATAGCATATCGAACATGTGTAGGGGCTGATTAGCCTTGGCGATGAATAAGGGCTCAAATTGATCGAGCGGGCTGTCATTTATTGCCGAGAGTGACCATTTGGCGTGTTCTGTCAGCATGGCAACAGACCATGGAGTCATCTTGTAGAGAACATTGATTCCACGGGCTGCATCGTAAAGGACTGGTAGGGTTTGACGAAGTGTATCCGAGTTTGGAGCGTCTTTGCCAATGACGAGGAGTTTCTTCTGCAGATTTGCCGAAACAATGTACTGTAGTGTCGCTTTGAACAACTGAGTGCTATGCAGCGAAGGTGACAGCACCGCTTCCCCTTTTCGGCCACCACCCTGCAACAGCAGAGCTACCAAGACGGCCCATTCGAAATGACCAAATCCCCCACCGAGGAGACTGCCATTGAGTCCTCGTTGCTGTAACCATATACGACCGAGAACACACGCATCCCTGAAAGCACCACATGATTTTGTGGCTTGGTGGAGTACTCGCAAGTAAGATGAGAATTGACTCTCGGCCTTGAGTGTGTTGTTATAGAAAGGCGTGGGTGTCTTGGAGTCATCGGCCTCCTCTGATTTGCCCTGCCGGATAGCGTTACTTATGGCAGCCAACTTATTTGCTGGGAAGTATCCTTCCGGAGCACATGGGATTATGCGTATCGATGGAGTTGCTTTCGTCAGGGACTCTGCGCTGCTTGAAGTCTTTTTCGAATCTGAGCCGCTCTTCGGCCGAGCGACAAGTATCGGCAACAACAAGTTCCCGCTTAAATGGTCGAAGGAGAATTCCATAGCAGCACCCAAACTTTTGCGAAGATTCGCGGTGATGTAGGCTAGGTAGTATGCCCGCTTGTAAAAGTATCTCATATTCAGGTAGTCTTTTTCCTGGAAGATGGACTCGGGCATGACGACAATCATATCGACAGCCAAGTCGGTCTGAGACTTGACATTGGTCTTGAGAACCCAACTTCCAACCACGTTGACCTGAGCTGGCTTTGCGAACGATAGCTTATATAGGGAGTCTTTGGCTGGCTTTGGATCGGGATAAGGGATGGTAATCTTTTTGGACTTTTCGAGCTTGGCTGTCACAGTTCCAATCTAAGAGAATATGAGTTAGACGGAGGTTATGCTTGACTGTGTAGGTGTGCGGGATGAGACAGCAAACTTACAAGAATAGGATCGTGGGGTTCTGAAGCTTCAATAACATCTTTGAATTGTCTCAAAGTGTCTTCGACGTTCGCAGAATGTTTACTATAATCTAGCTTCACCTCCTTCAGAAGCTCTTCAGTCTCTAAGACGAAAGCGCTTGCGCCGGCAGCGCCCATGGCCGTGGCAGAAGAACTGGCGGCATCGAATGATGGTCCGCCATTTGTATGTTCCAACTTTCGTCGTTTTGCCGTACTGGACTCCATATTTGCTGGATATGAATTGAGGGTTGTAAGATGAGGAAGGAGTGGTTAAGTTGTCAACAATGGACTCCCTTGTTGTGACCCGGTCAAATTCAATTGCGTGAAGTTTTCATAGTGAGGGCCCATGCGACAATGCGCATCCTTGACTAACGATCTAAGAAAAAAAGAAAAATAGAAAAAAGAAAAAAGAAAAAAAAGAAAAAATCCCCAAATTTTCGATATCGATAAGAGCTAGGTAGTTACCTGGTCCTGGTAGTACCTAGTAGGTTTGTTAGGTATTGTACAAGATGGTGGGTCCCTGAATCTGTGGCTAAGGGAAGTGTGGCTGAGCAGTCAGATGCCCCTCATTGCCTGTTCTAGAATCCATGTTCAAGTTGATTTGCCGACTGATCTGTTGGCCCAACTGCTACTAGCAGTACCTCCAAACTGCCGCTAGCTTCAACAACGGCATCTAATTTACCCCAAGAATCCAGCAGCCCTTTGGAACTTTATCCCTCCTTTTTACATAGTCATTACTAGCTGCATACTAACCTGCATTTTGTCTGGGCAACTCACAGTAGAATTGGTGGCTTATGGAAAATAGCGGGATTCGATGAACAAAGCCGAGTCCATCTCTAGCCGAACAAAGCTCCCGTGGTCCCCGTGTCGAGCGAAAAACGGAGAACTTGAAAAGAGTCCATCATGAGAATCCCTTGCCTTACATGAAGCCTTCTGTCTTTTCTTCCGTGTTTACTTGCTATTGTAAACCATCATCCATCCGGAGGATATTTTATATATATATTATTTTCATTGTTTTCTCATTTTAACCAGCCTCATTAACCAAGCACATATAATACCGTTATAATGCCGTCAGCAGCGATGTGTATGAGAACGCTTAGAGCGTATTCAAGATATGGTTCAAATGTAGGTTCCAAATTAATCAATTGGTGCTTTACACCGATATCTCGTTTCTGTTAACTCAATGTCTGTCCTTATAGCATACTAGAATCCTCTCTAGGGCGTTCTCGGCGACATCCCGTCGCGCTGAGATCAACAAGGTGTATCCCTCAGCTTCTGAGGCTCTCAAAGACATGAAGCCTGACTCAACCTTGTTATGTGGTGGATTTGGTCTTTGCGGTGTTCCGGATACTCTAATTGACGAAGTGCTGAACAAACCTGAGGTCAAAGGCCTCACAGCAGTCTCAAATAACGCCGGAACAGATACTTCTGGCTTAGGAAAACTGCTAAAATCCAAGCAAGTGAAGAAGATGGTCGCAAGTTATATTGGCGAGAACAAAGTTTTCGAGCAAATGTACCTGACGGGAGAGGTGGAATTGGAGCTCACACCCCAAGGTACGCTAGCTGAACGATGTGCTGCTGGCGGCAAAGGTATACCCGCTTTCTACACGCCCGCTGCTTTTGGCACCGTGGTGCAAACCGGCGACCTCCCTCTCAGGAATAAGAGCGATGGAACCCCCGATGTCTTCTCTTACCCGAAGGACGTAAAAGTCTTCAATGGTAAATCCTACCTTCTGGAACACGCCATTGACGGGGACTATGCTTTCGTCAAGGCCTACAAGGCGGACAAATTAGGGAACTGCCAGTTCCGCCTTGCCGCCCACAACTTCAACGGAGCCATGGGCCGAAATGCTAAGATGACCATTGTGGAAGCCGAACATATTGTTGAACCGGGTGAGATCTCACCCGAGGCCGTTCACTTGCCGGGGATCTATGTCAAGAGGGTGATTCAGAGCAAAGCAGAAAAGAAGATTGAGAAGTTCACATGGAAGAAGGACGACAATGATGCAGATGCGAAAAAGGCGCTTGGATCCGGTGACACGGCCACTAAGAGGGAAAGAATCGTCCGCAGAGCAGCTAAGGAGTTCAAGAACGGCATGTACGCCAATCTCGGAATCGGAATGCCTATGCTTGCACCAGGATTCGTTGGTCCCGAAGTCGAGGTTCAGTTGCAGTCTGAGAACGGGATCCTAGGCCTAGGACCCTACCCAGTAAAGGGCGAGGAGGATGCTGACCTAATCAACGCCGGAAAGGAGACTGTGACACTGAAGCCGGGTGCTGCGGTATTCGGTAGCGAGGAGAGCTTCGGCATGATCCGCAGCGGCCGAATCAACTTGACGATCCTAGGAGCCATGCAGGTCAGTGCTACGGGTGATCTGGCGAACTGGATGTTACCCGGAAAGGTCAAGGGATTCGGCGGAGCGATGGACCTCGTCAGCAACCCGAGCGCGACGAAAGTCGTTGTCACGATGGAGCATACGGATAAAAAGGGCAACGCGAAGATTGTCAAACACTGTGCTTTCCCCTTGACGGGTCGGGCCTGTGTCTCTAGAATCATCACGGAACTGGTAAGTGTTTGGCATTAGTTCTCACGTGATGCGTTTCCTTCTGACTATTCTTTGCTAATCTCTTATAAATAGGGTGTGTTTGACGTTGATTTTGCTCACGGCCTTACCCTGATCGAGATTGCGGATGGTGTAACAGTGGAGGAGATAAAGAGCAAGACTGAGGCGCCATTCCGCGTCGCGGAGGATCTCAAACCTATGCTATAAAATTGATGACGGGCATGATGGCGGGCATGATGAGCGAGGGGAATGTAGTTACAGTATGAATATGTGTATAAGGTGAATTTAACAATAAGCATTGATCTTTACACGATGACCAACTTGATATTGATGTTGATATGATGATATATAATTCTAACCCTAATCTTTAACTTGAGGTTTCAAAGTTGAGCGATAAGGTCTGGTAAACAAATCCTGGTTTACGGGTACACATGCGTTGCTTAGGTATACTATACTTTTAACCATCGCCACATCACCACATCAAACAATCACCCATCAACAATCACCCGTCAACAATCACCCGTCAACATTTTAAGGATGAGCAAGAACTTTATGATTACCTACCAACCCGACCCGAACCCGTTATCCAATTGACATTCATTCGCTTTAAGAATGTCTCACTTCACTTCGCACGGCTACGACGCGAAGAACGGCGTGTCATTTCGATCATGGGAAGTAAAGCTAAAAAAGGCGGGCAACATAGAATGGCATCGCCACCGTACGAGGAACATAGAACCATGCGCGATGGAACGACTACCACCTCGGAAAAGGTCACCTCCTCGAGGAAAGTCAACCCCTCGAAGAAAAGGCATCCCCAGTCTCGTGGATATGGCGACCAAAGTCGTGGCCGAGAACATAGATTATTCCGAGGTGGATGATCTTGAGCACGTGCCTACGCACCTCGTATATTATATTATGAGATATATGCTTGACACATATGAGTGAGTCAATCTATCTGCCTTAGTTTACCTATATACCTCCCCAAAACCCTGGCATTCCTAACCAACCACCAAGCACCCTATCCCTCCAAGCCTTCAAGATCTTCGCCACGCACTTGGGCAAAGAGCACCGCGCGTATCCCCGCCTCCGCCCGATGCCCGCGCAAACCTACCAGTGGCACCACACCGAGCCGCACCCAACATCGCCCCTGGCCTCCTACATCCAGCCCCTCATCTCAGAGTCCCTGGACTTCCTGGTCCAGCTCACCATCGGCGTGCACCCCGTCCCGGCCTTCGGCACGCATGATTTCCTGCACTTGACCCAGATGCGGAATCTGGCCGTGCTGCAGATCATGCAGCCGGACACAGAGGAAGGGGGTTTCCCGAGGATCACGGATGCCGTCGTGAGGCACTGGTCCGAGCAGCCCGACCCGTTCCCCGTGCTCCGCGTGCTCAGGATCTGGGGCGCCGACTTCACGACCCCGCGCTCGCTGCAGTATCTGTCCAAGTTCCCTTCCTTAGCCATCTACGACGTCGCGGGCCGACGGGAGGAGTGGCGGCACGCAGACGCAGCCCCGCAATGGAACCGCGGGACGTCTCAGCAGCTGCTCGTCGACTCGGCGCTTAATTGCTGCGGACTGCTGGGCAACAACAGCGACGAGTACCATCTACGCATCCTGCGCCTCTTGCTCAACGAATTCGTCACCGCAGACCGGTCAACGGCCGGCGACGTCGCTGTTGTGGCGCGAGAGGACGTTCCACCCCCAATTGAACATAAGGACTTGGACGGCGACCACCCTAACCCGGACCACGTCGCCTCCTGGGGCTACGCAACATACATCCACGTCGGCCGCCTCGTCCGCGACCAAGACCTGTCCGCGCAAGGCGTCAGCGGTGCCGAAGCCCAGGTTTTCGTCCTCGAGAAATCGGACCTGCTCCCGCCTCGCCCCTTCGTCTCGCTGGGGCTCGGCCAGTGCTGTGGCGTTGATAGCAGCTGTGGGATCATGGTACCGGACTGTCCCCGAAGCCTCCGCCGCCGCCACCGGTGCTGCTGCACGGTCTACGGCTCCCGTCCCTTTGGCGCAAGAGCCGTCTTCGTGAGGAGGGAGTACTGTGGGAAGAAAGGGAAGAAGCAAGATGATGAGCCAACAAAGCCAGAGCAAAAGCCAAAGTCACAGCCTACGGAGGCTCAGGCTCGGGGACCCGCAGGGGATAACCTATCATCATCATCATCATCATCATCATCGAAGCAGCAGCAGCGCGAGGGAAAGGGAAAAGGAAAGCAACCGATCGATGTCGATGCCGAGGAGGCGCAGCAGGGGTCGTCGTCGAATAATCGATCATCGGGCCCAGGGTCGGGATCTGTGGGGAATCCGCCGAGGAAGAAGAGGATGAAGTATTCTTTGGGGGAGTTTTTTTGAGGACTTCTTAGGTAAGGTACCTACCTAGATTCACAACAATACCACTAAAACCACCAACCCCTTGAACAGATCATGGTACACAGCCCTGACTTGGTTAGTTAGACCTCAGGTCTTGCTTACACCTACCCCTGAACGCTATAGAGCATTAATGGATATCTCATCATGCCGCTCACCATCGTTCTTCTGTGTTGCAGATTTGCATCTTGATGAAGATCTTAACCTGGTTACCTGTCATCGTGATGTTTACTACTAGGTAGGTAGGTAGGTAGGTACTGTAGTATAGAGCATCATATATTCTTTGCTGCGTTATATATATACCCCTATGTACACCCCCGGCACTCTATCTACAGCGCTCTCCAACCTAGACGAGCAAAAAACGAAAAAAAAAAACATCCATCCATCCCTCAATCTTATTACCGCAATCCATATATCCATATCTTTTAGATATCTAGGTAGTAAACAAAACATAGATCTCATAGCCTTTCATTCATCGTTTTTATTTTTCAACTCCCGTTTCTTCTCCCTTTCCTCTTCCGCCCTCCCTCCCTTTCTCCCTTCGCTCCTCACATCCATATTAAATTACCTAAATACCTAGCCACCCACCCACATTACCTCCTTACCATCCCCCTTTTACGCCTCTCAATACCTACCTAAAACATCCATACACAGGTACCTACCTGCCTACCTAGGTACCTAACACTATATCTTAACCCTCCACCCCGTCCCCACCCCCCTCATCCTAACCCACCTCGCGGCCAGAATGAAGCCCATCCCCACGAGCAGACACACGCCCGTGAATATCTGCGCGCCCACATAGCTGCCCCCCATGGCCCCGATAATCGCGCCGGCGATCGGGTTCCCCGTCAGCACGGCAAAGCTCACGATCGTGAACACCATGCCCATGCGCGTGCCCTGCTTCCGCAGGTCCGCCGTCAGGCTGCTGAGCCCCGCCGGGAACAGGCTCTGCAGCGCGCCGGCGACGACGCCGTACACGACGGCCCAGCCGTACAGCTGCGCGGGCGTGCGCACCGCCGTCCACGAGAGCAGCGCGACGCCGCAGATGAGGCACGTGGGGATCATGAGGTTGAGGGGCCCCGCGCGGTCGGCGAGGTAGTTCGGCAGCAGCCGCCCGAGCACGCCGATGCCGTTGAGGAGGAGCAGCATGTTCAGCGAGTCCGTGTAGGCCAGCGCGGGGACGACGGCCTCGCGGCTGAAGGCCGCGAGGTAGTAGAAGGCGAAGTACACGCCCCAGAAGTTGAAGAACATGCCCGCGGCGTAGAAGGTGTACTCGAGCTCCTTGAACGCGGCCCACTCTACCAGGCTGCCCGTGCGCCGGGGGGGAAGTCGCGACTTCATGAAGGCGACGGTGAAGATTAGGCTGCCGAGCTGCACGAAGCCGATGGCGCGGACGGCCCAGCCGAAGCCCACGGTGGGGAGGAGTTGGCGCGCCATGGCTGGGAAGATTAGACCGCCGGTGACGGAGCCGCACGCGGTGATGCCGATGGCGAGGGAGCGCTTCTTGTTGAAGTAGGTAGAGACGGTGGATATGGCGGGGCAGAAGATGAAGCCGCTGCCAATGCCCATGCATAGGCCCTGGGAGAGTAGCAGTTGCCAGTACTGGGTAGCCACCGAGGTAGTGAATATGCCGAGGGTCATGAAGATGGTGCCGCAGATGAGCACCGGGCGGAAGAATCCAGCGTCTGTCATGCGGCCGGTGAAGGTGCCGATGAAGAAAGTTAAAAACACCTGTAGGGAGCCTATCCATGAGATTTCCGAGGGTGTTCGGCTTAGCTGTGAGACGTAGTATGTCTGGAACACGCCGAAGGAGTTGATAAAACCCCATGTGTTCATGATGGCGAAGTGACCGCAGATGCCTATTTTATTAATATTGTTATTAGGGGTTGCCATACTTGATAGGTAGGTAGAATAACTGGCAACGAGAAACCAAGGACACTTACAAGCTAACCAAGCCACTCGTCCCCCATCCGGTGGCGGTCCGGGATTCCAACTCGATTTCGTCGATATCCTGCTGAGCACCCGGTTCACCGTTCCGGCCATCCCATCGGCCTCCGTGTTCAGCAAGTCGGGCTCAGGCGGGATCTGCCAATCATCCGCCACCGCCGCTGTCTCTTCTGTAGGGCTGTCATCGCCGTTATCCCGTTCCTCTTCTTTGCCACCCCGACTTGGCGTTTGCCGTCCCGTGCGGATAGGCTCCGCCTGCTTTTCGACATCGGACGGCAAGTCGCTATTACTAGAACTTGGCGAGGTGATAGACGGCATTTTTTGGAGGTGAGTTTTTTGTAAGGAGTAGGAGGCTAATTGGTAGTGGAGCTTTTGTCAACTGGCAAATTCTTTTTTTGCTTTGTTTCTTTGAACCCAGAGTTATTCTCGTTATTCTCTAAAGAGTCACTTGGGTGGATTCTGTTAACAATGACTAATTGTATAAGTGAAATTTTCCTTATTGATTTTGCCCCATACAGTAGCAGCAGCAATGAGCCAACCTCTCAAACTTTTCTATCTTTTCTGTACAATAGATAACTAGGAAAATAGTCATAAGCCTTAGCTTATATAGTAATATGACCCGCGGAGATACCTATATAAATATCGGTGATCGTGAGTGATATGAGTCGAAGCAGAGACTTGATTCAAAACTTGTACGTATTGTAATAGCTATTGTTATTAATATGGGGAGGGCGATCAAGGCCACTAGCCTAGACGTAGTGAAGAAGATGACAAGGGGAAGAAAAAAAGAATCTCCCGATATGATAGAGACCAAACCCAAACAGCAGGGTCTCGTTGCATTTTTACGAAATCGAAAGTCTGGAGTAAACCGGCCGGCTATCGGGCTCGGTTGGCCCTGTCCTCGAGTGGAAACTCTTGTCCCGTTCAAGCTTCAAGACCTAGATAGGTATAGTACTCAGGTAATAAGATTTTGTAGACACATCGACTATCTAACGGGTATGTATGTAACCTACTGCTTAAAGCGGGGATGCCTATTAGAAATACGACCGTAGACCGGTGTGTGTGTGTTCTGACAAGGGCGCGTCATTGTCGACCTAGCTGCCGTCCGCCATGCTGAGTTGTGATGGAGTCATGGATAGGGATTGGATGATAGTACGGCATATAAGACCTATAGGCACCTAGATGAGTAAGGCTTAAGCCATAATGCATCATCGGGTTGACCCTTCAATGTTCGCCCTGAGACAAATTAGCTCGGTATGTCAATGGAATGGACCATCCTAGGTACTAGGCACTAGGTAGACATATAGACAGTCCGTAGACTAGAGAGAGGTTGGCTAATTGGTACCTACTATGTACCTAGAGGCTAGGGTAGCGTACTATCAGAACTAAAAGTTTGGCTGTTAGCTTCAATCACCCCTGAATCGATACCGAATATCATATCCCCAACCTTATACATACCTGCATGCATACTTCGTGTGTGCATTACGTGCATATTATCCTGCCCATTGAAGATTCTGTATGGGCATAACGTTCTTCATTGCCTCTGCAGGCCACTGCTTATTCCCGAACGAACAAACTCCAACAACGCCGCCCCACTCCCCATGTCATCCACCCCAGACGTCCTCTAATACACCTATCATTGATATACCTAACTTACAAAGGTACCCTAGGCAACTTAAGCCGATGACTGCATGTGGGAGATCATAGATGAACTACCGGGGCCGCGGAATTGATAAAGACAAATACATACTGTCAAATAGCCTTGGAACTATTTCCCTTTCCGATGTCGCTAACAACACTCGGCTATTTCGGTTCGTTTGCTTCCAACAACTCATCTCCATGCCATTTCTAATCTGCAAAACCTTCATTATCCGACACCATTCACTTGCATGCAAGATTGAGTTGATCCACTTGCTCATGGAAGGCAGGTTGAGGTCTAGTAACAATTCTTGGATTGGATATAGATAATTATCTCATGCTAGTACATGTAAAAAGACCATCCACCAAAATTGTCGTCATGCTAGACTTCATCTCTTCAAACTCCTTCCACATAAGTATTATCTCGTAGAATAAGGCAATAACCTTACCTATAATGAGAACTTCATTACATCTCAAGAAAAATTCCCGATAGGCAGCAGATTAGTTAAAGTGCACAGAATTCCCACCCAATAGCACACTGGTGCTGCTCTTCAACCACGGAACAGCGCAAAGTCTAAAGGTCTAGAGATTGCCCGTCGGCTATTGGAGACACCATCGCGTTTGTGGACAGCGTCGCGGACCTTGGATCGGCAAACAGCCTTCTCGCACTCGTTGTCAGACCATCCGAGGGAGAGGTCGTCCGCCCACCAAGTCTTGGCTTCACCGTCCACCTTCATGCCGATTTGGACGGATGTCAGCTGGTGGAAGCCTAGGAATCCGACAGGAGTGAGCTGGCAATGATCCGCTTCGGCACATGCTGGGACATCAATTGTCGCCGAGGCCACTTCCTTCTCCTGCTGAGTTTCTTCATCGAATCGTAGACCTGTGAAGTTGAAGCTGCAAGAAGGCTTAGTGGAAGCACAACCAAGGTCAAAGCTGTAGAAGTCAAATGAGAAGCAGTTGGAGGATGTTTCAGGCCCGACACTGAATTGTGCTGTGTCCGCCGGAAGATCTGGCTCAGTCAGGTTTGAAATTGACGATGGCGTAAATTGGATCATCAGACTTCCAGAAGAGGGATCAAATGGACCAGGTGGTGGTGGGTTGACGTTGAACCCCTGGGAGAAATAGAAACGATGGTAAGGGCTGAACAGTGGCATCGGATCAACGTCATGAGGATCAACGCCGGAACCAACTCCAAGGGGTGGAATATCGTCAAACTGATTCAAAGTTAGTCACGCCTATAAATGAAGTATCACCAGGGGGGAAGGGAACAGCTGGGACTCACACTCAACGTGAAGTTACCTAGGTCAGCTCGATTTCCACAAACGGATGGTGAGGGCTTGTGACTTTCAGTGGCAGACCCAGATGCTGAGCTGAGCGATCGCACAACGATCGTTGACAAAGTAGACGGGCTGGGTAGCTCAACATTATCTCGGGCAGAGAATGCATATCCGCCAGCGACAGGAGTTTGGGTGGCATCTGCATTATTTGTTGTCGCAACCTGGGCACACCACGAGAATGTCTTCGAGGCGATAGTCATTGTGGTCATCTCAACACATTCAATAGAAGCTCCGGTGGGGAGCTCTGAAGCGGCTTCAGAGGCTTCGGATGCCGCTGAAACAGGACCTGGGAGACTTGGCATGGGCGCAAGGGATATCGAATGGGTGGTCTCGGCGCCGGTCTCAGATTCGGTGCATGGCGTTGCCTCCCCAGGTGTCGAAGTCGCCGCAGCAGGCTCCTCCCCGGATGCGCTCGCGTTCCATCCACTTGTCGGCACGGCAGAGAATGGGGCTCGTGAAGAACCTGACGTGCCAGTTGGTAGCGCACCAGACTTGCCGCCACCAGAAGTCTCGTCACATGGGACAGAACCGCTCTGAGCATTGGAAGGCTCGACCACTAGACATAATTAGTTACTGCCTCACCCTAAGCTAAAAACGGAATGAAGTCTAACCTGTTGCTGTTGAAGAGCCTTCGACAAGAGTAACTGTGTGTGTTGGACCATTTGGTCGCGTCGATTCCAGAGTAGTAGTGTCCGAAATACCTTGACCTTCAGCGCCAGCCGAGGCTCCGGATTGAGGAGTTGGATGACTACCTCCATATCCGCCAGCTGGAACGCCAGTGAGCGTGGCAGACCCAGAAATAGCGCCTTGACCAGATGCACCAGAGCCTGCAGAAGGGTTTTCTCCATAACCTCCGGGGCCTGTAACGGTGACGGTGCCTTCACCAGACTCACCAGGAGAAGAGAAACCTTGCCCCCCTGGACCGCCATTCGATCCCGCCGATGGCTCTTGAGGAGCAGTCACTGTAATTGTTGGCAGTGAAGCCCCGCCCCCATTGGTACCTCCGGATCCTCCCGAAGGGTTCTCTGCACCAGTTCCAGTTGCCTCAGCACCACCACCGCTAGATTCGCTTGATGGGACTCCGGGTGCGGTCACGGTAATTGTTGGCAGATTCGTGCTTCCCACTCCATTGCCAGCTGTTGCCCCATTGCCAATCGTTTGTCCGGCAGAATTGACAGTCACAGTGACGGCTGTGGGTGAAGAACCGCCGCTTCCATAACCAATAGTTTGTCCGACCGAGTTAACAGTAACAGTAACAGCTGTTGGTGAAGAGCCACTACCGCCATTCCCAATCGTTTGCCCAGCAGGGTTGACAGTGACAGTGACAGCCGTTGGCGAGGAACCGCTACCGCCGTTGCTGCCGCCAGATCCGCTCGATGGAACACCGGGAGCAGTGACAGTGACTGTTGGTAGATTAGTACTCACTCCATTGCTACCCGTTGCACCAGTGCCAATCGTTTGGCCGGCAGAATTGACAGTGATAGTGACAGCCGTTGGGTAAGAACCGCTACCTTCATTACTACCGCTCGATGAAACTCCAGGAGCAGTCACAGTGACTGTTGGCAGATTCGTGCTCCCTCCGTTGCTGACTGTTGCCCCATTGCCGATTGTTTGCCCAGCAGAGTTGACAGTGACTGTGACAGCCGTTGGTGAGGAACCGCTACCGCCATTGCTGCCGCCAGATTCGCCTGATGGAACTCCAGGAGCAGTCACTGTGATTGTTGGCAGATTTGTGGTCCCTCCATTGTCACCAGTTGCACCAGTGCCAATCGTTTGGCCGGCAGAATTGACAGTGACGGTGACAGCTGTTGGATAAGAACTGCTACCTCCGTTGCTTCCGCTCGGTCCATTGTTGGAGCCAGTGACAATGACTGTGCTAGGATGAGAACCTGAAGCAGACTCGCCGCTTGTGCATGGTGATGTGCTAGGACCTTGGGAGCCTCCAGTACCGCTTGCTGATTCGCCTGGTGCCGTCACCGTGATGGTTTGAGGGGCACCTTGACCACCTTGACCACCGGCAGGGTTGCTTGACGATCCTTTGAACGATGTTAGTGATAATTCATCAAGGATTTGGAGGGTGCACTTACCTCCTGAACCTCCCGGTCCTTCGCCACCATTGCTTCCTCCACTGCTTGGCGATTCTCCAGGCGCAGTTAAAGTAATAGTCTCAGGAACACTCTGGCCACCGGGTCCTCCATTTCCGCCTGCAGAGTTACTTGGGGATTCTTCAGGGACAGTAAAGGTGATTGTCTGTGGGATACCAGGAGTAATGTCAGTAGCAGTAATCGTGACAACTTCTGGAGTGTAACTCTCTCCAGAGCCTGGTGACTCTCCCGGTTCTGACAAAGTGATGGTGAGGACCGTGCTGATACCACCTTGACCTCCAGGCCCACCCGCACCATTGCTTGGAGACTCTCCTGGCGCTGTCACGGTGATGGTCTTGGGGATGCCTTGTCCGCCCGGGCCTCCAGAGCCTCCGGAGCCAGTGCCCGTGACTGTAACAACGTAAGGACTCGATGGGCCAGAGCCAGAGCCAGAGCCAGAGCCAGAACCAGAACCAGAACCAGAACCAGAACCAGAACCAGAACCAGAACCAGAACCAGAACCAGAACCAGAACCAGAACCAGAACCAGAACCAGAACCAGAACCAGAACCAGAACCAGTCTCTTCTGAACATGGTGAGGTCTCAGAATTGCTAGGTGATCCATTGGGCACTACTGTCACAGTGGTGGTTAGCGGGCCAGTTTGCTCACCCGAGCCTCCAGGCCCAGGGCCACCAGAGCCGTTAGGACCGCCGGAGCCATTGGGACCACCGGAACCATTGGGGCCGCCAGAACCGCCAGAACCTCCAGAACCTCCAGGGGAGCTACTTGGTGATCCGCTAGGTAGAGTCAATGTGATAGTTTCAGGAATACCCTGGCCTCCAGGGCCTCCAGGACCGCCGGAACCACTGCTGTACTCTGGAGTTGCTGTCCAGATAGTTGTTTCAGAGACCCCCTGACCACCCGGGCCACCTTCGGAACCAGTCCCTTGAGCATTGCCAGTGGATTCACAAGGAATTGTGGTGGCGGGCGTGTGAGAATTTCCTGGGCCATTTGGTCCACCCGGTGAACCTGAACCTTCGGGGCTACCGGCAGATTGAGAGGGCCACACGACAACAATAGTCTCTGAGCTCTCTGGGCCCTCGGGACCTTCGGGACCACCGGCCGAAGAAGATGGAGATACACCAACGGTAGTGAAGGAAATACCCTGTCCATTTGGCCCACCTTGGCCACTGCCACCACCTGATGATCCTCCAGGGGCAGTGAGAGTGATGGTAGTGAATGGGGAGTTTGCTCCGTTGCCTCCACCTGTTAAAGAGGAGTGGCCGAATGGGAAAGGAACAGGATAAACCGTTGTGATACTCGGTTGGCCACCTTGACCACCTTGACCACCGGGACTACCGCCCCCAGATGCTCCAGGAGTAAGTTCAGGTGAGCCTGGACCAGCGGGACTGACAATAGTGTAAGTGACGACACTTGCAGAGCCTGTGTCACCAGATCCAGGGGGTAACGTGATGGTAACAAAATCAGTAGACCAGGGGACAGTGCCAGAATAATCAGTAGAGCAAGGAAGGGTAAGTGTTTTAGATGAAGACCAGCCCCCGTGTGAATTCGATGGACCAAAAGCGTTGGACTCAGAGCTTGAGCCAAAGCCACCAGGACCACCTTGGCCACCTGCTGAAGCAACAGTAGAAATGACAGTAGAGATAACCGTAGAGATGATAGTGGGAACCACAGCTGGGGTGACGGTGATGAAAACGGTGCTAGGCTTAGGGACAGGACAGGTTCCAGCACCATTGCCGCCTCCATTACCACCTCCATTACCTCCATTACCTCCGGTGCCTCCTCCATTGCTGGTTCCCGAACCACCGCCAGTAGTTGAAGGCCTGCCAGAGAAATTTAGTTCTAACAACATGTGAACGATCAAATGGCTCGAAAATGCACTTACTCATTGCCGTAGCCTTGAGCCGTGGTCAATCCCACGAGCCCAAAGGCCCCTAAGGTGCCCAGAAGGGCGGTTCCTCTCATCTTTGGCGTGATATGCAGTCCAGTCTGTGCTAGGTGGGTGGGATCGGTATTAACTAAATGAATGAGGAAATGAGGGAATCAATCAATGAATGGCGGTGGAATAGTAACAGGACGAAGGTGAGAGAGAATCAAGATGGGTGGAAAACGAGAGAGTATGAAAAGGTCATGAGATTGGAAGTTTTGGTCTAAGATGAGAGCGAAAATTTTACCTGAAACATTACTTCTGTCGTGGTTTCCTGACTGATGAAGGGCGCCCTCCCAATCTCGAATATCAAGGAAGGCGCTCGTGGTATGAAGCAGGAAAAGATACTCTTCGTGTTAAAGTGTGCCTAACGTGGCAGTCTCGATGGTCAAATAATGGTATTTGGCCATCGTACTTGTTCAACGGTCCTTCCACCACATTATGTTTTTTAAACTTAGCCCCCGAAGGTAGGTAATTCCCAATACAATACCTATGATGCAAGACCTCCTGAGATAGATGGGAGTCCCAGCCAGCACAAGATAGTACTAACAGTGTATCTCGACCAGCTCAACGTTCCTTTGAGTAAATCCATGGAATAGTTTGCTTATATAGTCCCATGCCAATCGCCTCCGTTCCCCCAGCTATATATATTTATTATTAGAATAACAGGGGGCATAATTCTATACGACTTCTCTCCCATGTGTAGGTATCTATGTGTACCTAGTACTTGGATCGAAGTGAGGCAAGTGCCAGGGTAGATGGCCATCTAAAAGGTAGGAGCCGATAGAAAGTGGATAACCTCCAGAAATGAATCCAGGCCATCTTGGTAAGTGCCTAGCAGAGGTAGGTACTGTACGAGTAGGTGCCTTTATATCCGCCAAAAGGTATGACTTTAAGTTTATGCTTGGGTGGTACGATTATGACGGACAGTAACTTCCTAGGCTGAAGTACGTAGTTGAATGCGCTCTAGGAACACTTTCGTCGGGTAGGAGCCTCCTGACAGACATGATGAGACGAGACTGCACGGAAACCTTTATTCTCGTTTCGAGCACTGGTAAAGTTTGGGTTAGGTAATTAAGGAATTGACTTCATGGGTGTCAAGGAAGGCGGGAATAGGCCACACCTACAGTGGGCCTTTCTGAAATAGCTGGCATTCATGAGTGCGGGCGTGAGTTCCGGGCCCTTCTTGAAAAGATCGGCTTCGGCAACGGCTAGGCAGCATACGTACATGCTTAAAGTAAGCACCACTATATTGTAAGATTCAATGAAGGTGCACTTAATCCCCTTTAGTGATGCATGTGCAGTTCAAGGTTTCAATGTTATTAGTATGCAAGTGCATCATAGTATGTCCCAGCTGGTACTACTTAGACTTGCTTGCATATGTGAAATTGACATTTGGAACGTGGATCTTGTATCACAACATTGAACTATTCCCGATAGGATACATAGTAAATACTACATAATAGGAAGTTGGGCCCCGAACAAAAGGGTCAGGTATAGATCATGGCCGATACGGGAAGAAGGGATAAAAGCCAGAAGTAAAAATGAGAATTCAGGTATAAAGATCCACCGGGGATATTCAATTAGCCCATCTACAACTGTGACTTGATCATACAGGGTTGTCCACATACGGCGGGGGTGGCTCATCAGGATCATACTCTTGCGATTCTTCTGGGATAGAAACAGCAGCCAGAGCACTAGGGGGAGGAGCATGGGCATGGACAGGGGCGGGGACGGGAGTTAGTGGTCTTCTCGCTTGGTGTTCGATGTCAGCTGCCCACAGTGCCGCGCCCGTCGAACACGTCAAGAGGAAGAACAGAGATAGAATGGGCACGAGTTCGAGAAGCATGGCGACGGTGCCAAACCATATGTACTCCCACGATCTGCTCTTGATCTCCCTCTTGCGCTCCTTCTTCGTCAAGCCCCTCAGGTCATACCATCTGTATTGCGAGAATGTACCTAGTCGGCTACCTGTGATGATGATGAAGGCTGGCGTGCCAACGTAGGGGATTAGGTTTAGTGGCAGACATGCGATTAGCTCGATGATTTGGATGAGGCTCCATGGTTGGTAGACGGCGGCGGTGGTTGGCTTGCCAAGTTTCTTGACGGAGTTGGGCGCATCTAAAAAGAGCAGTCGGTGTGGCGAAACGAGGCTTTGGAGGCCTTTATCGATGAGGGTTGCCTAGTTGTACGTTAATATTTGTGGTAGCAATAAGCATTACGAGAAGCAACTTGCATCGAATGCATCCACACGGCATTCGTCGACAAAGAAGCCCTCGAATAAGCCCTGAATAATGACTAGACCTTCGCCTAGGACCAGCACCACTGCATTGACCCATGCGCCCCAACCATGGAAAATGGCCAAAAAGGCATACTGAGGCAGGAATGCGAATGTGAAGAGTATGGCGTATACTAAGAAAGAGATGATGGTGAGAGGAAGTAAGCGGCTGGCGAAGAGAGGATAGTATGCTGGATGACGTAAGAAGTAATAGATGCCTAGCAGAGGATATGAAGCTGCGGTCAACGCTCGTGATATATAAGATACAGGCCGTTGTAACGGCCTGATAGGTCGAGGAAGGTGATTTGAGGAATCCATGGCACCGCCAGGCTGTTGTTGAAGACAAAGCTGGATCGAGAAGATGAGTTGGGTGAGTTGTCGCAGATGTTGTCGCAAGCTGGCTGCACGCACCAAGACAAAGGCAGGAGATGACGCTGTATCTTATCGATAAGCACCTTTGTCTCTTACTATCGATAAGACTTCTCGTCCTACAATTGGATTGACGAGGCAGTGTAAGAAATTAGAATTAATAATTTTAAGACTTCACAACGCAAAATCATTGAATTCATCGTGGTGCAATATTTTCGACTAACTAGACCGCAGGAACTATCAATGATCCATGAGCTTTTTTTTCTGGCTTTTTCTTTTCGGTTAAATAAGCTCTTCTATCCATCTTGCACTACCTCGCAAGACTTGATGGCACACGACCAGTAGATAACACTACTGTTCGGAAATATACATGCCAAAAAAAAGGGGGTAAATTCCATCACCTGGAAGCGAAGCGAACTATCCGCCCTCCTTCCTAAATCGACTGTGGGTTGAAGAAAACATTATTTGGGTCCCATTTTGACTTCTGTACCTTCAGTATTCTTAAAACTCTCGCCCCGTAGTACAAGCGATGGGCGTCTTCTCTCGTCAAGCTCGGATCGGTGTAGTTGGTGTATGCGCCGTACTCGGGAAGGTGTGCTGTCATCGCATTGGATAGACCGTTGATAAAATCGAGACCTTCTGGTGGGAATACTTGGTTCTCACCCACGTACCCGTATAACTGCGAAACCCATAGCGCATCGCGATGTGCAAAGGCAGAAAAGTTCAAATCTTTTTGATTGATCTGGCTGTCGACACCACCGTAGAAGTCCATCAGAATAAAATACGAGACAGGCGCATCCTTTCCCTTGTCCAAGAGGTGTTCGAAAAAGCAGGTCAACCCCTCCTCGGTGAATCCCGGCTCGGGCACTACGACGCTCTTGGCAAAGAAGTTCGAATGTCCCGAGTAATCTTGCTCGACTTCAAGATCTTGATCCTCGTTGAGATGCTTGAGTGCGGTGAGCCAGTCTACCTGCTTGATATCAATGGTAGTTACAACGGAGATGCCCTCCAACAGTGCTGGCATAATTCTGTTTTCGAAGTTATCAAGGCTTCCTAGATAAGTGCCTCCTATCGCGAAGTTGTCTGAAGAAAGAGACACATTAAAGCCTAGATGCCGATCCATGACAGATACATTGTGGGCGAAATTCTCAATATGTTGGAACGCAGTGACAGCACTCTCCACGCTATTAGTTACTTTGCTCATCTTGATATCCCAGTATATGACAGAAGGTGGAGCTGGCTGCGTCTGCAAATAAAAGGTCGTGATGATTCCAAAGGAGTCAGCCGCACCTCGCATCGCCTTAATCGAAGTTAGATGGTCAGTAAAGGTGTCCTATTTATAAGACTTATCAAACGATAATCTGAGGCAGATGCTTACATAGTAGAGGTCGGGATTCTGATATGCGTTAGCGGGAAGGTGGCTTCCATCTGCTGTTACTACGTCCAGGCCTACAATCTGGTCCATCGCGAGGCCCCAGGCACGAGAGAAAAACCCATAGCCGCCATGGGTAAAGTGTCCGCCGATTCCAACTGCGGCGCAGGTGCCATGAGATAGGGCGCGTTTGTCCTGGTCGTAAATAGCTCGAGCCAAGTTACCTAACCGTACGCCGGGTTGTACTGTGACCACGCCATCGCATTTGTCATCGCATCGAATGAACTGCAGCTTCCTCAAGTCTACGATCATGGCACCATCCATTCCACCGTTGCTGTAAGAAGCATAGGAGTGGCCACCGGACCTGGCTTGGACCTTGAATCCTTGCTGGTTTGCGCAGCGAACTGCGTCGCAGATATGCTCTACGGTGGTAGGGAGAACGACAACGACAGGAGCCACTGGGAGACGGGTATTGAATGTGGTTGAGTAGGTAGCCCAGTCAGGATCTGAAGGCTTCTTGAAAGGTACGCTTGACTTTGCCAGTTGCTCCATGAGGGCATCTGGACTGACAAAGGGCATCATTGCGAGTAAAGACATAGTTTGACACAAGTATGAGGAAGAGAAAGGGATTGGATACTATCTGCCCAGGTAGATATCTGGGTAGGTATTGGGACAGTTAAAATGAAAAACAAGTTTCTCTTGGGGGTATCAATTATTGTCCTGGTTGCCTTCCTGTTCTGATTGTGTATGGATCTAAAGTTTAGTACCTAGGCTTGTGTGAGGAAAGTCATATGGAGTAGAATACCTAGTAAGCTGTGGGGTAAGGAATAAAGCAAGTTGCCGTTTATCGTGCTTTCTGATTAATATAATTGAGAGGGTATTTGTCAAATGAACAGGACAGTAGCAAACTGTTTTTCACTCCAGTCCTTGTAGACGGTATGGTCACGGAAAGGGTTGTGGTTGTGGGGATTCTTCGACCAAACCACCTCATTTTTGCTCGCCGTGTCATCCATCACAACTGCTAGCAATTATGAAGAGAAAAAAAAAACCCCCTGTTCACGTTCCAGTCATGCGATACGTATTTGGAAGAGATCTTGACATATGACTAACCTACATACTCAGGTATATTAGGTGGATTTCATGGAAAGAGCGCCCTTAGACAAACACTGGCAAGATCCTACCTACCTAGGTAGGTACCTAACCTAAGTGCTTAATAGGTTAGTAAGCAGGCACTGACAATTGGCCCCTATTCCACAATTCGCGCTTCCCTGTAAGAAATAGGGGCTTGCTTAGGTAACACCAAGCTCCTATTTCCATTGCACCCTTTACACAAATTTGCGACTGAGTTATAAGAACTTGAAGATTTGTGCATTAACTCACTCCCCCCATCACCCTTTATCGTCGCATCTTTATTTTTTGGCCAAAGTGCTTAGGCGCTGGGGAACACCTACTTACCAAGGACTTCTTATTGCATCGGAAGTAAGGATTTGACGATGGACCCGATTCTGAAGGGAACGATGTCTAGGCCGATGAGAATGATTTTATACTATAGGAAATCCAATTGAAATCCATCATCTTTCATTGTTCCTTCGTGTTCCCATTCAAAGCACCCAGATATGATCATACATCTCTTCTAGGTTGATCCAACAATCCTCCAGATACGCCGGCTATCTCCTAAGATTTGAACAACTAAAGCTAGAACTTACATGAGGCTATTATACAGTTTACCAACAGTGTTTGAGAGGTTTCTATAAGCCCATAGAAAACTGTAGCGTCGAATCAAAAACCTTATCAATGCTATGAAGATCACTAACTTGGGCAGCTACACCAGATGATCTCCTCTACTTTCCGTAGAGCTTTTGGGTATCAAAACGGCAGGTATTTCTGTGGTGCCGTCCTTTCTAGGGTCGGACTGGCCTGCTGTGACAGTGCTCATTTTGGACTGCTGATACCTGTGACTGATAAAAAGGACTAGGAAAGTCAGGGCCGCGGAAATGACGGGAAGTATCCACCAATCTCTCCAGACTGTAGCACGACCTATGGTGTATGACTCGATATTGAAAGCATTGCTCCCAGAGATTGTCTGCGGTTGTCACGATGTCAACACCAAGATCTGGTGAGTATGCCTATGAGGTGGGAGCAGAGAAGAGGGGAGGTGCTAGGACTCACAGCTACTAATCCTAGGGGCTGGAAAACAAGCAGGATGTAGGATATGATCATAACTGCGATGCTATCGGCGAGAGTGTAGGAGGCAATCTTCAAACTGTTATTGGCAGTCTCGAGACCGAGTTTGGTGCCGTTTTGGGCCACGCTGGAGCGAAGCTAGATACGTAGGCTTGGGTCAGTTCAAAATAGTTGGGCTTAAAACATGCGCCTCAAAGACTTTGGACATATACTCACAGTCTCAATACACTGATCTGCTTGTTCAACCAGCGACTGTCGTCTGTCCTGCCGCAACCGCGCAGCTTCCTCTAGAGCATGGATTCCTTGGCGAAACATCTCCGACGACATCTTTGGAAACTTGGGTCTGTTGTATTCGAGTCGTGCATTCTGGTAACTGTACATGAAATTCCCGATGCGTTCCAGGGCTGACCGTTCGAACTTCATGTCGTAATCAAAGTGTATCAACCTTTGCTTCAACATGCCCAATCCGTGAATCGTGTCAAATACTTTGGTGCCACCATCGTCGTGTATATTGTTCGGGCTGATACAGAAAGAATGCATACTTTGCAATATGTTCTGGCCCTTTTGCTCGCGCTCTGCCCAATAGCGTTCATTGATACTGTCGTATTGCGTGCAAAATATATCCAGTATGTGAAGGGGGAAGAACATTATTGAGTCGCGGTTGCTCTCTATCGCCTGAGCGATGCGCAGTCTCGTATCAGGGGCCGCAATAATGATGCATGTCGCCAAGTTTGCTTGGATCGATATTCGGAACAGTAAGGAGAGCGATTTGTGAAAGCGCTTGCTCATGAACCGGAGGTCTAAAGGTGGCGGAGTGTGTACAGATACGTCTTGAACAGGTATTAGTCACATACATTTGGCCAGAGCCCTGGCAATGCTTACGGAACGCGGATCGAGTTCCATCTTCAGACCACTCAATGGGAGGTTTGAGACATTGACCATTTTTATGGAACAGGGCTCTCTCAGAGGGCATTGGTATCTTGAATGCCTCGAGAAGTAGACTGAAGTTATCCCGGGTGATACTTATCCTTGTGTCGTCCACAGATTCAAGCAACCTGTAAGTTCATCTTCATCAGTATTGATCCGTAAGCTGTTAGTGGAATTTAGCGTACACTATGTTGACTCGAAATCGATTTCCTTCCTCATGCTCGGCTCGCATCTGTCTAACTTTAGTAAAGTACATCGTGACGGGAACATTCCATCTTACCTCTTGATCTAGATTGGCGAAATGTGCGGCATCCATTCTCCTCAACCGCCCATCCCGAGTGAACCAAAGAGCATTGGTGGTGTAGTCAAAGAAATCATCAGGCAGGCCTGGATCCATGATAAAAGTAACTCTTGGTAGAATTTCTAGTCGATACCGGCGGGAATACTGGGAGGGGCTCTCAAATATTTAATTTTCGAGTACCTAGGCAATGCTTATATCTAGGCAGTTGGGGTATGGGTATAATCGGAACAGTCGCGAGAATATCATGCGATGCTGAAGGGTCGACTTATGTGTAGTTGTAAGTTGCTTAAAAATCTCAGGGGGAGCGACTACATAGTATACTGGGAGAATTTAGAGCATCGGCCCGCCACACTCGAAGTACATAGTGTGAGCCTTCCCAGGTATGTAATATTTGGTTTGATAGCATACATTTTGAAGAGCTAACTGAAGGCATTGTATGTGAGAGCCTCTTCGGTAACCTCTTTGGGATTGTTGTTTAGGCACCTTGATAAAGTTAGGAGGCTATACCTCTACACAAAGAGTTATTTGTCCAATAAGGGTAGACACGTAGAATACATGTCTGTGCAAGTCCCTAGATAGTTATCCAGGTACTTATGTAACGAACATGACGTGTCACATCGTCGATGCTGCAATAGTGAGCCAGGGTTACATTTAAGTAACGATCTTCGATGCTTGAGTTAACTATGTCGATTCTATTCGCTGGAATCCAATATGCAATTTTTCTTACGCTTTTCTAACATGTACTGCATACCTAAGTGTAGGCGGCTGCTGAGTTGTAATCCCGTTTATAACCATACGAAATATGTTGGTCCCTGACTCCCTGCCTTGGGGGGCTGTATGATCTCTATTTCTCGCCGCAGGTAAGTGAGGCATATTTACCTAGTAGGCAACAACGAAGCATTCGTTTCGATGATGGTGGCTTGGATTCAGTTTTGCTCTCTCAACTCTCTTAGATCGAGTCCGTCGGCGACCTTCTAGAACCAGGCCAGACTCGGAATGGCGAGCAGCCGTTGTTACTCGCATACTCCGATGCAGAAAAGGCAAACGTTTCTCAAACCCCCTTTGCATGTTGGGATGATACCTTTGAGCTATTTGATCCAATGATATTTGCACTTCTGTGTCTTTGGCGTGTGTGAAATATTGGGAAGCTGATGCTGGTGATTGAAAAGATATTACTTAGTCCCTTGACCTGGCTCAATCCACATACAATATATTGTTATATTATTAAGATAGTGCTTACTTTATGTGAAGAGAAGTGAATAATGAGTACCTCTTTTAAATTATAGGGCTGCCAGATACCGGAGATACTCCCCTTTTCTCTTCAAGTGGATATCTACTGGGCAAGCCAAGTGATGTGAATTGCAACTTAGGCACGTAACCACAGTCGACCCGCCCCTGGGCGAGATCGCCATAGCTTGTACCCCAGGTTTCGCCGCTGAACTGCTTATGCTATGTTGCTAGCTTGGGCTCTGAATCTACAAAGATCTCGGCGTTATCGACCACTTCACCCAGCCCCTCACCCAGAAAGTCATCAAAGCTGGGGGCCCTAATTTGGGGCTCGGGTTGATGTTCAGTCTGGCTAGGACTTGAGCCCGTATCTCTCCAGCTCGGGATCCTTACTTCATACAGATATCTTCCCGCGTTACGAAGCTAAAGGGCTATGTAGCAGACTCTAGCCTGACTATAAGGGTTGCTTCGTTCGAAAGCCTAGAATATAATACTGTGATCAAATGGCGGCTCAATGCTGACGCCAAGATATTTAGGCGCCCGGGCGCCAATGGAAAGCATGTAGTCTCAAGGTTGTCGTCGTCAACATCCTCGCCACGGAACAGGAAGCGCTTGGACTTGCCCACGTCAACGGGTTAAAGTATCAACATGTTATTTACATAGGTAGATACCTATTCTTTGACTCTTTCATCTTAAAGCTGCCAGGTTTCCCGGCGAGCTTCTTGAGTCTGTACGTCGTGTTGTTGTAGCTAGTTGAGCATAAGCATAACACATCTGCCAAGGTTAGGTAGGTACCTACGCAACAATGCAACATCCCACAGAATGATTTGCGAAGTCACAGGCACATAATTGATTACCTAATTACTAGATATTCAGCTTTATTCAGCCCTCGCCAACTACTTCCCTTCGCCTCCAAATGTCGGCAATAACTGTCATATACAGAAGGGATTCCTCGGCAAGCACAGTCAATTTACACACTTACACAGTCAGATTACACGAACCGAGGTCAGGGGTCAATAAATAAGACGACGGTATATTCTAAAAGAAGCAATCGAACCAGACGAATGACAAGATAGGTACCTAGTACTAGGTATGCTTGATCAACTACCGAGATAGGTACTCTGATCACAGTATCTTACATCCCATGCCTACCTAGACCTATAGCCTCATTCCTACGTATTACATGCTGCATGACCGTTGGCCCCAAGCCAACGGCAAGCGTATTACCAACAATCGTCTCATTATTAGGTAAACATATATTTAATCGCGATTCGTCGTCTTCCCAACACCCAGGAATAAATATATTACACCTAACCTCCACGGAATCGATATCCTAACAACCTGTCCTTTACCATGCTCGCCCGACGTTGTAAAGGCCCCTGTAGCAACGTAGATTCCCTTGCCGTTCATCGCCACAGAGTCGCCTGATGCCTGAGAGCGGTGGTATCACCTCTACCAAATCAATTGAAAAGACATTGTTCTAGTGGTAGCGACATATGCAACTGGGCTCTTACCGACTGACCGCGAAATATTGAAATCACCAGGGACATTACCTACACTGGGCGTCCCCGAGGAGTGGGCGATGATTTCCGCATCTCCCACCTGGCTGCCATCGAGCCCAATGGGTACATGACCGGAATATCCCTTCGCGGAGTTCGCAAAGTACCTACCTACCTAGTACCTATACCTAAGTGCGAGCCGAATATCCTTAGCCCATCCACACCCAACAGAACGGTTTCCATTCGGGTCAAGAAGCGAATCCAAAACCGCCACATTTACGGCGCCAGTGATAGTGTCGATGCGATAGATGTAGCCCCTGATTGAATTGGCTTTCAAGAATACGCGAGGTCGTGAGGGAAGCGCTACTATGAGACACCGAGCATTTCGGCGTCAGCCACCTCCGCGGCTGTCTTCACGACGGCGGGGTCCCCACGGCTTTGGGGTCCAAAAATAATGGATGGCCGTTTTCGAACGTGCCACGACATCCTTGTTACACAGGGATCTATACTAGGTACCTAGGTAGGTAGATAACATTTCCGCGGAGATGATGGGAGCTACATATACATCTAAGAAATATCTAGCCCCCTATGTAGGCCCCAGCTAGACTATTGGCACATACCTAGTTATGGTCAAGGCCTAAATGGTAGGCCAGGTAAGGCTTGAAGCATTAATACGAGAGAGAGGTGTTGATCTTCGTAGGAAGAGGAAGGGTAAGGCGAGCGACAAGGCGTGCCTCACCGTCAAGCCTTAAGGAAGGCAAAAGACCACTAGAGCGCCTAAAAACCTACAGTTCCCATCACCATACTAAACGCAGAAAGAAAAGAAAACAAAGAAAAGGAGGCAAAAAAGATAAAAAAAGAAAAGAAAAACGTACAACACCGGGGATTCGCTGGTCGTCACCGACCCAACTACTGATCCGGCGGTACTCGGCTTATCTATGGGAGAGCGGACGGGATCCCGAGTTTTCCGAGTCCTATGGCCGTACGTGGCAGTTTGTACTGTTATTGAAGTATATGTCCTATCCACCCAGGGGTTAGTGGTAGGAAAGTAGAGAGATGGCACTAAAAGCCATTACATGCAAATATTTATTGATAAGGAGGAGAGAGCAGACCCGCGACACTAGGTATTGTCAAAACATATTGCTACGCCAAAAAAGTGAAATGATTGATCTCTCATTAAATATCTCAAGTTTATATTAGCTACTTGATAGATATTCACCGTAATCGAAAATAGTTGGATTAGGGGGGGTCCCCTTTATAGCTTCTTGTAAAGCTTAGCATCCATCCCTAGCCGTGCTATCATAACAAATATCATTGACGCCAGTGCCATTCCACCAGAATAAAAGATGGCAGCCCGGTACGGAACAATGGACCGGGAGTCCTCGGCGCCCGTCGCCGCGATCAAGAACCCGGCAATGGGGCTACCCATGAGGTATCCCCCGGTCCAACCCGTAATCGCCATGCCCAAACCCACGGCAGCCTGGTCGGGACCGAGCATCTTGCCAATGGCTGTAGGCAGCGTGACGAAGAATGCGCCGTTGGAAATACCATTCACGACCGAGAAGACGACAAGTGGGGCGAGAGTATCTGAGACGGGCCAGATGGCGAGCATGCTAGCAGTGTTGAGCGCCATGGCCAGCAGCAGCATATTCACTGGGCCAAGCTTGTCACACGCGACGCCTGAGCCCAACCGGCCGATGGCGGCGCACGAGTTGAAAGCCGCCAGGATAAGTGCGCCGGTGGTCGCCGACAGCCCAATCGAGTTGGCGAGGAGCGGCAGGAAGAAAGGAGGGACGAAGAGCGCGAACGTCCCTATAGCCCCAGCCAGGAACAAAAGGCAGAACGGCATGCTCCTAAACAAGGAGAAGTCCATCGCAGGCGCGTTCCTGGACGGGATACCCCGCTCTTTGATCAGCAAGGCAGCTGGCACGCCGGTGACCAGCGACATGCCGCCCATGATCCGGAACGTCCACGCGATGCCCACCTTGTCGACGAGTAGCTGCAGCACGACCGACATCACCGTGGCACCTAGGCCGCCGCCGAGTTTCACGATGCCGTTGGCGGTGCCCAGGCGGCGCGCGAACCACTGCATCGGTAGGTTATTGGACATCGTGTACATCAAGCTGGACCCGAAGCCGTAGGAGACGCCGGCCGCGACGAACAACCCGCCCACGTTGTCTACGGTGGAGCCGCTCAGCACGTTGCCGATGCCGAAGAGCAGGACACCAAGCAACATACTCCATCGGGCGCCAATGCGTTGCGATATCCGCACGCAGATAAGGCCCAGCCCTACACAGAGGCCGAGGCCAAGTGACCCGATGAAGGAGAGGGTGCTGGCGGGCGTTTGGTGGAGCGTGTCTTGAAGAGCCATTTGCAGCACGCCCCACGCCCCGCTCCAGCCGTTGACCCAGAATGTTTCGACGAAACAGGCCAGGATAACCGTCCACCCATAACCACCTTCGGGAAATGCTTCCACGGCTTCTTCAGGGGGTTGTGTGATGACGGTGATGTCTTCCTCGGTGGCATTTCTTGCGTCAGGCTCTAAGACGTTACCGGTCACCCGAGTCTCTAGGATTTCTAGTGAAGATGCCATCTCGTATGGGCAAACTTTGCCAGGTCAGGTGGTCTGCTTAAGATGGGGTAGACACTCGAGAGAGAGACATAAGACTCGACACAATATAAGATATAATTTGATTGAACAAAAATCACTCAGTGGATCCCCTCAACGCTAGGCCCGCCAGGGTTTAATTCCTTAGACATGTCTATAATTTGGACGCCTCCTACCTACTCGTATAGATTCGTCTACCTACCTAGGTACATACCGTAGGTTAGGTAGGTAAGTAAGGGAACCCAGGCAGTGAAGCTCAACTGGCCAGCACATTTTCTAGATATATTCATATGGATCGTCGGTCAGTTTCGACGATCAAGCCACATAGTTCGCCAGCGTAAGCCGTGGTGTTACATGTCCGATATCTCCAACCTAGATTGGTTTCCATGATGAGAAAACCGGGGCTAAACGGCAATGAGCCATCACGAAGCTTCAAAGATTAGTTATCATATGTTGCAAGTGGAGTAGTTTTTGTGCGATGAAAGCACAGCGTTAACCACACCAACTTACATCTCGTGATCGCGTATGGTACGGAGAGTCATCACGGGTTGATGTTGATATCCTGACAGCTCCGAGGTAATCAGATAGCTGAAGATGGTTCTTGTAGATATAAAAAGGTGAGCTCGGCCGTATGAGTTGTAGATTATACACCCATAGAATCGCGATCAGCATTTCTCCATTCTTGAGACTCAAATCAGATACTACCTACGACGAGCTTGTCTCACATATCAGCCAGAATGTCTCTGCCAGTTCTTGACTTCTCTACATTCTACCACGGCACGGCCACTGAGCGATCTCAGCTTTCTAAGCACCTCACAGAGGAGCTTCGTAAGCATGGCGCCGCTCGTTTGATCAATCTTGGAATTAGGACCGAAATGATCACCGAGTGTTATGCTTGGGTAAATATGCCTTCGGTGTTGCTCACTAGGTTCAAATGCTGGGCCAAGTCTAGTGCGATTTTAACTAATGCGTTCCGACGTCAACCTAGAGCGAACGGTTCTTTAAGCTTCCAGACGCTGAAAAGAACGCCATTCCCAATGAGAGAAACGCAGACCCCCAGAGCGGATGGAGTTTTGTTGGCTCCGAGAAAACATCCAAGCTCAACAAAGTGGACAAAAGCGGCAAGTATCAAATTGCCGTTGACGAATCGGTACCACAGGACCTGGAAGATGAAAAGGTTCGTGCGCCTAGCGGTTAGCCCACTCATAGTACATTAGTCAACCAGTTGTTGTTGTGTTCGGTATTATTCGTAAGTCCCACCATAAGCTAAATACATGATACAACCCCTATAGGAGCACTTCGACTTTGCCCGTGGCGACGACCCCGAATACCCGAGCAAGTGGCCTACGGAGGCTAGCATCCCAGGCTTCCGCAACTTCATGGAAGCCTTCCTGGATGCCTGCCAGGACACCGGCCGTGCTATCCTGGGCAGCCTCGAAGAAGGCCTAGATCTGCCGCCTGGGAATCTGACCAGCCACTGCGCCACACGCGTCGATGAAGTGCGCCTGAACCACTACTCGCCACTGCCCGTGGGCAAACTCGGCGATGGCAAACACCAGCGCGCGTGGCCGCACACTGACTTCGGCCTGATCACGCTGCTGTTCCAGGACGAAGCGGGTGGGCTCGGGGTCGAGAACCGCGAGAAGCCTGGGACGTTTATTCCGATCACCCGTGAGTCTCCGACGGAGATCGCGGTGCTTGTCAGTGATTCCTTGGAGCACTTGACGAACAGCTACTTGGGCGCGGGGATCCACCAGGTTGCGACGCCCGTGTTTATGGAGGATGTCAAGGCCGGGCTACTGCCGGAGCGCTTCTCCATCGCGTGCTTTGTGAAGGCGGATAGGCATGTTAGTGTTGGCCCGTTGGACAAGTACATCACAGATCACAGCGGAGAACCCTCGGCTCTATGGTGATCTGACGGCTTTGGAGCTGCACAGGAAGCGTGTTGCGCAACTGTACGGAGCTACTGCGTAAACGAGCTGGCTAGGATGTCTTACACTATGTGGTACATGCTATATATCGATGGATGATGTCTTATGATACTACATAAGGTAGTGTGCAAAAAGTGGTTTGGGGTAATGGTCCCTCGTTTAATTTGTCAGAACAGAGTCATGTGACTTATCAATGATCACGTAGACGACACACTCACGTGATACCCCTCACGAGGACATGGCCCACCAAGGTCATCAATATGGACCCCAACGGTCCTAAGTACGACGATGGCACACTTTCCGTCCCCGTCCGAAATTTTCTGCTCTCCGTCTTTCCAAATGACTGCGTAGGCTCTATAAAGGAGATGCACTGAACTTTGAAGCGTGGCGGGGAATCTGTGGTTAACTCGTAGGCTTCCGTGCCTAATACACCTCCTCGCGAAGCCCTTCAAATTTATCGCTAAAATTGACGTTGCGACTAAGTGAAGCTCTGCAAAATTGAATGAAATATGAGCTGCTGACGTTGTATGGAGCCTTGGAAATGTATAGTAACTGGGGTAGGACTTTACTCGCTGCCGAATGAAAATATCGATTGCTTGTTCTCGGTGGTCTTGTTATTATCTCCTACCTAATACATAGAAAGATAAAGGTCTCGCCGGTGAATGCGAGTTCTAAAGCATGAGGGCATGATGCTCACGTGAGAAGTAAGTATTATTGTCTCAATAGATAGTAACAATTAAGGAGTTACCAAGAAAGAAAGTACCATATTGAACTACTACCCTTGCCTTCATCAAGGTCGACAAAAGCCATCCTTCTGCGCTAATAGTACTACTAGGTACCTAGGTACACATCAAATACCGTATGAGACCTAGCATCCGACGAACTCTTACACTCAAATACCAATTCCGTTATTTTCCTCAGTGCCATAACCCTTCTTCCCCCAGTGTCTGACCATCCGCTCACTATCCAGGCGATGCTCGGTGCTCAGCTTCCGATTCATATCCGCGTGCCTGATGAACACCAGGCATATGAAAAGGGTAACAACCGAGATGGCCAGCCACGTGGCGACCAGCACCTGGAAACCAAACTTATACGCATCGTAGATGGCATCGCGCTCGTGCCCGGGGGGCATGCTATGCAGCGTCGGGATGAACGCCTCCGCGTAATCCGCAATTCCCGTCGGCAGCCCTTCCCACCTGAGCTTGAGCTTCATGACGTTCTGGAAGGTGGTGGCGCCGATGCCGACGCCGAGGGCCATGCCGAGCTGGCGGACGAAGATGTACATGGCGGCGGCGGCGCCCTCGTCGCCGGTGTCGCACATGGCCTGGGTGGCGAAGTTCTGCGCGTTGAGGATGGCGCCGTGGCCGAGCCCGCCGACGAGGAAGGCGATCACCCACACGGGCGCGCTGTCGTTGACCCGCCACGAGCAGTACATCGCGCACGCGACGCACGACAGCAGCCACCCGATCCATATGGCCCAGCGGAAGTTGTTGAAGCGCGTCACGAGGCGCCCGGTTACGATGCCGGAGATGGAGAAGGCGACGAGGTTGGGGAGTAGGACCACTATTGCGTTTAGGGTGTATTAGTATTCGTTTCATTTGCTAGGTAGTCCGCGCAAAAGGGGTGGAGGTTACACGTACACCCTGAGTTGATTGGACTAAATCCCTTTACGGCTGAGAAATAGAATGGGCAGCTAAAGCGAGATTAGTGACCGTCAATCGTGGTCTGCAGTTTGAATTCACTCACTAGTATAGTGTTCCGTACAGCTACAAGAGAAGGGTGTTAGTCCCATTTCTAACAGAATTGGAGGAGACGAGGTACACACCATGAGGCCCTGGAAGCAAGCAGCAATGTATGTGACGATAGAGCTGACATCCCGAAATAGGGCTCTCCGTAGAAACGGGTGCGGTGCAAAGTTGACTTCATAAAGCACGGTGATGATGATGCCGAGGGTGCCAACAACCAATGGAGCTACGGTGGCAGCGCTACCCCAGGGATGCTTATTTGATGTTAGCGTTTACGTTGGAGATGAGAATAGGGGTTAGCTGAACTCATTGACATACCTGAGTGCCGCCCCACGAAATAGCAATAAGGAAGGCCGTCGCAGAGCCAGCGAAGAAAAGTCCCCCCACCCAGTCAATCCTGCTGATCTTCTCCTGGGCGGTAGCCTTTCTAGGCCGCAATGTGAGGAGATACGGGATGGCGACTAGACCAAATGCACAGATGGGGAACATGAGATAGAAGATCCAGCGCCATGTCGTCCTCTGGGCAATCGCGCCGCCGATGATGGGTCCGATCGTGAGGCCAATAGCCCAGGCTCCGAGTCTAGTAGGCTTTGAGTTAGCCATGAAATGGACAGTATCGAGGTGTTTAAGCATAAGTAGGTATATATCATGACACTACTCACGTAACGCCGTACCACTTCGGTCGGAACCTCAATGGGACTAAGTCGGTCTGTATAACCAGACTGAGGGAATGGATGCCTCCTCCGCCAAGACCTTGGATACAGCGACCGACGAGCATGACGGTCATGTTTTTGGCCGTACAGCATAGTATAGTCCCCACGGTGAAAGCAACGAGGGAACAGGTGAGACAGATGGGCCGACCGATAACATCACTGACGGAACAGATGATTGGCATAGAAACTGCGTTCACGAGGAGGTATGATGTACCAATCCAGAAGGCTTCGGTGGTCGTACCGCCAATATCGTCGACAATTGCCTATGAAAGTTTAGTGAAATGTCGTTGATGGAGTAGAGGATTCTTGATCTGCCTTACTGCCAACGACGTAACTATGATAGTCGCGTCTAGAGATACGATGAGGTTGATGATTGCGAGAGTGTAGATGACGGCCTTCTCATGCTTCGAAGGCTGCCATTCCGTCTCCGCCACATCTGTCGCTTTATTTGCCAGAGTGTCTGAAATCGTCTTGTCCGAGTTTTCATGGTCCATGTTGCTGTTTGTCTTGTTCGCTACGTTAACATTTGTGCCTGAACTATTCATATTGGCCTGCACGATGAATTTGAGGAAGAGACAAAGGTTAAAGTATTGAACATCAATTTGGAGATTCAGAGGGCTATAATGATCACCTCATAAGGGACTTATATTCAGATGGGAGAAAACGACAAATCACCTCGACCAACACGCCAGGAAATTATTCGTTTGCTGTCATGTCGGCTGAGCGGTTGTACATACATACACAACAGCGGCAAAAGGGGATACCAGCATTCAGCCCCCAATACTTGGCCATTGGGGGCAGTTGCATATGTAAAATAGACGTAAGGGGGGAGGTAGTATGATTGGACATCCATGAATAACCTACATATGCACCCTACCCTACCCCCATGAGAGAGAGGGGAGGGGGGTGTATTTAAACGCCAATGCTACCTCAAAGTGAATATGTATGTTGACTGCTTGGCGTTGAAAGACAATCGGATAACATAAGTAGTCTCTTCTTCTCGGCCTTTGTATTACCCAGCACATTGCTCCCAGCTTGAGGAATTCCTTCTGCGGCTCATGGCCATGTTTCCAATTATGATTCCAATACTGCAAGTGGCATTATATGCAATATGCATATTGGTGGCTTATGTTCGTATTTTTCCTATCTCAGGTTGTTATGATATACCCTTACTAACCGACCCAAGGGAGCTACCGTTTTCACCTATTATACTTTCTTGCATCCCCTGAAGAACTATCCAGGGCCCCTTTTGGCCAGAGTGACAGATGCCTATGCGGGATACCACGCCATCATGATGCAGCTGCACTTAGTCGCATGGGAAGATCATCAGAAATACGGTATGCTTAGCCGGATTCTGCTAACCAATATCTGACAGCTAAGAGGTCCATAGGTCGAATTATAAGACATGGTCCTAACAAACTCGTCTTCAATTCCGCTGAGGCTCTCAAGGGTAAGCCCTAGGTTGCCTGCATGATTCCAACCTAGATCACCTGGCACCTTTACCTATCTACTGTTTGAAATTCTGCTGTATCTATTTGTGTTATGGACGGAGATTACTGACTTCCCAAGACATTTATCTGAACGAAAGAGTCCCGAAATCTCACGTATATTTGACGACCCTCCACGCAACAACGGGGGAGAATATATTTTGTACAATCGACAAGCGTACTCACCGCTCGCGACAACGCTTGATTGGCACTGTATTTAACGATCGCTTCCTGCAGCAGTTTGAGCCCACTATAGTAAAGGAGATCAACGTACTGCTGGGGCTGATACTTGCGTCATGTCAAGCCTTTGACGCGCAGCCCTTGGATATGACCAAGAGATTTCAATACCTAACGCTGGACATCATCGGACAGCTCGCGTTCGGATACTCAAATCATGTTCAGATTAGACCGATAAACCGGTTCTTACTTAAAGGCATGAAGGCGGTTAACTATCATATTAACGTCCTCATGCAGTTTCCAGCCCTAGCACAGTCTGGGCTTGTCTCCCTGATGAATATATTCACGGCCCGTCAGCAACAGAAGAATTTAGATTCTTTACGGAAAATCATCAAGAAGCGGACTGATCAAGGTATCGAGGCAAAGCAAGATCTATATCATGTTGTCACCAAGCAGGCGGGAATTTATGATGATAAAAACATTGAAATGAGCGAGTTGTGGTCCGAGGCGGCATTTTTCTATGTTGCAGGTTAGTTTTGTTTTCATCATGGTGCGTTGCTTTCATATTTGCTAAGAATGCCAACAACCGAATGATAGGAGCCGAGACAAGCTCAACAACGATGAGTGCGCTGCTTTTCTACCTATCTCGAAATCAGCATTGCTATCAACGGCTGGCTTCGGAGATACGCTCCACATTTATGGATGGGGGGGACATTCGAAAGGGTGCAAAACTTGTTGGCTGCAAGTACCTTCGTGCTTGTATTGATGAGGCCCTACGCTTGTCACCTCCAGTACCTGGAATATTATGGAGGGAATTTTCGGGTGACGAGATCAAAAAGAACGGCCCCTTGGTCATTGATGGACATGTGATAAGCCCGGGAACGCAAGTTGGTGTCTGCACTTACGCCGTCCATCACAACGAGGAGTACTTCCCGGAGCCTTTCATGTTCAAGCCAGAGCGGTGGCTGGCGGATGAAATAACACCGAGCCGACCTTTGCAAGCCTTCGCACCATTTTCGATTGGGTGTCGGTCTTGTCCAGGAAAAACCATGGCGTATTTAGAAATCAGTCTCACAGTAGCCAAGATACTGTGGTATTTTGACTTTGAGAATTGTTCGAGCAGTCTCGGCAGTCTCGAAGGAGGTAACCCGGGCAGATCAGGTCGAAGGGGGAGGGCAGAGGAGTTTCAGCTGTACGACATCTTTGCAACAACCCACACCGGCCCTATCTTGTCATTCCGGCCCCGAGGTGAGTTTTGGAAGGAATTGGCAACGGTGTAAGATTAGTAGCATATGCATACATGTATATACATACATACGATTAGTATGCATATCTAATGCGTCACGCATGACACCACGCAATACCTACGTACATATATCGTAGCCAAAAGGATGGTAAAAGTACGAGGTAGGTAGGTATCGCATTATTCTTAGCGATATACCTATGTATAGCAATACACCATTGATTATGTACACATCGCTTAAAGAACTTGTATACTAGGTACGTAGTACTCTTCAGAGATCACCAAAATTTGAACTACGTACACTACATATATAAGTATCTACATAGGCCTACATACAAGTAAGTGCCGATAAGTGGGTAGCTCGCAAATTATATCCTCACTGGAGATATTCCATTTTGCTGCCCAAATTATTGATTTCGGGCTACACAAGGAATTAAACAGCAACGATCTCGATACTTGGCTCATCCTTTAGAATGTGCGACATCGAATCACCAACAGTGTGTCATCGCGGCATATGGGGCTGAAATTTACTAGGTTAGTAATGTTTGTTGGTGCAATGTACGATCCCGTCCGATATGTATACACCCCCCGAGGCATATCGCTCCGCCAATCAAATATCCATGGATGTATAATATACCCACTAACCTAGTTAACTACATGTAGTTATGCCCCACATGGCTTCCCGAGTGGCCGGAACCTCATGGGTCAAGTTGAAAGATAATTGGAGGATGAAAATGACTATTTTGCGGCTCTGCTGTGCGCCAATTACATCTAAGTACCCTAACCCTAGTAAATAAGACTGCACATCAATGATACCTAGGTACACAGTCTGCTTTTCATCTGGGGGGGGGGAGCACAAATACTACCGTAAATTCAATATAACGCCCTCGGCTTTATTGCGAAAAGTGATAACTCATTCACGCAGCCTACTTAGAACAGCATAACTATCTGGTTACCACATTCATATATACCTAGGTAGGCGGGCTATGTGATATTACGTGTCTGTCACTTCACGACGTGAAGTGACAACCAACGTGAACTTCACGTTGGTTGGGTCAGAATAAATCGTTGGTTGCAATCGCCTGATCCTGCATTTATCTCTGCCTATCATACAGTTCCAACAGTTAACGGGGGAAAAAAAAGAAAAGGAAACAGAGCCGGCCAATAAGCGCGCATTGTCTTCAAGGCGCCATGGCAGTACAACTTATGTAGCCCTATACGAGATGGATATTTGAATTATAACTTGTACATATGGAAAACACCCAACATTACCCGCGATTTGCTTTCCCTCTTCGAATCCTCCTACCAGTGCTCCAGGGGTAATCAAGGCCTACGTCTTCCTCTACATGATCCATAGCAATTGTAATCTCAGTTGTCATAAGAATGCCTCCATTAGGTACAGCTGCACCCTCCTCTTGATTATTTGTGCTGGTGTTTGATGGAAGTTTTGCTAAGGCCATTGCGGGGTCCCTGATTCTCTGGTAAATCCTGCCCGTGTCCCAACAGTTAGTCGCTGCGGGTGTCGGTTTGGACGGCCATGAATGTGTTGCGGCCGCGGCTTCCAGTTTTTGAGGTAGCCCTATGTGGGACAGGAGGGGATTGAAAGCGCGATAGATCATGCCCCTATTGGCAATCGCTCTAGGCGCCCAGGGGGCACAGAACGCTAGATAGTAACAGGTCATCTCTGCCAAAGTCCAGAGGTATACACCGCTGATCGTATATGTTTTATCCTTAGATTCAAGAAAATCGAACATCGTATCGGCGCGAGCAATCGACGCTCCTAGCCCCCTAGATTAGATCAACTCTAGTTAGACATAAACATTGTCGATAGATTTGGGGTCTTACAATAAGCCGACGAGGAATAAAATGGACACTCCAATCTTGTTCTTAGTTGACATCTTTAGGTTCCAGATAGCCCTCTGAGGAAGTATAAGAATGATCGCGTCATATACTGGGGGAATGATAACTCCAGGAACCTGATAAATCCGTGGGTTGATGCAGTATCCTTCCACCACCGTCGGATCCCATATCTTCTGGTACGGGAAGCAGGACATGTTCTCGGCAACGATAAACGCAATATGATTTAGAGTGCTGAAAGTCAAGAGAATTTTGCACATGTAATAAAACGTGTTTCTGGTACCACGAGTGACAAAGATGCGGTTCCACTCTATAAGGATAATTGCCTTCCCAATGCCCAACGTAGTAGCACACAGGTTATACCCGATATGATGGATCTTTGAATGCCTTCGGTCAGCCAATAACCCCCCAAATTTCAAGACTATTGGAATCGTTCATGGAGACTTACATAGAAAATCCCAACGGAGTCTTTCACCCGAATATTCCACTGATGTACGAAAGCGCCATTTGTAGACATAATGTGGAAGCCACACCAAACACTCCCGTAGAATGTCCCCTGAGAAAGGGCTAGTTAGTAGGTAGTCCTTGAATAAGAACACTATGAGTCGGAGCTGAGGCTTACCAGGCCGATGAAAGCGAGAACTGACAAATGATGTTCATATTAGTATCTTCAAACTTCAAATAAGAACAGTTGTGCCACGTACCATCCTCGAGTTCAATTGTCTTTCCGCCGGAAAACTTAGCATACGCACGTATGATAAGGCCAAGCGTCGTTGCGAGTACACACAATACATATGTTAAAGATGCAACTGTATTATCATTCCGTGGGTTGACAAAGTTGGGAACCTCCCCAGCGGGTGGTTGAAGGGCTGGTCCGTTGAGAATATCTTCAAGTGTTTGAGACATGCCGCTTGATGGATGTCGTCGATATCTGTAACAATAGTAATTTCACTAATGAAAGAGATATAATAATAATAGTAGTAGGCATTACCAACGACAGAGACACAACGTGGCAGCATATCATATTAATGAAAATGCGTCTTGCCTATCTTCACGCAGCAAGAGACAAGACTACATTCTTCTATGTTGTCATACACCAGGTAGCCACCATGGGGAGGTTTAGACATGAACCAACAGACTATATTGGCGATTACTAGGTACCTATGTACATACATGTGCATTCCTGAAAACTGCCTCTTTATTAGGTAACCAATTAACTACGACCTGAAGAATACGTAATAGAGGTTTCCAGTTATTATTTCGCTAAAGGAGGGCAGAAGACTTCATTCAGCTTGGATATTGTGATACGGTAATCATTGATAAAGCAGTGAGCAGCAGCCTACATACTATCTTGGCACACACCGAATATAGATCGATTCAACGATCCATAACTTCAGATGTTGGCTTACCCAGGTAGCTTAATAGTGGTGGTGTGCAGAAGTTATACCAGCACCGTACCCCGGAAACTGTGAGCATCCTCAGGGACTACAACCAATGATAGCCTCGAACCCTGCGGCCTACCCATGGAACTAGTTCGGAATTAGATCGGTAGGCCGATAGCATAAGGCTATGAGGCTTGACCTCGTTGCTGCAGACTAACCCTGTAAGGCAAGCTAGTGTGTGGTTGATGACAATATGCCAGATCCATATCGGTATGATCTGTGCGCTAGACAAATCAAAATCTTACATGCATGAGGGGATCTTCGGTAAGGCTACGCTTGTCTTCGGGATGCTTCTTCAGTGGGGTGTATTATTGGCTTAGATGCATTGATTACTTCGGACCGGTCAGAGGATTCGTATAGTCAGATTGTTTATGTAGATATGCACATCACAGTATATTGAGCCGCTGGCCCGCCACTGGATTGCATTGCTTGAGTGAAACGTGATAGGTAGGTCGAAGCAGGGTTCGGACCAACTACACGCTATTACACCGGTGTACACCAAGTGTATTACATCCAACCCAATCCAACTATACCAGACCCACTTTCTAAATCCACCCAATTACACTTTTATGTCCCGTGTAGTTGGATTGGGTGTAATAACGTGTATTTATCCCCTCGAGACCCAACACCGGGCTTTTTAGCGCCCCCCACTAAAACCTCACACGGGCCAGGCTCGCTACCAGCTTTTTACCATCGCCTATGTACCGGTTCAAATAATAGGCGCGTTTTTACGTGTGGCAGCAACGCGTGGTACTTAATTTTTTAGTCCCATTTGTATTAATCCTCTATTAACGTTCGAGAAACTTGAGGCTAAATTTCATCAACGACGATACCGACGGCGATGAGTTTAACGATAACGATGTGATGTATAAATTGGCGATAGGATAGCTAAACATATACAAACTGTTGATTTATTTAGAATGTTAGGTAGTTCTTTATATGAAAGGTAACTATTGATAAGAATAGCATACATATGCCTTATATTCAAAGAAAGACGCGTACAAGTATCAAAAGTTTAATTGATTTTTCTCTTAGAAGTAGTGTACAAAATGTTCAAAATAAGCTCAGATAAATATATGGAGAGTAGGTCCAAGCTCTTGTATTTTATTCGACAGCGAGGCTCAAAATATGGGGGGCGCTAAAAAGCCCGGTGTTGGGTCTCGAGGGGATAGTGGATACCAGCCACCCAAGCCACAAGGCACAGCCACTGTTAGTGTTTACTAGTATTTTTGGTGTAAACACTAACAGTAAGGCTGAAATATTAAAAGAAGGCTGGGATGGCCCGAGACCTAAGGAAATATCGTGAGATTTGCCCTCAAATTTCTGAAAAGTCCCACTTACTGATTGTATTCAACGCGTTTAATGTTTAATATTCAACGCGTCTGATATTCAACGCGTCTGATATCCAACGCGTTTGATATTCAACGCCCGTTCCTTTTTGATTAAATTAGCCAATCACAAAAATCAAACACTCAAGCCCTTTCAGGTCTTTCTAATCAGTAAACCTCCCTTCTTGTCATATATAAGCCTAAGCATCTGCCCATTAAACAATCATTTTCAAACATCATCAATGATATCTTCATTTACAATGATCTCTTCATTTATGGCGACAGTGGCGCTCGCGATACCTTCAACAGGTTGGCAATTACGTCATAGCCAAAACACCAAACTTTATCACGAGATGATACTTTAGGTAGGTAAAATAGCCTCATTTTGCGAGCGCTTTTGCCCCGCTTTTAATGTACACCAGCAATTTTCGTAAGTGTAATACACCAGAGGGGGTCGTGTATACACTACACCGGAGGTGGTCGTGTATTATAACCAACCCAACTACACCAGAGGGGGTCGGAGATGTAGTTGGGTTGGTCCGAACCCTGGGTCGAAGATATATAAGCTTTAGCAAGGCGGCTCATCACACAGCTGTATCAGACTTTCTCGGCTTGAATCAATGGAGATTGGCTATGTATGCGGTATAGTATATACCTGCCTAGGTAGGTATCTAATATAGAGCGTTTATCTAAAAGAGTATACTACCCTATAGGTATGTAAGAAATTCCAAGGTTGTCATGGACTTAAATTCCCCCCATGCCCCCACCCCCCCTTTTCTTTTGATGCAGAAAACGACATACTTTTAACGTCCATTCTTTTAAATAGTCTGTTGCGAGTGCCTTAGAAGTTAGGAGCCATGGCTCCACTAGGCCTGCTCTAGATGTTGGCATAGCGCCATCGTAGTCTGGAATAACCCAAGCTTTCTTCCATCCTTCTTCCATCCTTTTCGTTGCAGTTCACCCTGCAACATAATCTAAACGATACGTGCTATCTAGTACCTAGTATATGCGAGTCAACATCCTACTCAACACCTATACACTTTTCAATTGACACCTTAATACGAGGCATATAAATGTCGCGACAATTCAACGAAATTGACAACACCTCCTCGTCCGACAGGGCGACTTTGATATCATCCACGACAAGCTCCAAAGCGCCTAACTTACCGTTTTCCACAGAGGAGCTTTCGCTCCGGTTTCCCGGGCAGATGGTAGCCTTTGTGGAGCCGCAGGAAGACCTCCTCCCGACGTTGAACTGTCGAGGGTTCCGCTTCGCATCGTAACGGATCTTGGCGTTGGCCGCGGCGTAATCTATGGCGGCCCGAGCTTCCTGCTGATATATATCCCTCCAAACCTCGAAATCTATTGCGCCGGTATCCACTTCCAAGATGGACAGTGGGGTGCGAGGCTTAAAGCCCAGTACGACTTCGTTTGGTGATCTCCCGAGTATTGAATGGTAGGAGTTATTCAGGTTGTGTTGGAGGGCTTTCAGCATTTTGTGCCAGGGAACGTCCGGGAAAGCGACGCATTGGAATCTCATCGCGATTTCGATATCCTGGTTCCGTCTCTCGCTTGCACCGTCCGTCTGGGCATGGTAGCCCGTCGCTATCGCGGTTTTGGTGCCGCTGCGGCGCCAGAGCGTCTGCCATACCTCGCCTGTAAACTTTCGGTCCCTGTCCGTGATTATCTTCGCCGGGAGGCCCCAGTCCGCCCAGCGCCGGAGGACTGTGGTCATATAGTCGCGGTCGACTGTTTGTGTCGTCACTCTATGGAAGATAAGGTACTACGTTAGGCTGTTTACCATATTAGAAGCACATGAGGGCTCACATAGAACAAAGAAGACTTACGTGTATATGTATATTCCATAGTCTCTGGGAGATGTTAGAGATCCCCGCGTAACAACGATGTTGTTCTGCGTCTTCCAGGTTCCGTAACAGATGGGGAATGTACCTTGAGATTTCCCGTGTGAGATTGATCGCCTCTAGAAGCCCAAAGACATCTAGACATATATTACTGATTGCATTGATGTTGATCCGAAGAGCGGAAAATATCGGCCATATGTAGCGAAAGCAGCCGTCATCTTCGAGGACGTAACGAAAGTCCCTTGTAGAGTGGTTCCTAGCCTTCGAGATGTGTGTCGGACTCGTAGCAGGAGACTAGCATTTCATGGCACTCATCGTGTCCATGTGAACAGAAGTCTTGGAATTGAATCAAAATACCAAAGAAAGGAACGGGCGGCAGCCGTATGAGCACGGCTGCCGAACTCCCCACACGAAAGAGAACAGAGAGCCAGCCCATCAGAGTGAACATCCTAATCGGGACATTTACCAATAGACATGATACCCTTAGGAGTCCTTGGGCCTCTGATGATGAATGGTGGGGTAGCCAATACTCTTTGTCGCTGTATGGTGTATTTGGTGATGTTTACATGCCTAGACCAGGCAGCCAACTCTAAGTTCGATTGCTCCGTATCTGGTTTCAGCTTTGGTTAATACCTTAGATAGGAACATTATAGGGGATACGTCTGTAATAGCTATGTAACTGCGTTTTAGGGCTGGAGTTGGTGGAACGTATAAGAGTTATCAGACATACTGATATAAACGAGAGACATTTAACGAGAGATCAACCATTTCACCCTTTGGCGTAGAGGTATGTTTTGATAAGAGTGTTGATGTTGATGGGATGAGAAGTGAAGAATGGATAGAAGGGAAAGATTTGGTAGGTACCCAGAGAATGGAGTGAGAGAAATTTTGATATATTTGAGATATGGAAACATCGTAACCTTGGAACTTCTTTACTTTTTGCTTCAAGGTTAACTCTGATATATGACTTGTATGCAACCCTCTAGGGTTAGTTGGTTCGTGAATTTAACTTTCTCACCTACTTAGGTATGCATATCCATTGGTATATCATGTCACTACTCGTGTCGTAGTTGCCTACATATTAAGTGATGCCCGTATATACATCTCTACGAGGTAGGCACCTGGCATGCATAGGCAGGTATACCAGGATCACAGATACCATAATAACTAGGTCCTTTATGACGCCATAGCCAAAACTTTGCAAGAAACTTTATATCACTTGCAACTGTAATTATGGAAACAGCCTAAGGTTAGCCCCTCGCTGTTCCATCACCCACAGGTTCCCGTTGCCAACCTCTTTTACCTAAACATTATAGATGCCCTAGGTGGAGGCTACTGCAACACCCAAGGTTTCTTCATCTTTCATTGTTCAAACCCCTAGTGGTTGCCTAGGGTACCTAGGGTGGTTGACGGCACTCCAGATGGCAAGAGAGATTTCGCACAGGTCCATGACCAGCAACAAGACCGACTGTCATAGAGTTCGCAAAAGGCGTCAGTGAATGGAATCTAACTCTGTCTACCCAGGTACATAGTAGCTGCTTACCTAGGTGGATAAGTACGTAGGTAAGTAACGTGGTCAAGTGGAAGTCAGTCCCAGGTGCCGAAAGCCGAGACAATAAATTCTTGTCGGTTCTAAGTTGAGTGTGGTTTTAATGAGAACCACAGAGACGTACATATGTATGGCATTATATCTACCTAGGTAGGTAGATACGGAGAGTTTGATTCAACATAAAGAATGGGAAGGACTGGAAGGACACAAGCTTGGTTCTGGCGGCTTGAATCATTGACGTGCCGTTAGATATTCCAGGCTTCGCCGAGCGTTGTGGAAGAAGCATGCAATCAAGCTACTACTGTTATGTATGCATTTACCTCTTTATTTACGTCTAGAATACGCTACCTGTTCTGCCATGGCCGTAAACAGCATGATAGCCTCCCTTCTGGTGCTAAGGCCGTTGATGACATTGCACCCCTACTATTTGTTCTTCACTTTTCCGCAACGTCGCTCGGCTCATCATATCGGCCACTATTTACAGATACAGCAGCGCCTCCAATGCTGCGGGCATTCAAGCTGCTGTCGGTTCAGTCGTTACCGTCATAGTCGACAGCCATCGCATCACCGAGTTCATCATGGGGACCAACGAAATCGGCCTGACCATCAATCTCGAGGATGGCAGCATCGAGTACGAGACATTCCTGAGCCACAAGCCCAATGCCGCAGGGAGACCTCAAGGTGAAACCTCTATTCGGAGAGACAAGTTCGAGAATATGTTTCGCCGGGGGTGATAACTCGTCTTTCTGAAAGACAAGCTAGCCTGGGTGTTGCTAATTCTCGAGTAAATATCGATGCAGGTGTGCCTGTCACGTCGGGAGCAGGATATACGGCCATATGAGCCCAGGGGAGTATTTGAATACGATGCCGAAATAGAAGGTTCCCAGCGAAGGGCTTGCAGGAGCAGTAGTTTGTAGGGTTGCAACCGGTCACAGGTAAGGACTCTCTATCGCAAGACACAGAATCACACTCTAGTGGGGGTTGGAGGCACTTGACGATCGCCAATCAACTTCATTAAGAGCGTGCCCTAATGGTGATATTGATCAAATACCGAAAGATCCTGAACTCGTTAATATGCTTTTCATGTAGCCTGCTCTAGATTTAGGGGGCATCGAAAGACTTGGTTCCGTGTGTTTTCACGGGTGGACTGGTAAAGTCAAAGGGGCAATTTCGACACGGCATTGTATCCACGCTCCCAGACGCACTCGTCAGGTATTGGTGGTCCCTCGGCGCAGCAAGTGTCTCCATTGATCTCTATTGTCGTTTTGAAAATATGTTGAGTTGCTAAACATACAGACAAGATGGTCTTGAAAGATGAGATGGAAACGAGGAGTGGGTTCACGCACCCCGCGAAAAGGAGTTGTATAACGTGATTGCATGATCATGCAATCCATCGCATAATAGGTATGTATATTTTCCTTGGTCAATTCAAACCATTACTGCCACTGATGTGCAAGATACAGTGGAGAAGCGACCCCTTTATCGTCATCTCCCTTAAACGAAGGAGCCGGCTACCGGCATTACTTAGGAGGAGGCGGGGAAAGGTCAACTAATATACCTACCTTCTTTTTGGTTCACGATGCCCGATATTCCGAGGACGTCCGATGCCGTTATTGCCGCGAAACTTGTTGTTCCTTACTAGGCAGGAAAGGCATCAATAGTTTTGATGAGGCCGACCCGCCCGTTCGGAATTGATTGCCTGGTAGCCTTAGTTGCCTAACCACAGAGCTTCGCGTTCGGTTCGCAAAAAACGCCATATAGCGCTGACGCGTGTGACGAAGACTTTTCTATGCTTTGTTCCAGGCAATCCAGTTCCGACCATTGCCGAGTCGGTTTGCAAATGACTGCCTGATCTGCAGATGGTGGAGAAGGTAAGATAAGAGGGAAAACTTTTCGAGGCTCGGCTTGAATCCGAGTTGAATTCATGTCGCATATCTCAAGACTTACGTACCTATGTAGGTCGATGCGCTTGCGGTCTGCAAGGAGTTTGTATGAAGAGTTGGAAAAGGCTATGTGTGATGTTCGGCAACCGTTTCATCGACACAACGCTATGCTTTTTATTTCATCTTCTATCCTTTCTTTTCTTTGTTCATCTTTCAATTTGAAACAATATTTTGGCAGGATGATAGCCGCCCGTATGGAGTGTACCATGAGTTGGGCACTGGGATCTGCAAATGATAACCCAATTGGTAGGGGTTAAAGGATTGCGGTGTAGTGTTCAAGAAGGTCAATGTTGTAGATAGGCTGATAAATCGATAGATTCTTCATCAATATGTTACAAGAGGCTATGACGGACCAGCAACCCCAGGCCGGATAGATGATCGGCTTTGGGGCAGTGATGGGCTCTAGCACCTAGGTACCTAGCAATTATCGAATGCAATTGCTTATTTCGAAATGATTGCCTGGGGTTTTACGACCAGAAGGTGAAGCTTATCTGGAAGAACGTGTGATGAAGGTGATGAAAGAAACGAACCAAATTTGGTTGATTTGGTTCTAATGCAATCAAGGGTCCTTTCTAGTCTCCTTTTGGTTACTTGATTGGATACCAGGCAATCTTTGAGGCTCTGGTGACCCATATATACCCATATAAACATCCCATCCCATGTCATCCTATCCATCCCATCCATCCTATGATTCCTATCCATTCTATTTATTCCATATCCATGTTCTTTGGCGGCTAGTGGATGGTTCTCCGGCAATTGGCCCCTTGCTAGACCGTCCCAAAACTTCGAGCTCAGGGGTTCAGGGGGCTGGGTTCTTCTACACTAGCCCTGGAGCCCTGGAGCCCTGGCATTTTGGGTAGAGGGTTAATTAAATTCAACTAAAAATATCCCATGGAATAGACTGTGCCGACAACTTACTGGGGGTAATATGGGTAATACGAAGGAACTATTGTAAGCATTTTGGTTCGAATCTATCAAGTAAATTACAGTAAATTAAATCAGCGCGACTAGTTGACATGGTTCGATTTAGTTTATCCCCTCGAGACCCAACACCGGGCTTTTTAGCGCCCCCCATATTTTGAGCCTCGCTGGCGAATAAAATACAAGAGCTTGGACCTACTCTCCATATATTTATCTGAGCTTATTTTGAACATTTTGTACACTACTTCTAAGAGAAAAATCAATTAAACTTTTGATACTTGTACGCGTCTTTCTTTGAATATGGCATACCACTCTTATTAATAGTTACATACCTTTCATAAAGAACTACTTACAGTAAATTAACAACTTATGTTCGATTTAGCTGGCTCCCCTATCGCCATCTTAAATATATTAAAACAAATAAGCAACATATCGTTATTATTAAACCCATCGCCGTCGGTGTCGTCGTTAATAAGGTTTCTCGAGCGTTGAAGGATGAGTACAAACGAGACCAAAAAATTAAGTACCACGCGTTGCTGCTACACGTAAAAACGCGCCTATTATTTGAACCGGTACATAGTCGATGGTAAAAAGCTGGTAGCGAGCCTGGCCCGTGTGAGGTTTTAGTGGGGGGCGCTAAAAAGCCCGGTGTTGGGTCTCGAGGGGATAGAATAATGTAAGGAATATTCTGGACGAATTACTGATTAATCACACTTGCGCTTGCGCTCAGCTACAGTCGAGTCTCGAAGCGTACATACGTGCCTATGTAGGTGGTTCCAAAGATGGAGATAGAACGGGAAAAGGGATAGATCCATAGATAGATGGAGATAGATGGTAACATCTAGATGACTTAAACACCACAAATGGTACGACGAGCTACAATTCTACACTCCAACCATACGGATGGTCTTATCAACTCTGCCATATATATCCACAGAATTAGCTCGGACAAGCCTCGTGGTAGGCTGTCTGTGTTGCTTTGGGATCTCGGACGGCGTGTCCGGTCCAAGTCCCATGGCCGTCCCGTCCCGTTCATAGGTTGACGGATGAAAATGATCTGCAAACTTGATTTTTCTCGTAAGGCAACACCAGTATCACCTGGAATCTACTGTTCTAGATCTCTGGTACCTAAACTAGTGCGTGCTATCTCCGCGAATCAGCCCTCACCTTCTGGCGAAACTGACAGGTCAGCCTTCAACCCTTCCTTACTCCAGATCGTGGGCGCTCGCGTTCAACCCTCTGGGTATTATGGTACGGCCACCTCATGTAGTCCATCTAAACTACCCAGATAGGTAGCCAAGCTTGTAAGATATCGCACATTGTAGGATACCCGTGTCCCGCTATGAGGTATTGATTCGCTCTGAAACGTGCACGATCATCTGGTATTCCCTCTGATCGCCTAGTACTGCTCCGTGGTACGTTCGGCAATATGGTCTTTTGTGACAGAAGAGTATCGAAGAGTTCGAAAAAAAAAAAAAGACTTCGTCTTTGCTTTTTGAGCTAGAATGGATAGGTAGAAACTAGGAATGATCAAAGTGCAACCAACAGTAATTCATAATTCCTAGATGAGGTCTATATCGCATCTCTGGTCGTACGTGCCTCGTCAGCTGCTTGTCGCCCGAGATGCAGCCGCTCGATAAACATAGGCTGATAACCCACATAGTTACATTTATTTGCAACACAAACCCTTCTCCATCGGAATATCTATTGGGGACCGGCAACCACAACCTCTTGACGGTTTGTGTGTCCAAAGGGCGGCCCAGACACTTGTCTTAGACCATGGACAGGGGGGAAGGGCACGGGTATGTGTTGATCGGGTCCTTGCGGAGAAGCTTAGTTGGTTGGTAACGAGACATTGTGGCTTCGAAAAGGCGTTAATCAGGGGAAAGAGGCATTCCTAGATATGGAATGAATGGCCACACACACCACACACACCACACAATATTGCCAAGCCGGAGATTTCAATGACTTACCTTTTATCTAGCACACACACGTTATCCCTGCCAGCACATATCGATCTACATGTCCATCGTCATATCAATGAAGCCCACGCAAGAACCACGCAAGACCACGCAAGCACCGTGGCTCTCTTCAGGCCTGGAGGTTTTTGTATTTCCTTGGCGCGTTCCCCCTCCGATTCTCTTCCAGTCGAGACCTTTTCTTGCCCTTTCCCTCAACACAATAATCTCTATCCTTCTTACACTCCTTACTCATCGTTCACAATGCCGACCCTAGATGTCAGCGAGTTGAACATTGTCGTGTCTGTGCTTGGTATGCTTGCTCTATGAATTGAATGAACAAAAAAAAAAGCTTGATACTGAACTATTCTTTCTCTCCTCCAGGTGCTTTCACTGTGCTCTACGGCCTGGTTGCCGTCAAAATAAAAGGGGTCTGGTACCTCGGAGAGGCTTGTTAGTGTGCCCTTCTTCACCAAAAAAAATGACCCTCTTGAAGAACCGTTTTGCTTATTGAGATTTTTTTCTTTCTTTCTTTATACAGTGCCCGCCGTCTTAATTGGTATGCTCTTGGGGCCGATATCTGCCAAATTTCTCGATGCCAAGCGATGGGGTTCAGCTGCCCCAGACCAACAAGATGCCATCACGCTTGGCGTGATGCGGGTGATGATTGGGATTCAACTGTAAGTTTCTTTTTTTCTTGTTTCTGTTACGTTGGATTTACCTTGGCAGGCCTCTTGGCATGAGACAAGCTTTTCAGAACAAGCCTTCTGGAAGTTTGGGAATAGAGAGGCCAAGAAAAGCTGACACATCATCGTAGGGTCATTGCTGGGTACCAATTACCCGCTAAATACATCCTCACGCGGTACAAGGAGCTGATCGTCTGCCTGATCCCGATCATGGCCACGATGTGGCTGATGAGCTCCGTGTGCATTCTGGCGACCATCCCGAAGATCTCGCTGCTGGCCGCGCTGGTGATCGGGGCGTGCGTGACGTCGACGGACCCGATCCTGTCGCAGGCCGTCGCGAAGGGCCCGTTCGCGGACAAGTACGTGGCGCGCCCGCTGCGCGAGATGATCTCGGCCGAGGCGGGCGCCAACGACGGCTTCGCGTCGCCGTTCCTCATGCTCGCCGTCAACCTGCTGCGTCTCACGGAGAATCGCCGTGCGACGCTCGTGGAACGCGGCAGGGGCGTCGGCCCGGATACCCAGGACGTCGGCATCGCCCTCGGCAACTGGGTCATCGAGACCCTCATCTACATCGTCATGCTGGCGATCGCCTACGGCACCGTCACCGGGTATTTCGCTAGGGTGGGTGTCAAGTTTTCCCTGTCTCGAAGGTGGATCGATTCCGAGAGTTACTTGCTGTTCCCGACGGCACTTGGTGTAAGTGCTTTTTTTTTTTTCTTCTTCTTCTTTCAACTACCGAGTTGTACATGATCCAATTCGGGAAAGTGCCACAAGAAACTAACGAATCACAAAGCTCTTCATCGTCGGAACCTGTGGTGCCATCGGCACCAGTGACCTCCTCGCCTGCTTCGTCGCAGGCTGCGCACTGAACTGGGACGGCGAGTTTCTCGCCGAGACGGAGCGCCGCCACGACGAGGTGAATTCGTGCATCGACGTGCTGCTCAACTTCGGCGGCTTCCTGTACATCGGCACCACCATCCCCTGGTCAGACTTCCACCAGCCGGACACCACTGGCATCACCGTTCCTCGACTGCTCGCCCTGGGCCTCCTCGTCCTGGTCTTCCGCCGCATCCCCGCGCTGCTGCTCACGTACAAGATGATGCCGGGGGTGGTCAAGAACTGGAAAGAGGCGGTGTTCATGGGATATTTCGGCCCCATTGGTGTCGGCGCTATCTACTACCTCGAACACACGAAGGAACTGTTTCCCAAGGAACAGGTCGCGAGCGCGAAGGAACGGGATTTGCTCGACGCCATGACCCCAGGTTCGTACATCTCATTTACTACGTTTTTTTTTCTTTCTTTTTCTTTACAACCCATAACTAACCTACTTTTCTCCTAGTGGTATACTTCATCGTGCTCTTCTCCATCATAGTCCACGGCCTGTCGATCCCGCTCCTCAGCACCATCTACTCCTACTGCAACGTGCGGACCATCACCGAGGACGCCGTCGAGGTGAAGCGCAAGAGCATCTACATGGCGACGCCGCCCAACGCCTTCCGCGGCGACTCGGACACCTGGATCTGCTTCAACCGCTTCTCGCGCCCGATGGCCAACCTCGCCACGCTGCCCACCACCAACAACAACAACAACCACCGCCGCCCGCACAGCAGCGACGGCGAGAGCGTCATGTCCGACATCGAGGAGGAGAAGAAGCACAGCCAGATGGAGTATATCGAGCGCGTGGAACCGAAGTAGAGAGAGAGATTGAAAACAAGGGTTTCTCGGGTCTAATGTGTGTGTGCCATGGTCTGGGGGGGTTAATCAGGTATTCCCGACCGCTCTTGGATGAAGTCATGAGGGTATCAAAAATTTTGACGGGTCAATGTTTTTTTGGTTACTGATATAGACCAGCTGACTTTTTTTTTTATAAAATCTGTATAATCCATTATAAGAACGTATATTGATATTAATTATAGGCAATTAAAACCTCATTATACAAGTCTGATGATGTTCATGCTTAGGTACCTAACTAGATTGAATACTACGTGAGTTGAGATTATTGGCACCTGTAAACCGGCAAGTCGTGCAAAGGGTGAAAGCCTGCTTGCCTCCCTTGATGTTATGTCTCAGGAGGGCCGGTGTTTACATCTTTTCATTTGGTAGGTAGCCATCACGTTGACACGGTGTACCCTCCTATTGGTGACTTCTCGACATATTTGAAGCTAGAGACAGTGTGTGGTTGGGCATTCCAGTCTAATGGATGCCATTTCATTACGAAGCAGCAGGGCCATCCTCAATCGAGCCATCTTTCTCGGCTTCTTTGCCATGGGAATGACGTGCAGAAACGAGTTGTGCATCGTGTTCTTATCAGTTGTGCATTGTTGCTCGCCAATTACGCTATACCGAGATATGAGCTTTTTGTCACGCGACCGCGAGGTTATAGAAGCAAACATTCACAACGTCATCCACCCTACCACAACAAATAAGTCATGTGAGTTTGTGTCATATGCCACAAGGTATAGTAAGATCCAAGGAAAATGAGGGTTTAATGCGCAATGTCTTGGCCAAGTATACCCTTATCTTGAAGGCTCATATTTATAGCTCTAAGAGTAGGGTTAGAGCGGATTGATGGTCCTTCTAGATACCATCTGTATGATCTTACGATATTTTATTTTATTCTATTTAACTACATGTTCTCATTTTGGTCGTGACGATAGCTCCGCTCAGGCGATAGAGCTTAGATGGCGGGATAGTGTGTGTAGTCCAAATGAACAATCAGCGATGACTGCCCAGGTGGTAAAGGGGTGATATATCACGTGATGCAGAATAGGGGTAAAGCACATAGGGCTACGTTTCAAGTTGGCCGCAACCATCGTACATAGTAAGTATCTCGAAAGTTTTATCTAATGCATATGGCGTGTTTGTACATAGCACATTGTATGTACATATGTAACTACATCATTGGTGTGTATAAGTGGTTTGCTTCGATGTTGAATTATCAATTGATGTTACAGGTAGATACATCTATCCATGATATGTAGAATCTGATATTTTATCCACGTGCATGGATACTTCGTACATGCCTCCTATCATACATACATATCCTTTCATCTATTCAATCTTTCCAGCCTTTAACGTTGTGTCTCTCCTACATACATACATAGGTATGTAATGCTTGTGGCTCTTACTTACAATATACCTATGTAGATACATTTCTTGGCATACCTATTCGATGATATGTCTGGCTGGTTCGTCGAGAAGAGCTGTGCGGCGTAGTCTGGCTATAGAGTAAGAGGCGGCGTCGTTAATCGCAATGAACATCGTTTAACATGCAGGCCCCATTGGGACGTCGGCTATCTTACATCCATGGGTGCCTTACTTCTTTATTTGTTCGTGGATACTAAAATTGCTATATACTGTTCCTCAACTATAAATCCTTGACTAATGTCAACGTCAGACTGTTCCAGTTCCACCCAACTACCTAGGCAGGTGTTAATATCGCCCAAAGCCATGCCGGTAATGCCCTCTCGCTCTTGTTACCTAGGTTCTAGTTTTTTGGGTGTCGGAAATGAAAGAAACGCATATCTGATCTGACCCGATCGGATCTCATCTTGGCTAAATGGAGATAGTCAACTGGCTTCCACTTCTCCTACCCCTATTTGCACAGCAAGTACATGGCGATGCAACGCCAGTAGACAACGGCAGGGGTGCCTTCGACGCCGGCGACTATGGCAGCCATCCGAACCAGACATTCGTGCCGAGTTGCATCGTCGCCCCTCTCTTCAGTGTCTCGGCGTGGGACAGAAACGCCACGGACGATGCACCATAATTATATCCTGATCACAGGGGAATACGGCGCCGGGTCTGGTCCGCTGATCTTCCGGTCCGATGATCTGAGCCTGGTCTACGCCAACACGACGTGGAACGAGTCGATCAATCTAGATGTCTAAGCTTACGACGGGGCCGACTACCTTACCTACTGGCACGGAGCCACCGTGGAGAACAACTACGTGGGCTACTTCGGCATGTACGATGCGAGTTACGAGCTCAAGTATACCGTGACTTCGGAGGGGCTGCACAACTTGGCGGACATGCATGATTTTGTCACCACGCCCAACGGGACTGCGCTTCTTGTTACGTACGAACAGGTGTCCCCGTGGGATACGACGTCGGTGGGCGGGAAGCCCGATGACGAGATTATGGATGCGGTGATTCAGGAGCGCGATATTGCTACGGGTGATGTGCTGTTCACCTGGCGCCTCTCTGACCACTATGCCATCAACGAGACTATGGTAACGTATGCGGATTATGGGATGCGACCAGGCGGTGGGGGGTTTGATTTCGGCCATGTTAACGCTGTGTCAAAGGTACCTACCTACCTACCTAACCTTCTGCATTTCTCAACGCGAACATCCTTACCAATACCCCTAACTATGATAGACAGCAGAAGGCAACTACCTCGCCTCCTTCCGCCACCTCTGCGCCATCCTCCTCGTCGGCCCAGACGGCAACATCCTCTGGTCCCTCGGCGGCCGCCGCGCGACCGACTTCTGCTACCAGCACGACGCGCGGTTTGTGAACCCACCGCGCACCGAGATCACGCTGTTCGATAACGCGCATATGTCTACGGCGATAAACCGCACCCTTGACCGCGATTGCAGTCGGGGCTTACATCTGCGGCTTGACTACGAGGAAATGACGGCTGAGGTCTTGAGAGAGTACTATCATCCGAGCCGCGTTGTGGCTGCGGCGATGGGTGGGGTGCAGACGCTCGGGAACGGGAATAAGCTTATCGCGTGGGGGTTCCAGCCATCGATTACGGAGCACACGGCGGAGGGGAGGGTGGTGATGAGTTTGCAGTTGGGGCCGTTGGTGAATGATGGTCAAGGGAAGGGTGGGGGTAAGGGGCCGCAGGTGTACCGCGCGAAGAAGGTGAAGTGGGTGGGCAGGCCGGGGTGGGGGCCGAGTATTGCGGGATATCCGAGGGGAAGCGAGAGGGGTGTGTATTTGAGTTGGAATGGGGCGACGGAGGTGGCGGGGTGGGCGGTGGTGAGTACCTATCTTGCCTACCTACTCATTTACCCCACGACTTCAAAGAAAAGACAGATACTAACAAGAGAAAACACCATAGCTCGCAGACAACTCCCCCTCCAACCTAAACGGCCACGAGAAAGTCCTCTAGCGCCTTGTGCGCGCCGGCTTCGAAACCTTTGCCCCGCTAGAGGCCTCGCCACGCTACGTGCGCGCCGCCGCCGTTGATAAGGAGGGGAATATTCTGGGGTCGACGGACGCAGTGGATATGGATACCGGGGAGGTGGTACGGGTTAATGGGACGGTTACGCAGGTTGTGGATCCGGGGGATGTGAATGAAAATGATATGGCGACGGGTAAGGGTGGAGCGGAGGGGGCGGAAGGGGATATGGAGGGGGCTGCGACGGGGAGGCTGGGGAGTAAGGCTGGGGGTGAGGTTTGGATGGTGGTTGCGGGGCTGTCTTTCTTAGTTTGTTTGAGGATTTTATGATGAGTTTTATTAATAGTTGTGTTGAACGATTGTGAAGATGAGATGAAAGCATTTTGATGAATGATTTAGGATTAAAGTGTGCAGGTGTCTTGGCAACCCCTGAGTTTTCATTCCGAGACTCCTTAGCATGCGAAGCTCATACGAATGGAAGATGGAAATAATTATCGCCATTATGTGTAAACTCATTCTATATTCTATGAGTTATCGCGGACGTCCGTTGCATCCACTCTTCATGGAGTTCGTTTATCTAAGCTGGTTCTAGCCTTTGTCGAAGAAGTGAGTGCGATGGGAGGTAGTAATAATGCTGGAGATGTTCGCGGGTGATGGTCCTCGAGTCTAATTGTAATCTAAACTTTATACACGAGAACGTGGCAAAATGGTAGATCATTCACTTGTGTGGATAATACACCAGGCGGTCGTCATAGAGCCTCATGATAGCCAAATGCAGTAATATGGCATGTAAAACTGTAGCATGCAACAGATACACCAAAGTTTTTCTTTTCGATTTATGTACCTACTTAGTAGTCCGGCATCCTTTGACGTGAAAGAATACGAAGTTGTTGTACGTGGATCAGGGGTTAAGTTGGTTTCAGGGGCTATGTGCTCTGTAGTAGCTCTCTCCTGCAGCTCTGATACGATCTAAAACAAGTTAAAAATCATCGTTCGAACATGCAGTTACTAGGTACCTACCTAGGTAGGCAACGTTTGACTATAAGTTGAGTTTGACGTCCCCGCGTAATTGAACTTTAAAGATATGACGGGTACCTACCTAGTAGGTAGGTAACTAGGTACTAGGTAGGTAACTACTAGGTAGGTAACCAATCGTCCCAAATCCAGACGTCTATGTGTACCTTTACTAACACATAAGAACCCAGTAAGTATATCTTTCTCCCTACCAATAAGCCTCAGTAAAAAGCCCATATTGTCATCAATGTCATTTACATTTGAGGACGAGTTCAACAAAGAGGGTCGTCAAAATTCGCCCCTTCGGTACCGGGCTCGAGTATGAAGGATTATATCTTCACAGGGGTTACCCCCATTGTCAAGATACGAGCCTCGCATAATGCATACATACATCATGCCTTCACTCAGATTGCATCAGTACAGCCAATTTGTCAAATATCACGAACCCAACAACATCCAGGTCAGTCTAGCTAACCAAGTCCCTCTGCGGCTAACATGGTGTGGTTATGTGAGCAGATCTATCAGATCTGGCTATGACACTACAAGTCACGCAATACCATCCCCGATCCCCGAGCATCGTCTAGGTAACTAGGCCGTCCATCTATCGACGAGCCTGAGTTCTGTCCATCGGTTCCGATCAACTGCCAAGCCATGGTTCTCATATAATGATAAATCTTTAATGCAGGTTGTTGTATTATCACATACATGCTTTCAACCTCTGTCACGAACTGTGGTAAAAATGACGTCGTGCAGGTATTCAATATTCCGGAATGGAAAAACAAGTTTGGGAGAGTTTGTCGATAGCAAGTCTTCCCCTTTCCATCAAAGAACGAAATATAAGCCTGAGCCCGTGACATCTTCTAGCCTCTAGTTTGATTCACTTTCTTCTCCAGTCTATCGTTTACGGGGCATATCTGACCCCAAGAAAAAATATCGAAAGGAGTTTTGAGTGTTCGGCTCCAGCATCATCGTCAACATGATACGCGCAAGGACGCCGTTCCTACTGTCCTCGGTAGTGGGCGGCGCCTACTCCCTTGTCGCACCCCGCGACGGGTGTACCTTCACTCTTTCAACGGAGGGTTCATTCACTGGTGTCGTTGGCCAATATGACGGCGGACAGACTAAAGGAGGAGCTGCCGGATCGAACGTGGCAGCATCCTCCTTCGTTTTGAGTGGAGACACAATGTCTGATTCTACGGGACGAGGTTGTTGGTGGACACCGCCGAGTACAGTGCTCCAGTGCGATGTTGGCCAAAATGCGCAACCAGGGTTTGCCATCGGATGTAATGGCGAGTTGACGTGGAATGGACAATCTACTTTCTGGCAGTGTGCTACTGGCGATGAGGGTGTCGTCATGATATACTTCACGCCTGGAGGAAGCAACTGCAATGAGATTACATTGAAGGCAAGCGGATGTTATCCTTCATCTTGCGGCTCAAGTTCAACTTACTCTGGTATAAGTGGCACGGCCCCAGCGGGTGGAGGCTTAAGCTCGTCTGCTGGGACTGGAACTTTGCCAGGTGGAGGTTCAACAGGTGGGGGCTCGACATCCGGCATAAGTGGGACTGCACCGGCAGGGGGTGGTTCAACTTATCCCGTAGGAACAGGATCTATGTCGGCAACAGGCTCAACGAACTCGGGTATTAGTGGCACAGCTCCAGTTGATACAGGCTCATATCCCGTGGGAACTGCAACAATGTCAGGGACAGGTTCTGGTGTCAGCGGAACGGCACCAATTGATACAGGTTCGAGTTATCCTGTTGGATCCAGTACAGACCAAGGCAGCGCAAGTACTACCTCACCGCCCGAATCAACCGGCATGACTCTTCCCGGGTCGTCTGGCACTACGGGAACAGGAGAAGGCAGCTCGAGCTCTTGCATGCCGTGCATACCAGAAACCACGACCGTCTTTGTCACAGTACCGAACACCGTCACAGCACCTGGCTCCACTACTACCGTTTACTCGTGCACCCAGCAGACGGGCTCTAGTAGCATTATGACAGTTACTACCACGGAGACAGCCCCTGGAACAACAGCCCCTGGAACGACTGCAGAGACTAGTGCACCGGGTACTAGTGCACCAGGTACTACTGCTCCTGGCACATCGCCTGGCACATCGCCTGGAACATCTCCCGGAACGTCTCCTGGAACATCTCCCGGAACGTCTCCTGGCACATCGCCTGGTACATCTGCCCCAGGAACGACTGCTCCTGAGACTACAGCACCAGGGACAACCGCTCCAGGGACGACAGCCCCGGGTACGACAGGTCCAGGAACGACGCCCGAGACTACTGCTCCAGGAACATCTCCAGGAACATCTCCAGGAACATCTCCAGGAACGTCTCCTGGCACATCGCCTGGAACATCTGCCCCAGGAACGACAGCCCCAGGAACATCCCCTGGGACGTCTCCTGGGACGACAGCGCCGGGTACATCCGCTCCAGGAACAACCGCTCCTGGGACGACAGGCCCCGAAACGACTCCTGAGACCACTGCACCTGGAACGTCCCCAGGAACATCTCCAGGAACATCTCCAGGTACGTCGCCAGGAACATCGCCAGGTACGTCGCCAGGAACATCGCCAGGAACATCGCCAGGAACATCGCCAGGTACGTCGCCAGGAACATCGCCAGGAACATCGCCAGGAACATCGCCAGGTACGTCTCCTGAGACGACAGCCCCAGGAACAACCGCTCCAGGAACATCCGCTCCAGGAACAACCGCACCTGGGACGACAGGTCTCGAAACGACTCCTGAGACCACTGCACCTGGAACGTCCCCAGGAACTTCGCCAGGAACTTCTCCAGAAACTTCACCTGGGACGACAGCGCCGGGTACGACAGCTCCGGGTACGACAGCTCCGGGTACGACAGCTCCCGGCACTACAGCTCCCGGCACTACAGCTCCCGGCACCACGGCCCCTGGAACGACAATCCCTGGAACGAGTCCAATATATCCCACTAGTGGACTCAATTCGACAATGTCCACGAGTGTCCCGGTAACAACCCCCCAGACTCCGGCAACAGAAAGCACTACCTCAACGTATTATACCACAATCCAAACCACACCTACCACAGTAGTGCCCCCAGCGACAACGTATCCCACAGTACCGATGTCTTCTCCGGAGACGCCAACTGTCCCGTCCGGCACTGTTCCGACCTCGCCTATTGAATCGACCCCTGGTACTTCGCCTCCGGCAGAGACTACTCCTGTAACTTATCCGGGCACTACATCAGAGGTTGAAAGCTCGTCCACGAGCCCGTGCGAGACGATGACTACACCTGGCGAATCCGTCACCATGAGTGTCCCAACGGTTCCTTCTGTTCCCACAGTCCCAGCTACAGGCCCCGTAGGAAATATGACCACAACCCCATGCCCGGAAAGTATGACAACTCCTGGGTATCCAGGAACGACACCATGGGTTCCAACTGGTAGCGTACCATCCGTTCCGACCTATCCAGGTGGCCCGCCTCCGCCAGGTGGTCCCCCAGGTGGTCCTCCTCCGCCAGGCGGTCCTCCGCCTCCGGGTGGCCCCCCTCCTCCAGGTGGTCCTCCAGGCGGCCCTCCTCCCCCAGGCGGTCCTCCGGGTGGTCCCCCTGGTGGTCCTCCTCCCCCAGGTGGTCCCCCAGGTGGTCCCCCGCCTCCAGGTGGTCCCCCAGGTGGGCCCCCTCCTCAGTGCCCGGAATGTGAAACTATGACAACACCCCAGTATCCAACCATGCCAAGCGGAACAGCGCCGTGGTATCCAACTGGTAGCATGCCATCTGCTCCAACATATCCGGGTACTGGATCAACTCCATGCCCAGAAAGTTCAACATCGCCTGAGTATCCTACAATGTCAAGTGCAACGACACCGGCATATCCAACTGGCAGCATGCCATCTGCTCCAACCTATCCAGGTGCTACTACCACTTCGTGCTCGGAAAGTGAAACGACGCCCGTGTATCCTACAACTATGTCAACTGCAACAACACCGGTATACCCAACTACAGAGCCTGGGAACTCCACCATGTCAACAGAGACAACTCCTGAGGTACCAGGAACAACCACGACCCCGGAGGTCTCTACAACGGCACCCGAAGTTACACCAACTACCGAGACAAGTCCTGGAGTTACATCGACGACCGAGACGACTCCAGAGATTACGCAGACGACTGAAACATCCCCCGTAGTGACGCCGACAACGGAGACAACGCCAGAAATCACATCAACCACAGAAGCAACCACAGAGACAACCCCTGAAGTTACACCGACCACCGAGACGACCCCGGAGGTCACGCCAACTACCGAGACAACTCCGGCAGTTACTCCAACGACTGAAACAACTCCGGTAGCTACTACAGAAACAACGACGGACATCACTTCAACGACTGAGACGACGACTGACACTACGGCCACGACTGAGACGACCACAGAGACAACCGCCGAGACTACTGCCACAACGGATACCACTGCCACGACGGACACCACTGCCACGACGGACACCACGGCCACGACTGAGACCACGACCGAGACCACCGCTACGACAGACACTGCTACTACAGACACTGCTACCACGACGGAAACCACGACGGATACCACTGCCACAACAGATACATCTACCTCGACGGACACTGTCACGGGCTCCGTGGCGATGATGACACCTGAGGCAAAGGTTTTCGGTCATGAGAAGGCCGCCGCGACCATGGCCGCTCCTCCGGTAGAGCCGATGAAGAAAGAAAAAGGCCACGAGCATTTCAAAGAGAAGGAGCATTTTGAAGAAAAGGGGCATTTTGAAGAGAAGCATCCAGCCATGTCTAGTAAAGTGCCTAAGCGGGGTATCAACAGCCGCAGAGACACTGCCGCATCGGCCCTCCGAGCCTGCCCCGGAGAGCTCACCGGCCGCTGGGAGTCCCCGCGTCTGATCGTCCCCGTCGACCACGCGCACCCGAACACGGCATACGGCAAGTCAGACATCGGCGAGGTGTCCTCGACCATCTCGTCCGTCTTCAAGTTCAGCATTCCGGGGGACAGCGAGGCGAACGCATGCACGGTCGTGTTCCTCGTCCCCGACGAAGAGCAGCACGCCGCCTCCAGCGAGGCAGAGGTGGCGTTCAACATGACGGGCTCAGGAGCGGTTGAGTTCACGCGTCTCGGCGGCAACGTTGACATCAAGACTACACTGAACAACCTCCCCGATGTGGCGCAGAGCTACCGCCGTCTCACGGTTGCGGCGGACAACGCGTACACCATCGACTCGTTTGCTTGCACGGCCGGCTCCGACGTGGTCGTTGAGATGGCTAGTGTGCCGTCGTCGTTGTTGTCGTCATCTGGTGAGACGGAGCTGAAGTTCCGTCAACACTCGGAGGATGATGGCAAGTGCCCGCTTGGGCTGTACGTGCTTACATCTACATCTGAGGAGGATGTGGAGTTGTGAAGTAAGTGGGGTGGTGGAAGTGATTTAGATTGATATTTAGGATGGATATGTTGACTTTCTATTTTAGTTTATCTTATTTTCAAGGAAGAGATGGGAGAGGTAAGAGGTAATAATGACGATCGTCGACGCGCATGTACTAGGATGTGAGACGCGGTTGTACCTAAGGTGCATTGCATTCTTGGGTATATTGTGTCGCGACATAAGTGTTTGATGAGGATGAAGGTTTGAAGTAGGTAATACGGGATGGTGTAGCAAGAGCAAAAGCAATAGGTAGCCGTTTTTTATATATTATTTCTTTTGTCTTGTATAAGATAACTATGTTGTGTTAGAAAGTGATGAGATTTGTTTGATTCCAAGGTTTCTTGTGCCCTGGAGGTACCTAATTATAGTGGGTTTGGCGAGCCTGTGCGTACTATGTGCGCGCTGGGCAGCATTCAACTAAGCCACATCCATGGATAGTTAGCACCTGGGCAATCTATTTCCACCATGAGATCCTAGTACACCGTGGATTTGTAGCTGTCACTAGCTGCCGTTAATTCTTGGTGGCTGCTAGGTTAGTGTCATCTGACGAACTAAAAGGAACGTCTACTCCACGAGGCAGGGACAGTTGAATGTCTTGTTTAGCCACACCTTGATATTGGAGAATTTATTCAACTGTGTCACTATAATGAAGCATCTCTATTGAACCCAAGAAGTTGTTTCGCAAGTACTTAACTATAGACTCATAGGTTGGAGCGGTGGCCGATACATACCTTTGGCACCCCTATTGACGGTTTTAGACTCCACTCATATTATGCGTGTTCTACATCCAGAATAAGTCTCTCAAGATATACCGCCGACTTGTTCGTTTGCTCGAAGCTATGTCTCAGGAAAAGTCCCATCACCCTCGCGATCTCTATCGACTGCTTGTCTAAGTCGGAGACCTCTCCGATTTCGCTGTACAATGTGCTCCAGAAGTGCTGCCGCATCTCAACGTGAGATGGATGGAAGAACCACTCCGTGCTCGTCCGAACACCTAGGAAGATCTCTGCTCCGCCCAGCGACAGCCCAAAGGGTGCTACGAAGTCGCCGCGCCAGTCCATGATGCCGGTGATGTGGCCAGTTGATTCGTTAACGTGGACGTTCATCTCGTAGAGATCGGAGGGTTGGAGCACCATTGGAAAGTCGGGTCGGAAAATGAGGTGGAGGTTTTTATTAACCTTGGCGAGGGTTGATTGTAGGCTCTGGGGGAGCGTGGGCGAAAGCTTATCGAGAATGGCTGCATATTGATCTTGCAGCCCAGGCGCTTGTGGTTGTGAGGCCGGTCTATTGGTCCATCCCAATGCAAAGAACCTAACGATACTGTTAGTTGGAAATCAAAGTACGAAGCAATGCAATATCAACAGGTGGACTAACTTGGCACAATCCTCAACAGCCTGTTCAAGACGCTCTTCCATGCCTATATTCAACTTGAACATGTGTCGGCGAATCCGGCAGAAGGCCGGCTCCGGCACACGGTCCCAAAGATAGACGTGAAGCGATGCAAGTGTGTCATGGTACTGGCATCTCGGCACAAAATTTCGGTAAATCTGCTGGATTTGCTCAAACTGTGCTATGTCCAGCGGCCTCGATCGGAACTGGACTACCTGGATGGCCCCCTCCGCTTCCACGGTGTAGCTGCCCCCTTCTTGGATCGGGGTGGCGGAGACGGGACCGCCCAACAGTTTCGCGGCAAGATCGTTACATTGCTCTAGCGTGCAAGAAGTGTTCGCGGAGAAGAACTCGGAGACTTGGTGGCGCGATAGGTTGTCATAGCTTTCTGGCCCGACTGCGTATTTGGCAACGTCCATTGTCTCGGGGTCGTCGGTGGCAGGATTAGAAAAAATCGATCACAACGAACGGTTGAGTGTTTAAATTCAACGTACAACGTTCGTCCACGGTGCTATAGAGAATCGACTAAAGGAAATAGGAATATGTTATCTCGGGGCTGTGAGAATGCCCAGAGTCAGGACGATGCATGAATATGGTCGACATGCAGCACCGCCGCACCAACACACCGTGTAAATAAGAAAATACTGTATGTAGATACTATATACTTAGGTACCTTGAGCTGACATGCAGCCCCTATTCTGTAAAATCTGTATAAAAAAAAGCCCCCTCCCCCATCTGTGAATCAATCCCGGCCTGACACAGCTCTTACTCGAGACCCCTAGATCAAACTGCAGCACGCCTCAGGAATGAATCTACTCTAAGAGCTATTTCTCCTTCCAGGTTCAAACCAACTGCCAGATGCTTCTGAATGAGTTGGTTTTATCGAATCGAAGCACGAGGCTCCATAGTGTTGCCTAGATCCTAGGAGGCATCAGGGAATTACTGATATTCCCAGAGGCCGGTTCGCTCACGTGATATCCTCAGAAACTGCTTCCAGCTTCAACACCTCGTGAGGGCTCACTCAATACCTAGTACCTGACTATTATGAAAAAGAAAGAAGATATGATGTCACTCTAGACTACTTACTTATAGGTGTCTTCATACTGATTTCATTCTGAGTGACGCATTGCATGGAAATTATTGATTAAATAATGTTCATAATGAAGCTAGCCGAAAGGGGGGTCACGTGAGCACCTCTGATATCACAACCACTATCCCAATTGAACAGTGAAAAGCTATGGTTTTGGATGCAGATTTTGACAACTCCCCCAACTGGAACAAGCCATGTTGGGATTAATATAGATTAGAAACGACCTTTAAGTGAACCATACTTAATAGGTAGTCAGTGGTATTTGGAATCTACCGAGCGCTGCACGTATACAGCTTTAAGGCTAAATTTAGGTGCTGTCCACCGTGAAGTATGTATGTAGGGTTACTCTCAATAGATTAATGTCTCCTGTGAAATCACCAGGATGCCTCCTAATCGTAACTTTTCCGTTGGTTAATATGGCTAAAAGCACCTCCCGGCAGTTATGAGCATTCACAACTCGGCATATAGACGTCAACAAATCCCGGACATTGAAATAGATTTAAGAAGGACAAAATTTCCACGGCATCCATTAACGACCCCCTTTCTCCGAACCTTCCTGCTTTTGAAACTTCGAGTAAGGATCAAGTAAGAATGTCCAACATGTACTGGAGCGCTCTCACCGTCGGCGCCCTTTGGGGCCAGTTTGCCTCTGCGCAAAACATGCTTCGCTTTGGCTGCTCGCAGCTCACCATCGAACGCGCTGATCCTTTGGTCTCGCCTGGAGCAAGCCCCGCGCCGCACACGCATCAAATCATAGGAGGAAACTCGTTCAATCTTACGGTAGGTGCCTGCCTAGTTGCACATCGGCCTGTTTGAATACCTACCATCAAATCACTAACATGATTGATCATGATGTAGATGGAACCAGCCGTATACGACCCGCCGGGCCTGTCAACCTGCACAACGTGCACCTACTCCGAGGACTTCAGCAACTACTGGACGGCGTCGCTCTACTTCAAGTCGCCCGAAAACGGCACCTTCCAGCGCGTGCCGCAGTTCGCCAACTTCGGGCTGCAGCAGGACGGCGGCATGACCGTGTACTACATGCCGTACAGCGCGAAGAACGGCAAGATGACGGCCTTCAAGCCGGGCTTCCGCATGATCGCCGGCGACCCCACCAACAAGGAGAACAAGTACAAGTCCTCCATCTGCCACCGCTGCCTCGGCAACGGCGAGGGGTTCGCCCCCTGCGACGCCAAGGACACGGGCGAGCTGCCGACCAAGTACTGCCCCGGTGGCATCCGCGCCACGGTGATCTTCCCGTCGTGCTGGGATGGCAAGAACCTCGACTCCCCGGATCACAAGTCGCACGTGGTGTACTCGAATGGAGGGGGGCTCGGCAGCCCGAACTGCCCCGCGACGCACCCTGTTTCTATTCCGCAGGTCATGTACGAGATTATGTGGGATACGGGGAGGTACTCGAACACGGCTTGGTATGGGAATGGAAAGCAGCCGTTTGTCTACAGTTTTGGCGATGGGTACGTTTCCCTTTCACTTCCCCCTTTCACTTCCCCCTTTCACTTCCCCGATTGTTTGATTTAATTTCCTTGGATTTGACTGGGCTGTTGTTACTCGCACTGTTACTAATGCCTATCGAATGACAGAACCGGATACGGCCAGCACGGCGACTACCTTTTCGGATGGAAGGACGACTCCCTGCAAAAGGCCATGGACGCCCTGCCCAGCGGAAGGTGCGCCAACGCGAACTGTGGGGTTCTTAAGATACAGTCGGCTGCGGACGCGATGAAGTGCAAGAAAGCGCAGCAGGTCGTTGAGGATGTTGGGAAGGACGGGCAGTGGATTACTTCGCTCCCGGGAGGTGTGGAGGTTACGTACTAGGTGCTGGGTGGGGGTAGGTAGGTAGGTAGGTAGGTAGGTATGATGATAGTCTGTAGACGGTGTTGTAGGTATTTAAGGGGGGGGTAATTTTATGTATGGTTCCTATTGAAATAGGGATGACGCCAACACTGATACACAACGTCTACTACAACGTCAAGTACGATTAGGTACTATCGGAACACCCCAAGCTTTTTCATTTTAGATGTCGATTTTTTAGAGTTTGCTGTGTCCAAGTATCTAAGGTTACCTCATTCTTGAGAAGCCTACTACTAGTAGTACCTCTAGTAGTGGGGGCAGTTTTAGTGAGTACCAAGTACCTATAGTTACCTAATCCCTTAAACCACTGGACCTATTTTGGAGACATTCCCCCGCTTTCAATTAATTTTTTGCATTCCAACCTTTTCATTCCTTTTTATCATTATAACTACCCTAACCTAGGTACTTGAAGCCTTCAATTGACATCATCGATATCAATGTCAGTGTCGGTAGTAACAACGTGAGTATCTATAGCAGCATTACCGGTCAAATGATGCTCCAAGATGCTCCAACTTATCATCGAGCTAAATGCTCGTTCTACCTTGGGTAGTCATAGCCGAGATGATCACCGAGACCGCGAATAAACTGCAGCCAAGCCGGTGTTGCGTATAACGGCCACAATAGCGATCCGCAGGTCTTTCGGAGTGCAGCGTAATCCGGCGTAGCCTCTGACACCTTCTTCCATCTGTTCACCGAAGTCGCCAGACACATCCCCTAGCTATCAAATATGCCGAATCGATACCCGTTGCTCAGATGCCAAGGTGCTGACGCGCGTAAAGAGTGAGCGCATCCTCAAACGTGTTGCCTGCAGCGTAATTAAAGAAAGTAGGGTTTGCGACCCACGGGTTTTGTATCGGAATTGAAGAAACGTGCCATTGCTCGTACGTCACATGAAACAGAGTCCTCAGCCTTTGCTTGCTACCAGAACCATTATATTTTGGATATTTGGACAATGCTCTTTACCACTCACTCTGCCATGCTTCATAAGCATGTTTAATGATCGTTCGGACATGTTCCGCGTTACTAATAACTATCGCACGCAGAAGCCTCGGCGAGATTTCCTGGGTTCTTGAAACAGCCAAGGCTGTATCTTTCACTCTCCTGCCAGATTGCGACAGGAATACGAGAGGCCTTGCTCCATACCAAGTAATCAACCATGGTATCGACGGGTTCCAAGCCTAAGGTACTCGGCCTCCCGCAAGAACTCTGATGCCGTCTTCCTCAAGCGTGAAGGGAGTGAGTCGCAGGTGGTGGTGGTGTCCAGGCTTGGTCATTTATGCCAAAGGAGATGGCGGACTTCGCTTGCTTGGCATGTGCGGCTGACTAATATAGGAAGACCTTGAAAGTAGGGGCAACAGGACAAGATTTGCCATTGAATGCGGCCTGGAAGAAGTTCGCAGCCATCTAACTAACGCGCAGTCATGAAGCATTCCGTTTGGACGCTAGTAAGCTGACCCGAGAAGCATCGGCCCCGCTGCAGCCCCCGAGATCTAAGAACGCTTTGGAGTCCGAGAGGATAGCCATCGACGGCAAAACATCGGAGCTGAATGCGTTTGCCACAACAGCATCAACTCCGTGGCCATTGGTGTGGCCTGGCTTAGTCCTGTGATGAAGTTGATCATGTTGGAATCAAAGATACGGTCTACTGGAACACCACATCTGTGCATGAGAGTAAGGTTAACAAAATAGGTATCTTCGGTATATTAAAGAGCGGAATGCAAGCTAGCCTGAGGTATCTAACTTTGGTATCTGCATTTACAACTAGCCACCCTCCAGGTATCACATCGTTGCAACCCCATCCCTTTTTTTCTTCTTTTTTTTCCTTTTTCATTTTCCATTAGTTTCCAAGAACCTTGCCAACTAGGGCCTTTGCCTGAACAGGGTTTTGAATCCACCACTCGATGAAGATGAGGTTCGGGATCCAGCAAGTGTACCCACAGAGCGATAGAGATACCACGTTATCCATGCCGCAAGCGATAAACAGCACGATCTGCCAGCGTAGCATGACCGCGGCGTAGGTGAGAGAAAAGTTCCTCAGCATCCATTCTCGATGGCTCTTGATGTCGCCGTTCCATATCGTGAGCATGCCGTAGGTTACAGTGATAAACCACGCCAATGCCAAAGCGGCAAACCCCCACTTTCCAATGGGGTTAGCGAAGCTGATGAATGTGACGGAGAACCCGCTAATGGATCCTGTGTAGAGAGCCACAACGTAGATCCGCCCAATCCATCGATGGATCTCGGGGTACTTGCGTCGCAGACTATCCAAGAATTGGAAGGGGCCCAGCCCCATGGCTATTAGGGAGCCTAGAACATGGCATCTCCCCACAGGTCTGGACAGCATTCGCTGCTTCACCATGGGGTTGCCCACCGGTGGGCCGAAGATGAAGTAGATGGCGTAGGCTGCGACGAGGAAGGAGAGGCCAGCCATCACCCACCAGCGGGTGTTCGCCGAGTCCCAGGGTGTGCGAGGCGACTTTTTCTTGCTGCTGCCGCCATCATCGAGATGGACGGGAGGTAGGGAGGTTGAAGTAGAGGAAGGTATGGTCTTCTCGTCAGAGGCTGGCTTGACTAGGTCTCGGCCGCTGAAGCGATTCCCAAAGCCAACTCCAGGAGCAGCAGCAGCGTTGACTGATAAGATGGTATTTGCCATAGTAGTGAAGTTGGTTTATAGGTGTGAGATGAAGAGAAAGATGAAATGTGATTGGAGGGAGATCATGTGAAGACTATGTATGATGACAACTTGGTAGGCATGATTTGTAAGTCCCAGCAGCAGTCGAGTTTGGGGAAATGTTATATATGACTTCATCTTACCCCAGGTTCCCCAGGAGGATCGGCGCTCTTCGAAGTACCGAAATCTGTCGGGCTCGGCATATTTCCGGGTTGCCGTTAGTGAGGTAGATCGGTTTTCTCCGGATCCAGTTTTCGGACCCTTGGTTTATTCCGCTGTCTTGTCCGGGGCTGTGATAGGCACAAGTCACTGCGCTAGGACCGTGCTACGTTAGGGTTACCCCTTTAATACTGGGTCCAGATGGTGGCGTGGTGACAAGCCAAGACCACGAGACCAGGATCCATGCGCCGGCAGAGAGCATGGCAGAGAGCATGGCAGAGCACATGGCAGACAGCATGACCGCACGACCGGAAGAGAGGATGGAAGATCGTGAGGGTAGGATGAGGAGGTCGATATATAGTTAATGCTATTTGCTACCTAGCTATATGTATGAATCTACTAGTGTAAGCACCTAAAATTGATTGAAGATTAGTTAATATTATATTAGATACCTAATACGTATTTGGGAAAAAAAACAAAAATGCTATGGATGCTTTTTTTTCTTTTTTTGGAAACCAGAACCACCGCCATCCTTTATGCGTTATGGTACATGAAAAAATATATGTACGTATGTATATATGATACGATACGATACGATACGACACGATACGACTTGACACATGGAGCTGCCTAGTAAACACTAGGTTATGTAGGTATGTAGGTAGGCAAGGCGAACCTACCTACCTTAGTACCTAGTCATCAGAGCGGCATCAACCTTGGAAGTCTTCCTTTCCCTTTTTGCGTCCAACCAGAGTTACTCGACGACTTGCCGATTGGAGCAGCAGTAGTCTTCAGCTCCACGTGCCAGAGCGAGCGGCGTACGAGTCCGTCGAGCTGCCAAACAGGCTGCGGCGCGAGTTGACGCTGCCGAACAACGAGGGCTTGAAGCCGTTCCCGGAGTGGTGGGAGGAGTTGTTGTTGTTGCCGTTGTGGTTGCCGTTGTGGTGGCTGCTGTGCTGGGATCCGTTGGTGCTCCTGTTGAACGACCAGAACCGCTCCTTCTGCTGCTTTTCGTCATGGTGGGCTGCTGGTGCTGGTGCTGGTGCTGGTGCTGGTTCCGTCTTCTCGTCTGATGGGGCGGCTGCTACCACTGATTGACTTTCGATCGGCAGAGGGGTAGCGGACGCTGCGTCAATAGTCGCCGTCGGCAGTCCTGCCTGGGGAGTAGTGGCAGCGGTAGTAGTAGTAGTAGTAGTAGTGGTAGTGCCGTCTGGCTTCTCTGAATTCTCCTCCAACTTCCTCTTCTCCTTCCTTCGCTCCCTCCTCCGCTCCTTCGCGTTCTTCTTGGCCTTCTTCACGATGCCGGCAATTCCCTGCGACTCGGATTCGGGCGAAGGGGTTTGTGTGCCCGCGCGCTCTGGCTCCGTCTTAGCTGCTGCTGTGATGACGGAGCCGCCGTCTTTCTCGTTCTCGTTGTCGTTGTCATTTTCATTCTCGTTCTCGTTCTCGTTCTTGTCACCACCACCATGACCATTACCATTACCATTACCACTACCCCCCCTCTCCCTGCACAATTCCACCATCGCCCTGAGCAGGAAACTGATGGCCGACAGCTTCTTGCCGGAGCCTCCCACGCCTTCCGAGGAATCGATCCTCAGGGATGCGGGCGGGCTCTCGATGATCGGCGCAACCCGAGCCTTGATGTAGCCGTGCAGCCAGACGTCGTCGGCCCTCGGCTTGGGGTGCACCTCCGTCAGCACGTCGAACAGCTGCGTCAGCTCGAGGGCGGCGCCCAGCCGCTCGATCTCGCCCTTGGCCAGCTGCTCCAGCAGCGGCAGGTCGTACTCGCGCGCGAGCGTGTACACGCGGACGCTGGTGGAGAACTCGGCCACCCGCTTCTCGTTGGCCGAGGCCCCCCGCGGCTGCAGGCACTGGTAGGTCCCCGTGAAGATGTAGTGCACCAGCACGTGGCCCGGGTCCCCCGGGATGTGGTCGAGGCGCAGCGAGTACCCCGACTCGTAGTGCGCGCTGAATCGCGGGTGCCGGTCGATCAGGGCCGTGGGGATGCTGAGAGGCGGCCCGTCTTTGAAGTATAAGACGGCGTGGGGGCCGGCGTAGGGACTGGCGAGTCTGTGGTTAGCGGGCACGTCGTCAGTGGTGGGGAGAGATGGGTGCTTTACGAGGAGTATGGCCGCTGGTCGATGTCTTCTACCGTCAACGCATCGTCTTCCACTGCCGTGTCGTCTTGCACCGCGTCTTGAGGCGCATCTTGGACTGCGTAGTCTTGGACCGCGTAGTCTTGAACGGCGTAGTCTTGGACTGGATAGTCTTCGACTATTAGGTCCGGGGTGCTGTACTGTGCTTCCTCCATCTCTGTTCCTGTTCCTGTTCACCGACTGCGGAATGAAAAGAAAAGAAAAGAGAAAAAAATAAATAAAGTATCTCCTTAGTTCCGGCCTTCTGTCTTAATTCAACTCTAGCACGGAATAAAATAGCAAGATATTGATGTGCCTGTCAGGTAGATATAAAAGCGGTTAATGAGGCTCTGTCTCTGACGTAACAATGAAGCTCTGGGCGCCGACGAAGCTTCAGATATAAAAAAAAAAAAAAAGTCTTGGTTGGTTCTAATAAAACGATATTAAACAATTCAGCAAAAAAAAAAAAAAACATAAATTCTTTTTCAGGCTTCAATCGGTGATGCATCCAAGTTTCGGCCTAATAATAAGTGCTGCTCTCCCTACGGGTCAATGACACGAAGCATACAACAGCCAGATAGATACGTCTATAATTGGAATAATATGTGTTGCAACGCTGGGCTAGGAAAGCTCAGGGCTTTGGAGGTCACGTAAGATGTTGTGTCCTAAACGAATGGTGCCAACAACTCTTGCGGTAACTATAATACGCCACAACAACAGCAACAGCAACAGCGATACCCAATCCAATTTTATTAGGCGGCCCTAGGTAGATAGGTATGTAGGTAGGTAGGTAGGTAGGTAGGAAGGTCAGGTACAATACCTTAGCTGCTGCCGTGTGTTTAGTAGAAACGGATGCATATTTTACACGATAGGGGTATATTTATCTGGATCTGGATTTGCCAACGTATATCCTACTAGGTTAGGTAGTTTTAAAGTAGGTAAAGTATCCAATAGCCCATATTATTTAATATGGCATCAGACATCCTATTTGGCATTCAGCTATTAAGCTATTATCTCACCGTCTTTTATCACCATACATTTTAATTCCTTACCTACCTCCCCCCCCCCCCCTAGCCATTATTGAACGATTGCTGCCAATCAAGCAATGCTATCTGTCACGCTCGACCCACAGAGCCATGGTTTGGTCGTAGGTAAGCTAGGAGTAATACTAGGTACTGCCCACCGCATTAGGAAAGGGCCACAGTGAGGAAATGGATCCTCAGGAAAACATTAGGGTTAGGTAGATTGCTACAAGGTATGTATGTATGTAGGTGTATTAATTAATTGCCAGGCAACCTCAATTGCTCAAGAGTAGGTAGAGGGAGGCCATTCGTCATTCAAAGAGAGGTCACGCGCCTCGCTTTAACTAGTTTGGTGATATAATAATACTGGAAGCCCCCGAAGAGGCTGGAGCCAATAGGCATTCTCTGAGTATGTCTTTTTGTCGGATTGCCCGACTATATTGAGCAGCAGAGCTGTCTCGGCGCTGGGCGTGGTCTGGATGTCTACTCATTGCGCTACGCCCAATGTGGACTTGATTCTCTCAGGCTGAACGAGTATTTAAGCCAACACGAGCTTATAATCTGGATGGCTGCTCTCAAAGTTTGGATACAGATGCGCTTCGAAGGTCACTGCCTAGGTAGGCAGTTTGAAGTCGGTGAGATGGTAGAGGGCGAGAGGATGCTGGTAGAAGGGGTATACATAGTTAGTACTAACCAAAGTTCCCTAGAACGACTACTATGTACGATATATTTTAGCTGTGCTCTGTGGATTACTACCTATATTCCATGTTTGTATAGCTTCTTTGTTTCCCCGTGTGGGCGTGACTCTTTAATAAATTAGTAAATAATAACTCTAACTCGTTCTCCATCGCTTCTCGCCCCTTGCGCTAGAGGTTCCCCTCAAGATTTGAGCTGGCACCTTTGCGGATGCTTGCCATTGAGTGAAAGCAACATGCACAACACATAAAGAGATGTCAACCAATAGAATATAGGCCAAGCACATCACAAGTACGTAATAGGTACGGGGGCACTTTGTTGAGATTAATTTACACGGTAGACACTCCAAGGCTGTCAAATTACTAGGAATGGATACCGTTCCAGTACAACTTTAGAAGCATTAAAGATCTCATTATCGAATGTGGGTGCTATTCATCTCCGTCTATCTCTATGTCTATCTCCCCCATCTAAGTAATCTTGAGGCATTGCCGGAGCTCTGTAGCTCAAAGGATCTAACCTAGATTAATATCATTACAGCCCCGTACAGCTACCTAGTAGTCACTAGGTATTTTACCTATTAAGTAAGTACCAGGTACGGTACTGGGTAGCTGTAAACCACATACGTCAGTGGCCTCGGGTTTACTCCGATTTCTCCAACGACCCCATATGATCTACTCCACTCTGACTCGCTTCTTAGACTCGCCATTGCCGTTAGCATGACCATTCTCAACTACATCTCCTTGACCTGAAAAGTATTCAAGGCTTCCCTTGGGATCAGCCTTCATTCCCTTCGATCCATTCTGCCAGCCCGCCGGGCAGACTTCGCCGTGCTCGTCGGTGAACTGGAATGCCTGCACAAGGCGAATAGTTTCCTCGACGTCACGTCCGACCGGCAGGTCATTGACGGTAATTTGTCGGAGAGTGCCCTTGGGGTCGATGATGAACAGGCCGCGCAAAGCAACACCCTCTTCCTCGATTAGGACGCCATAGCTGCGCGAGATCTTCTGCGACTTGTCAGCCACCAGAGGCAGCTTCAAGTCGGAGCCCAGACCACCCTGCTTGCGAGGCCTCTCGGTCCAGGCTAGGTGAGAAAAGTGTGAATCGGTCGAGATGCCAAGCACGGTGGTGTTGATGGCCTCGAAGCGCGGCAGGGCATCGTTGTACTGGATGATCTCGGTCGGGCAGACGAAGGTGAAGTCAAGAGGGTAGAAAAGAAGAACGACCCTAAGAAAAAAAGAAATGTTAGAGACAAGATTAGGTGCCAAGGTAGGTAGGTGTTTGGGTGCCTAGGGCATGATTCAAAATTTGAATCTTGACCAGACTTTGCAGGAGGCTGGGCTTACCATTGTCCGAGATAATCAGACAGGGAGATGTCCTTAAATTCGCCGCCGGGGAAGACGGTAGTGGCTTTGAAAGCCGGAGCAGGTCGCTGAACGAAGGCAGTAGACATTGTCAACGAATTGGTGATGGTTAAGATGATGTGTTGATAGAAAAGTTGATGTTTTTTTGTTTTTTTTTTGGGCGACTACAGCGAATGATGGAACCTTGAAGGGAAGAAGTGATATTATGTATGAGTGTGAGTGGAAAAGTTTAGAAATTAATAATAATTCTTCCTCGTTCTTTCAGGGAAGCAAACGACGGACCGACGACCAGGGACGTGCGTACCTTCCTGGAACCCACATAGAAATATGTATGTATGGGTACATACAAATACAGTACCTAGTATTTATTCACGCTCCTTATCATTTCACTAATCCCAACTAAGAAGACTCGAACTTCTCTTGCCATCGCGTGATTATTGCATGTCGTGACTGCCTATTATCAACGCGTTGGACCCACTTACACTTTTATCTAAATTCAATTATACTATCATACTATCACTAGCCTAGCCAGTTCTCCGACTTCGGCGTAAATTCAGAAGCTATTGTGAACTGCTGGTTACATAATCCTTGTACTGATACATGTGTGTACTCAGGGGGAACTTCCCTGTTCTTGTCGCCGGCGCCACCGGTAACCTCGGCCAACACGTCATCGAGAGCCTCCTTACCAGAGGCGTCTTCGCCGTCCCCGGCCACGGCGACTTCTCGCCCCGGAACCACAGGTGCTGGGATCCGGATCCGCGGCGCAAAGGGCTGGAGATCTGGGGTTGTGGCGTGTGTGTTCGGGTGTGAATGCCCTGAGGGAGATTGCGGCCACGTACGAGTCTGCCCGGGGGTGTAGAGTAGATGTTCAGGTCAAGGGGACAGTGGAGGAACTGGAGATGCGGGCTTTGCGAGCCAGGTGCGAGGGGTCAAGACGTAATTTCTGGGCTCACATTGGATGGTTTTATCAGTTGTTCACTGCAAAGGGCACTTGGACTCTACGAGAACATGACAATGAGAAGCTGGGGCTGCGTACTAGGTACGTCGTTGCTGGAATTCTTGCAACAGAATCTATCGATCTGAGTCAACACACCTCGGTTCATGGTAAAGTCAATTTCAACGCCCTTTCCAAGTTCCTTGATTCGTATAGTCAAGATCAAAGGTATATGACTACTTCTGCGACGATCACTTAAGCCATCTACCCACAAAGCACCTGGACAGTCACGAACATGGCATAAAGGCAAGGATATGAAGGGGAGTCAAACACCACTGGGATATATTCCTTGAGACTAGCCATCATTCAGTCGTATATACATCCTAAAGCATCTCGACAGAGGTGGATGGATGCCTACAATAAAAGACCTACTTACTTGAACAAAAAAAACAAAAAGAAATTTACCGACGGGTACCTGCATTATCTGATTAATTAACCCCCCTCGCATTCATCAACAACAGCCTCCCCTCCTCCCAGCCCCTGTGCTCCGCGATCTCGACCATCGTCATGCCGGAGTCGTCCTGGACGGAGCGGTCGACGCCCGCCTTGTCGATGAGCAGCTTCAGTATGCCCGCGTCGCCGTTCTCGATCGCCTGGATGTACGCGTTGTGGCCCCGGTAGATCTTGTTCGGGTCCGCGCCGTGCTTCAGCAGCAGCTCGATGATCTCCGTGTCCGCCCCGTGCAGCCGCCGCAGCGCCTTCACGATCGGCAGGTGCTCGCCCGGCGAGTTGACGTCCGCCCCGGCTTCCTCCTGCGCAGCCATTTTAGTATTAGCAAAAAAAGATTCTCTCGAAGTACCTAGGTACCTAGGCTCAAATATGTAGCCTTCACGCAAAAAAAAAAAAAAAAAAAAAAAAAAAAAAAAAAAAAAAAAAAAAGGGTAGGGGTCAATTCTCACCAGCAAGAAATGCACAATCTCGACCCTGTCCTCGCGAATCGCGGTGGTGAGCGGCGAGAAGACGCCGCCGTTGCGGTCCTCGACGCTGATGCCGGCCTTGAGCAGCAGCTTGATGCTCTCGAGCTGGTTGGCGACGACGGCCATCTCCATGACGCCCTTGAAGGCGCGCGGCTCCGCCAGCACCGGCAGCAGGCGCTTGAGGATCGCGGGCTGGTGCACGGCCATGCAGACGGGCCAGTTCTCGCCCCGCACGTTCGGGTCGGCGCCCCGGGAGAGGAGGAGGTCCTGTTGAAGAAGTAAGTTAGAGGGGTTTCCGTGGTTTGGTTTTCGTTTTTTGAGGTTGTAATAAGAAAAGGGGGGAGGGGGGGGTAAGTTGAGAATCTCAACATCCATAAACTTACCACTAAATCTGCACGATTCTCCTTGATCGCCGTAGTCAGGGGCGTAGCGCCAGTCTTGGGGGTTTTATCATTAGGAGAAACTCTCCCCGTGTCTAGCAGCCAGTACAGGGCCTCGACATTCTTGCACTGGACTGCGGTTTCGAGAATACCCTTAGGAGAGTGCAGGTCGGCGCCTGCGGCCACGAGGGGGGCTAGATACTGCGTTCGGTAGTGCGTTACGCATTTGAAGGTGGGATATTCGGCGCTTGGGAGGTTCGGGTCTTGACGTTGCGGAGGTCAGCAATCAGGTAACATTCAGGATAGGTAGAAAGATGAAGCGCAATGGATGCGAGGGCTTTTAGCAAGCTTACCGGCGCCATTAGCTAACAGTAGCTCGAATATATCGGTGCGGTTATCCCGGATAGACGAGCAGAGCGGCGTGTAGATGCCGTCCTTTTTGGAGTTGGGATCGACCCCGGCTTTTAGCAGCACGCGGACGGATTCGATGTGGTTGATTGAGGTAGCCAGTTCCATGATACCAGGTGCTTTCTTGGGGTCGGCACCGCGGTGGAGAAGGACTTCGAGTATTCGGGGCAAGCCTGCTGCTGGCCAGAGCCTGTATCACACAATATCATTAGCCTCTCTCTTTTGTCTTCCGCTGGGGCTACTAGGTAGCTAGCTAGCGATGAATACACATGCGCCTTCCTCCGTGGGATTTGATCTTAGGATAAAAGGGGCTTCGTATCCAATTAAGTGGAATAGGTTCTCGCTGGGATCTATATAACTCACTGCGTAGATGTTAGCACTGAGATACGCCGTGTCATGATTCTTACTCGGTACATACCATATGTTTAGGACCAGGGAGATTAGGGTTGGCGCCATGATCCAAAAGGCTCGTGACAACCTCTATCCGATTCGACTCGATGGCCTCGAATAAAGGCGTGTGTCCATCTCTGTTCTTCGCATTTGCATCGGAGCCATACTCCAGAAGCATGTCTACCACCTTCTTCGCTCTCTTCTTAATAATAGCCGCCATCAATACGCTGTCGCCATTTGACACGGTGTGGTTGACGTCGCCTCCGTACGTGAGGAGAATGCGGGCAAGATCTAACTTGTCTTCGATGATGGACAAGGCGAAGGGCGTCTCGGAATTGTTCCCTGATGCGAGGTTGGGATCCGCTCCATATCTTTAAGGGAGGAGTGCAAGAGTTAGTGATCTTGATACGTTTGGAACTTGGAGGTGGATTGATAGAGCTGCAAGGAAAAAAAAAGGGGCTAAAAGTTTCCAGTACTCACTTTAGTAGCATAATAACGGCATTTCGAAAGGATTCCTCTACTGCTAAATACAAGGGTGTCACGTTACGGCTATCGGGCGCATTCGGGTTGGCGCCGAAGAGTAAAAGGATACGGATGGTTTCCGCATCATGGCGAGTGATGGCATGGTTTAGGATATGCGAGTCGGACGAATTATCCGGAGAAGCGCCTCGGTCTAACAACTGCTCGACCAACTTATGGTTTCCCGCCTCGACTGCGGAGAGCAATGCGTCTCTCAGGGCTGGCGGATCAGACGCCACCGAGTTCCGCGGCGACCAACGGGGCATGGCGAGGGGGTCGGCCTTCACGCGGACGACTTTGAAGGGCTCGAACGAATCCATCTCCCCCACTAGCGTGTCTACCTCGGTGATGCCGCCCGAAGGAGCGGAGCTTTGCGCGATCGATCGGTCGAAGGTGTCAATGGTGGACATGACGCGTTCTCGGCCATGGTGGGAGGACGACCTGCTCCCGATGGTGTAGTTGGATAAGGAGGGCTCGCGGTGGATTTCTGGGAGGAGTTGGACGCCGCCCTGGTTTTGCGGATCGTCGCGGTCTCGTGTTCTCATAGAACCATGGTCTGTCAGGGAGCCCTTGCTGCGTGGGCTGTTGTGAGAAGGGGGCAATGGCCAAACTGGCGGTATCTCTTCTGCTTGGTGGGTGACTGTGTTGTGGCTAGAAAGCGTCTTCGTCCTCGTCATGGCTGCGGTGTGCTTCCCCCCCGACATGCGTTCGAGTGCCGCCGCAAGGCCTGTGTAGCCAATGCCGACTGTGTCGTCGATCTTGGCATCGCCCAGAGACCACTGGAACACGAGAGCACTCATCCTTAAGGCCTCTCGGGTCTTGGCTAGATTGTCCTTCATCCTTTCGACATCGTTGTCGGCAAACATCTTGCGCCACCCCTTTTGAATCTTCCCCATGGTACCCTTCTTCTCGTACTCCAGGAGGCGACTTAGCATGTGGTCGAGGACCTGGAAATCCGAATTCGCCGCTCGGAACTTCTTGTCGAGCTCCGCGATCATCTCGATGGGAAATCGTTGGTTGCTTCTGGAGCATTCAGTCAGGCCGGCTTCCAGAGACCACATTATTCGACATGTCTCTAAAAAGTCGTGTGCTAATTCGTCGAACTGGTATCCATGTTTCTCGACAGTGCCAACATATTCGAGCATGTGAATGGCTATCTTGTTGCCGAGAACAGTTGCCTTATGGCAAACACCAATCGTCATTTCGATAGAAGGAGCCATGATGATCGTTTATTCGACCGAATCATCTACTTATCTGGAACCACCCCCTCAAAAATTAACTTTGAATCCTTTATTAGGGGAAAAGAGATCTCGGAAAACGTCCAAGAAGTTTTCAACACATAGCAAGCTGGGCATATACCCTTTATGTGACAATAATCCGATGCCCTAACGTGCCTAGGTTGTGGACCTCTAGTCTTATGTTCCATATGTGTGAGCGCTATGATAAGGGCCTTTGAGTAGGTAGCAGAATTCCATTGACTACGAGTCTAATCTCTATAAATCTAGATGGGGGCTATAGTCCCCCCCTCCGCATTAGTTATGCGGCTAACTAGGCCTCTGTTGACTAGAGTTGGTAGGTATTTCGCTTCCCATAACAGGTTTACTCCTCACAGGTCAAGGGTAGACCCCCGTATTTTTTTCCGTAGAGCGCATCGAGGGGTTGATAGATTCTAGTTGTGACCGGGGGTTTCTCCGCCGCAGTATCCATAATCCATACCGTGGGAATGCGTAGTATGGGATGAAGCTCTTTTTTGGTTACATACTAAGATCCAGCCTAGGGGATCTCCTCCGATGCTAACCCAGGATCTGAGCGATCACACATTCGACATAAACGCTCCTTCGCTAGGTAACCAGATCTACTATGGGTTCCTGCTCAAATTTCCACGTGGTTGGCATATCCACAAAGATATCCATCGTCAGGTCGCCGGACCACTTGGTATTCTAAGGGGGGTATCATGTCAACTTTAAGCGAAGCTAAGGGCTATACCCTTATAACTCGAATAGTTGAAAGGGGTTAACTCCTGTGCCTCGTCCATAGACTCCATACCCTATATGGCTCGGCTGGTGGGCTCCTGAGACTTGATGCATAAGAAATATTGCTGATCACCCAGGTCCTAAGTAGACGAGCAGCTTTAGTGTAGGTTTCAGATATTTTACTATGTATAAACGACTACCAAGGGCGAAGAAACCCGGTGCCATGGATGGATTCCTATTAGCCAGGAACTGAGGCTAAGACTAATGGGATCTAAGAACGCTAATGGTTCACCGGCTTCGAGCCCGGACCTAAGGGTGGCGACGCCGGTGTCTTGGCAGCTGACGAGAATCGTACTAAGTCAGAAATCAGATGGATGAGCCAATCTACAGTAGGAATGCACCGGCTACGAGTCGTTCGCATGTTTGACACGAATACGTGACGAAATTGCCTGGGATTTGTAAGGAATCTAAGGATGGGGTTCGAACTAGCTGGTGGTAAGTAAGAAGCTGAAGTTTTTGCTATGGTATTACTACTGAACTGACCTCGGCAGACCACTGAAAATTGGCGAATGAAGAAAATGCAGAATCTGCGGCCGCTTATGCGGCAAGTCTCATTGGGTTTAGCTACGTAGTACTTCAACTAGGTAGGTGCATAGACACTATCTATTTGTAAGAACCCAGATGAAAAATCCCAGGCAACTGGTTGATTAGTATTGGACTGCATTGGGTGGAGGCACCGTGGAGCACATTGGTTGAGATCAGATCTGTGGAATATTACGTATCGTGATCAACTCTTGGTTTTTAATGAGAAATGAATTGTGTGGCGAGTGCTAGAGTTACATAGTAGTTGTAATAAATAGCAGAGTGTTATCACATATGTGCGTCGTGACGCTCAGGGGCAATACCATTAACGTCATTTACTCTTTAAAAGCATATAAAAGCATATAAAAGCATATAAGCTTATGCAACTCACACGCAGCACAACTTACATAATGCTTCCTATCGTTATCTACCCTTTATCTACCCTTAGGTAGCACTTGAGCATTTGGCGTCGGCGACGATGCGGAGTACCGCAGCCTAGTTTTGAACATTTTTTTTTCTTTTCTCTCTTACCACTATTACCAGAGTATGTACCTAACCTAGTACATTAACCTAGGTTAGATATTTAGCTTTGTAAGATATATGGAGTTTCTACAATATTCCACGGCCCCCTTCACTTATACATACTATGTATTATATACTATGTGCGCTTAGATTACATCGTTCGTGGCTATTAACTGTTTAGGTCCTGTACCCGAAAATGACTCCGGTTCGTTCTAGTTGGGTTGGTGGCAAGGAAATACGAGGAGAAACAGAACCGTGAGTTAAACACCAAGCTCAATGAAGTATTTGGAATATTGACTATATCCATACCTAGCCTACCAGTAATCGACCCAGCCACTGGTAAATCCTTCGCCCTGTAAGTTTGAATCTACGAGTTTCGCAATATATTCTCGTAAAAAAAAAAAAAAAAAAAAAAAAAACCTAGTTGCCTAGTACCATTAACTTACCCGGCATGGCATCTCAGCTATCGCGACGCCGGCGAAGAAGACGTTGATCGCGCTGTTGCTTTGGCCCAAGAAGTCTATGTATCCGGCGTATGGTCCAAATCCTCGCGCCATCACCGCGCTGATGTGCTGGACAAATGCGCCAGCCTGCTCACGGAGGCCTTGCCGGAGCTCATCGCGCTCGAGGTGCAGCAAACCGGCCGTGTGGTCCGTGAGATGAAAGCTCAGGTGCCGTCGCTGGTCCGCTGGTTCAAGTACTACGCCTCACTCCTCCGCGTAGAGGAGCAGCCGGTCCTTCCAACGACGGGCAAGCTTCACAATTTTGTACAGCGCGTCCCGCTTGGGGTGGTTGTGCTGATCACGCCTTTCAATCATCCGCTGCTGATCGCCGTCAAGAAAATCGCACCCGCGCTAGCCGCGGGGAATAGCGTTATTGTAAAGCCTAGTGAATTGACCCCCTTGACAACGCTCCGGCTTGGCCCTATTCTGAAGGAAGCCGGCGTACCAGACGGTGTGTTCAACGTTCTACCAGGATTCGGCGCGACCACCGGCAAATATCTTGTGCAGCATCCCCTGGTAAGAAAAGTAGATGTTACTGGAGGAACGCCAGCCGGGCGTGCGATCGGTGCGATCGTGGGTGGTAACCTGGGGAGGTATACGGCAGAGCTAGGGGGCAAGGCACCACTAGTGGTGTTCGACTCAGCGGACATACAGCTTGCGGTGAATGGTATCGCGTTCGGCAGTTTCATTGCCAGTGGTCAAACCTGCATTGCGAGTACGAGAATCATCGTCGATAATAAAATCTTGCCGGATCTGCTGGTGAAGCTTAGAATCAAGACGGATTCGATCACACAACGCATGGGCGCCCCTTCTAACCCTGAGTCTATGATGGGGCCGTTGATTTCGGAAACCCAACTCAGCAAAGTCGAGACATTAGTCTACGAAGCTCTACAGAGCGGGGACGCAATAGCGATCGTAGGAGGCGACAGAATGCGAGGCACCAGCTCTCTTGACGGGACGGACTTCTCCGCAGGTTATTTCTACGAACCAACCGTTCTCGTATCAGGCGAGGGCGGTAAGGAGAGCATTCTAAAGACGCGCATCTGGCGGGAGGAGGCATTTGGACCGGTCATCGTCGTTGTAGGCTTCGATACGGAAGACGAGGCAATCAAGTTGGCCAACGACAGCGAATTTGGTCTCGGGGCTGGGATCTGGACCCAAGACTTGGCGCAGGCTTTTCGCGTCTCGGAGCAGATCGAAGCAGGCATCACCTGGGTCAACACACATCATCGGAATGATCCGAGCAGTCCGTGGGGCGGTGCCAAATCGTCGAGTGGCGTTGGGAGCGAAAACGGTATAGATGCGTATCACGCTTACACGACGACCAAGAGCACAATCATCAACTACGCGTCTACAGAAGAGTCAATAGCTACAGATGATTGGTTTGCAGAGGGAGCAAACTCCGTGAGATACGGATGAGAGTATTGTGCAGCCTTAACGGTGGCGTAACAGGGGGCTAGGTACTTAGGTAATGAGTTACCGACCCCTAATATACTAGGTAAAAATGCTATTCAAAGTCCAATGCAGAATTGGCACCTACGATACACAACAGTACGCGATCGTCATTGACTCTGTGCGGTAAAAGGAAGTTGCTCAAAAAGCGAATAAATAAGGATACCGATTAGTCCTTCCAATTTGTTTCTACACTACCTAGGTGACTAAAGTTTGAAGTCATCGATGTTAAAGGAAGGTGTTTGACATATATTGGCATCGAGATCCACAGACCGAAGGCGTAAAATGTAACAAGCGCTGGAGAGGATTTTGAGGGATCCAAGTCCCTGGTTTGCTTGACCAGCCGCCATTCTATGTACGACCTAATGATTGGACAGAACACGAAAGGTACACTAGGTACGTCAACATGGCAATTTCATATGACGTTACACATTGGCGTTATATATACTCCTTTACACGAGGCATCCGTCTATTTATATACTGAGTCGTCATATAGATATCTTACAATGAGCCACGAGTACCTCCAAGCCTACTAGGTACCTATATATACCAGCAAGACGCCAGCACAGAAAAAAAAATCACTCGAGTCTCAGATTAAGCCCCCTTCTTCCTCACAGCTGCATACTCAGGCAACCCACCTAGGCTGTTACATAGTGCTACCCTCGTAATGTCTGTGGCTCTTAGACATGTCGCCCTGTCCGGCATGGTCACTGCATTCTCCCTTGGGTTGATCTGGCCTGTTTCCGCAACAGTAACTTTGTTTCCTCGCGACGAACGAACCTCAGCGCACGACTGGGATCCGGTGCTCCAAGGGGCTAGCAATGCACAGTGTGCCGACCTTGCCGTGATATTCGCCCGAGGAACGTTTGACATAGAGTGAGATACCTACCCGGAAACATACACAAGTTAGACACCTAACAGAAAAATAGCAACTTGGGAGTATGGGTTGGCGGCCCATTTGGCGCTGCCCTACTTGACAAGTCGTATGGTATCAAGACCGCGATCCAAGGAGTCGATGCTAGCGATTACCCGGCGGATCTAGCGGGATACATTGAAGAAGGGGGTTCGAATAGTTGTGCCAAGAGTGTGGGAGATAGTGTACAAAAATACGTCTCTCATTGTCCACATTCCAAGGTGGCCATCTGGGGATGGAGGTAAGTCTAACCCGACGATTCCGGCTGGGGTTCTGGTCTCTCTAACACGTAAACCGCAATAACAGCCAAGGTGCTCTATGCGCTCATAAGTCGCTGGGCAACCTGGGCAAGGCAGCAGACAATGTCATCGCACTGGGAGTATTTGGCGACCCGATTGGGGTCTGGCAGGATAGCGTCCAGTATCCTCAGATACCAAAGGGAGTCACACTGCTTTCATACTGCGAGAAGACGACACCAGACCCGCTGTGTACCAACCCTACGGTGGATTTCCCCAAGGATCCCCTCGGCTTCGTCAACAGGCTCAAGGCTGTGTGGAAAGAGGTAGATAGTGCACACATGAACGAAGCTCAGAAGAAGGCGCTCAAAGACATGGCTGTTGAACTCCCGAAGCAGGCGATGAAGCAGCTAGGCAAGCTTGGGAAAGACCTCGTTGAAGGTCATATAAGACGGTGGATGTTAACGCCGGAACACTTTTGGTACGGGATTGATGGCAAGGTTGAGACGGCTGCTGAAGACCTTGTGCGTGTATATGAGGAGAGTAAGAAGTAGGGATTATTCCAACCACATACACTACTACCCTGGGCACCTAGGTACTGTCAGATACCTATACTGACATAAACTAAAGACAATTAATGAGAGGATTGGGATCAATGATTTACACTTCTGGCGTGGTAAAACCTGACAGGTACTAGGTACATAGTACAGTAAGCATCTCCTATCGATAACAATAGTTAATAACGGCACGTGTATCTTCAGCTCCCCCACATAATGAGCTCTTATCACTCGTTACTTTCGTTACTTTCGTTACTTTCCTCGCTGCTCACTCATCACTCACTCGTCACTTAGTCCGGTATTATAACTCACAACTTACACCTGGCCACTTATGACTTACCTGGGTATAAAAAACAAAACACAAAAAAACACACAAAAAAAAACCCTCCTTTTCTTGATTCCGTACCTATCCCAGGTACCAGATAATCATGAAAGCAATCATCGCCGGCCCCGCCACACTCGCCTTGGTATACCGGGCATATTCGCACAACTCGCTCACGCCGCTCGGCATCGTAGTCGCTGCGCTATCCGCCGTGGCCCACGCCGTCCACCCCTGGAACCTGCCCTTCGTGCTCGTCTGCACCTTCTTCCTAGCCGGCACCCGCGTCACCAAGATCAAGGCCAATGTCAAGGCCGGCCTTACCCTGAGCTCCCAGGGCAGCGGCGGGGGTGAGGGGCCGCGGACCCACGTCCAGGTCCTTGCCAATTCCCTCATGGCCTCTATCCTGTCGCTGCTGCACGCCTACCAGCTCCATCTGCGGCGCGAGGCCGTGCTTTCCCAGAAGCAGATCCCCGACGGCTCCTTCTGCTACAGTTGGGGCGGCGATCTGCTGGTCATCGGCATCATCGCCAACTACGCTGCCGTCACGGCCGATACCTTCTCCTCCGAGCTGGGCATCCTCTCCCGGACCTCCCCCAGGCTGATCACCTCCTTCAACCTACGCAAGGTTCCGCCCGGCACGAACGGCGGTGTCACGCTCTGGGGCTTGGTCGCCGGCTTTCTCGGTTCCATGATCATCGTCACCACCTCTCTCGTTTTTCTCCCGCTCTGTGGCGAAGACACCAAGGGTAAGATCGGCGGCGGCGACAGCTGGACCGTCAATCAAAAGGCCACCTTGGCTTGGGGCTTAACTATCTGGGGCGCGCTGGGTAGTCTCTTGGATAGCTTCCTGGGAGGCTGGTTTCAAAAGAGCGTACGCGACGTGCGATCTGGGAAGATCGTCGAGGGTGAAGGCGGTGTTCGTGTCTTGACCTCCTTCCCGGACGCCAAACCCAACGCAGCTGGAAGCCAGGCTACCGAAAAGCCATCAAGTCCCGCGGCCTCGGGCGGAGACGACTCGTCATCTAAAAGCCCCTATGACCCGAAGGATAAGCACCGCAGCTCTCATTTCGGGGACCGCAAGCCTACACGCGTATCGGAGAGCGGCTTCGATTTGTTGGACAACAATGACGTTAACTTTTTGATGGCATTTACTATGAGTGTCGGGTCAATTATAATTGCCGGCTGGTACTGGGGCGTACCTCTGGATAGCATTTTCAAGGCTTGAAAGGATGGGAACAGCAATAAGGTCTATTTCCATTTTACCACATACTGATAAGTTGTTCTCCTCATCGGCCGGACGTGTTAAGGGGGGGTTGGACGGGAAAGGACTTTGGTCGCCCAGAAGCCAGCGAAGGGACAGAAGGTCTGATTAGGAACAACTATCTACTGTCTAGGTATTAGGCAGGCAGGTACAGCAATATGAGACATGAAATTCAAATATTCATTTACAAAGACATCTGACTTAATTGCATTAGTTTATCTTTAGTTTTTTTATCAGAATATGCTGACCCCTGACTAGGACTTTCTCTTGACTTTGAACAACTTTGGTAACATTTTATCATTCTGGGATTACAGCTGACATAACTTGAATACAGCTCTAGGTAATGAAAGTAGTCACCCCCTTATCAGGTAGAGGGTATACGCTTTTGTAACCCCTAAAAACGCAAAGACGCTCCCGCCAACTATCCCATCCTACTCTCAGGCCAAAGAAATCTATCCCTACTACCTACCTGCCCAGACAGGCAGTGGCGACAAGACAGTTTCTTGTCATTCAACAACTCCGCCTCTAGTAAACTCGACTCGAACCGTTTACATACCGTCCATGCCGGGTAGACCAGGAAGCCCTGCAAAATGTCATGTTAGTTTCTTCTCTCTCTCTCTCACTCACTCTCTCCCAATAGTATACGCAAAAAAAAAAAAGAAAAGAAAAAAAAAGAAAAAAAAAAAAACTCACAAGAATCAATATCCTCATCGACCGTCTTGGCAACGGAGCACGCGTTCATCTGGGCGACGCCCTGGGACTTGAGCGGGTTCCCGTTCTCGCAGGCGTTGAACATGCAGCTCGAGTCCATCGCCTTCTGCAGCGAGTCCCCCTTCCAGCCGAACACGTAGTCCGCGTGCGTCCCGTACCCCTTGTTGTCCCCGTAGCTCAGCGTGAAGGGCTGCGACCCGTCCGCCGGCCACATCCCGTTGAACTGCGTCGTGTCCCACAGCGTCTCGTACGCCACCTGGGGCACCCGGATCGGGTGCGATGCCGGGCACGGCCCCGAGTTCTGGAACGCGTCCTTCACCGTGTTGTACATGTGCGACTGGTGGTCTGGGCTGTCGAGGTTCTTGCCGTCCCAGCAGCTAGACGTATATTATGGTCTTGTCAGCGGGGGTGGGTCGGGGGCTGGTAGCTTCATTAATGTGTTGAGTTGTTTGTTTCACTTACGCGGGGAAGTGGTGGACGGTCATGATGCCGCCGGGGCAAGCCTGGGTGGGGAAGTCGTCGAGCTCGGGGAATCGCGTTCCCTTGTTCTGCAGGCAGACGAACTTGAGGCCTGGTCCGTACTTGGACTCGGCGGTGGGCGTGCCCACGGTCATGCGGAAGCCCTTGTTTCTCTCGTTGGTAAACCTGCACATACACACACGTGCACACGCGCACACGTGATAGATGGGGGTGTACTCACCGGCTTGAACGCCGTGATCTTAGTGTTCCCGTTGGACGAAAAGTCCTGCTGCGTGTAGTAGACCGTCATGCCCCCATTGATCCCGTTCGGCAGCGCCGTGTTCTGCATGATGGGCACGCGCTTGTAGGAGCCGTTGGTGTGCTTGAAGAACATGACAGCGGTCCAGTAGTTGGAGAAGTCCTCGGAGAACGTGCACGTCGTGCAGGTGCCCTTGTCGCCCAGGTCGCCCGCCGCCGGGTCCATGCTCGCGTTGAAGGCGTTGCCGCCGATGATCTGGTGCAGGTGCGCAGACGGCACCTTGCCGGGCTCCACGAGGGGGTCGAGCCGCTGGATGGTTAGGGTCGAGCACCCGAAGCGCAGGGCGGCTTGGGAGGGCGCCGCGAGCGCCGCGAGGGTGAGGGTGAGGGTTAGCCACTTCATCTTTTCTTTCAAGTTTAAGGACAACACAAAACACAAAAACTTTGGTGCTGATTTTCCTGGTAAAACGATGGAGTTGTCTTTGTCTTTCTTTTGGTCGAGTCAGGTCTGGGTTCTGATCAGCCTTACATATATATGTACTCTACCTACAGCCATGCCTCCTTACGCATACGAAAAAAAAAAGAAAAAAAAAACATGCCGACTAGTAGCCGCCCAAGACGATGCACCAACCAAATTTCCCGATCGTCGCCTCTCATTTACGGTATTGCCGCCTTTTTTCATCTATTCCATTTAGGCGAGAGAGAAGAGGTCTTCCCAAATCGGGACCTCCACCTCCGCATTTTCCGCATCGGTATGCCGCTTCGCCCCCAGACCGCATAAAAGGCCATGTGGTAGGTAGTGAAGTTTGACAAGATGCTCGATCTATCTAGTATTTGGAATTGTGAATCTTCAGATTCTAACATAAGCTGATAGGTAATGCAACGATTTATCATACATCAGAAGTCGTCGTCCTCGGCGCAGGAGCTATGTAACTACGTCACCGTCGCCATCGTGTATCTGTAGAGAGGGCTATCGCCAATCACATCTAACAAAGTAGCCGCAACTAAGTTAATAGATTTCCATGAGGTTCGGCCGAGAATCAGTACCCAGTAGGGCCGAAGTGTGCCAAGGTTGCAATATTGGTGCAGTATCTGCCGGGGGTCGGCATTCGTCTTCGTGACATTTTATGCGGTCTTGGAAAGTATTCTGGGCGTCCTAGTCAGGTAATAGTTGACCCTGGGCACTATCAAGCATACATACTGTCGTTGCTCAGCAAGCTATACCGTCGCTATTTACACTTGGCAGGATGCTGAGTCTCGGTAGGTCAGGCTATAATGAACGTCTTGGGAGATGGCTCGACTTGAATGATTGCTGGCAGTGGCAGATTGAATGTATCTGGCCTCATACTAACCGAGGGTGCCTAAATAATGTCCAATTACCTACCTACCTGCCTGCTTGCTTGCCTAGCTAATCAATCATGAGTGCCATCATATGAATATAAAACTTATCCATGCCGCTTCGAAGTTACTACGTAGGTAAGGAGTAGCGATTCCAAGAAACCCAAGATGGACGAGAATATATCTATTTAGATGCTCCCAATGCCACCGCCACCGATGAGATAAACAAGGCACACCGAGAATCAACATAAGCCTAACCTAGCCCCTTATTCGAGTTCCCCATCTTATACTTAACATCCCGCCCACTGTGTTGTTGAACTATACAATTCCTATGGGAGGATATTAACGACTCTCTAGGTAACTATCTAGGCTAGGCAGATATCTCTCATATTAAAAGACTTAGCTGAATCGTGCGGTTCTTCCTACAACGATGTTGTCTCTGCTCTGCTTTTTGCCTCATATCATCTCGTAACATAAACGCCTACCTCACGAGTGAATTAATCTGGTCAATCCTCCAAGAACGTAACAAGAACTGAAGCCAAAGACAACGTTAAAGCTACATATATAGAAGGCCGAGGCCTATAGGGGACATATCTTGGAGTGGAATAACGAGGACAGCAACCATAGGGTCTCATTCATTCATGGCATAGTTAGTAGAAGTCCTGAGCACTACCTCCTACACTTAACAACACCAGCGTTTTATTCTTAGGTGCTTTTGGGTTGGTCAAAGGTAGGTACCGTGATGGACTTGACTGAAAGGTCATGCGAATAGCTCCTTATGCTAGTTACGGCAGTTGCAGTAAATCTGACCATGAAATTATCCTTATCTGAGGCTCAAAAAAGCAGGCATCTGATTAGAGATCATACTCGTGAATACCCCTATTCATGAAATCGACGTATCGAAACCAACCTGCCTGCATAGGTACATATATCTACAGAGTCTTCAAAGACGAGTACCTAGTAGCTTACTGCATATGTCCTATATCCTTGAAAACGAACCATCAAAATCCTCCCCTCTCGAGATCGACCCTCAACTCGATATTCTCGTCCTGTTCCAAAAGCTACTTACCCAGTACCTACACCCGACTTCCCAGATTCCCAAGTTCTGTTCTGAACAAGGCCCTGTAGGAATACCATGATAAATGAAATATTTAAAAGCATTTTACAACACTTAAAGGACGTAATCATCATCTGAAGTGTAATCACCATCGATCGACTCAACATCGAGGCTGCCCGTCTGACAGAACCAGCCAGCCAGCCAGTTAGAGCTCTTCCAAGACCACCCCGCCCAATCTAAGCTACCTAGGTACATATAGCTATGTCGACATGATATGATATGATGATGATGATGTGTATCTAAGCATAGACACCTAACCTAGGTTATTTACCCGTCAACCCTTCACCTAACCTAGCTAGCTACCTTACCTAAGCTTCAATGACGTCCACCTGCTTAGGTAGTATACATAGATAGTATCGGTACCAAAGACCTACGTTACTGTGCACTGACTTATTAGCCAAATGGCCCAACACCACCATCGGCGAAGTTAACTAATCAATAACCAATCAAGTTGAGTTGAAGACCTGAAGCAAGTGTACCTAGCAGTTATACATTTCACAGCTTATATGTGAGGCTATTCCTAAGCTTGCTACCTAATATAGTGGTTATTAGTAGTACCTAAGATCTGACCCAACCTATTTATTATAAACACCCATCTAATTAATGCCTTCTTCCATTCAACAGATCATCGCAAACTATATATTGAATCTAGGTTCTCACATTAACTAGGCCGCTACACTCTGGACAAATGTATGAAGTATGAAACCCCGTTCCAATCCTTTTATTATTTTCGTGTACATGCCATTATCTCCATTATCTCTCCCTCTACAATGCGTTCCGTACATGTCCTGTCGTCAAAATCAAGTGACTGAGCCTCCCAATTAACCTAGCATCAATAATGTAAACACAGCTATGTAAAATGCGTCAACTAAATCAGGCGAAATTAAAAGACGATGAAAATCCAATATATGCCGTATCTGGGATATCTCCAAGAATATAATACTGCCATTTTACCCATAGGGAAGGAGAACCAGTCCAAAAAAAAAAGTGTTATGTATAAGTAAATAGAAAGAAACGAAGCGCATATATATTGATACTCTGATGAATTTTACCCAACCAACTCCTGCCTCCTTGTCCGCATCTCCTGTAAACAGTGTATTCTTTGAGGACCTGCCACCGTACCGGGTCATCGCTATTTTGCCAACCTTATCCCATGAGAAAATGCTAACCAACAAAGAGCAGGAGTCCACACGCACTCTTTCTCTCGCTCTTCTCGCTCTATGCCTGCCTGATATGCAACGGTCTTCACTCTTTTTTTTCTTCTGTACTCCAATGTTGCCTCTCGTTTAGGTAAGGTAAGGATTCGTCGTGGGGCTCTTGTATGCTTTTGCGTCCGACAGCCAACTTCTTGGCGCTTCATGATTCGTAGCTTCGTGGGCTTATGCATCGGCATCTCGATATGCAGATTCGATCATCGCGTACTTCTTGGGAAATGATTTCGCAGTGGGTCAGACAAAATGCCGTCATCTCGCATCGCTATTCTTCCGTGTCATGCTGTACACCCCTTGTCACCCTGGAGCGTTCTCCTTAGAAAACGTTAGCTTCTCACCGACCGCCAACCCCTTCAACGACTCTTACAGCACCATCGTCCTTCTTCCCAGGACCCGCGACTATGCCGGCATAACCAGAACCCCAGGCGCGGTCCATGGTGCCCACACCTGACATGCGTTTCCGCGTTCTTATGGTGGTGTTGTCTCGGTCGCCATCTTCATCCATGCTGAACACGAATTCGCCGTCCTCTTCTCCTATCGGGGTGGTATATCGAGCGCTGGAGCTGATGGACCCAGTGCTGACGTGGCGCTCGCCGGCACGTCCGTTCGATGGGCGTATGGCGTGTGTGTTGGGATGGAGCAGGGGTGCTTCGCCTCCGTTGCTATCGATGTGTGTACGTTGTAGCTGTTGCGTCAAGGCACTCGGACCATCGATACTACTGGATCGACTCGCATTATGAGGTTGCACAACGTTAGCGCTGAGGCTGGATTGGCGGAGAGGGCTTCCAACGTGTCCAAATACACCTGCGCTAGCAGCAGCAGCATGCTTCTTCGCCTCGTGTTCTTCGTGCTGGCGCTGGAATAAAGGGCCCCACCGACTTGGGCTCGAAGCCATAGGGCTACCAAATTTCGAGTTTATCTCGCCATTAGGCGTAGCCGTTCCGCTCATACCAATGACACTCGGAGATGTGCCATTTCCTCTATGGCCATTGGATTCGTCGTCGGCTGCTCGGGAGCCACGCCGAGCCTTCTCCGCCGGTGTCAGCAAGTCCTTCAGATTGTCAGGCAAGTAATCTTCCTCTAAGAAGGGAAATTCGGATCCCCAGTCCCGATCGATTCCGGTTGCCCCGCTGCTTCCAATACCGCTGATGCCCCCGGTGCTCACGATCGCACGAGGCGCGCTACTGCTAAGCATCTTAGGTTTGGCATAACGACTCGAATGCATCTGGCGTCTACCATAATATTCGTCAGACGGTTGGGTGGGGGGCGATGAACCAGTGGCGACCGCAGCCAAATGCTCGTTGCTGCCGAAAGCTGAATGGTGAAGCAATTTGAGAGTTTCAGAGGTCCTTGATTCCTTGGCTGCATTCAACGACGGTGACGGGGATTCCAGTCCGAATTGAGATGGTACAGATGAGGGCCAAGGGCCTCCAGGATATCTAGCGGCATTAGAAATTCCATTAGAGTCGAAGGAAGCGGGAAGAGGCGCGTCAAGAACAGACAAGCCCTTCGCAGCTACCGGAGAGAGGCCTAGGCCAAGCCGGGATGGATCCTCCTCGCGAGGTGAACCGTATTGCGAACTGGAGTGTGAGTAGGTGGTGTCGATAGTAGGTACGTTCTCCAAGCTTGGGCGACGATCAATGGTTGAGTACGCGTCGCTGGGAGACATTGGGTAGCCGTAGGTAGCGCTGAAAGAGGAATTGGCATCGGCGCGCATGAATGAGTTCGTCAAGGCACTATTGGAAGAGTTATAGGAGGTAGGATTGACTCGACCGCCCAGGTGGATGGGTTGTCCGATGGTGATGCCATTCTTGCTATAATTAATTCGTCTGCCGTCGGCAAGCACATGGACATTGGCGCATTTCGGTCCGAATTTGCAATTCCCCTATTGTTTTGCATCGCCAACTGTTAGCGATGCGCTTCTAATTCTAAGTCGTTGAGTTATAGTTCTTTATTCCGAGAGTTCCCTTACCTTTGCAAAGTATTTGCATACCGTCTCCGCAGCAGTGCCGAGATCGTGACTGAAGGGGCAAGCAGAACCAGCCTGACAAGCGCCCTGCCGGAAGAATTTACAAGGTACGTGGGAGGTGTCTGGTTGAGAAGCCATTGGCGTTAGATGAGTGTAGCAGACAAAATAGAGATTGATTTTTTTTATTTTTCGTATATGGGAAATATAGGAAATGTAGCGATGTGGAATTGTGGAATTGTGGAAATATGGGAAATGTGGACAATGTGGAGATATGGAAATAGTTATATGGATCGACTTACTCGGTGGACTCCTCGGGCCCTCAAAGCGATTGTGTGTCGGAACTATCGGACTCATTGAATTTGTCTGGGTTGGAATATTGAGGCTACCCGACCTCACATGCCGATATTCGGACATAATTAACGATAGCAATGATGTCGGCGATGAGCTAGGTAATATGTATATACTAAACGCTAAGCAATGGAATAAGATAAGTTGAGTTGAAGTGGGAAGCAAAGTGAAATCATACCTATTAGTAGTAGTAGTGGTGGTGGTAGTAGTTGGTAGTTGGTTGATGTTAGTGGTGGTGGTAGTGGCAGCAGTAGTAGCTGGAGGTGAGGTCCCCAATGGTTAGCTACCCAGACTAAGGTAAGATGGATTATGTAGGTAGCCGTAGAGGTAACCTTGGAAGTGCTAAGTGCTGGTATTATGTAGGTAAGGTAACCTACCTTGGTAAATATGTAATAACTTGAATTGTAGGCAGGTAGGCAGGTAGGCAACCAAGTAGGCAGCAAAGAGGGGTGAATGTAATAGGCCGCAAGTAAGTCCTAGGTCCCAGGTGTAGTGTGCCTATAATAGCCCTGGAGAGTAACAATAGTGGCGGAGGTTCGGAGGTTGGCTGAGTTTCAATGTTGGAAATGGCTAGCAAGAACTTGAATGATTTAATTCAATGTTGCGGTAATCCGTAATTCGCAATCCGCAATCCGTTAGTCAAGAAAAGGCTGAGACGTAAGAGGATTAATAGGAGGGGCACGCCGACATCAAACCCGGTCGTTGTAAGCATTGATGACCCCTAATCATAATAATTAAAATATTTAAAAAAAAAACCCCCAAATAGTTAGATGGATCCAAAACTAAACAAAATAAAATGTAATAAATAGTTAAAGAGATCCAATAATAGTTGCTTGTGTTTGTGCTTGGAACTGTAGTTGTAGCTGTGACAGTAACTGTAACTGTAACTGCAGTTGTAACTGTAACTTGCGCTTGAGCATGCGATTGTCCACTTTTCTCGAGGGTCGAGTCCAGGGCTAATAAGCTAAAAGAAAATAGCCCGAGTAGCCCAGAGCCACGGCCATGTAGTTAGGTTGGTAGGTAAGTGAACTATGTTCCTCTCTAGCCCAAGAGACAAGATGGATCGAATTCAGGTACAGTGGTCAGGTACCTAACCTAAATAGATGATTTGTTAATATCAAAGCACGTAGCCGTCTTCCCCAAGATCATCAGATATAACCCTCGAATGAAAAATCGAGGAACCAAAAAGAGGAAAGGGAAGAAGAAGAAGAAACAGAAAAAAGAAAAAAGAAGAGAAAGAAGTTGAACAAGCATGCAATAGAATAACAGCTTTCGAACCACCCCGACGTTGAATGGTTGGCTAAGGGAATCCGATAGGAAAAGTCTGGTCTAACCATACCCTACTAGGTACACGTCAAATATGCCACCCCGTATGCAATATGCCCAGCGATGGCGCAAGGTACGGGAGCGGAAAGGAGAAAGCAGGTAGCCTTGGAGGCCAATGTGGGTGAGTGTAAGGACAGTTTGGAACTTGAGACACTATGATTTGAGAATCCCAACGTGCTAGGCAATATGTATGTGCTAGGTATGTATGCTAAGTATAGGTTATATGTGCGTTTATATGTATATCGTGTGTCTGAAGATGACTGGAGGGAGAGGGACTTGTGAGTTGTTGGGTCAATTGTAACTGAGCCCAAAAGGAGAGGAATGATATAATAGGAGAGGGAGGAAGAAGAGAGATAGAAGGCAAGGCGACAGAGGGTTGGTGGCGGGAGAGGTTCGGTCAAATCAAATGACTGCAGAAGGACGAGGGGGTGGAGGGACTCAGAGAGAAGGGGGTGGTAGTATTGATAAATTGCTTGCAACCTACCTAGTACAAGTACAAGTAAGTAATCGTAACCGCGACAAATAGCTATTGTATGTGTGTATGTGTGTATGTGTGTATGTGGTGGTAGTTGGTGATGACTGTCCAGGTGAAAAGGCTTCAATGTTCGGTCGTATAGTTGTACCGGGTTGTACACTGCGGTAGTAGAGTTGGGGAAGTCAGGTTTGGAGGTTTAAAGAAGATGGGAAACATTCAACATCAATGATTGAACTTGCAGGACCTGGCAGGCCTGGGTTAAAGAAAATGGGGAGAGGAGGAGGGTTGCAATACCTTTGGCCGGGGTTCTGATTGGAATGGGAGACCGATCGCAGTTCGCAGAACGGGCAATCCCATTAAAACGCGATTATGTAGGTACAATACAGTATGTAGGTACAGTATGTAGTAGTAGTAATAGTGTACCTAGTAGTGTATGCAGTACTATGTACGGTACCTAGTAGCTACCTTGTGTTAGTACTATCAAGTAGACATCTTGTGTATGTGTATTGTATGTGTATTGTATATGTATTGTACATATACCTAGATAGTACTGCATATGTACTACATATACCTCGTTGGTATGTACATAGTTATGGAGTAGTGCACATATGCTGGTAAGCAAAGGAGACCTACTAGGTAGGTAGTAGGTACTAGTACGATGTACTATGTAAGAGGGGATTGAGGGGTTCGTTCGGAGGGGTCCCTCACCTTTAAGGATACAATTGCGGGGCCGGTCCGAGTCTGCGGGTGCGGGTGTAAGATGAGAGCAACTCTTAACTCCTTTTTTTATCAAAAGAAAAAAGATGGATGATAAAAATAAAGAAGACACACATATATATAAGCGAAGAGAGAAGAAATATATATTAACTGCTTACCTTGATTGGGCTAGCTATCAGTAAGACACTATTACACACTAAACAAGAAATAAGATCGGATATTCGGGGAATTTGTGACGATTTTGGTTCGGAGCTTTGGTGACGAAACACGAAATCAAGGTTACGTGGTTTCCCTCTGCGAGCTTCTCCAAGGGCTGGATCCAGGTCGTCGAGGTCGAGGTACCCAAGATTTGGTGATCTGCCTGTAAGCTGACGGCCCGTTCTCAAGACAGCCTCGAGCGTGGAATGTAGCTTTGTATGTATGTAGGTAGGTATTTAAGCGACGAAAAACCGGATCAGGCAAGAAGCTCCAAAATCCCACGGATGTGCCTGGCTTGTCTGTCTGTCTGTCTCTCTTGTCTGTTCGATTTGTTTTATATCGACTGTCTTAGAAATGTGTACCGAAGTGAATGACTCAAGTCAACCACGAGGACACCATGGAGTTGTGTCAACGCCCCTTTTGCTCGATTGTCCTTACGGTGGTGTCTCTAAGCCACGCCCTGTTGATGTATCCGGGTACGGTGGAACCGAAAAAAAAAAGGCAGTATCAAACAGTGATAGTCGTAATTAGGAATAGAGGATAGAGGCGAGGTATGTAATTTCCAGATAAGTAGGTAGTGTCAATAAGTATTATCACCGAAGGTAAGATTCATGTACCAGATTGCTGCTAGATAGGTACCCCGGTAGACACACCTTAATAATTCCTTGTCGTTGAATCTCTTTATGTTTGTCAGAGTGGAGGGAGGAATGGGAGCCCTGGAGGTGTGTATGTATGTACCTACTAGGTACCTAGGCAGGTATGCTTCCAGGGTTATATCAGACGGATTAGGACTGGGTGGTTTGGCCTAGACCTGCAGGGGGAGAACAACCTTGTGTGGGGGTCTCATTGGGGTTTTCCAGTCACTACCTGGATATGTCCTTGGTCAGGGAATTTCATGCACCGGTAGGTTGCAAGAATGGAGGGGGGTAATAAGGATTAAAAGAGACTATCAAGTTGTTGATCTAAACTGTCTTATTAGTAGGTATCAGGCACCTAGCATTCAGTTCTCGTGACTCTTCTATCGCGAGTGGAGGGTTTGTGCCGTGGGCTGATCCACAGATAATGGAACAGTGCGTAGGATCGACACGGTATCTCACGATGCTGATGTGCGAAAGTGTGTATATATGCAGTTAGATGGAGGAGCTCCCCGACTATCCAACAACAGGGCAGAGTTGAGTGGGTTACGATTATGCCTTCGCCCCGTAAATCTCACAATTCCCTGATCGCTATGTTGAAGGCGGAGAGGCCGTCTTAGAGGCCGGGTCTAAGGGAAAGGAAGGGATTAGGATTATGATGCAAATAAACGGCCGAGGTACCTAAGTCCGCCACTTGAATGCAAGAGCTGATGGGTAAGGTGAGAGAAATCAAAGAGGATCCTTTGGCCTTTGGGGACCCGTTGTGTGGCACCCAATCAAGAAAGGCCTAGGATTTCGAATCAGGCGAAGCAAATGATAAGCCGCGGGGTTAAGTATTTGCCTACTGTTAGCTTTATGTCTTTTGCTCTTTTCCTATTCGGATTTTTTTTTTTCAAAAATCTCAAGGTCAGCTTGACGATGGGGTTGTTTGGTATTAAACGGTGGTTGGAATCGGTATACGGTACAATGGTAGGGACAGATTCGATTAAGTTAGTCTCGAGATAGTCCGGATCGCCAAGCAAAATGAAATCGATCCTGGTCGAGTTTGGAGGTCGAGTCGAGTCGAGTCGAGGGTTGGTCTAAAAGATGACGCGCCAGGGCATATATTACTTGCTACCAACTCCCAAAAGTGTCAGGAGCTTAGTTACGGGATAAGCTATCTTTTTAAGATATACCTACAGTAAGTAGTATGCTCCCATCAACCGGCGATGCCGTGTTCGAATACGATATCTCACACAGTTATATCGACAGTTCTCGTCTCGTCTCTTATCTCGTATAACGATGGATGGGTGTTGGCTGGGTAGTAAATGCTGTATAAAACGAGTGAGGCTGAGGGAGTAGTACGATGTGCGACTTGCAAGTGAATTTAAAGGTTAGTGTGACGGGTGTTGCTCTCTCGTGGGCGCCCCGAAGCGTCCGTGATCGACGAATCAATCTACCTAAATTGGCCAGTCAGAATGTTGAGTAGGGTGATAGATCAGATGCAGCAAGTATCCACGCTATCCCAAGCCCTAGCTGTGCACCATGACGCTTAGAGATTCGTCGTCTTTTGATAAGATCGCTTACCTACGGCCAAAGCAGTGTCGGGTGGACCAGGTGATAACTGACAAAATTAATATAGGAGGCTGGCGAACTCCAGATGTCCTTGACCGCGGGCCAGAGTTATGGATACAGTATGCACCTAACCTAGTAGGTATGTATTTAGTTAGGTATAT